GATTTTTAGAAAACCTTTTATAAAAAATTAGGTATTACTTATTAGATATTTACTAGCTACTATCTAGAAACTAATAATACTACTAAAAGAATAAATAGTACTATAAAATCTTACTTATAGGCCTATATTTATTAGAAATAAGATAACTAGGTACTAATATATTTTACTACTTAAATTACTATTAAAGAAAGAAATATAGTATCTACTAGTATTAGCTTATTCTTTTTATAATATAGATATAATATAGATAAAGTATAGAAAGATATAGAATAGGTAATCTAGTAATAATATTAAAAGCCTAATAATCTAGAAAAGTTAGCTAAAGTACTTACTATAAAATTTATAGAAATACTAAATTATATATAAGTAAAGATAGTAGAAGTATAATAACTTTAAGAAATCTAGGCTAACTACTATTAATAAAAAGTACTATAACTATAAGAAAAAGACAAAGTATAGCTATAGTATAGTAAATACTTCTTTTATAGTAGGCTAAGTAAGAAACTAAACTAAAAAAATATAAAGTTTTAAGTAGAAAAAGTAATTTTCTTTTATACTATAAGATTAAATACTTCTTTTAGTATCTACTTAGTATTTTATATAGATAGGCTATAGCTATACTTTAAAAACCTTTTAGTAGAATAAAATACTAATAATTACTAACTTAAAAGTATATTAGAAAATATTAATAAAGAACTAGAAAACTACTAAAAAATTAAAGAAATTATAGGTAAAAGATAGAAATACTATAGTAAGAGATATAAAAAATAATACCTAGTTAAGTAAAAGAATTATACTATAACTTTATAAGAACCTATAGAAAACTTTAAAGAAGCTAAAGTACTAAATAGCTAATTAGCCTTTTTAAAAGATAAATAAAATAAAATAAGTAAACTACTAAAAGAGTTTTATAAGAATTTCCTTAATAAACTATAATAATACTAAAGACTTTAGTAATAGTAGAGTATAGTAAAAGAGGTAGTAATTTTAGTAATAGTACTACTAGAAACTATAAGTAGTATACTAATAAGTACTTTTACTAAGGCTAAAAATATAAGTAGCTAAAGAAAAATAAAAAATAAAAAAGCTATAAGAAAATAGGTTAATAAAAGTAAAATTAACTACCTATATATAATAAAAAAGAGAGAGAAATAGTAAAAGACTAACTAGCCTAAAGCTAGTAAATATTTAAGGTATTTATTTTATAAACGCTAAAGAACCTAGGAAAATAGTAGTAAAACTTATTTCTAATTAGTATTTATAGCCTAGAAACTATCTTTCTACTTATTAATATACTTATTAGGCTTACTATTACTAGTAGCTCTAAGTTTCTAAAAGACAGTATACTTAAAAATAATAAAAACTAAACTCTTTTATTTACACTAGAAAAAATAATTAAAAGAGCTAATAATAAAAGCCTAAAGGCTACTACTAAAAGAACTAAAAACTAGGATATTAATACTATAGCTATAAGGTAGTAGAAGATTAAATTTAGTAGATAAGTAGCTTAACTTTTAAGATTTAATAATCTTCTTAAAGGCTTAAGTAATAGAGTAGGTCTAATTATTAATAGTAAAAGCCTAAAAAACTTATAAATTAGCTAAAAAAATAAGTAAAAAATAAGGTTTTAGATACTAAAAAGAAGACTTACTAAGTCTATAAGGCCTTAGTTTTATTTTTAAATACTAGTATATATTAAGCTTAACTTAGTAGTAATTTTATAAAGTAAACTTTTAGTAACTAAGTTAGAAGTATAATTATTCTAGTACCTCTTTTAGCTAGAAGTAAGCTTTTAAGCCTTATTCTAAGCTTTTTTTAAATCTTAGATAAAGTTCTTATTAATATTCTTAAGTAACTTAAAGAATTATAGGTCTATTTTAATAAATAGTAAAAGCTTATAAATATAAATAATAGTAGGCTTAAGTTTTTTAGAAATTTAAAAAAATATTAGTTATAAATAAAAAGAAGAAAGTAATTCTAGTAAACTTATAGTATAATAAGTAGAATTTACCTTAGTAGAATAGTAATAGTAAGTAGTTTTACTCTTATTAAACTTATAAATTTTACCTTAAGTAACTAGATATATTATATAGTTAATATAGTAAAGAGAGTTAAGCTTACTAATAAAGAAAATATTAACTATAAAAGTAAAGTAGTTAGTAGGCTATAAAGTAGGTATCTATTTAGATAATATTAGGAAATAGGTTAAAGAATAAGTAAAACTTAGATAGAAAACTTATACTAGGTTTTTTACTAAATGAGTTAGATATAAATATAAAAGTAGTAGTAGAAAGCTTAGCCTTAGCTTTAGTAAAATTAGCTTTTTAAGTATTTATTTTAGCCTTCTTTCTTTTATACTAGGTAGGTATAAAGGTAGTAAAAGTAGACTACTTACTACTAGAAATAGTATTAGTATAAGTATTAACTATATTAATAAAGAAAAGTAAGAGAGGTAAAAGTATATATAAGTTAAAGCTAAAAATATATATATAGACGTAGGTAGGGGTATTAGTAATAGGTTAATATATTATATTATAGTAGAGTTAAAATATAAGAATTTTTACTAGAGGGGGACTTATATAATAGGCTAGGCCTAGTAGAACCTTAGTAAGTAAAGCCTTAGAGCTTAGTAGACCTTATAATAGGCTAGGCCTAGTAGAACCTTAGTAAGTAAAGCCTTAGAGCTTAGTAGGCCTAACTACTAATACCTACACTACTACCTATACTTTAGAAACTCTTAGTACACTACTAGAAGAACTATAAGTAGAGGAAAACTAGTACTATAGATTCTTAGTAAATTTATTTAATTTATACTAGTAACTACTCTTAGGGTTAGCCTCTTATAATAGGTACTAGTAATAGTAATAATAGTAATAGTAATAGTAATATTTCTAGTAACTTTAGTAGCTTTTATAGCTCTCTATTACTATTAACGCTAATAATAGTAGGTTTAGTAATAATATTAACTATAGTAGTAATACTACTAGGCTTATTACTAATATTAACTATAATACTAATACTACTATAGCTATTACTAATATTAACTATAGTAGCTTTTACTACTATAATTCTAGTAATTTTAGTATTTAATAGTATATTTTTTTTATTATATTCTTTTTTTTCCTTATTATTATTACTATTAATTAAAATTAATTTAAGGCCTTTATTACTACCTAGCTTACTAGTAAGCTTAATAGTTTAAGTAGCTATAGTAAACTATATAAACTATAACTTTAGCTTAAATAAAAAGCTTTATAATATATACTTATAGATATACTTATACTTATAAATAGGCTTATAGGTAAGCTTTTAGTAGTAGGTAGATACCTTTAAGTACTTTTATATAAGCTATAGTAGCTTACTTAATAGATATTTCTTTTTAGTAGCTATTATAGGCCTTATAAGCTACTTACCCCTAGAGGATAGAAATTAATATATTACGTTACTATTATATTTTAGTTACGTACGTGTTTTAATTACTTATTAGTTCTTATTATATATTTATACTAACTATAGCAGCTAAAGTTTAATCTAGTTATAAGTTATTAGCTATCTACTTTCTATTACTATTACTATTACTATTACCCTTACTACTACTTATTAGCTAGCTTTATCCTTATTCTATATTAATTCTATAGTTCTATAGTAAGGTTTTATACCTCCTAAATTACTTTTATAGGTCTTCTTTTCTAGGTAGTATACTTAGAGTCTATAAAAGCTTACTTAAAATACCTCTTATTCTTAGTTAAAATAGTATTATTATACTACTTAGTAGTAAGGCTATTAAGTTAAAAGAGCTAGGTATTAAAGAAAGCCCTATTAGCCTTATAGACTTATATAAGAAGAAGCTAAACTTTAACTTTATAAAGCTTTACTCTAAGCCTTTTATTAAGTATAAAACACTGCTTAATATCTAGATTACTTAAGTAGAATATATTACTATTATACTAAGTAATTTTCTTTATTTCTTTCTACTACTTAACTAGGTTTTTAAAGATCTTACTAGAGATATCTAAAGTATTATACTAGTACTAGTAATTACTTACCTTAATCCTTTAATTATTAGTTTACTATAAAATATAGTATAGAAACTTCTAGGCTATACTAATAGGATTATATTATTAGTTAGGTATAATCTTAGTTATAAAGAAAGATAAGATAAAATAGATAAAATAGATAGATAGATAGATAAAGTATTTAGATCTTAACTCTTAAGGTGTATAAGATATTTATATACTAGCTTATCTATATAAACTATTATTACCTATACTCCTTCTAAAGCTGCCCTAGTTATATATTTAGGATTACTAGTTAATTAAAGAGTTTTTACAACCTAGCTATAGTTTATAATATAATCTAGGGTTTATAACTAAACTAAACTTTAACTAATAGCTGCCTAGGCTCTTAAATATATATTTATACTAGTATATTAAGCAGCTAGTTATTAAAGAAATATCTAATTAGCTCTCTATTACTATTACTATATACTTTAACTAATATTTACTGTATAAAAAGGAGCTAGGTAATAGCTTCTATACTAAGTTACTATATTAGATTCTTACTATATTATATCTATCTGCTTGCACTAGAAGTATAAATATACTATAAACCTAAAATAATAAGCTACTTACTAGCTTATTTAGTAGCTTTTTTAGCTCTTTTTATAGTAGCTTCTTTAGTAGCTCTTATAGTATTACCTCTTATTCTATCTTTTTTTAGTATTAGATTAATATATTTTTAAAGTAAGAATACTATAAATATATTTAGATAGCTTAAATTAAGGCTTTAATAATTATAATTAATATAAAATTTATTTCAAGTACGTAGAATTCTTATTTTAATTAATTTTACTAATAAATTAGTATAACGTCTTAAATTTAGAGAACTAACTAATTAGCTACTATCTAAATCACGTGTGATTAAGGTATTTCGTAAAGCACTATAGACTGGCGCTAATTCCATATTAGGAAGACATAATTCGCAACTCCTGACGTCTTCAGCAGACACCTGGGATATTACGCGAATCCCGGCGTGAGATCTGGCCAGCTTAGCTCGCGACATAGCATAAGCCCCGTCACCGCCCTACAAATAAGCTGACCAGAAGAACAACATAGGCAGATGCTTACCCGCAAACCGTGCCGTAGCAATGCAATCATCTGCCACAAATCCCAGCGAACGGCGAAAGATTCAGAACAGACATGCCCAGCGGCGTTTTCGTAGTAAGTGTTTCAGACTGCTGAAAGTTCTCGCGGGTGTTTGGCCCTCAATGCTGATTGCTCCGGCACGGCAGGCAAAAAGGTGACACAGAACGCGGGAGAGCCGTTCACGACAACGGCACTGTCCGCTGCAGCTACAGTGAGCGGGCCAGCCATACGACCGCGCTTGCAGTCAAACCACGACGCCCTGGCGTGGACCGGCCTGGCAAACCCGCCTGAGAAGGCGGCGTGGGGCAGCGAGGAAAGGCTCCCCCACCCAAGCGTAGCTGGACCACAGACCTCGGACCAGAACCAGGACCTAACACCGACGACCGCCAAGGACAGCCGCACCATGCGAGGGAAAAGCGACGCAGCCTACCTGGGGCCTGACGCCACAATTGCAGGTCTGATGCGCCAATTTCAAGATCCGCTTACGCCGTCATCACTGCAGCCACAGTAAGATAACCTAAATGCTCCTGCTACCTGGCTATGGTGTAGAGATCTAACTGCGTGACACGTAGTCTGCACATGAACCAGACCGACTTCACCTTCTCGTCGTCCATGGCCCAGTCCATACGCGACCCTCTGCAATGGCCACACGACGCTCCGGCCGAGGCCATGGTCTTCAACGCACACGACACTGGGGGCTTCTACTCCAATCAGGACACCAACAAGACCCCGTGGCCAGACACCGGTGCGAGTCACCACCAACTTACGCGTAGCACCCAGAATGAATCCGAAAGCAGCAGTGACACGGTAAACTCCGAGATATCTCATGTACGCCGGCTTTGCACTAACACCGCTGCAAGTCACAAAGCCATACTCGCATCACCACACCCAACCTCCTACTTAATGGCCGCTTTGGACAAGACAGCGAGCTGGATGAGGACGAGCCCTTCCAGACAAACCTCCACATCGCCGCTGAGGCCGGTCACGACAGCCTCGTAGGTTTGCTGTTGGGCTCAGGCTACACCGTCGATGCACTCGACAGTGATGGTAACACTGCCCTGCATAGGGCCAGTCTTGGTAAACACGTGAAGGTCATGCTGAGGCTGCTAAAACATGGCGCAAATCCCAATTCTGTGAATGTCCATGGCTGGACCCCTGTACACATGGCCTTTTCCCTCGGCTCCATGGAAGTAGTAGAAGTCCTTGTCCGACACGGTGGCGACCTGAACAAGCGCGCGAAAGGAAAGTTAAGTTGCGCCACATTTAAGGAAGCTCTCGCAGCGAAGACAAGTTGAATGTGTTTCACATACCAAATAGGTGATGCTTGCTATTGGACTCACAAACATGGATTAGAGTGCGTTGAAATGCTACAGAAGCTCGCAGAATTCAAGACCTTTGTAGAGATTACAAACAGTAACAAAGCAACGAATGTTTCCAGTTTCTTCCTAACCCATTCTCCTAAAAGTCGGAGCCCGCACTTTCCAAACTCTCACTCACTTCACCAGAACTCGCACCCCCTTAGTCGGCAGGTCAGGGAACGGAATGGAATAATCAGCCTTCGTCTGTACCGCAGCTCGTCCCGTTTTAAACAGCTCAAACTCGAGCCTGCGAAAAACAACAGCCAAACCAATACACAGCTCCACGCGCGCCAAGTTAATTCCAAGACACATTCTCGGGCCCTTACTAAACGCAACCAGGTACTTACTCGGTGGCTCGCCATTCTTCGCCGGCGCCTTCCCAAGCCAGCACTCGGGCACAAACTCATGCGGCTCGTTCCAGATGCGCGGGTCCGTGTGCGTGTAGTACGCCGTCATGCTGAAGTCTGCACCGGCTGGGATGACGACGTCTTTGAATGCGACAGGCACTTTGCGGGACTTGCGCCCTGTGCGTGAGGAAATGCCAATCGTGATGCGGAGAGTTTCGCTGACGATTGCCCTGAGGTACAGCAGTGCTTCTAGAGTGGCTAGGGATGGGGTTACACGTGGGTCTGGGAACACAGACTCTAGTTCTGCGCGCAGCTTTGCACTGATATTTTCATGCCATTCTCCGAGCTTGAAGATCAATTGGCCGCCCCAGAAAACGTCATGGTATCTATCTACCCATCCGGTGACTGCGGCGAGCTTGGGCTTGGGAACTTGGACAGAGGGCTGAGAACAAATGGTATATCGCAATTGATATTCCCCATGGCAAAGGGAGGATTGCAAGCACGATGAACTGCAGCGTCGTGCTGTACAAGGACAGCAAAGAGTCTTCAGCCTGTTTGAAAGCCATGTTGCAATTAGATAGTGTTTTGCGACCGACGTGGACTACGCTACATAAATGAGCTCAGCACTTGTAATGCCTTATTTGCCGATATCTCGTGCCACGTCGAGGATACAACAGAAACACAGGATCAAATCATGTGACGGCGATGTAGGGTAACCGTTTCCATACAAGCTAAAGTGTCATACAGGTATGGGTGGCTGGGGGAGCTTACAAGACTAAAGAAGCGACCCACTCTCCACCGCAGTCAGTATTACATGGTTGCATAGCGCTAGGGTAAGGGAGCCCAATGCAAGTGCGCCCTGAAGTAAAAGGAGCGTAGGTTGCGGATGGCCCCGTTGTTGGATCTCCAGCACTGCCGCCAACGCCACACCCAATCATGCCAGTGCGTGTACTCTGCCTTCACGGGCAAGGAGTGAACTCAGCAGTGTTCCAGAAACAGACCGGTGAGTAGTATCAAGCGTTCAAGTGGTATGGATGATCTAATCGGCCAACAGAGAATCTACGCGAGATGCTGCCTGAAGATTACGAGTTTCATGTCTGACCGCAAATACGAATGTGAACCAGCCCCGGAAGTGCGTGACCACTACCCACCCCCATATCTAACATGGTACAACACCCCCACTGTGGACAAGGTCAAGGACTCACATAGCCAAATTCAGCAGATTGTGGAAAAACAGGGTCCTTTCGACGCAGTCATGGGCTTTGGCCAGGGCGCCGCCGTAGCAGCCTCGCTACTGTTGCACCAGAAGTTAGAATCCAAACCACCGTCTTTCAAAGCTGCTGTTTTCATCAGCTCGCCCATTCCATTCGCCAGGAATACGCAAGTAAGTATCGACGCAGGCTCTTACTTTGGCGTCCGCAATGCGCTTCCCAATGCGCACGCCCGCCCGACTCAGATACCACCCCACTTGCTGACCCTGCATATCCGCGCAATCCCACGGAGCTGGAGGGGTTATCATGCAACGACGTACAGTATCATATGTTTCACCCGACGGTCGACAAGGTGCACATCAGGGTGCCGACCGGACACGTGATGGGCACTCAGGATAAGTGGTTTTGCCATAGCAAGGACTTGGTTGGGCTGTGTCAGGAGGAATGGAGGGTTGTGTTGCAGTATCATGGTGGGCATGAGGTGCCTCGGACTTACACGGAGGAGATTTGTGATGTTGTTGAGACAATGTTTGGGCTACTGAGAGAGTGATGTCGAATTATCGAATCACGTTAGCTGTATATGGAGGGTTACCAAATCAAGCTAGTCTACTCATAAATCTCGTCTGACAGGCGGTGGCTTACCCTGCATAACTTCAGGGGATACCACGCCGTGCCGTGCCGTCCCTCCGATCATGAATCTTGCTTACTCTAGCCGAGAAATGCTGACATGCACGGTAAGCAAGGCGGACACTTCACACAAGCAAGGGCAAGCAGCACTGACAAAGATACAGACACCAGTGCATGTTTGAAGCTGGCAACTCCCCCAATGCGGCATAGCTGACAAATATTACGCACTCGCCGCCTGTATGGTCAAGCGCTGGTGACAAACGGCCATAGGCCTTCACTGGCACGCCTTAGCCCTCTCACCTGCTCTACGGGACTCGCTTTCCCACGCAAACGGTGTTACTCTCCGTCATCACGAGATGCCTTCCACTCAACTGGCCGACGATCACACTAGAATGTACTAACTATTAACAGGTTTTACTATCTGCCCTAAGTCACGTTATACAAAGGTATTTCCCTAGAGGACAGGGATTAATGTATTACGTTACTATTGTGTTTTAGTTACGTACGCGTTTTAATTACTTATTAGTTCTTATTATATATTTATACTAACTACAGCAGCTAAAGTTTAACCTAGTTATAACTCTCTGCTTTCTATTACTATTACTATTACTATTACTATTATTACTATTACTATTACTATTACCCTAATAGTTACTAGTCTTTATACTACTAATAGTATATATAGGTACTATACCTACTTAATTACTACTACTAATCTTATTTTCTAATTATAATACTTAAAATTTATAAAAGCTTACTTAAAGTAGCTCTTATTTAGAGTTAAAGTAACATTATTATACTACTTAGTAGTAAGCTAGTTAAGTTAGAAGAGCTAAGTATTAAAGAAAGCTCTATTAGCCTTATAAACTTATATAAGAAAGAGCTAAACTTTAACTTTATAGAGCTTTACTTTAAGCTTTTTATTAACTTTAAGGTGCTACTAGATATCTAGATCTTTTATATAGAATATATTACTATTATACTAAGTAATACTCTCTATCTTCTTCTACTATCTAGTTAGGTCTTTAGAAATCTTACTATAGATATTTAAAGTACTGTAATAATATTAAAGATTATATATAGTAATCTATACTTTACTAAAGTACTATAGAATATAGTACTTAAACGTTTAAGCTTTAGTAATAGTATTATATTATAAGTATATAATCTTAGTTATAGTAAGATAAGATTAAAAATAAAATAAAAAATAAGTTAAAAGGCCTTAAAATATAAAGGATCTTTATATACTATCTTACTTATATAAACTATTATTATCTAGACCTCCTTTAAAGCTGCTTATTATATATTTAGAATTACTAGTTAATTAAAGAGTTTTTATAAGCTAGCTATAGTTTATAATATAAACTAGAGTTTATAACTAAACTAAACTTTAACTAATAGCTACCTAGGCTCTTAAATATGTGTTTATATTAGTATATTAAGCAGCTAGTTATTAAGAGATAGCTAATTAGCTTTTTATTACCTTTACTATATACTCCTACTAATATTTACTTTATAAAAAGAGGCTAGGTATTAGCTTTTATATTAAGTTACTATATTAGATTCTTACTATATTGTGTCTATCTGCCTATACTATAAGTATAAATACGCTTTAAACCTAAAATAATATAAAGGTATTTAGCACCTATAGTGTGGCATGTTAAGCGTTCCAGCACGTCGGTAATTAACTGTTATGAATCGACTACTCGAAAACGTGGACAATAGAACCTGTAACTACACTAGTTATGCAAGGTCAGCATTCGCCGGTTTAGGAATCGCGGCGCCCGTACCCCATTGACAAAGCTTTGCAACACCACTTGCTGGTGGAAGAGCTGACAAATGCATAAACTGTGCCAGGAGGTTACCGTCCGTTTAACAATTCAGCTAGGCATCATTGTATGCGTTTAAGTAGGTAGATGTGTTGATAAGTAGATATGCCATCCATATCACCCTTCTCTCTACTATTCTCCTGCTTCAAGTCTCCCGACTCCAACACAAACCAATCTACTAGCAAACAGATTTCCAACTTGTCCACTCCAACAAAGAAACTCTCCACTATGGCCGGAACCACGTATCTTGTCACGGGCGCCGCTCGAGGTTCTGTTCGCTTGCCTTTTTCAGCTACGACCTTCAACTGACCCAGCCTTTAGGCCTCGGAAAGGCATTGGTTGAAAACTACCTAGCCCGCCCAAACAACACTGTCATCGCTGTAGCACGCACCACCAGCTCAGCCGAACCACTCAAATCTCTCACAGTTGGAGAGGGCAGCAAGCTTATTGTCGTGGCCTTCGACAGCCGCGACACTGAAGGCCCGAAGAAGGCCGTCGAGGAACTCAAGAGCCAAGGTATCGACACCATCGACACCGTCATCGCCAATGCCGCTATCTCCACCGATTATGCTCCTGTTGCCTCAGTCTCGCTCGATGTCGTCAAACAGCACGTTGAAGTAAACGCCTACGGACCTCTCCTCCTCTTCCAAGCCGTGCTGTCTCTGCTCCAAAAGTCGTCCAACGCTAAGTTTGCCGCCATCGGAACTCCAATCGCCAGTATCTCCGGTATGGAGAGCCGTCCGTTCCCCGTGGCAGCCTATGGAATGTCCAAGGTCATGTTGAACTGGATGGTTCGCAAGGTGCACTTCGACCACCCGGACATCATCGCCTTCGTGCTTGACCCTGGTTTCGTGCAGACTGACATGGGTAACACGGCCGCAAGGACCTTCGGTATGGAGGAGGCCTACACTACTGTCGAGGACAGCACCAACTACCTCACATCCGTTGTAAGTACATCACTCGGTTGCTATGATGAGTTGACATTAACAATGCGTAGATCGACAAGGCCACAAAAGAAGAGACCTCGGGACACTTTGCGACGATTGAGGGCGGGGATTTCAAGTGGTGATCTGGTCATTTTTGTTTGACGGAGACTGTGTCTCTTCTAGCTAGCGAGCAAAAATAAAAATCATGCAAAACGACAATTCACACATCGCTCACATTCCAAACAGATCTTTGATATAGGTTGCCGCATTCTGCCAGCTCACCTGATCCTGCCCCTGTATTAATTCAGAAGTCCAGTCGCTGTCTAGCTCGGCAACATACTCTTGCTCTTACTTTCCTACCTTCAACTATAATCCCATTTATACATCCTTGGCCCTTCAATACCACAGTCCCTGCTGCCTTATCGTTCAATCGCGTCCCTGATCTGCATCAATCCTCGTTATGCTATGGAAGAACGCTTTATCTGCTGCCTGGAACGCCCAGTCCTCGCCGCCTACTGCTAGTTCTTGATACATGCTGTGCGATAGTGGGCATCGTTTCCATGAGTAAAAAGACGATTCGAAGAAGGCGTCTTAGTGTTGATATCGGTGTTGGTGTGTGGAAGTTAACGTGAATTTGTGAGGTGCGGCTGTGGGTGGATGGAGCCTGGAAGGAGAGCTTGTTGAGAGGATCTTTGTTGATAAAGGGAAATGGAGTAATGGCGTTCGGGATGGGACTTGGGTGGTGAGAAGAGGAGAGGTTGAGTTGGTAGTTGATGCGTGGTTCGGTGATGTGGAGCCGATCTACAACCAGTATGAATAACCCCAAATCATGGGATATGCATGTTAACTACGCTTTCCTCCTCTGCCTCCATTCCGTCCTTCAACACCAATCCCCCAATCTTCGCCTCCATCAAACCCACTCGCCTATCCTTAGTCTCAAGAATACTGTTCTCGACGCAACTTCAAGCCCAAGTTCGAACTCTTAAATTGTCCTGAAGCTGTAGATAAGAGACAAGTTATATTAGGGTCTCTAGAGTTACATTTCTATCTACCAGAAAGAAAGCTTTCTAATCCCTCCTCACACCAACTACTAACAAATCCGGAAAGTATGCTCCACCAATCCCGGCAACGACAAGCCCTCACCGTTCATCAAGCCATGGATATAACAACCCCCAACGAGCCGAGATGCCCCAGGTCTTTCGCAACTCTTCCGCAAGACAAAAGGCACGCGCCCACCCTTCATTATCACAACCGCATCGCCAACTTGCGCCAGGTTTGGCACAGTACCAACGAACCCTTGTCCGGTGATGACAAATCTCCATCCGAGTGGGGTGTCATGAAGTGCAGCTATATAGCTCGCACTCTGCTTCAAGTAGGATCTGGATGTCATGATCTTCACATAGGCATTCGAGTACCCACCGCGATTGATAAAACGACCTTGTTTGTCGAACAACTTTGCATCCTTGTCAAGGCCGATGTACTTTCGCAACGCCATATACGATGATTCCAAGCTGAGCTCCCCAGGGACTGCAACTCTTGGGTGCAAGAGGCCAGCAATCGGCACCTTCCACTTCAAGGCTTCGCGCGAATCCGGAACTCGACTCAGAACGGCAGTATCAACCATACAGCTCACTTCTTTGATATACAGAGCCAGGTCTTCCTCCGTGTTTGATGAGGAACTGATATTTTCAATAACGTCGACAGTGTAGCCTTCCACAAGTAATTCATCCGTATCAGGACAGGTTGCAACCACCGGTTGCTGAGGTCCAGAAGCTGCAAACGTGATGTCACCTTCGGAGAAGTCGTGAAGTCTATTCGGTTTTCGAATAGTCCAGTCCGGGATCCACGATGGAAATCGATGCGATCGGTTATTCAGACCCGCAAGGTAAAGTAGTTGCATGCCCCTCCCCTGGCGGACAAAAACGCGGGCAAATCTCAACAAAACCTCTTCAAGTGAGCTTTTGTAGTCTGGTTCGAAATCCGCCTCGTCGCCGTCACAAGCCAGTCCTAACAAGGCAAACAGGCGATCTCGACTAAGTGTCGATTCAGCAGATCGGAAATGCTCGAGTAGCATGAGAAGTGGCCAACGACGTTGCCTAGCCTCCCACTCGCGCTGTGCCGCCAACGATAAGAAAGATTCCCAGCTCGGTCTGAGAAGCGTCATATCAGTATCGGCGAGTTGAAACTGTCGGTCGACAATACCCATGGCATGATGAAGGTCGCTCCAATCAACAATCCATCTGCCGCACACAATCCTTACATTATGCGCCATGACAACTTCTTGGATAATCCAGACTCTGTGGAACCATGAAAGAGAAAACAGTGCTTTGACAGAATCCCATATATCGTCGTCGATTTGAGGGATGCATCTTTCGCTCCAGGATGCAGGTACTTTGGGTAAATAGTCCGGCCAACCCTCCTGGTCAGTCTCATTCTCTGAACTTTCCTGCGTGAACAAGGTTCGTCCTTCTGAGGCATTTTCATATCGCAAATGCGATTTGCTCTTTTGATGTGTACTGTTCGACTTAAATCTGCCGTGTCTCGACTGCTCTTCGGAAGCTGCTTTGACATGTATTTGCATCAACGTTTCAATGGCGATATCACTGTCTTGATCGCCATCGAGGAAAACGTATGTAAATGATGCGTTTTGGAAGATCTGCGGCATCAGACGAATTTGCTTCTCTTTCTCTCTATCATCAATCTGATTTATGCAGATAGCATCTACCCACAAGATCAGTGGCTGTGTTTTGGGTCGCAAACTTCGCAAGGCTTTGTCCAAAGACTGTGTGATTCGAAGCACACCATCTGGAGTCATTAGTTCATGAGTTCTCAGATCTGTACCCCAAACATAGGACAGAGCCCGGTATGGTGGGGGTGATACAGATGAGACGTGGAGGATGACGCCCTGCAAACTGTCGACGGATTCGCCAGGCAGCAGATGAACCAAGCGAATACCCTCAGGTTCCATAGCCTGGTAGGTGTATGCTCTTTCGTTTTGACAGCCACGCCGAGAATCAGAGTAGTTCTGAGGTTTCCCTAGAGCTTGTCTCACATCCCATGGTATGGATGGTGTGTACAGTTTACGTCTCTTTCTCATAGAGCCTGAGCCTGAATCCTGCAATGTGCCTGTAAGAATCCAATCATTCTCCAAAGTTAGATTTCCAGAATTGAATAGCCGCCATGGATTGATGAAAAGGTCAACAGACAATGTATCCATAGAATACACATCGCTTAGTCGAACCAAGATGGAGATATCAGTGCTTGTTCCAGTAGTGTGATCACACATAGTGAGGTGTCGCATCTAAGTATTGGAGATCAGTAGATATGCGAGATGCGAGTATGATCCTGTGCTTACTCGTTCAACCTGCGATGAGGTGATAACGAAGGGGGAAGCTTTGCTCCCTGTGTTGACGATCACATCTACGTGGTAGACCGGTGAGCTAGCCAATAGCTTCTCTCTCCATTTTGAATCCGACGACTGTCCGAATTTGGTAAGAAAGGATGTCATTGCCTCCACAACTTTCGAGTCGCTCATGGTGAAGGCTGCGCATGCGTTTGAGCTTTCCAATGGTTTGTGACCAGACCTACTGCGGAACTCGCTAGTCCAGTCCCTTACTGGATGGTAGGCATCTCCTAGGTAGGCCTGAAAGGCTTTGGAAACCTATAACTCTAAGACGATGCACTTGGTGGGAAAGGATCTTGACATACCATGTGCTCACCCAGATGTTGAGTGTGCTCCCATCCTCTTGTTCGAGTAGGAACGCGTTGTATTTTCTCGAAGTTCGACCAGTCTAGTTGCATGAATTCCTTCATGGGCAAGCGTCGATCATCTTCAAAGTCATGATCTCTCCGTTTACTTTCAAAATGATCGTGTCTTAGTGCATCTGGCAGACCTGAACCATACCCACGTCTGCTGGTCATGGCCCCCAAAAACGGAGAAGGGATACGTAACAAATCTCCTTGTTGGGCTCGGTACTGATTTTGCGACTTATCTTAATATTTATATTAGCATTGATGTCTTCTAGACGCAAATGATTCATGCTTACTGGATACTAACCCTGCAACATGGACCCCATCTTGAACAAAGGCAGAGGAGATAGTTTGCATACTCGAACTGAGTAGAACTGTGGTTAGCAATGAGCGGTGGCTGGCAGTTTTGATTTCGAATGCATCTGCCAAAAGAGCCACGAGCTCATACGGTAAGGTTTCAGCTGCTGCACAATCTTCTGCCAGAAATATGTCAAGTCGATTCGCTGTGTTAGACAAAGTCAATTGGCCATCAACAGAATGGCCTTCGATGTCAGTTCCGTCATTACTAAACACAAAAGTCTTAGCTATACGCAACACTACACTCACTCGTAGATTATCGATTTGTTGCACGGCAGATCCTCTATCGCAGTGCGAGTGCGGTATCAGTCTATGAAGGATGAGAGTTAGCTGGTGCAAATATCGCCTTAGAAGGGACACGGCAATGGCAAATACAGAATATGCCCATTTCTTTCTTGACCATTGATGAAGGAAGAGGATTTGTCGATGGGGTGCGATGTTCAAAGGAAAGTTCTTCCTTACGCTTTGATGAAAGAGCTTTTGGCCTGAAGAGACCTTGACCAGGCGCAATGTGTCGTTGCTTTCCCTACCGGACGCGTCCGGTTTGTCGTGAGTTTGGAGAGAAGACGACTGTCAAGTCTTAAAACACGAAGCAGATCTTCCAATGCATGTATGTCCTCCGTTGGCAAAGCGACAAGTGGTATCTTGCCGTGAAAACTCTTCCACAAGATTGGGCGGTCGGCTATAAACCACGATGTGTCGTGCATACTCACTAGCATGTCATATGTGCGTTCCCCTGGGCCGTTGGTAATTGGGAAAATTGAGAGGTTTTGTAGAGGCTGGACCAGCTGAGCTGCCTGTGTAGTATTAACAGCCTGTAGCGCCTTGCTGATATCACGGAACAAGCGGGAGATATCTTCCAGTCTGCTCGAATGATCAATCAAGGTCGCTGTCGCAACAATAGATGCAATTGGGTCCCCTGAGGGAGACCTCAGGCACCGAAAGAGAAGAGAACAGCTGGGATAGTCTCCTTCAACAATGATGTTCTTCTCCAAGCAGTCTTTCATGTTCGTCCAGACCACAGGCTCATGCGCTCTTGATGAATTCACGTGAGTCAAAACAATGTTTCTCTCATGGAACGCCGCGCTGATTCTTCTCAGTATCTCTGAAGTTCCAGACAGAACACGATACATACCTGATGAGCTCCTCGTTCCCTTTATACAAGGTCTGAATTTTCTCATAAATGTAGGTGACACTATCAACATCTGGATGATGTTCATCTGAGATCGCGATCAAACAGCGTAGATAGTAATGTATATCCGCTTCTATGACGACACCAAAGAGAGCTAATAGTCTCCAATCGGTATGCTTTGGATCAGTGATACTCACTGTTGGTATGCGGCACTGTTCGTCAAGTTGAGGGTCGATCGATGGAAGAACTGTCCTTTGTAAAGGCGTTGCGCCTTTTGCGCTTTGAACTAAGCAAGATCCCATCTCGTTTCTCAATTGGATACTTGAGCCAACGAACTCAGGATCCTGCCATACCATGTGTACTCCGTCAATCCATTGAGAATAATGGTGCCAGTTATCTCGCAGAACTTGGAGGACGTCGGATGACTGGCATTCGCGGAACATGAAACTGAACTCATTAGACAAAGTGAATATTTGTTTGGCGTTGCCAGTCGGTACTGCCGTATCGACCGTAGCCAAAGCCTCTTTGGCGCCATTACTCTCGATCGATACGGAAGATGTTGGATACCGCAGCTGCGTTGAATTTTGCTCAAGTTTATCTTGGCCCTCTTCAAAAATTGGTAGACTCCCCTGGTTTTGTTGCTCTATCAGCATCATTTGCCTTTGATAATCCGCCATTTGCCTTTGCCAATCCAGCAATACGGGATGCATTTCAACTAGAGGTTGGACATCAGGAACGGAGTATTGTGGGACAATCGGGTAGGGTTTCTGTCCTAAGAAGTCTTCACCATCCGCTTGAGACTGAGGGGCTGGGCCCGATGTATCCTGTGCCATCTCTGTACGCCCTTCGTGTGCTGCCTGTCCCGTGCTTTCGAGCAATTCCAATTGAATATCTGCGGTCTGCACGGGCTGCGGTTTCGGTTCCACGAGCGGCATGACCAGGCGGGGAACCATGGATAGGCCAAGATTATTGACAAGCCAAAGGGGCCATTCCACATCCGACAGGCAACATTTGCGATAGTCATCATGCATGACTGCAAACTGCGTTTGAAGTTTGGCGAAGATCCTGGAAGCCGGTGAGTCTGTTCCAATGGATGCGTTGATGTACAGCTCTCGTCCTACGCACCGCTCGTTTTGCATTGTGGCGAACCATATTTCCGTGTTCTTAGGTGGTTGCCAAGATGCTTTGTATAGAAATACAGCGTGAGAGATCAGTTGATCCACAGTCAATCTTTTGGCGTCAAAGTCCGGCGACTCGTGTACTTGTAGGATCAAACGACATATTTCGGGTGCCTCCCAAGCCTTAACGCCTAGGCTCACGAAAAGCCTACGTCTAATGGAATCACTCTCTGCCGACGAGTCGACTATGAGCACCTCGATTCCATTCGGGATTTCCAGAGACGATTCGCCTTTGGAAAAGAACATGGACTGCCCGCTAGCTGAAGTCCAGGAACCGTCGTTCAGTGGTATGAGACATATGCCCTGAATGACAGATAGAAGTTCAGCATCGGCCGCAAGTTTGACGAGGGTTTCTGCGAGCTGCGAATGCCATGTAGCTGATCTCGTACGAAAAGTCTGCGGATCCTGTGTGATGTTTGACTTGAGATCTGCCAAGAATTCCTGGGGAGTAAGATGAGATACCCCGATCAGTCCGACCCCCTCAATAGCCCACGAAGGGTACTTTGATGACAAATATCCGGTCGCTGTGTGTTCACTGAGGGTGAACGGATTGCCTTCTTCGTCCACGAACGAATCTATGGGCACATATTTCAGACGGGACGCCTTTTCCATGGTTCCCGCACTAGATTCTAATACAGGAAGATCTTTGAGTTGCTCCAATATCGATTCAATCGCCGGATCAAAGAAGGACACTGTATTGGTCGGAGGATTTGGGAGATACCAGGGCCAGACATACTTCATGTCCCCTTTGTTGAACTGATGAACGGAGATAAGAAACGCTTCTGCTACAGCATCCCGAATTGTGCGATTCCATAGCAGAGTGCTTTCGATATCCTCTCGACTGGCAGTAAGCAGAAAATCTCCTTGCAAAAGGAACTAGTCGAGAATCAAGTCAGGAACAAGCTGACCAGCAAGGAGTGTTTTCTTACCTTCAAGCCATATTTTCGGATCGGGAGAAATGCGTAAACATTTTGAGGAACAAGCTGAGGTTGGCTGAGGGTTTCGGTCATAGGAAACCCCAGTACTATCTTTGTTGAGTGCCAATTCGGACGCTTCAACTCGTTGGGAAGATTTTCGATGATGTGACTCCTGATCAGGTATCGAAAAGTACTTCCTCCTGCATGCAAAACAGTAATGCGATGCCCTTCTTGCTGACTTTCGACTTTCCAGAACTTCTGTTCCCAGACTGCATTGTTTCGGTCGGCCACCCGGACATCAACCTCCTTGATACGTCTGAGAAATATAAGCAGGTTAGCATCGAAAGTAAGAAGCTCATGAATGAGTGTTTCTTCCTCGTAGGCTTTTGAAAGTTCGAGGTAGATCGAAGTCCATCCAGGCCGAGCAGGTTCGGGAAATTCAGCCCAGATGGGCGCAACCATGCCGAGAAACTTAGTCTTGTCGAATTTGAATGTGAAATCGCAGGATGATATCCACACTGTATCTGCAGCTTTGAACACAGACTTGAATCCAATACCTTTCTCGCCAATATACTCCCCGTCGGTTGCCTTGTCAAACTCTGTGCTTCGACTGATGGCACAAATCGCTTCGACGTTTTCTGCTGTGAAGCCGACCTCATTGCAATCAATACGAAGAAAGCCGGGTTTGTAGGAGAAGCTCAATGTTGGAGTTGTAGTGGCATAGGTATTATCGTCCGCATTTTGTATAATTTCTAGCAAGAAATGCGTCGATCGCTCGTAAAGCTGACCTGATAGACTAGGAGACAATATCAGACGGGAATAAACTATATGTAGTTGATTGAAGTTACTTTTCGAGACAGCTGCTCACTAGCGATTCGAATCGTTTCCCAATGATGGCTGCGTTCAGAGTGTACTCGCGGTTAATCCTCTCGATGAGACATCGTGCCTCGCTTTGCATAGCCATCGCTATTTAGGGCCGGCAAAAGACAGTCACGTCTGAATCAGTTCTGGACAAGGCTGAGAGGCTGCAATCGTGATGCTAACGTTAGCAGGGGACTGGCATGCCGCGGGCGACTTGGTGTATAACTGCGAAAAGTAACGTAGTGAAAACGTATAGCTCTTCGAGCGCAAGACCGTTGTGAAAGTAGAAGTGGACGTGCATGCTGCGCCCCAGGCAGCAGTCTCAATTAGGCAGGATCGCACGGCCTGGCCTTGGTATTGAGTAGGCAGTCCATATGCGACAACAGGAAACAAGGAATCGAAGATTGCAGGAACAAGAAAAAAACGCAGACAGCAGCGACACATAGTAGATTAAGGGTTGACAACCAACAGACTTTGCATTCGGGTTGTGCCTCAAGCCAATACCATTTTTGGATACTCATAGTCTATCTATCTCTCCCCAATCTTTCTTCGTAATCGTCCACTAGCTCATATGCTGGCCGGAACTTTGGTTTCTGTATCCCCTTGGCAGTTCCGTTTGTTTCCCCTACTTGTGGTGCCTGGTTCGACGATGGCTGGCGAGCGAGGACAGGATTTGGATGAGTGTCGGTAGTCCCGCCTAGAGACGTGTATCCCTGGTCGTAGAGGGGGCAATAAGGTATGTTGAGGTATCGTATGAACTGTTTGTGTCTGTCAGTTGGGTCGGACGGCTAGATGACCGCTTGTGATGCTTACCGTCCAAATGTCTACGTAGTGCCAGTCTATGACGGGATGTACACGAACAAATTTAGGCCAGCCCGAGTCTGTGGGATCAAAGTGTTTCAAGTGCTCTCCATGCGGATCTGTCCGCCGCGTCCCCACTAGTATCGCTTTTACTGATGGTGTGTCGCGCAGGTAGTCTGCAAATGCAGCCTTCATAGGCTTTGCGTATTCTAAAAGAGCCAAGGAATATATCTTTATGCTTGTGATGACAAAGGCCTCAACTTCAGCAAAGGGGTGTGAATCTTGGATGTAGACACATTGTATGGCGGTTTCAATGTTGGACGATGGGGTCGGAGCACTTGTTAGCCCACGCTTGTGTAGGGCGCAGAGGTACAGTATCAAGAGGACAAGGCAATCTTTTCCTCCATTGTAAGCCAGAGAGAGCTCTGGTAGACTGAGTACTTGTCAGCCCTCGGATCGTCCCAGGACTCGTCCCGTAGGCAACCACCCACCTATATTGCCCCAGTGCCTCGTCTATGACGCCCAACGCGATGCGCGTCTGCTCCTGTACACTCTTCACGCGGTCCGACACATCCGTCTTCTCCAGAAACGCGGCTATCCGATCATGTATCCTGGCGCATTGCTCGGGGAACGGTAGCGGGGTATCGGTGACGAGGGGCTCTGGGAATCCGAAGGCTGTATTCATTGCAAGGAGTGCGTCAGACGCGACATCAAATGCAGGCGGCTGCGATTACGGAGGCTATGTCTTTACTACTGGTCCGTTCGGGAAACACGTCAAGGCATGCTGCGTGTGTTCGTGTCTGACAGACGCCCAAGGTAGACGCTCGGTTCACCTCTAATCGATATCGGCCCCTCGGTGCATGTCTTTGCGGCGAGGCGCGTGCGACTTCGCAGCAGCCACTCAGACGTCGCAGAGTAAGCCAACGAAAAGGGCATCCCAAACGCCTCCAGGGCACGCCAAAAGGGTCTACAATCCCATAACCAGCAATTGTCAATGGGCAAATTTAGATGGTCTGATTACATGATGACACGACCCGACATCTATGACAAAATGATTAGCCGCGACTGGACCATTTCGCCATCGGACCTCTTGATCTTTCGACTAGACCCTGACTAGTGAGCACGCAATACTGGGGTCACTTTCTACGAGAAAATTGTACAATTGCCGCCGCTGTTAATAAGGTCTCGTCGCTCTGTCGCCGATGACCCGAAACATTACTTGACCTCTCCCTCCCCAGAGGCAACTCTTTACTCTCCCCAGACAATTAATTCGCAGTCACCATGGGGTCCATTACGACTGCTGGAGAGGCTGGTACGTTCCCCTCGGCTTACCACTCATCACCCCGCCACCACCCCTCCATATCAATGCTCGAACATCGAGGGGCCATGAGGCAAATACAAATGGAGATGCTAACTTGTGTGTTTTACAGTGGCCCGAATCGCCCATTTGGCCTCCGATGTGGTTGTGTCCGTCGTTCCTTCCCTCGCCACGGAGTCTGAGTTCTCAGAGGCTCTGCGCACACTCCAGAAAGACAATGCGCCTAGCGTTGTCGCAAAGGAGCGAGTAGAGGTATGTGCAGAATGCTGTTGAAGTACTGAGGAGCCGCCTCTGACAAAATCCCTTCAGGTACTTGCAGTCCGCCAGAACGCGGACCCCCTCCTCTCAGTCTTCCAGCCCATCCGCGCGGGCAAGCTCACCAGCGTGACGACCACGTCCTCGATCCTCGTCAAGTCGATACCCCACCTCTACAAACTCGCACAGTACCCTGTCGTCCTTCACGTGTCGGTACAGCCCGCCGGCTTCCCAGACTTTTCCGACATCACGTCCATCAGGCAGTCTGGCTTTACATTCATTCAGTCCGAGACCCTGCAGGAGGCGCAGGATCTCGCCTTGACTGCACATGCTCTGGCCATCAAGTCGGGCAAGGGTGTTATCCACTTCTTCGACTCTGGGGCATCTGCTTTCAAGAAGGCCATCGAGCAGGAGGATGTGGAATTGGTTCGCAACGTCCTGGACTCGGACGCTGTGGCAACTTTCCACAACACCACATCAGGAGAGACGACTCTGTATGCAGACGATGGCAGGAGCGCCACCTTGTCATTCGCTCGCAGCCAGGCTTTGAACGCCGACAGTGCCTCGGCCGCTCCTACGAGCTCCTCGGAGCCAGCAAAGTCACAACCGGCATCGGAGAGGAACAGCCAGCGAGCAGATTCCTCTGCTGGTTCATCACAGCGTGACACCAGCACCAGTGGTGCGTCTGTGTCTTCGGCGACTACGGTGGATTCATTAGTCTCCAAGCCTGTTTCGTCCGAGGACATCTATCGGTTCGCCACACAGATCTGGGCGACGATCAAGGACGTCACTGGCCGAGAATACGATGCATTCGCCTACACCGGTACGGGCAAGGAGGAAGCTGCCATCTTTTTGTTTGGTGCTGATACGGGTCTCTTCGCCACCGAGCTCGACACTGTGGATGAATCAGAGACGTACGCCAATACCGCTATCATCACAGCCAGGCTATACCGACCATGGTTGGGCGCCTCACTCGCCCCGTTGCTCCCTCAGTCACTCAAGAAGATTGCTGTCCTCGAGCAAGTTCGTCGCAAGACGACCAAATGGGGACCTGTGCTTCTAGATCTGTTGATGTCGTTGAAGTCGAGTGGAAGCTCTCCTATGGTTGTTGGTTATCAACTCGGCTATATTACCGAGAAGACTGTACAACAGGCGCTGCGAGGAGTATTCCAGAACCTTACAAGCGAAACGCCTGTTCAGAACCTACAGGTTGGCAACCTTGATGGACCGGAGCCCCAGCCCACGAAGCTTGAGCAACCCACATTGGAGAATGCTTACACCAAGATCCTAGATCAGGTATTTGGTGACAAACTTCACATCGCCAACCAGCTTGGCTCGGATAACGCTGGCGTCTCCAATGACATTGCTTCAAGCCCAGAATATGGGTTTGGATCTCTCGTGGCCCGAAAGGAACACCGAAAGCGATTCATCGATGAAGCTGCCGACGCATCGAAGAGCAACGACTTCACCACAAAGGCGCCTCAGGAATGGCTCTCCAAGTGGGCACTGAGTGCGAACGACACAGACAAGGCAAACGAACTTGCACCTGACGTCATCGCACGTTTGAGCAACGATGGTTCCGCTGCTGCCACTCAGCTATTGTCCTCGAAGAAGCTGTTCTACAAAGAGTCACCATGGCTGGTTGGATCGGATGCTTGGGCCTACGACCTCGGAAACTCTGGTGTCCATCATGTGCTGGCTTCTGGCGAGAATGTCAACATGTTGATTGTCGATTCCACACCCTACTCGGAACGTGCCGCAGCCGACGCTGCCAGGCGGAAGAAGGACATTGGTCTTTACGCCATGAACTTCGGTAATGCATATGTGGCCTCTGTTGCCGTATACAGCTCCTACACTCAGGTTCTAGAAGCCATGATCGAGGCCGACAAGTTCGACGGCCCTTCCATCGTCCTTGCTTACTTGCCCTACGAGAAGGAGAGCGATTCGCCTTTGGCTGTCCTGCAAGAGACAAAGAAGGCTGTTGACCTTGGTTACTGGCCGCTCTACCGCTGGGACCCCAAGGCCGAGGAGAAGAGCGAGGCGAACTTCAAGCTTGATTCCCCAAGGATCAAGAAGGAGTTAGAAGAGTTCCTTGCTCGCGACAACTACTTGTCTCAGGTCATGAAGAGGCATCCTGAGTTCTCTTCAAATCTTTCGGGATCTTACGGAACCGAGGTCAGGCAATTGCAGAAGCGAAAGGCCAAGGATGCGTACAGCAAGCTTCTTGAAGGCCTTCAAGGTGATCCTGTGACAATCCTGTTTGCTTCTGACAACGGAAACGCGGAGACCCTCGCGAAGCGTCTGGGCAACCGAGGCAAGGCAAGAGGTTTGAAGACTATTGTCATGGCTATGGATGATTTCCCCATGGAGGACCTGCCCAACGAGCAGAACGTTGTCCTGTTCAGCAGTGTGGCCGGTCAGGGAGAGTTCCCTCAGAACGGCAGGACATTCTGGGAAACCGTCAAGGATTCGACTGACCTGGATCTGGCGACAGTCAACTTCGCGGTCTTCGGTCTTGGCGACAGCCACTACTGGCCCCGTAAGGAAGACAAGATCTACTACAACAAGCCCGCCAAGGATCTTCATGCGCGACTCCTTACCCTTGGAGGCAAGCCTTTGGTAGAATGTGGTCTTGGAGACGATCAAGACCCAGATGCTTATCAGACGGCCTATGGCGAGTGGGAACCAGAGCTCTGGCAAAAGCTCGGTGTTGCCAACGTTGAGGGTCTACCTGAGGAGCCAGCACCGATTACGAACGAGGATATGAAGGCTGCCTCGAACTTCCTCCGTGGTACCATTGAGGAAGGCTTGGCTGATGTTTCGACTGGTGCTATCTCAGCGAGTGACCAGCAGCTCACCAAGTTTCACGGCACATACATGCAAGACGACCGCGATCTCCGTGACGAGCGTAAGGCGCAGGGTCTCGAGCCAGCATACTCCTTCATGATTCGATGCCGACTGGCGGGAGGTATCGCCACCCCCCAGCAATGGCTACAGATGGACGAAATCAGCACCAAGCTCGGTAACGAGACCATGAAGTTGACGACCCGACAAACGTTCCAGTTCCACGGCATCGTCAAGGGCAAGCTCAAGCCAGCAATGCAAGCTATCAACAAGTCCTTGATGACTACCATCGCTGCTTGCGGTGACGTCAACCGAAACGTCATGTGCAGTTCTCTCCCGACGCAATCCAAGTACCATGCGCAGGTTCACGCCGTGTCCCAGAAAATCAGTGACCACCTGCTACCTTCGACAACTGCTTATCACGAGATTTGGCTCGAGGATGATGAGACGAAGGAGAAGCGAAAGGTGTCCGGTGAGGCCCTACAGGACCACGAGCCCTTGTACGGCCCTCTCTACCTTCCCCGCAAGTTCAAGATTACCATCGCCATCCCACCACACAACGACACCGATGTCTACGCTCACGACATTGGTCTGATCGCCATCAAGGGTGCCGACGGCAATCTTGAGGGCTTCAACCTCCTTGCCGGTGGCGGTATGGGTGTGACGCACAACAACAAGAAGACCTACCCGCGAACTGGATCTATGTTCGGCTACGTACCTGCTGAAGATGTTCACATTGCGTGCGAGAAGATCATGCTTGTGCAACGTGACCACGGTGACCGCAAGAACAGGAAGCATGCTCGTCTAAAGTACACTATTGACGACATGGGTGTCGATGTGTTCCGTGGCAAGGTCGAAGAGCTTTGGGGCCAGCGATTTGCCGACCCCAAGTCGTTCAAGTTCGACAGCAACGTTGACACGTTCGGCTGGCAGAAGGATGAGGACGGTCTCAACCACTTCACCTTGTTCATCGAGAACGGCCGTATCGAGGATACAGCTGAGTTCCCAATGAAGACTGGTCTCATCGAAGTAGCCAAAGCGCACAAGGGCGAGTTCAGATTGACTGGCAATCAACACTTGATCCTCTCCAATGTTGCGGATGAGGACTTGCCTGCAATGAAGGAGCTCCTGAAGAAGTGGAAGCTCGATAACGTCAACTTCTCTGGTATGAGGTTGTCCAGCTCTGCCTGCGTTGCCTTCCCCACCTGCGGTCTGGCCATGGCCGAGTCCGAACGTTACCTCCCTGTCCTCATCTCCAAACTCGAATCCACACTCGAGGAATCTGGTCTGCGACAAGACAGTATCGTCATGCGTATGACGGGTTGCCCTAACGGATGCGCTCGGCCTTGGCTTGCCGAGGTTGCCTTCGTTGGCAAGGCATACGGCGCGTATAACATGTACCTTGGTGGAGGCTACCACGGCCAACGGTTGAACAAGCTCTACAGGAGTTCCATCAAGGAAGAGGAAATTCTGGAGATTATGCGTCCGATGATCAAGCAATATGCCAAGGAGAGGAATGATGGCGAGCACTTTGGCGATTTCGTCATCAGGAAGGGCTACATCAACGAGACAACGCATGGCATGAACTTCCACGAGAACGTAAGTACTAACACATCCGATAATGTTTAAAGTTTGGTTGCTAACGGATCTTGCAGACTGGGGAAGAGGAGTCTGATGGCGAATAGATGTTGGGCGAAGACATGTGGAGAAATGACTGATGTGCTCATGAGATCGTGTTGGGTTCCTTGTACGGCGTTTCCGGACATTTGACGGCGTTGTTGGAAAATAGGAGCATCCCGGTTTAGTAGATATTCCTTTCCATCGTATTGTAGCAGGAGCAATCCATGTTTATTTCAGTTCAAGCTTTTTGTCGTCTAGTGCTACGCGGGATTTGATCACATGTCGGTGTAGTACAATACCCTACTAAATGCTGTATATGCCTATCCATAGTGACATTTCCCAATATTGCGCGTAAACGATCATGTTTACGGGCTCAACCTCTCCACCTTCCACTCCTCTCCCTCCCCCTTCGTATACCGCAACCTATCATGCAAACGACTCGGCCTACCCTGCCAAAACTCCACAACCTCAGGCACAACCCTCAGCCCACCCCAAAACTCAGGCACGGGGATCTCCTCCTTGCCGTCGAACCGCTTCTCCACATCCTCCACCCGCTTCTCCAGCTCCTCCCGCCCCTGCAGCACCTTGCTCTGCTCGCTAGCCCACGCGCCCAAGCGACTCCCCCGAATGCGCGTGTCATAGTAAACCTGGCTCTCCTCGCTCGTGAGGCGTTCCGTGGGCCCCTCAACACGGACCTGGCGCTCCATCTCGTGCCACCAAAAGGTAAGCGCCGCATAGGGGTTCGAGCGCGTGTCTTCCGCTTTGCGCGACGTGGCCCAGTTCGAGTAGATGACAAAGCCGCGGGCGTCGAGCTCCTTCATGTAGACCATGCGCGCTGAGACCTTTCCTGACGGCAGCGAGGCTGTGGACAAGGTTACCGTTTCGGGCTGGTAGACTGAGTTCGCTTGCGCTTCGGCGAACCAGGCGTGGAATTGGTCTGTGGGTGAGGGGAGGAGGTCGCTGTGGGAAAGGGCGCCTTTGGTGTATTGCGTTGCGTGGCCCGGGTCGGAGGAATTGCTTGTTGGGGCAAAGATTTTCTTGGCGGTGTGCAGCATTTTGAGGGAGTGAAGTTGGGTGCGTTGATAGATGGGTGTTGGTGGTGGTGGTGGTGGAGATGGCAAAACGAATTTGTTTAGGACTGGCCTGATGTGGCGGAGATGGGAAGAGGCTTTTGGTGTCAACATCAGCGTTTTAATGACTAGATCCTCTGGGTACAAACTTTTGCTGGATAAATCTGTATGGCTTCAGCAATCGTTCCAATCGCAATTAGACCTTCCATAACTTACTGATACTACGCAACCCAATGTGTAGAGTCCCTGTCCTGTTCAGATGTACGCAGTGTAGTTTTTTGTGCTTGGTTGTAATCTTGTCCACACTCGTAGAGTGGTGTGATTTAATCGACGTGTGGAGAGCAAGTCTTCACGATCGTGAGAAGGTGGGGTGACGTACTAGCGCGTGTCTACGTTGTGACATCGAGTCTTCTAGCTAAGAACACACAAAGCGCTGCACTCTCATCATGGATTCTGGCTCAAATTCGTACCAGTATAATCTAGGCTCTTTTCATCGTAAAGTCACGACCTCGAATGCAAGTGCGCAGTCGTGGTTTAACCGTGGTCTGATATGGAGCTATGCGTTTCATCATGAAGAGTCAGCTCGATGTTTCGAGCGGGCAATCGAAGCAGACCCACATTGCGCAATGGCTTACTGGGGAGTGAGTGTCCGTTTTGAGGACTTTGTGAAACTGGCAACTGATGGATGTAGCTTGCCTTTGCTCTCGGACCAAACTACAATAAGCCTTGGGACCTTTTCGACGAGAACGAATTGAAAGCAACCTTGGAGAATATCACTGCCGCGAATGCGAAAGCAAAAGAGACAGCATCTGGGTCGACGGAGCTGGAGAAGGCTCTCATCGATGCAATACAGATTCGTGTGCCTAAGGGACTGGATGAGGTCGCATTTCGGACATGTAACGAGGCCTATGCGGAGGCCATGAAACGTGTTTACGGGAAGTTCCCGGAAGACCTTGATGTCACATCTCTCTATGCCGACTCAATCATGAACTTGTCAGCATGGGATCTTTGGGACTTGAAAACAGGTGAACCAACCCCTGGAGCCCGGTCGTTGGAAGCCAAAGCGATTCTAGAGAAAGCACTCAAACAGGAAGGCGTGTACAAACACCCAAGTATCCTCCACCTGTACATCCATCTCATGGAAATGTCGAAGACGCCAGAGGTGGCATTGATCGCCGCAGACCACCTTCGGAGCTTGATTCCCGACGCAGGCCATCTGGTACACATGCCGTCGCACCTCGACATCCTTGTAGGCGACTATAGACGTGCTATTGCTTCCAATGCGGATGCGTGTCTAGCGGACGAGAAATACCTTGGCGAACACGGAGGCGACAACTTCTACTCTTTCTACCGCATGCATGACTACCACTCGTTGATCTACGCCGCTATGTTTGCAGGTCAGTCGAAGGTCGCTTTGGAGGCAGTGGACCGTATGGAAGCATCACTTCCGGAATCACTTCTTCGGATTGAGAGTCCACCTATGGCCGACTGGTTAGAAAGCTTCGCATCAGTACGAGTTCATGTCTTGGTTCGTTTCGGTCGCTGGAAAGATATAATTGCTCTCGATATGCCAGATGACAAAGATTTATACAGTGTTACAACCGCGATGTATCACTATGGGAAAGGAGTTGCATACGCAGCTACTGGGGATACCAATAATGCACAGATACAACGCGACTCATTAAGCGAGGCGGTCAGTCGCATCCCATCATCCCGAATATGCGGCGACTTCCCCAACCGGTCAAACGTCGTGCTTAAAGTTGGCCTTGCAATGCTAGACGGCGAGCTGGAATATCGCAAGGGCAACTTCGATCTTGCCTTCAAGCACCTAGAAACTGCAATTGAACGAGACGACGCACTCACGTATGCGGAACCATGGCCCTGGATGCAGCCCACCCGACATGCATATGCTGCTCTGCTGATGGAGCAAGGTCGCGTGGAGGATGCCGCAGCTGCTCACAGGGCGGATCTGGGATTCGACAACACTCTGCCAAGGGCAAGACAGCATCCTAATAATGTCTGGGCTCTGCATGGCTATCACGAATGTTTAACCAAGCTTGGCAAAAAAGATGAGGCGGATATAGTAGATCAGCAGCTGAGACTGGCTCAAGCCGTAGCCGATGTTGACGTTAAGGCGAGCTGTTATTGTCGAGGCACCGGAAGCTTGACCTGCACGTAACTTCTGTGGCCCTGGCTGATCCATGTCAACCCTAATTGCGTATGCTCACGCAATGCAGGGACACCTGGTCCCTGCTTGTTCACGCGGTAGGAGCGTGCCGATAGCAATTTATGGAAGAATAATTTGACAGATTCTGACAGATCTCCACACCTTCAGCCTTCTTTCCAATCTTTCCTATTATCGACCTTTACTAGCTCCAAGATATCTACATGACACAACCAGGCACTCTTTATCTCTAGTATTCCATCCTACCTTCGGCGCACTCCGTGGATTGCAGTCATGCCAATCAGTAATAGGTTGTTTCAGGTAGGTACTTCAAATCAGCACTAGAAACGAAAATGGAACATGTCGGGTTTGGTTGTTTGGTTTCTGCTTGGTATTGCGAGCTCGCGTAAACTTTTATGGCTCCAGGAGGCCTAATCCATGTGCTCAGAAAAAATACCGTCCACCAATCAGTGAGCGACATTCCAGGATGAATGAAGACTGATAGGTCAGATCGGCAGGCACGTAGGATCGCTGGCCTTTCCCTGTTTGTTCTTAGCCTGTTAAACCAACATCTACCCTAGTCTCCCCTTCGCTGTTGATAATGTGGTTGCGGCGTCTATGAGCGGCTGAAGTAAGCAGTGACATTCACGGTTACATCTATCCCGTCTCGGCCCGGGAAGGCCCTCCACACGCGAGACTGAAACCCTGGGAACACAGGTAATCCAATCGTCTTCCCTCAGCCGTGCGCATCTTTTTTTTAACTCTACACTACTACCACCTAGTTCCTCGCCGACGTCGGATGGCGGACTTCCAGCTTGGTAAATGACTCTTTCGCGATTGCGACTTGTCTAAACTAGTGGTATTCTGCCAGATGGTGGCGGTGCTAGCCACAACAAGTAGAACTCACTGTGGATCGGAAGTCGTTCCATCCTTAGCGGATACGACCCGTAAAATGCATGCGCATCATTTGCCGGTGTCGACCGCCCTACGCCCATTGTGGCAAATGCCGCGAAACACCGGTCTCAAGACTGGAATAGTCCTGTCGCCGAAGATTTAGACAAACAGACACAAAGAAGCGTTCAACCCACGGGGAAGACCCTCATCTCCAGGTGTTCTACGGGTACAGAACATGTAGCTACGGATTTACTCGGGCCTGGCATACTGTAGTAATGACATTGCGATCTACTTGACTCTACTTAGTCGCTGGCGCGTGAACACGAAGATCATCCGTCACTAGGCGAGTAAGTAGTCCACGACCACGTTCTCAGCTCTGAATCGTCCACTCCTACGAGGCCGGGAGACGACCCTGCTCCCCTGGTCCCAGCCCGGTCATGAATCCTTTGTATGCTTCGCTTCGGACGTGCCAGCCGTGTTGCCATCCCTGATGCACGCAGGTTCATGTCGAGTCGAGGGCTCTTCAGCCCTCGGGTCTTAATACCCAGAGTGACCTGCCCCTCGGTGACACCCGAGACTTTGGGACTAACGGTGATATATTCTCGCCGCAACCGTCTGGTGTTTGCAGAAACTTTGGGTGTCCCTCAAGTTTTACGTCAACATTGCCTAATATGGTTGAAAATCGTGGCCCGGAGCTTCAGGTTGTACGTCTAAGATCGTATAGAGTGGATATTCGAGAATAGTTCACTGACTGAAACAGGTGGTGTCAACCTTCGTCGCAGTAGCCTTCATCGCAGTTGTCCTCCGCGTCTATGTTAGACTGTTTCTCGTAAAAGCTTTCGGATGGGATGACTCGTGGATGGTGGCCGCGCTACTCGCACAAATAATGTTTGCAGCAGCTGCTTTAGGCGGCGTACATTATGGTAAACAAGCATTGTATACATGGGAAGTTTGACATGCTGACAGTCGAACAGGAACTGGCCGCCATATGGCCGACCTCACTGCTGAGAATGCCATGAAAGCAATGCGGGTGAGTGGACAAAGACAACAACGAGATCATGAACAACTTCTAACAGACCACAGTATTGGTGGATCTGTTACATAGGCTACTGTCTATCTATGATCGCCGCCAAAATATCCATTGGCCTGTTCCTCCTTCGCGTCACGGTCAGCAAGATACATCGCTGGATCATCTTCATCGCCATGGGGTTATCCGTCCTCACCGGTCTCACCTTCTTCTTCGTAACACTCTTTCAATGCTCGCCAATATCATTCTTCTGGAATCAAAACCAACCCGGGAGTTGCGTGCCCACCGATGTCATCATTGCCCTCACCTTCCTGTACAGCGCCGTGGCAATCATCACCGACTTTACATTCGCTATCCTGCCATTTTTCCTAATAATGGGCTTGAACATGTCGATGAACATGAAGGTCATGCTTATTCCCATTTTAGGCATGGCTTGCATGTAAGTTCAAACCACCTCCATTGCTTCCTAATATACTGACAAACTTCCTACAGTGCAAGTGTAGCTGTAGTCGTCCGACTCGCGTATGTCATGGACTTCAAGAATCCCGACTTCCTCTGGGCCACCCTCGACATCGCAATCTGGAGCGACATCGAACAAGGACTCGCCATAACGGCCGGTAGTCTCGCAACACTCCGTCCGCTCTACCGAATAGTCTCATCAACCCTTGGCTTCGCAACGACTCAACCAGGCCAGCAATCAAAATCGAACATGAACTTGAAATCGCCGCAATGGGATAGCGGAATGCCGGATGCAAGTCGAAGAAAGAAGGGCCCGTTCAGCTTTTCGTCTACGTTGATGCGGACAGAAAGGGGGCAAACAATGCAAGATAAAGATGAGGAATACACCATGGGTTCTCTCGCTCCCATACGTTTGAGGGATGACCTTATCGACGAGGAGACGAATGAGAAGGGGTTTAATGCTTGGGAGATACGAGCAGGGAAAAGCGCAGACGAAGATGCGTTGATTAAAGGGAAAATCACTATGCAAAAGCAAGTGTATCAGCAGTCAGATCAACTGTAACGATCTGTCAAAGCGTTGAAAATTTTAACTGTACTTGATGAAGACGTTTTTGAAACCTGCGTTTGGGGAGTTGTTTCTTTTCATTGATACCCAGGTAGGCGCGCGATATGAATAAAAACATTAATTTAATGAACTTTGGAGATTACAAGTGTATTTACCGATAGGAGATGATGTCTACAGGCGAAGCTGGGGGACTTGAGTACGCTCTGCAATTACCAAAATTGCCGCAGCGTGCTCTAAAATTAAACTCACTTATTTAACGTATACAGTGTCATGGAGTTTGATAGACTCGCTACCCGCTCTTGAAAAGCGGATTTGTATATTGAGAATTGGTAATTACGATTAAATAGCACGTCATCATTTGATTCATGTCTCCTTGTGGCAGCCGTAGTTAGGCTCAATGCGAAGCGCTGAACTTTGCTCGGAGAAACGCTTCGACCTCCGCATCCGTTGGTTCTTGCTGTACATGGGCTATATCTCTAGGTTGAGCCTCCTTGTTAGATTCTTCGACCCTTCCCTTGAACTTCCCACTGCTGGAACTATCTATCGATACCCTCTCGTGTGTCACTGTATTACTCGAAACGCCATTGACCGCCGCACCGCTATGCTGTTGCTCCTGAACACCCTCCATGTTACTGGGTTCCTTTGCAACAGTACCCCCAGCCGTCTCATTTGTTGGCAGCAGACCGCCATGATACGGCTTCTTCGCATTCTCTACAGCGTCTGTATTGATCTTCCAGATTCCTCCTCCTCGATCGACGGTGAAAGAGTTGTTGTCATGGAATGCTAGACTGTCGAAGATCGGATCTTGCTGGACGCGTTGGAAGAACACACTTTTCCACGTCTCACCACGAGCCTTTTCATCTTTCCTCATCTCTCGCTGACCACGCTCGACCACGGACTTTGCATTGACTGTAGTTTTCATATCGCCGTTTCTCAGAGCCGCAATGACGTCTTTCCAGGCTTTTCGTGATTCCCATCCATCTTGCTTTTCCAAGTCGGCAACTTCTAGAGGCATCGAGGGCAGGGCGTTGATATCGAACGTCTCGACGTCTTTTCCAGTCCTCGCATCTTGAATGGTAGAGCTCCCATTCCATGCTCCTTTGGCTGTGTATATATCCTCGTCTGGCCGATCAACATGGAATAGTCGCGCTTCGAATCCATTCTTTGTGCCCCCGCCAAAGAATCCTTTGCCTCCGAACTTGACATGGGAAACGTATCCATTTGATGAGATAAGCGAGTATTCTCCATGCAGTTCTGGGTATGGCGTCCCACCCAATATCCCCTTTACCTTGATATTTGGTACCGGGATAAGGTAATCCTCGTCGTATTTGTCGATATGGAGTACCGCATAGCCCTTCTGCTTGATGCTCACGCTTCCATTGAACGTTATCTCTTGTTGTGTAAAGCCTTCCGCTCGGACGCCATACTTGTCGTTCCACAGATAGCAAGCCGTTATAGGCGGATGATGGCTGACCTGTTCAGACAACAATTTAGTTTCCCCTAACTCTTTATCTTTCCAGCTCCCAGAGAATAGTTCGCCGAGAAACGCATTCAATGGCTTCTTCACCCCCTCATCCTCCCCTCGTCCTGCATACTGCTGGTTTCTTAACGACCCCAGAAACCATTTCAGAACCAACAGCGCCCGCTTTTCGGCATCGGGCTCGGTGGCTGGCGCTACGAAGATCTTGGGATGATCTGCCCAGTATTGGGGTAATTCTACCGTTGAATTCTCGGCGAGGACAAAGGGCGGCGCGGTGATATTAGACAAGTCTCCCTGAATAGTTGCTATGGACGCCAGGAACTCCCGCAGCATCGACCGATTCGACGCAATTGAGCCTGGCATGACGATGTGATGGATTTAACGGTGCCATGACTGACATCTGTCAGTAGTTATGGTGGGTGCCAAGGTGAAAGTCATGACGTCGATTCCGGCAGCATCCTTGTGGCGCATGTACGATCCTGTATGAGTTTTACGAAACAGATCGAGTGTGACCGAAACTCGGTGCAGTAGGCAATCCTTCGGTACATGCAAACAGGAGATCTCCCCCACATTCGAATCAGCATTTCCCAACATCGGTTACACTTCGGTGCAGGGCAAGAAGCTAGCTTGGAAGTAATCTAGGCATTCGCTTATGTTTCCATTTCCTACAACCTTCACGTCACATCATTCCTTCAGCGCATAGACCAAAGCAGACTGGTATCACGACAGCCGGCAGATATGCAAGGTACATGTCGTGTCGCTCTTTACCAGTATCGGTATTGCACAATGAGGCTGTGAACAAGGTCTCCATCTTTCATCACAGAATAACAAAACGGCGATGAACGTCTGCCGGTGGTATAACCTACTTATTTTAGAAGCTTTCGGTATTCACATTTACATCTTGTGTAAAGATAAGAAGGTCGTTCAACCTGCCAGGACGAATAGTCATCACAATGTCTGAACACGCTGACTTCTTATACAGAGAAATTATGACATGTTACAACAAACACTACGATACATGTTTTACCAACTTACTGCTTTTGGCACCATCGACTCAAGGTTTGGATGTGCGGCTTCAATTCCGTCGAATTTGCCCGACTTGGCTGTCCTACTTCACCGACGAAGACGCGTACAACACTACTGATCCCACACGTGTGCTAATATCTATGTGTACACAATCGAGACCTGAACTTGCGGGTTACTGTAGCTTTCCCCAGGCTCGGAAGTGTAGCGTGGACCTTTTGCATGGGTAGTACGACCCTGGCATATATCTCAACATGCAAAGAACATCGATATGCACACGTAGAGAGGAGCTCTAGGGTATACTTTCCAGCAATTCTGTTCAGAAAACAGGACTGCATGGCGGATTTACAGTAAGACACTAACTCCTTCTAATGAACATACAGGGCGGACAACACGTCTCCAAGCAGAGCAGACACTGCGACAACCCTAAGTTGGGACCTGGGAAACGTGGGAATAACGTTTCGACAGACCGACCAAGCCTTCGGTACGCCTCTCGAAAACCGCTATCAAGCCAAGAGCCTTACAACGTCAACCCTCGAATCACAAGATTCTGCATCTTGATATTCTTGGCAATCCTTCCAAAGATGACCTAGCGGCCAGCAAGGTGGGTCGGGCGTCATGTACTCCACTGATAACGAGGGACAACATCCACGAGCTCCCCGACGGCCTCACGTAACTGAGCACCTCCGCTATGTCTTTCCCCAATTCATGGCTGATTGGCGTCGCTGGGGCTTGGGGTTGACGAATGTAGCCCTGGCTCAGCTCGAGATAAGGGCTGTTCAAGGTCTTGACAAGATGTAAGTAAGCCTTGGCCATGATCTCCAAGAGTGTAGGTATATAAGAGGCGGAGTCTTCAAGTATAAGAAATATTGCAGCCGCAAACTTCGACAATCAGCCATCGAGATGAGGTTCTCCACTCAACTGCTTCCTCTCTTCACGAGCTTGGCTTTTGCTGCGCCCCTCGACCTTGCCAGATCTGACCTTCATAAGCTCTTCGTCCGACAGGACATCCAGACACCCGTGAACGCCTCACTACCCAATATCACCATTTTCGCAACAGGAGGCACAATTGCCTCCGTAGGCACTTCCAACACGCAAACAACAGGATATTCCGTCGGACTCGGCGTCCAACAACTAGTCACCGCCGTCCCGGAGCTCCTCAACATCTCCAACATCGCCGGCTACCAAATCTCCAACGTCGACTCTGGCAGCATCAACGAGACCATCTCCCTAACCCTATCCCACATGATAAACGAGGAGTTAGCAAAACCCGAAATCTCGGGCGTAGTCGTAACCCACGGAACAGACACCCTGGAAGAAACAGCCTTCTTCCTCTCCTCAACCGTAAACTCCACCAAGCCCGTCATCATCGTCGGCGCAATGCGCCCCGCAACAGCCCTCTCCGCCGACGGCCCCCTGAACCTCTACCAAGCCGTACTCCTCGCCGCCTCCCCCGCAGCCCTCAACCGCGGCACCATGATCGTGCTCAACGACCGCATCGGCTCCGCCTTCTACACGACGAAAAATAACGCAAACACACTCGACACCTTCTCCAGCACCGAAGCCGGCCAGCTAGGCGTCTTCGTAAACCAAGTTCCCTATTTCTTCTACGCGCCCGCCGAGCCCGTCGGCCGCCTGGTCTTCGATATCTCCTCCGCCACGGATCTCGCACAGGTGGACATCCTGTTCGCGCACCAGGATATGAATCCCGCGCTGTTCGAGGCGTCGTATGCGGCGGGTGCGCAGGGCATTGTGTTCGCGGGGACGGGCGCGGGGGGGTATTCGCGGAAAGCTGGGGTGGCGGCGAGTGCGTTGTATAATGCGACCGGCATTCCCATTGTGGCCAGCCATAGGAGTGCGGATGGACTTGTTCCGTTGAGTGAGGAGGGGAGCTGGGCGATTGGGAGCGGGTTTTATAATCCGCAGAAGGCGAGGGTGTTGCTGCAGTTGGCGCTTACTGTGGGGTGGAGTGTGGAGGAGGTTAGGGAGGGGTTTGCGAAGAGTCTTCCTATGCCTGCGTAGTGTAGGGGTTGGGGGTGGTTATGTGACGATAGTGACGATGATGAATAATACGATGATTTTTGGAATTCAAGATGTGGATCTATAGACTTTACTCTTATTACCACGGAAATGCTTTTGTGGGCGGGTATACGGATGCGTCGGCTCTGTGAAAGGCAGCATGGCTTGTCGTCGAAAAACGCATAACAGTAGGCTGGGGGATGTTGATCTCAACTGCCATTCTCAACCTACGCTCACACACGCGACCAAACCGCAAGGTCACAACCCTTTATACAAGCTCACTCGATCGGTGTAATCATTATCCCAACCCCAGTCCCACCTCTTACTCATATCAAAGGCCAATTCAACGAACAACGACGCCAAACAGTAAACGCATCCAGAAACACCAAAACCATCGCCCTAGTGTAAGAACTCAAGCGTACGTCTTATTCCTCTTGAGATGTTCCACTCCAGAAACCCACCTTCTCGACGACATCAAGCCGATTATTCTCCCCATCCACATTGCACAGCTCGCACCCTATCCCGAGGACAACGTGTGCTGTACCTCCATAAACCCCGATATCCGTTTTTGTTGCATTGTGTTCGTCTCGTGCTGAATGGACAGAGACGCAAAACGCGCAGGGTTCGGCAAAGTTGGTGTGGGGAGCAAGATTAATCGCACCTATATCCAAGCGAGTCCTTCTCTAACCAGAGATCCCAAGATATCAGGGGTAAAAGTAGCGGTTCATCTTGGGATATTAGTAGCACCTAGGTATACGACACAAGCCCGGCAGACACATAAACTCACCTCTCAGTAAAGCGTACGTATCCACACCCCAGCGCCAGATAGACAAGAGCGAAAAGTAAGATGTTCATAAATCGTTCCTATATCCAGTGGTTGGTTGATATATATCCCAACCTCTTATACTGCTGGCATGCCATGGTACATCGCTAAACCGCACGGAAAAAAGCAGACTCAACCCCGCTCCCACTCAATCGTTGTAATTCACAACCCCGCTCCCATCTTTATTCGCCTTAGGCACACCATACCGCGCGCTCAACTCATCTTCCTGACTCCCACTCTTCGGGTCGAGATACGGGCGTTCAGCGCGCACCGCCACTCTAACCGCATGGCGGCGATGCGGCGCGAAGCCATAAGTCGCGGAGTGATTCTTTGCAACCGTTAGAAAAGTGCTCGAAAACGCGTGTGGAGACAGAACAGGAGCGAACTCACGCTAACCCTATTATCCCAAAACGCGACATCCCCCGCCCCCCACTGAAACCTAACATGCACCTCCGGGCTCGTCGCCACAATCTCATTCAACAGCGCAATAACATGATCGCTCTCCGTCTTGGGCACGCCGACGATTTTCGTCACAAACCCAGGGTTGAAGAAGATGCTCTTCCAGCCGGTAACGGGGTTGGTGCGCACGAGCGGGTGCTCGGTGGTGACGGGCTCGCGGCGCACGGTGCGGCCCAGGTCGCGCGTGCCTTGGGCTTGTAGGTCGGCGGAGTGCAGCGCGGTGAGGGATTCGAGGTAGGTTTGCATGTGGGGCGAGAGCATGTCGTAGGCGGCGTATTGGGAGGACCAGAGGGTGTCGCCGCCGCCGCCGAGGGGGGGGCCGGTCAGGACTTTGAGGCAGGTGTAGGAGGGGGGTTGGAGTTCGTATGTTACCTATATGGGGGGTTAGGGGTGGGGGGTTTGAGGAGAAGGGGGGGCTTACGTCGGAGTGCCATAGGAAGGTGGGTGTGAATAGCGCGCGGAGATCGGGGCTATTCTCCCCTGTGTACACGACGTGCACGTCTTCTAGCCCTTCTCGTCGCGGCACCGCTGTGGTGGCGTGTTGGTGGAGTTCGCCGAAGTACTGGCCGAGACGGCGCTGCTCCTCGATGCCGAAGTTCTTCTGATTGCGGAAGAATACAACGCCCCTTGTGGCGATCAACCGCGCGAGGTCGTTCTTCTGCGCGTCTGTGATGTTGGCTAGATCAATGCCGTGGATCTCTGTCCCGATCTTGGGGTTGTAGTCGAAGACGTTTGATGCGGATGCGAGGAGGTTCTTGAAGTTTGGGTCGCCGAGCTGGCCCTTGTCTGAGTAAGGGATCTCGGTGTAGGCTGGCCATTGGATGGCTGGGAAGCTTGGCCGGAGGTCTTCGTACTCGTATGTTTCGTCATGCTGTTGGACGGTTGTCCGTCCTGGGATGTAGTTGTGGGCGTTGACAGACTTGGCTGGTTGCTTGGGTGTTGTGGTGGGAGCACTGCTCGGTGTGTATTGGGGTTCTACGAGTCCTGGCGCCATGGTGATCGGAGGAGGGGTGTTTGACCCGATGATATGTGGATAGCTGTGTTTGATGTTGTAGGTGTCTTGGTGGGTAGATCCCAAGCAAGCTTCTCTGTGTGTATATGAAAGCGGGATAGATGTATAATAACTCAAATCTTGATCTAACAGAGGATTGCAATAGTTGAGGATGAAGAAGTGATTCAAGGACGACTGAGGTGTATCGATGATATGAGAATGCTCGGAGAATAAACAGGAGCAATGCTCGTACTTATATCAATCTCTTTTGGAAGAACGCCAGGACACTTGTCACTACCTGTACACGCTTACCTCACCGTGGAAATTGCGCCATCGCACACAATCAGATTCCCCGCCTATATTTGACCGTCTTCTCCACAATCTCGTTGCTGACTGATCTTAATCTCAAACTGCAGCCTCTTTCTGCCCCAAGCCAGGAGACGTGATCCGGGGAAACCGATAAAGGAGTTTTGTATTCTGATTGCCATGATATTTCGTCAGAGATGATGGTGTTCACATCATGTCGAAGGGCGTTCGCCATGTATCCAGGAGATTACGATACCCATATGCGTTGCTGAGCGATCACTGATGAGATGACGAATGACATCGAGTCAATCGCACCCCAATCTTTGACACGACTCTTACATCGGAATTTATCCTCATATCTGGTTACAAGAGCCCGTTGGCGGCTCTGAAATCAGCCGCATCGGGATTCGATTCGGTGTTGAAGTCTGTGGGGATGACGCACTAGCGCCGATTTGGTAGGTTGTGTGATATGTCGCCATATCACGTCTTCGCTCGCCTTCAGAATCACCACGACGCATGGACCACGTCTAAAGTATTTAAATCGCGTGCTGCCTGGATGACGACGCTGTCTTTGATTATCCGTTATTTAAGGTTGAGCGATGTTTGTTGCTGGCGTGTTCACAGCCATAGAGATCCACGCTTGTCGTCGTTTTAGGAAATGCCTAGATGAGCTCGATCAACTAGTGTAAGATTGTACTTGGGATACGCTAAGATAAGTAATATCGGGTGAAAGTGAGACGACGTAGAACGTGAAGCGCGATGATAGAGAGTCCATTGTGATAGCGTGATGGATAAATGTTTCGCTCTTTTCGACTGGATCGTAATTTCGTTATATGACGCCGTAACATTCATGGCGCCAGTCCCAGTACCTAAACTCCTCTAAATATTCACAACAAATGGAAGTCTTTCCCAAAGTAAACCCTTCTCTTGAACGCCCCAATTCTGTTCCTGTGTCAATCTATGACGCTCTCATTCAGACCATGTTTATGAAAAGGAATTGCAGCTTCGAATCTCGGACTCGTTGACGGCGAGCGGGTTTATGGTTCCTTTCGAGGCGATGACATGAAGTCAAGCGTGGGTATGGGCACGCCGTTCAGGTTTGTCCACTTGATGAAGGGACTAGGTGGAGCGTCCGCAACGACCTTGGGGTCTTTAGAGTCCTTGGCGCCATTCTCTGGAGAGGCTGCTATTGCGTCGTACTTGCTCCGTCCTCTCTTGAAGCCTTTGGCCTCCAACAACGGGGTCCAGTAGGGATGCTGTCCCTTGTGTATGCGGTAGAGCTCGTAGTTGCCAAAGATCAGGACGAGGGTGGCGGCAATGGGGAGCTTGGTGATGTTGTGATATATCTTTGTGGAACTCATACTGAATATAAATATTGTAGACGTTGGAGGACGCGTGCCGGCGCGAGGGAGAGGGTGCAGAGGATGTGGAGCGTGCAGAGCGTGGCAGAGGTCAAGTGGATGCAGTGCGGAGGAGGAGCATGGTGAGTGGCTGGAGCGCGGGGACGGCCTTGGCTCATATCTCTCTTCCAACTTCTCCAAAGTTGATACCTACCAACGTTTGTGCATTGGGGATATTTCAACACTCGACGCCATCGGGGCTGTTCTCCACCATGGACGACCTCGCGAACCTCGAGTTCCTCTCGCTCGTGTCCAAGGTCACGTCAGAAATCCAGAACCATCTGGGCCTGTCGGACAAGACGCTCGCCGAGTTCGTCATCGCGCAGCATGCAAAGTCAAAGGGCGCCGTCGACTTCCAGCAGCAGCTCGAGGACATGGGCGCCGAGTTCCCGACGAGCCTGGTCGAGAGCATCGACCGCCTGGTGCTGACGCTGCACCCCAAGTACAAGGCCAAGGGCGCCGGCCAGGGAAAGGCAGGCGCAAACGGCCACGACGGCGGCGACGACACGGACCGCAAGACGCGCGTGTTCAAGGGCCTGGCCATCCCCGACAAGGACGTCGACTATGACGTTGCCGACACGGCGCCTGCGAATGGCGGACTCGACGCGCTGGACGACACGTTCGCCATGCTCGAGGGCCTGGCTGGCAAGGGCCCGGCCAAGCCCAAGGAGCGGTCGCGCAAGCGGAGCATGAGCCCCTACGACAGCGACGACGAAAGCAGGAGCAAGCGACACCGCCGCAGGGAGAGGTCGACGTCGACGTCGCAGAGCCCACGCAGAGGGCGCACGCAGCAAAACGACGAGCTGGTCTTCGAGGACGAGTTTGGACGCACCCGCACCGTCAAGCCCGCCGACACCAAGCGCAGCCGCAAGAAGTACCGCGACGAAGACGTCGACGAGTTCCGCCGCCAGCCCGCCGCCGAGCTCGACGACGAGCCCGTGCTGTTCAAGGTCTACAACGGCAAGGTCACGGGCGTCAAGGACTTTGGCGCCTTTGTCAACCTGCAGGGCGTCAAGGGCAAGGTCGATGGGCTGGTCCACGTCACCCAGATGCAGGAGGGCGCCCGAGTCAACCACCCCTCCGACCTGGTCTCGAGATGGCAGGAGGTCAAAGTCAAGGTCATCAAGATGGAAGGGGGCAAGATCTCGCTCTCCATGAAGGAGGTCGACCAGCGGACCGGCCGCGATCTGGCTCCCGCGCGCCGCATAGCCTCGGGCGCAAACTCGCAGGGCCTGGGAGGAATACCAGGCCTCGACAGCGCCGTGCCCGTCGTCGAAGATGGCTACAACAGTCGCAAGAACGGCATGCGGAAACGGATGACTTCGCCCGAGCGCTGGGAGATCCAGCAGCTGATCGCGTCTGGCGTCATACCCAGGTCAGATTACCCAGACATCGACGAGGAGCACAACGCGCACATCAACGGCGAGGGAGGTTTCGAGGAAGAAGAGGACGTAGATATTGAAGTGCGTGACGAGGAACCTCCTTTCTTGGCCGGCCAGACCAAGCAGTCGTTGGAGCTTTCACCCATCCGAGTCGTTAAAGCACCGGATGGCTCGCTCAACCGTGCGGCCATGGCAGGAGACAACCTGGCGAAAGAGCGACGCGATCTACGGCAGCAGGAAGCACAAGAGAAGGCTGCCAAGGAGGCGTCACAGGTCGACCTCAGCAGTCAGTGGAACGACCCCATGGCGCAGCAACGCCAGTTTGCAAGCGATCTGCGCAACACGCGGACGAACCAGGCTGGGGAAGCCCTGCCAGAATGGAAGAAGATCTCCACCGGCAGCAGAGATACTTCATTTGGCAAGCGTACAGACATGAGCATGAAGGACCAACGAGAATCGCTGCCTGTCTACAAGTTCAGAAAGCAACTCCTCGAAGCTGTTGCAGCCCATCAAATCCTCGTCGTCATTGGCGATACCGGGTCTGGAAAGACGACGCAGGTCACCCAATATCTGGCAGAAGGCGGATATGCGAATGAGGGGGTCATTGGTTGCACACAGCCTAGGCGTGTTGCCGCCATGAGTGTCGCCAAACGTGTCGCTGAGGAAGTTGGCTGCAAGCTTGGGAACGAGGTCGGCTACACGATTCGATTCGAGGACTGCACATCCCCAGACACACGCATCAAGTACATGACAGACGGTATCCTGCAGCGAGAGATTCTGCTAGACCCCCTGCTGTCCAAGTACAGCTGCATCATGTTGGACGAGGCTCACGAACGTACTATCGCTACTGATGTCCTGTTCGGATTGCTGAAGAAGACGCTCAAGCGACGCCCGGATATGAAACTCATCGTCACGAGTGCCACCCTCGACGCCGACAAGTTCTCCGAGTACTTCTACAAATGCCCCATCTTCACGATCCCTGGCCGCACGTTCCCCGTCGAGGTCATGTACAGCCGCGAGCCAGAGTCGGACTACCTGGACGCCGCGCTCGTCACAGTCATGCAGATCCACCTAACAGAGCCAGCAGGCGATATCCTGCTCTTCCTGACAGGTAAAGAAGAAATCGACTCCTCATGCGAAGTCATCTCCGAACGCATGAAAGCCCTAGGCCCCAACGTCCCCGAGCTAATGATCCTGCCCATCTACGGCGCCCTCCCCTCGGAAACAGCAACACGCATCTTCGAGCCCGCACCCCCAGGGAGCCGCAAAGTCGTCATCGCGACCAACATCGCCGAAACCAGTCTGACAATCGACGGCATCTACTACGTCGTCGACCCAGGTTTCGTGAAACAAAGCTCCTACGACGGGAAACTCGGCATGGACCGTCTGCAAATCACGCCCATCTCGCAGGCCCAGGCCCGCCAGCGCAGCGGCCGCGCAGGCCGTACGGGACCTGGAAAATGCTTCCGCCTCTACACCGAAGCCGCCTTCCAGAACGAAATGCTACCAACCACCATCCCGGAAATCCAGCGCCAGAACCTCTCCAATACGATCCTCATGCTGAAGGCAATGGGCATAAACGACCTTCTGCACTTCGACTTCATGGACCCGCCGCCCACTAACACCATGCTGACGGCGCTCGAGGAACTGTACCAGCTGGGTGCGCTCGACGACGAAGGCCTACTAACGCGTCTGGGCCGCCAAATGGCAGATTTCCCCATGGACCCCTCGCTTTCAAAATCCCTAATAACCTCCGTCGAAATGTCCTGCTCGGACGAAATCCTCACAATCGTCGCCATGATCAGCGCAACGCAATCTGTCTTCCACCGCCCCCGCGACAAGCAGCAGCAAGCCGACCAGAAGAAGCAGAAATTCAACGACGCGTCCGGCGACCACCTCACACTGCTAAACGTCTACAACGCCTGGACACAAGCTGGTTTCAACATAGCGTGGTGCCACGAGAACTTCGTCATGCCAAAGAACATGCAACGTGTTCGCGATGTGCGCACGCAGTTACTCCAGATCATGGCGCGCCACAAACACCCCGTCGTAAGCTGTGGTCGCAACACGCTGAAAGTGCGGCAAGCGCTCTGCGCGGGCTTCTTCAGGCACGCTGCCCGTAAAGATCCCGCCGAGGGGTATAAAACCCTGGTAGAAGGCACGCCCGTCTACCTACACCCTTCCTCCTCGCTTTTCGGTAAACCGGCCGAACACGTCGTGTACCACAGTCTTGTCGAGACGACGAAGGAGTATATGCATTTCTGCTCTGCGATTGAGCCGAAGTGGCTGGTTGAGGCGGCGCCGACGTTTTTCAAGGTTGCGGGTGCGGTAGGGCTGAGTAAGAGGAAGAAGGCGGAGAGGATCGTGCCGTTGCATAATAAGTTTCAGGGGGAGGATGATTGGAGACTTAGTGCGCAGAGGAGGGCTGGGAGGGGAGGGGGCGGGACGTGGGGGTAGGTTCTTGTTATTTTTTTATCTTTTCTTTGGGAAATGGGAGGGGGGTGTGGCAAGGGGGTGGGTGTATATACCTGTCTTGGGTTTCGATTTGTGTAGAATGTATCACTGGACAGGACAGAGAAGGAGAGTCAACGATGCTTGGTTCGTTTGTTCCATCTATCCTCCCATTCACCCATTTCGTCATGTACATGCACGTGCGTACCTTGAAACAGGCAAAACTTATATCTTCTACGTGTTTATTCAACGTGCGTTGTAAGTATTAAACATACAACGCGGATTTAACAATGGCTACAAAACCACATGTTCTTTCCATACCATACCATATCATACCATGCCATACCATCCCCCGAATCCATCAAGCCCAGATAACGCCGAATCGAGTCGAATCGAGTCGAGTCAAGCCGGTGAGACCTGACCCGACCCAACAAAAAGCCCCAAAACCAAGGCGTGGATAAGAATTTTTGCTTTCCTCTGCGCAGTGCAGTCTCGTCGAACCCCTGCGCCGGCCAACACAACTCCATCCCGAAAAATGTTCGTTGGTCAGTCCATCTATTGCTCCTTCTCGAATCCGACTGGTTTCTGCATGCCGTTCATTTCGTAGAAGCGGGATGTACCTGGCACCATCATTAGCAACATCTCACATATACTTTATGAGGAAGGAACTCACAGCTGTAGCCGTTCCAGTCAAAGTTGTCCTTGGGGTTGCAGTGGCACTTGTGGTCGAGGCGGTACTGCTCGCCGGTGGGGCAGTGCGTGAAGGGAACGTGGTAGTAGGCGATGTCGTTGAAGAAGTGGATTTCGTCCTTGGCCAGCATCAGGCCCGCGGCGATGGAGTGGACGGGGGCGTCGCCCCAGCGCTCGTAGAAGAAACCGCCCGCGTGGTCGAGGGAGGTGAAGAAGTCGATGTAGGCGTCTGAGCGGAGCCAGTTGAGGTTGCCGATTTCGAAGTTGGACCACTAGTCATGTTAGCGATGTTTTACAGATAAAAGAACGAGAAATTGACATACGAAGTGACAGTTGGTGTACGTCTCGCCGTTGTCGTCGCTGAGGAACTTCATCGAGTTGTCCTTGGCAATGTGCTGGGGGTAGTGCTTGGTGAAGTTCTTGGCTGCGTCCCAGAGCGTGGGGATCGTCTCGACGTATTCGTACAGACTGAGGACGAAGCTGTACTTTTTCTTGTTGTCGGCCATGAACTTGAACGTGTCGTAATTGATGTCGCAGTAGAGGTCGATGCTGGGCTCCACGCGCCAGTACCACTCGTAGTCGAGCATCAACGGGTGGCGGAAGAAGAAGCCAGACTCGTAGCGGCACATGTGCCTGTAGCTGACGGAATCGCCGTAGATGATCTTCTTCTGCTTCATGTCCTCGCGGACCTTGGCAGCTTTGTTCTGGTCAATCCACTCGGGGTACGACCAGTGCTCCTTGGGGATCTTGCCGTATTTTGTCTTTCCAGACACCAGCGCAGACGTGACTTTCTTGAACTCGTCATTGAAGTCGTCGTCGTTGAGGAATACCCAGTCGTAGTTGAACTTGCGGTTGAAGCGGTCCTCGACATGGCGAATCGACTTTGCAATCTCCCAGATGTCCTGGTTGCGGGCGAGGGTGACAAAGGTCGCGTTCATGCGGTCTCCGGATGCTGTCGCGGGCGGCAGTTCCTTGTCGTTGGGCGTGGTCGAGGGCTTGGACTGGAGCTGGTCGTGGCTTTGCGACACGGGAGTGCTGGGAATACCGGGGATAACGGCGTGGGGAGTGTCAGGCACGGAGGTGTCCTTTTCGGCTTCGTGGCCAGGCCAGCTCGCAACGGGTACAGACGACGAAGAGCCGATAAAGTAGAGCAGGACCAGACACTGTCGAGGGTCAGTAGATGCCAATGGGCCAGTCTTCGGGCGTCATACGAATGCAGCGAAGACGATGTAGCGCAGATAGCGCTGTGTGCCCGCCATGATGTCGTAGGGCTATCGAGCAGACAGCTGGCTCGTCGCAAATTCCGACAATCTGCTGGTTCGCAGTCGAGTGGGCGGAGTTGGGTCCTCAGGGCGTCACTGCTGGACGCTGCAAGAAGGGAAGGGGTGAAGTGGCCGGTAGAGGGTGGACAGAAGATGCGCAGTGTGCGCGTTAAGGGTTCAAAGGGTAAAGGACACGACAGCCGCTAGATGGCAGTGCGTGGAAAAAGGAGTGGAAGCTGCCCAGTCCTCCGTCTTGAGCCTGTGTTACGAGGATTACGCCTCGTGTGGCGCGAACACGACAGGGTCTACGAGGCCAAGCACGGGCGCCGAATTGGGGTAGCAGTGGCAGCAGCAGCACCGCCATGACTTGAAGCGAGGGCTGCAGTCATTCACCCTCCTCTGCTTGTGCTGTGGTCTTGCTGTTGATCGACAGGCCGTGTGCATCCCCCACACTGCTGTCGTGTGCCTGTGTGGCTGTTGCTCCACACTGCTGCTCGAGCTTCTTCCGACGTCACCAAGCCTCGTCGCCATTTGACTTTCAGCACCGTCCCCTCACCACCAACCACACCTCCCTCCCATCCCTCATCCATGTCGTTCTTTGGCTTTGACCCCACCCGCGGTCACTCGGCGAACGCGCCCGGCTTTGGCCAGACGCACGATGCCTTTGCTGCGCTCGGTGGAGGGGCACATGATGACGATGCGTAGGTCGCGCCAGACTGCAGAAACGACACTTGCTGACCGCATATCCAGCATCGACTTCGAAGAGACGTACGACGGCCTAGGTAATCGCATGGACGACGCCGACGATGCCTTCAACGACGACACGTTCGGCGATGGTCCGGCCACCCAGCAGTCGATTGGCAAAGACTTTGACTTCGCTGGTCAGACGTCCAAGATTGCAGACACCATGCAGGAGGAGCAGATGCTCTACCAGGCTCGCCAGAAGCCTGTCCAGCAGAGACCGCCGGTTCCGCAGGCTTCCAAGCCCACTCGCACGGGCTACGAAAACTACAAGGACCCCGAGTACATTCCCCAGCTGGAGGCGCGTGCCGACATCTGGGGCCTGAAGCCCAAGCAGCCTGCCCCGCAGAGGCAGCCCGAGCCACAGTATGCCCCGCAGAGGCAGTTTGAGCCACAGTACGGTACACCCCCTCAGTACGCGAACCAGGCACCACAAATTGCACCAGCGAGGAAGTTGATGAGCTTGGAGGAGGTCGAGGCTATGATGCGGTCGCAGGGTGCGGGCAATGCGTCTCCCTTGGTTCATGCAGCACTGCCGCAGGGCCCTCCCGCTCATGCCTACCCGCCACAGCAGTTTGCTCATGGTCAGCCGCCGTTTCCCGGTATGCCAGGCGGTATGCCAGGTGGTATGCCTGGACAGTTCGCGCCTCAGATCCTGCAACGGCCCCAACAGCAACAGCAGCACCAGCAGCATATGCAGCATCAGGGTCCACCAAGGGCACAGCAGGTTCATGCTGAGCTGCCTGGCCAACCTCAACACCCCACCATCTTGCAGCGACAGAGACAGCCGCCCAACGAGCCAGCCGCCCAGCAGCAGCAGCAGCAGCGAAATGCACCGCCGCCGGCCCAGGCTCAAGGCCCACCATCTCAGCCCCGACAGATTCTGCAGAACCCCAACCGCCTTGCTGGCGCCGGCCAGCCAATGGCCCAGTCCAGCTCGCCATCCCAACGTGGGCAGATGCAGGGGCAAGGCAGAGGCCCGTCTTTCTCTGGAATGGTCATCACCCATCCGGAGCAGCTGCTTCAACTTTCCGAGACAGAGCGTGCGGCTTTCCTCGAGGAAGATGCTAAGCGAGCTAAGAGGAACCACAAGATAGCTCTACTGGCCAAGGACAACGGCCTGATGACACCCCAAGACAAGAACTTCATCACGCGCATCCAGCTGCAACAACTGATGACTGCTACCGGCAATCTGGATGAGAGAGGACCCGAAGCTGCCATTGCAGAGGACTTTTACTACCAAGTTTTCAGCCAGATTCGCGGTGCTCCTCGCCAGAACCCCCAGCAGCCAGCAAATCAGTTCGCCCAGACATACCTGTTCCAAACCAACAACCGATTTGGAAATCGTAGGAATGGACGCGGAGGTGACAACCACATGCAACGTATGGAGCAGCAGATTCAGCGAGCGGTCGAGGCAGCCAAAGCCAGGCCCAAAGCAAAGCAGCTTGTTGTTGAGGGCAGCCTAGGAAAGATTGCGTTCAGCAACTCGAAAACCCCTCGACCTCTGCTCAATCTGAAGCGACCCGAAACTAGCGACAAATACCCCAAGCACAAGTCTTCCAAGGCTGACCGGAAAGAAGCGTTGCGCAATATCGAAGCCGTCTACTTCACGCTTATGCAAATGGAGGATCACGCCCGAGCTCTGCCCCCACCAATCAATGAGAGCAGCAATCCAGAGGCCATCCAGGCACACATGGAGTGGCGGTCGAAGATCGAGGCTCTACACAGGAAGCTCTGGCAAAACACCAAGATCATGGAGCCAATCAACCCTCAGTATGTCTTTTACACAAAATCAATCCATGCAAATACTGACTATAAACTAGCACAACAACACCACACCCGTTCATCTCAATCCTTTCTCACGCCAAAGGAAAGAAGGCCATCCCTCGTCTCTTCCGCCACATCGACGAGCAGGAGCGTATCACGGTCGTCACTATGATTGTTGTTCATCTAGACGGTCTTGCTGTGGTCAGCCAGGCCATCGCAACACCCGAGGAGCCAGTGAGCGCAGCTATCCGCGAGGAAGTTGAACTCTTCTCGCAAACGGTAATGCCGCCACTCTTCGCGCACATCTCAGAGTCGCCGCTCAACATCATTGTCGGCCTTCTCGGCCTTGTTCTGGATCGTACCAACCTACACATCGTGGCTAGGAGCAAGATTGGTCTGTCTCTGCTTACGATCCTCATCTCTCGTGCAGAGTTGTTGAAGCAGTCTGCTCCTGAGATGGAGGCCGCAGATTGGGAGCAATGGACTGAACTTTACAACCGCCTATTTGATATGATCGAGCCCGTCCTTCCCTTCATCTTCCCTGGATCTATCAACGATACAGATGACATGTACATCTGGCAGTTCTTGGCTGCTATGGGAGTAGGTGCCAGCCCGGAGCAGCAGCAGAGACTTGTTCTCGGCGTCAAGGACCGCGTTATGGAGACAGTATCTGTAAGCAAGGCTCTGCCCGCCGAGATGGCAGGAGCCCGACTGGCCAACGTGAACCTCTTCATGAGAGCCATCGGATTGGACGTGGAGTTGCTTGGATGAAGCGGATGTGTCATGATCTAGTTGGGTCTGTTTACGCAAAACCTGCCGGCTGTCTCCCAGATCGATGCAGATCGATGAGATCCCGGCGGTCAATCGGCCAAGTCTGGAGTTGCCGGGACCTCGAAGCACCGTTGCAGACAGCTGTGGTTATGGGTAGATGATTGAGAAGTTGATACGTTAGCGAGTCTTAGAAGTCTGACAAACATCTTCTTGTCGTGATGCGAAAACGATATACCCTATCTGCCACTCTTATGGTGGGAGAAGAGAGTTGGTTGGTGAATGACCAGGAAGTAGTGGAGGGGAATCACTACGGTGGAAACAAAAAGCTTTGTTATTGGCACTCAATCTAAAGTTCTGCATTACTTTCATGCGAAATCTTAAACCTAGAATCTTGAATCTTGAATCTTGAATCTGGAATCTGAAATCTGGAGTAGTCTGGAGTATGGAATCTGGAATCTGGAATCTGGAATTTGCCATCTGAAATCCAACGGCCGTCAGATGTGTCTGACAGTTGTCCGTGCGCGATCGTCTCATTGGTTAACTTCACTTCTCCTTTACACAAAGCCATGAGCATCCCGGCCCACGAGGTCTCATGCAATTATGCGAAACCGACTTCGCGGGTCACCAGCTTCGGTTAACCGCCCTCATGGGAAGCGTTGTCACTGTATGGAGTACCCAAAACGCATTCGCAAGAGACTGCGGGGAGACTTGGAGAAAGCGACTAGGGTGCGCGACACCACCTAAGCGTTGAAGCGGTGCTTGTCTCGGAGGGCCTAGGGCCACCTTTTCGCTTTGATGCACTGTTTCAGCTGTGCGGCGGGACTTGGCATGCGAAACGCGTTCTCGGTCAGCTTGACGTCAATGGATCTGCGGAGTCGAGAGCGTCGTCAGCTGTCGAGGGGAAGACGTCGCCGGAGCAGAGCGAGTAACACCCGGAAGGTGGAATTTCAACTTCGGAGTCCGTTTTTTGAGGACCTGTGTGCTGATTAGCAAGGTACACATCCTGGGGATTTTTGTCTTCCTGAAAAGGAAAAAAAGACGTCGTCTTGAGGCCGGAATCAGAAGTGTGGGCACGTTCCCGCTAGCCATGTGCCTGTCAGGGCTAGAATTCCATACCGTTCCTCAACAGCATCGGGTGGACCAAGGCGAAAAACTCGGTTGCATACCGTACGCGTAAGAGGTCCCACCGACTTCTCCAATGGCTCTGCTACACATCCCCGTGCGACGTCGTCCAACAGCAGCCTCTGGAGTAGGCCTCATTATGCAACCCAGTAGCCACTTCGGGACTGCTTGTAGCGTCCCGTAGTCTGTGCCTGACTAGACACGCACCTCTTGGGGGGCGCGCTCAACGATGCATCATGCGCAGTTTCTGCTCCCGCCGTAGGTTTGGCATTTGAGTGGAGCCCCAAAGAAACCTCACACGGTTGTTGAATGAAAAGCCCGGCGTTGGCTTCAAGACTGGTTCATGGAGTTTCAGTCCAGTTTCCGTACCCTCGTTACCCTGCAACAACACTCGCTCACTACAGCTGTCTATCTTGTTTAAAAGCGTTATCCTCGCCAGTCGAGTAGAGATTGTGTGGACTTCCCATCAGGCCGAGCCTTGCATTCTACTCTCTATTCTCTTGTGTACTTCATTCTCTTCTTCTTGTTGGCTTTCACCGTTTTTTATAGACCATTTCTCTCTCTACTTTTCAAAACAGTCTTTCAATCTTTCGCCTGCCGGTCAGCGTTAGCACGATATCATGTCTTCTCTCCACCTTTTTTTCTGCGTCGCTCTTTTGGCTGCCATGGTGCTTGCTGTCCCTACTCCGTCCAACAAAGGAATTTTCGCAAAACGTTCTTTCCAGGTGCCTCGTCACCTGAACACGGCTCACCCTACTGGTCCCAATGGCCCGGCTGCCATGAGGAAGGTGTTCAGGAAATACAACCTCAAGGTTGATGAAAAGTTCGTGATCAAGGATGGATGGGTCACGAACAACAAACGAAGCAAGAAGACGAAGCCCGCTGCTTCTGCTGCCGCTGCTGGCACGGGCAACCAAACTGGCTCCGTCGCCGCCAACCCGGAGGAGAATGCTGCGCTGTTTCTCTCGCCCGTCGATGTTGGTGGTCAGACGATGAACTTGGACTTTGACACTGGGTCCTCTGACTTGTAAGATCTCTTACCATTTCTCACTGGGGGGATACATACTGACAGGTGTTGAATAGGTGGGTTTTCAGCACCGAACTCAACGCAGCAACAATCGGTCAACATTCCGCCTTCGACGCATCCAAGTCGACGACTTTCAAGAAGACGACCGGCGCGGCGTGGAAGATCAGCTACGGTGACGGATCCGGCGCTTCTGGCACAGTCGGCACCGACACCGTGACCATCGGCGGCGTCAAGGTCGAGAACCAGACCGTCGAGCTCGCAAATAAGGTCTCCCAGTCCTTCGTGCAGGACACAAACACAGACGGCCTCGTCGGCCTCGCCTTCTCCAGCCTCAACACCGGTATGCCAAACATCCACCCCACCCCCTAACCCCACACACACACTAACCCCCTCCCCCAGTAAACGACGGCACAAAATCCACCCCCCAAAAAACCTTCTTCGACAACGTCATGCCCACGCTCGACCTCCCCGTCTTCACCGCCGACCTAAACCCCGACGGCAGCGGCGTCTACGAATTCGGCGCAATCGACTCCACAAAATTCACCGGCGCCATGTCCTGGATCCCCGTCCAATCCACCTCGGGCTTCTGGCAATTCGCGTCCACAAAATTCAGCGTCGCAGGCCAAACATTCTCCAACCCCTCCGCCTCCGCCGCCATAGCCGACACCGGCACCTCGCTGCTCCTCGTCGACCAGCCCGTCGCAGACGCGTACTACCAGAACGTGCAGGGCGCGGAGCTGAATGCGCAGGTTGGTGGGTATGTGTATCCGTGTGATGCGCAACTGCCGGATATGGCGGTTGCGATTGGGGACGCGTATATGGCTACGATTCCGGGCAGTCAGATTACGTTCGCGGCGGTGGATCAGGCGAATTCGACGTGTTTTGGGGGCGTGCAGGGGAATCAGGGGGCTGGGTTGCAGATTTATGGGGATGTGCTGTTTAGGGCGCAGGTTGTGGCGTTCAATGGCGGGAATCAGTCTTTGGGGGTTGCGCCGAAGAAGGGTGTTGCTTAGATGCTGATGGGTGGTGGGTGTTGGGTGGTGTGTGTTGGGTGTTGGGATGTTGGATGTTGGGATGTTGAGATGTTGGGATGTGGTGGTTGGTGGATGGGGGTGGTGATAGATGGGGAGTGTGGACTATGGGTCCATTTACTTGCTTGCCTACTTGCTTATTTGTTTGTACGTTGACATAACGACAATATCACGATAGCAATACGCATGAACTTTTTTCATGGAAGGGGAATAAAAGTTTTATCCTTGATGAGCGAGTCTTGCATCTTTGTGGCGTATACTTTATGCTCTACGCAGGGGGTGAAGACTCTTTCACATTGAGTGACTTGGTCGTTTTCTAAGTCTGCGCCCGTTAAGTCTGGATTGAACCCGAGTCGAATAGAATACAATCGAATTAAGCATCTCGCTCCAATTCGTCCCCATCACGAACATGCCGCGCGTATACACACATACACAGCAGCAGAATATAGTAGTAAAGTGTCATTGAGATCACACACACATGCAATATACGTCCCTTCCAGAATCCAAACCATAGTCTTCAGACACAACCCATCCCACATTCCTATGTAAATTCCTATCCTTAGCCTTCTAAATCATCCTCGTAGTTCCATAAACCCCACAAACATATGTCCGCCCTCCCATCTCGACACAGCGTCCACTACCACCAGCACCAGCACCGCCACCACACCCCTAGACATCCCGCAAACGCCCCTCAGCAGCGCAGCCTCCACCCCGCAGTCCTCAGCCACAGCATGAGAGTGTACCTCTACACACGCACCCTCACCTCCCCAGCATCCACATACACCCCCACAGCCCCAAAACACAACCTCCTCTTCACGGCGTGCCTCTTCCACGACATCAGCACAGCGCCGCAGTACAACGGCCGCAGCGCTTCGACGTCGCCGAGTGCGATAAACACGATGTCTGGACCGCGATTGCGTGCCATACGAGGCCTGGGGGGGCAGGTTGGTGGGCGGGAGGGGAAGGCGCCGATGGTGAGTTGGCCGGGGGTTCTGTGGCGGGCGGCGGTGGCGGTGGCGGAGTCGGAGTGGGAGGGGGTGAATAGGGCGTTTTGATATAGCTGTAGGAGCGTCCTCTGCGCTGCGTATGTATATATGTCGTGAACGGATATCCCGTGTCTCAACTCATCCATTCACCCCCCATCACTCCGTTCCAAAAACCCCGGATCCCGCTCAATCTTGCCCTCGAACTTCGTCCACCACGCCTGAAAAGCCTTCAACGGCACCGTATCCCCACTCCCCCAACTCGTCAAAAAATCATAGCAATTCTTGATAATCCGCTGCGCCAGCACCTTCGTCGTAACCGCATTCTGGCCCCTAACCACCAGCGCATTCCCCACCCCGGATACCCCCGCCGCCGTCCCCGCCGCAGCATCCTGAGCTTTTTTCTGCAGCAACGCCGCAGCGACCTGCTGCGCGGGCTCGAGCGATATGCCCAGCGCCAACGGCGACGCCGCACTTCCCCTCCCTCCCCCCACATCATCCACCATGCTATCATCATCCGCGTTGTCTAACCCCCCATCTGCGGAACCCCCGGCTTTACTGTTTATGCGAAATATCGCGCTGGGCTTCTCGTTCGCGAGGGCGCCCAGCAGCGCGAAGTCCGATGCGCCGGGGAGCTGCGCGTAGACGGCTGCGGCGGTGCCGTCGGGTAGGGTGACGCCCGGGAGCAGGAAGACGACGATGTGGGAGAAGGGGGGGTGGGAGGGGATTTGGAAGGCGAATTGCGTGGGGGAGATGGGTTGCGCGGATGTGAGGATGGGTCGGCCTGAGATGATTACGCCGAAGGAGGACATGGTGGTTTGGGAGGGGTTGGGGAGTCGCTGGGCGAGGGAGAGGGGTTGGGTTATGTTTTGGGGGACATTGGGATTGGGAGGTGGACTTGGTGATGTGGTTTGTTTATTGGGTTGGCGCGTGGGTGAGAGAGAGATGTTTCGAGGGACTTCGGATGGCTTCGACTGAGTGGACGAGTGGTCCAAGCGTCACCCCACAATGGGGTTGTCTTGCTAATTGCTTTACTCTTCGAGTTTGCTGGGTCTAACTAGACACCATAACGAGATAGGTTGTTGTGTACTCAACCTTCAGTTGTTGCTCGATGTGGTGTGGACAACTCAAGTATCTACAAGTCTCGAGTCAAACATCACCAACCGCCTTTATATCTTGCGTATTTTGTACCCCAGTTCCCACCAGATGATCATGAAATCAAAACATCACAAACCATCACATCCTAAACCCATGCGCCGCACTAACCCACTCCTGATCCAGCACCCTCCCAACTCTCCCCAGCACCCGGCTTCCACCCATAAGCGCCTGGAAGAACCTCACTCTCTCCTCCCCACCCATCACCAAGAAAGCCGAGAGACCAAACACAGAAACAGTCTCATTCTGTCCGAAAGAGGAGCTCGACCCCTCAGTAGACGGAATCTGCAGCTCGAACGGCTGCTTTAGAGAAGCAAGGATGACCTGCGCAGCAAAAGGATTAAGGCCCGCTCGACGGAGGAAGACCTCCCACTGTTTCTTTCGTCAGTAAAGCTCCACATAAACCCAACGTTACTCTCACGTTCGTCTCCGCAGCCAGCGGCTTAATGTCCGCGATATCCTTCGAGCCATGCGGCAGTCCATAACGCGCCATCTCCACAACAATACACCTCGCGAGCGCCTGCTCGCCCCCAGGAACATAGCGGACCAGCACTTCGCCTTCCAGCTTTGCGGAGAATTGCTCAAACGCGGATAGGACCTCCTTGTCGCGTGGGTCGTCCGGGCGATTCGAGACCAGTTTCTCCATCTCGTGACTGAGACCCTGACTGACCATGACGAGCAGCCTCTCGTACCGCAGCTGGAGGCTGGACATGCGTTCTTTGATGTGCGATCGATCGGGTTGGCCGGGAAGTGCTCGCTGCTTGACTTGTTGCATGGTTGTGAATATCAGGCCGGTTGAGGGTGATAGGATAATGTCTGCTTCCTGGGCGGCTGAGTGTCGGAGGTTGTAGTCTCGATATACAATCTCTACTGCAGGGTAGAAGTGTTCTACTTGCTTTGTCAAGTTTCGTCGTTGGAGGAGCTTGGATGAGACGATGAAGGAACAGGGTGGTAGATAGGTGGGGATCGATTGGAGATCTGGTAATTGATGAGACATCTCCTTGTGCTCTCCAACTCGACCATTGGGGTGCTGATTGTTGTCTCCAAGCGCAGTCATCACCGCTCGATCAACGATGACACAGCGATCAGGTAATTGATCCCTCGAGCAGGCAGGCAGTGCTCGACTAGACTGCGCAGAAAGACCCTTCGCAGGAAGACCTTCCTCACTCGCCCGAGCACTGATCTCGACAGCCCTCCCTTGTGTCGCCATGAACTTGTGGAGAGCCGTAGTCGCAGAAAACCCGCCAAACATAAGCGCATCACTCGTTTCTTTAGGTGCTTTGACACTCTTTCGACGAGCCACAGATGCTTGCGGACTCTGTTGGGAGAGATTAAGCGTCTTGGAACGCGTCTTCGGAGGCGCACCATGCACAGGCGATTCACCCATCCAGTGCCGACAATCGAGAACTCCTCGTGGTGGATGTATTTGCGTTCGTGAATTGTGTGCGACCACTCTGGTATCCGATCGTTTGCGCTGCGCATCCACGGTCTCGTCTTCCATCTCCAGTTTCCGCTTGCGAATCAATGCTTCCATGTCATTACGTTCCTCTACTTCAGCCAGCTCCACCTCCAGCTCTTCATCGTCATCGTCCGTATTGTCAAGTATCCTCAGCCCTTCTCTTTTCCACACCTCTGTCGAACTACTTGCGATAACACCCGTCAACGGATCTGTTAGTATCTTGTCCAGTTCTGTTTCGCCATGAAGCTTTTCTTCAAGGCTAACTTTAGACACTTTAACCGTGAAGAAGTTCCAAGGTAGCTCTCTGTTCAGAGCAGATACCCCGTGCCACGAAGTAGCCGATTTCATGTCTTCGCGCTTCACTTTGAGTAGAAACTTCATCTGCGTATCGAGTTCCGAGACTCCAGTTCTACACCTGCCACCCTTTTTCTGGCTGTACTCGTTCCAAGGCGCTATCGGTAAGGAGAAGTCGACGTCTGGAATGCCAACACGTGCAGTTGTATCCGCTCCGGAGAGTTGCTCATTGCCGACTTTCCTCTCTACTTCTTTGGCTAGAAATTCGAGGTCTTTGGTAAGGTCAGGAAGACTCCCTTCAGATACTTGATTGCCATCATTCTCATCATCTGCCCACGGCTCAAGCAGGATGTACTCATGCAGGATATTTGAAAATGACACAGACTTCAGCTTCTTGAGCGGCGAGTCAGAGAACATCGGCGGTGTCAATGGGCCCTCTACTTTGAGGTCTTCTACCCTGCGTTTCATGGTCGGTGACTTGTACTCTTCAAAAAGCGGACTGGACTGCGGTGGATGAGTCGTGTCAAGCAGCATGGAATCGCTACTGTCTGAGCTCTTGCGGACGAGAGAATCTGCAGCCATGATCTTGTACTCCAGAGCTTTTGCTTCTGCAGCAATGCCATCACTGCTTTCCGAGGCAAGCTCCAAACGATTGGCGGGCGACGATGGAATGTAGGGTAACATTGGTGGTGACAGAGGGAGCAACGGTGGCGTAATAGGCCGAAGTGCTGGATTCTGCATATTCAGTGAGTTTCTCCACCGGAAGTGACACGACGTACTGGCTTGTACTTCAACCCCTCCGACTTGATCCTCTCAGAATCCTCCTGCGTGTACGCATCGCGAATCGCATCTTGCAAATACATAAGAACGTCCTTGGAGATTGCAAGTCTCTCGGCTCTAGCCCGCTCAGCGCATAGTTTAGGGTAGGCGAGATACTTGGACGGCCACTCAAAGCCTTCGTCGTTCTCCTCGTTAACACTTTCAAGTGGTATCCTCAAATCGCTCAAGTCCGGCATCGCTGCGTTTCCGAAACTCTGCAAGTCGAGCTCAACATCTGTTCGCAGAATTGGAAGCTCCTGTTTTATGTTTAAGATGCGCGTCCGCCCATCTTCCGCGACGAAATCGGACACCGGTGCTTCTCGCAACACAAAGACTGATTTGAGTAGCAGTACAGCATCCTTGGTGAGCGTCAGTCGTTCCCTGATTAGTTGAGCTGCTGCATTAGTGATAGACACATCCGAAGGATCCCGAAGATCCTGATCAATCGTATCCTCTGACGGGATATAAGTATCACCGATGCGAAGCTGCCTCAACTCGGTCGTGTAGTTTTTACAAAGATCGTTTGAGCGCGCGTAGTCGAGAGCAATCGGTTCCTCTTCTCCCTGGTCGGAGTCCATGTCGCGAGAAGCATCCAAGCGTCAGCAAGAGATTCCAGGACCCGACAATACAAAAAACTAGCAGTTATCTGTACACGATGGTTGGAGTGTGGTGGTCAATCAATGGGCCACGGGTCGCGCTTTCCCTCGCCCTCGTTAGCGCCATCGCGTGTGCACGTGCTCACGCTCTTGGATCAGTCTCCTCTTAACCTATGCGTAGACCTTCTCGCGATACTACGAGAGAGTATCAACAAAGGAGATGAATGCACACTCTACAAGGTGCAGATCCCAAATAGTAAACGTCTGTCAACCAATCCGTGGAACCCAGAGCAGAGTCCTAAAGCACACATAACAGAGCAAAAGAAAGAAGGGAAAGAGAAAAGGAAAAAGACAGGCAAGAGGGTATATAGAAGCATGGAAAACCCCAAAACTAGACCCAAACCTTAAGCTCTGAATACAACACATGATGCAATGCATGCAAAAAACGCCGACCAAACACCTGCATCTTCCGGTCCATACATCATATCAGCCATCATATCATGACTACGTGCCCTGCAAAACCCCCCATCTAAGCAATATCCTCAATGGGGCAATTAGGATGCAGAACATAGACACCCCTAGCACTAGCATCGACCTGGCCCTGCTCATCCGCCAGCCCCTCCCCTCTAATAAGCATCAAGTATTGTTCCTGCATATAGTCAGCGGACGGATTCTCACTTCGTTCATCAACACACGCAAACATACCTTGACGACCTTCTTCAGCACCTTCTTGGCGAGCGCCTTCTCCGTCTCGAGATCCTCGCGCGTCTCCATCTCGTTCTCCTTCTGCTCGAGGTACCAGATGAGCAGCTCTTCTTCCTCGACGCCGTCTTGCGTCTCCTCTTGGTCCTCGTTGACGCGCTTGACAAACATGTTGCGCATGGCAATGTACTTGTCGTGAGTGATTTTGGTCTTTTCGCGGGGGACAACGGCGGGGGTGGCTGTTCGGTCTCTGGGCGTGTCTTGTTGCTCGCCGTCCATGGCTTCGTCACCGTCTTGTTGTTCCGCAGCCGCGGCGGCAGCGAGAAGCGCCTCGTCGTCCTCGTCCTCGACTTCCACGTCGTCTTTTTCAACGGAGATGATGGATTGGCGGAGCAGGTTGTATGCTTCCTTGACGAAATCAGGTGTGATGTCACTCACACAGTTCGCCTTTGCAATCGCCTCCGAGAGACGGATCATACTCTCGAGCTGTCGCACAGTGATGCGGTAGCTGTTGCGGCCGATACCACCTTGTGCGTCGTCTGCTCGCAGTTCTTTGTACTTCTCGACGAGCGTCTCCCTCGCCTCGTCCGAAAACTCGGGTCGGAAGGTCTTTGCGAAGCGAATGTAGCGTTGCAACTGCTCGGTGTCGAACTCTGGGTGAACGGCCTCGTCACGGTCTTTGTGAATACTGACAATGTGCTCCGCGAGGTGGCGGTCAACAGCCTCGTCGCACTCATCGAGAACCACGAAGAACAAATCAAAACGTGACATGATAGGCGCAGACATGTTGACGTTGGCACGTAATGTCGTCTTGCGGTTGTAGCGGCCACCAACGGGGTTGGCTGCTGCGAGGATCGAAGTACGAGCGTTGAGTGTAGCCTGAATACCAGCTTTGGCGATAGAAATGGTCTGCTGTTCCATAGCTTCGTGAATAGCGACCTGATCGGCGATGTCCATCTTGTCGAACTCGTCAATGGCGCAGATGCCGTTGTCAGCAAGCATTAGTGCACCAGCCTCGATAGTGAACTCTCCAGTCTCTTCATCCTTGACGACAGCAGCGGTAAGACCAGCTGCCGACGAGGCTTTGCCAGAAGTGTAAACAGCGCGAGGCAGGAAACTGCAGATGTATTTCAAGAACTGCGATTTTGATGTCGAAGGATCGCCAACAATACAGATGTTGATGTCTCCACGCAGAGCCATGCCTTCTGGTGTTTGTTTGGACACACCACTCATCAGCTGGAGCAGAAGACCCTTTTTGATGACCTGGTGACCGTAAACCATGGGAGCAATTGAATCGACAAGTCGCATGAAGATGTTGGGTTTATGAACCATGTCTTTCAGATCCTGGATCTCAGCCGGTGTGAGCGTAGCCAGGTACTCTTCTTGTGCTTCTTCTCCGCTTGTAGCATTCGACTCTATCTGCCCCTGGCCGAGGGAGGCAAGAATATTGCTGGCGTGACCTGTCAGGTGGTGATTCGACGTTTGCCCTGGAGTGGAATGGTCGGGCGATACCATGCATGCGAGGAAGGACATTCTGTAGGTAAGGTCGCGAACACCCAACGCCTTGAGACCGCTCACACCAGAGCCACCGCCATCGTTGCCACGCATAGCGTTTGAAGTGTCCCTCATCGCCTGTGGGCGAACACCAGGAACACGGAACTGGCTCACGTCTGGAATGACAATGGCAGTACCCGTGAAGATGCACTTCTCTCCCGCCTTTGCGCGATCCACCATCTCTCCTCGCAGGATGACATCCATGGTACGTGGCATGCTACCTGTGGGGATCTCCGAGCTGTTCTCCTGAATGCGAACCTTCTGCCAATCCACGAATGTAGACTGCCTGATATCCAGTCGCCAACCCTCCCTGTTCATGCACGTTGTGTTGGGGCATTGCGTAGGCTCTGTGTACTTGAACGTCTGCTCGATGTTGGGCACTACCGTGTTGCAGGCCTCGCAGATGAAGGTGGCCATGGAAAGTTCTGGTCGGACTTCAGACGTGCGGGTGACGGTTCCTGAGATGGACAGCAGGCTGCCAATCGAGGTGGTCCGCAGCTGGCGGATGCGGGAGACGAGCGGCAGGTTGTAGAAAGCCAATGTGAAGAGCTTGTCTGTCTGCTGGTTCGCCGTCTTCTCGTTGAGGCTGTCATTCTGGCTCGTCGAGTTGGCCCCGTTGGAGGAGGCTGTGACCGAGGCGGTCGAGGCGGGTTGGCGATGCTGGCGGAAGTACTTGGGCTCGTACTTTGCGATGAGGTTGTGCAGTGAGCGAACCATGTATGGCAGAAAGCGGTAGTACTCGCTGGCAATCGCTGCTGCCAATACACCGTCTTCGTGGCTGAGAAGGTGTGTGTAGTCGACGTAAAGCGTGGAGAGGCCGTAGAGCCGCATGCCCCGTATCTGCGCAATGTAGTACTTGTCGGTCGTGGGCACGGCGCTCGAAATAGGTATCGCCGACGAAGACATGTCCTCGGTGTAGCTACACTCGGTCAGGGCCATATATGCAGCACCGAGCATGGCAGTACTCACTTCTCCAGAAATTCCTGGAAGCGCATTGAGAGCGTCTCTCCCGTTACATCGACCACCTTTGGAATGTCTGACCTGGGCGCATTGGGCCGTCTCCCTGCTCCCCGTGCGCCTACAACCTCGTCGTCTGGAAATCCCTCGGCGTCGCTGTTCGCGCCAGCGCTTTCAGACGGGGGCCCGCGAGGTCGAACAGAAGAAGAGCGCATCTGCGACCGCCTAGGGGCCCCGGCATCGCTGGACGGTGTGGGTGCTGCATCAGAGTTGAGGACTGCATCTAAGAGGGACGACATTGTGGTTGCGTGGCGGTGGTAGAACGTGGGATTGTTTGTGTTTGCGGGGACCAAAGCATGTCCTGGAGTTGTGGGCGGGGGCAACAACGCGAAACACGGAAACACGGTCGCGCTGGAATGGATGGTCCATGCACACTACATTTCCATTGAAGCAAATATCACGGCGTCCGTCGACGAGTTCCAAGACATGTTAAGCACTACGAGATACTTTAATATTTCTTTCTTCAAGCCTTCGCCAGCTCTCCATCGCCCTGTCCTCTCAGACCCTTCTTCCCGTTCTTCTCAGCCGCGTCCTGAATCTCCCCCGCCAACCTGTCCAGATAGAACTTCGCCATGTCCCCTGGAACCTCTCTAAAAGCCCTCGTAATCTTCTCTACGTCTCTCCTCCCATTCTCGTAAGCCTGCAGATCCCTATTGCCATACACGTCCTTGCCTGCTGCATATCCAACATCCAAGTTGCGCCAGAAGACGTTCACCGCGACGCTGACCCCTTCTTCTGGCGTCGCTGTATGACTCCACATAGGTGGGATGAACAGAATGTCACCAGGTTTAATGCATGCCTTGTGTGGGTGCGTATGCTTGAGTTTGGCATTCTTGGACGTCAAGACATCGATGTTGGAGGAAGAGCCTCCAGGTGGGAAGTCGAGGTGCTTGACATCCGAAGGTGGGTATAGATACAGCGTCTTACTGCCACGAATCTGACATAGCACATTGGCTAGAACGTCGTAGTGCAGCCAGAGAGACACAGGGCCTGAGATGCGGAGTGGTGAGCTATGATGACTGGATTTCACCGCCTCAAAGATCTCTGGTATGCGAAAATCGGCCGCGATGCTAGGAAAATCATCTTCGAGCTTTGTGGGAAGTTTGTTTGGCTGGCTAGATGATACGGCACGAAGATATGCTTTGGAACCTGTAGCAATCCCGTCAAAGAAGTCAGATACAGACCGCTTGACGTATTGGAAGTTCTTATCCTTGAACGTCATGCGATCTGAGGAGCAGTCATGAATGATTAGTTCGCGCTCCGCACCGATGTTCTCCTTAAGGTAGTCGAGCGTCCAAAGACCTGTGCACGGACCGATATCAAGGCCTTCAATGATAGCTGGTTTAGAGGCAGCCACCAAGTGAGCAAAGTCCTCTGCCGAATGCAGTTGTACTCGCGTAACCTCCTTTGCATGCACAGAAGCAGGCTTTTCGGCCTTGGTCTGTAGATCTTTACGCGTGTTCGAGGGAAATGGCAGGGTATTCGCTTGTGCTGTGCCGTGGACCTGAGGCGGAAGTGGACGCCACGAATTCACCCCTTGCATTGTGCCTCGAGTAATGGTGATGTGGCCTTCGTTCCAAAAACTCCCCATGGAAAAACAAACAGCACCTCCCCCTGCTATCACAATCTCGTCTCGAGACACTGCAACGGTGCCCATGCCAACAAGTAGAGGCCAGGCTGAAGGAACGTGCACAATAGGTTGTTCGACATGAATCCCCGTACTGTCGAGGGTCAGTACCAGAAAGTCGTCAGACAGACTGTGGATCTCTTTCTTGGAAACCCCTCCAACCATCAGAAGAGCGTCACCCCATGGGACCAGACTTGCACCTATCCGAGCGTGTGTTATGTTTGGGAGTTTGCAGTGTATCCTATTGGTGCAGTCTCTGAGAATCAGCCGTGGTTGTGGTTTTAGTGAAATGGACCACTCCCAGATATCCTCAAGAACTGTGCCATCGGAGCCTATGCCACCAGCGAGCAGCCCCGAGTCTTGACCTGCGCCTATCGTAGATATTGCGGCACCAAATCGTGCTGATGGACGCGGGCCGTCGACGGAAATGCTGTGCCAGCCGTCGTTAGCTGTCCATAGCTGCCAGTCATCAAGAACTGTGCCGTCACTCGCTTTGCCGCTAAATACCAGGACACCTTCGATTTGTGACCCCTCGCAATTCGACGTGACAGCGACAGCACAGTGCCTGTATCGAGCCGTAGTCAAATCATACACTTTCGACCAAGCTCCATTCTTGATGAGCCAGCAGTCGGGAAGTGCATTTGTTGGGGATGCGCGACCACCGACCAGTAATGCCTCAACGTCGCTTATCGACGTGATCGTGTGGCACATACGTGCATGAGGTGGCGGCGAAGTGTCGGCTTGCACTTCAGGCTGGGGATCTTCTCGTGTCAGTACGTCAAGATTTGCAAGGCGATTCTGAGGGCCTTGTCCTCCATGAAAGGCAACCGTGCCCTCCTTGACTTTGAAGGCTGCAGTGAATCGTCGTGGCGTCCAGGATACTTCTCCTGATGACCTCCAGGGATTCAACATGACGGTTTCGGAATCAGCGGAAGGTCTGCCGCGAATATCTGCGGCTGCATCCATCCTGGAAACGCCATTTAGGTCACCTGTCTTCGCATTTGATGCTACTAGCAGAAAGTAATGACCTCCGAACAAAGCAAACTCTTCCCATTCGTCAAAGGGCTCGATGGCGTCAAGCTTGCGTCGAAGAGTCACAGGAGTGAACTGATCATCGGACCATAGGTCCCACAGATTACGAGCAGTGGTCAACATCGGCCATCCTGCGTCAAGGAACCGGGTTGACTGCTCAGCCAGTGATAGATATCGCTCGACCGCCTTGATGGAAGTCTGCAGCTTGTCGAAGTGATTGAGCATGGTCTTCGCAAAGGGATGCTCGGGGCCTTGAGGCAGATACTGTTCCAGTATGCAGAAGCGAGCTGTCAACGTTAGAATACTCCCATACCCGATATCTCACATACCAACGTACCGTCTTCAAGGGTACTCGCCCACCGGATGAGCGCGTCAGAGTCCACCAGTGGCATATAAGTGACGGATACCTCCGCGACAAAAAGAATGGAAGACCCCGGAACATCGAACTCAGTGCGTAAAACTCGCTCAAGCAGTTGGAGATCCCTGAGATCGCAGCCCAGCGCCAGGTACCGGTCACTCCGAAGGTATACAGGCGGCTCAGATGAGCGCAGTTTAGTCTTGAAAAGTGCATCTCGTAGCAGATTGTTGGTCAACATGCGGTCTCTCTTCTTTTCCATCAACTGGGGATAGTCAACGTCCACAAACGTTGCATCCTGGGTAAGTGAAGCATATCTATGCCAGAACTGAAAAGGCAGGGGGTCACTTTTTCTTTGTTAGTGTTCAGCCTCAACACGGAGGCCGAGGATGGACCTCTTACTCACTATCCGCATCCTAGGTTCACGACAATCTTTGGCTTTCCGTTCTCTTCTTGAAGAAATCGGAGAACGACCTGCTCGATGGCGTGCATTCGAAGCCAATAGCCACGGTTGATAAGTGGATTTCTTCGAACGAACTTGGGCACAAACGGTTCGTAGAAGTCTGGCTCTTTGGTAAGATAGAGCTTAGACACACTTCTCTTGGAGACGATGCTGCTGTCATTCGTCTGTGCTGGGAGTCAACATGTTGTTGGAGTCGAGTCGATCATGTGGTGCTCACGTTCATAATGTCATTGTCTCGTTTCTCCTGCTTTGGTCGAAGATTGCCTTTGCGCTTTGCAGCGCCCTTCTTGGACCCCATCTTTTGTTTGTTCGACATGGTCGCTGTGTGGGATGGTCAAACCCAGCGGCGAATGATTTTGGACACCAGCCACAAGCGGGGCTAGGTAAGCGGATCCCTGCAGCTGTGAGCAAGTGAGCCAACCAGTCCGGAGCTGCCTCACTAGGTAGGTAGCTGGTGTTTGTCTCCGATCCTCTGCCAGGCAAACACGCATATTGATGTTGCTCTCATCGCACGGATCATATCAGTTTGGCAGCTGCATTACATCTAGTCGCCCATAGCGCAAAGTGTCCGTGATCGCGAACGGGCGTGCGAGCTCGGCCATCTATATCCACCATCATCTTCCATCAGCCCAGAGCACCACAAGCAGCCATGGCAGCCATGAACTTTGTGACGTTCAACCAGGACCATAGCCATCTGGGTGTCGGTATGCAGAACTTTTATATGGAATGGAACATGCTCTGAATATACTCTAGGTACCAGCAACGGGTACCGCATCTACACCACCGACCCGTTCAACAAGCAGTCCGAGTCGCGCGAAGGAGATGTATCGAGCTTGGAGATGCTCTTCTCCACGTCGCTGGTAGCCCTTACCTTGTCGCCACGCGTGCTGCGGATACAGAACACCAAGGTTCGTCGGCAAGCACGCCCGTTTGGCTATTGCGCACGCTGACAAGCTGAAGAGACACTCGACCATCTGCGAAATGACATTCCGTACGGCGATTCTGGCGATGCGACTGAACAGGAAACGGTTGGTGGTTGTGCTGGAGTCTGAGCTGTACATCTACGACATCAGCAACATGCAGATGCTCAAGACCGAGAAGACGTCACCCAACCCAAATGGTATGCCAAACACTTACGTCTTTATGAATGTGCTGACCACCTCCAGCGATATGCGCACTGTCGGCGTCCTCTGAGAACAATTACTTGGTCTACCCACTCCCTACCAAAGCCGCGCCCGCTACCTTCCAACCGCCCTCGCATGCGCCGCCCAAAGCCGACCATGTCGCACCGACAAGCGGCGAAGTCCTCATATACGATGCTACAAAGATGGAAGCAGTGAATGTGATAGAGGCACACAACTCCCCTCTGTCGTGCATAGCACTGAACAACGACGGTACCCTGTTGGCGACGGCGTCTGAGAAGGGCACCATCATCCGCGTCTTCTCCATTCCAGATGCACAGAAGCTGTATCAGTTCCGGAGGGGGTCAATACCTGCCAGGATATACAGCATGTCCTTCAACTCCGCATCTACCTTACTCAGCGTGTCATCAGCAACCGAGACGGTCCACATCTTCCGCCTTGGTGGGCCCAACGCAAGCCAAAGTAACAGCATATCGTCCGGACCAGACAAAGCGCCCTCTGGGTCTCGAGAGCGTAGCAACAGCCGGGCTAGCGAGGAATTGGTAGATGAGTTTGGGGACAGCATATCAGACATTTCGGCCCCAGAGCGCAAACCAGTGAACCCGACCTTTGCCAGCATGATACGGCGCACATCGCAGACTGTCACCAAGTCGTTTGCAGCAACAGTTGGGGGCTATCTGCCAAGTGCCATGGCCGAGATATGGGAGCCTGCGCGAGACTTTGCCTGGGTCAAGATTCCGCGATCACCCAACAGCGCATCCTCGGGCCCGATGAGGACCGTGGTTGCGCTCAGCAACAACGGCCCCCAGGTCATGGTGGTCACGAGCGAGGGCAGTTATTACATCTTCAACATGGACTTGGAGAAGGGAGGAGAGGGGACATTGTACAAGCAGTTCTCGTAAGCGTTGCCACAAGTCGAGGACACGTATAGATGCAGATGCTAACTTTGCCAGGCTCCTGGAACCCACCGAGCTCACGTCGAGCACCTCGCAAGATCTGGCCGAGTAGCAATCGCAGCGGATGTTCAAAGCTTCTTGATTGTTCTTGCGTCTCGCATCGCGACTTTTGTTTTTGCATTGCCATTGGCGTTGATCGATATAGTCTTATTCCCCAACGTTGGAGCTCCGGTTTGTCTAGATAGTTAATCGACATCAGGGTGCGCCAGGCAGCAAGCCATCTGCACCAACCCGCGAACGGTCCACACATGCGAAATTGTGACGTAATATTGTAATGATGAAGCATCGACGGTGCTGGTATTTGTGCTTCAATCTCCATGTCGTGCATCCGTCTGTCTGGCCAAACCAAGTGTTGTGACGCGTGAGTGCAGTTTGATGCATTGCGGCTTGTCGATCGATCGTCCCGCATGCAGCTCCCCGGTCCCCGCCTCTGACCTCATACTCACACTATTGGTCGCACCGGAGCTTACTTTTGTTGCCTACCATTATCCAACATAAATTCATCTCCCTTCACACTCACCTCCCACTCAGATAATAACACTTTACGTCTATTCCTTGATCAAACTACCAGCACACCCACGATCTGCAAGCTCCAATCTCAACATCATGGTGCAAGGAAGATCCGCGGGCAACCCGCTCTGCGCGGGTTCCCTGTCACTCTTTATGGCTACTTCGCTGCCAAAAGGAGAAGGGCAGCAACTGAAGAACCCTACCGAGGCTGTCGCACTTGCTGTACATGCAGGTATGCTTGCCGTGGGATTTCGTCTAATTGGACTGGGAGAAGACGACAGGATAGGTAAGTCTCCAAGTGTAATCGTGTTGCCTAGGCTGGTACTCAAACAACTATAGAAGCATCTGCAAATGCAGAAGACCCACGCCCTCTACCAGCAGCATGGAACGCCTCTTCCTCGTATGCTTTTCGATACGCGCACCCGCAATCCGCCATGGAGTACATGATCAACGTGAGTAAACGCGGAGTCAAAGCAATGGTGGACGGTTTCGCAATCGGGGACGACAACATCAGACATTTTGATGTCGTAACGAAAGAATACCTCTCCGAGTCTATGCTCCCAATCACCATCTCAGAAGACACGCCCACAGAGCAAGCGGCGACCAAGCTACAAGACCTCTTCATCTCATCAGGACGGCTGAACGACCTTGGCGCACTATTCAAAATATCCATCGTCCAGAAACTCGCGCCCAGTATACACAAGCCAGGCTACGAGGAGACGCGTACAGATCGCGAACGCACACCCACTGCCGAGCGTCCGGCATCACAGCAAAACCAGCCTCCCAATCCACGCCAACCGCCTCGCGATCCAGAACCTGCGCGCCCATACCCGTACAACGATCCCTTGGCTGCACAACCACAGCCAGGTCGACCGCTACCAGAACCCATACCGGGCTTCGAGGACGAATACGAGGTCAATCGACCCGCACGCGGTGGTCTCCGCGACGACCGTTATCCGGTGGGCATAGGACACGACGACCTCTACCCGCAAGGTCTTGGGCCTAACGATCCTCTCCGTCCACATCTAGGCCCAGGGATACCACGGCCAGGTGGAGGTTTTGGCGGCGGCATGCATCCCACCTTTGACGACCCGCTATTCAGAGGTCAAGGCGGTCCGGGAGGATACGACCCCATGGCCCCTCCAGGCGCGCGATACGACCCCATCGGCCCTGGCGGTGCGCCGCGAGACAACCGTGGAGGACCCCGCTTCCCCGGTGGAGGAGGATTCGGAGGAGGATTCGGCGGAGCTGGGGGCAGGCCGCCGAATCCGTTTGGCGGGTTCGGCGATGGCGACTTTATTTGAGGGGAAAGAAAAAGGAATTGAGCGAGGATAGGAATCCCACGACACGACCAAGAACGGACACGACGATCACGACCTCACGACTCGCATGTCTAGTGTAGTACACCGAGCTTTCGACTGCGTCTGCGATTTATGAATATAGGAAGTAGCATTAAAATGCATTCTTGACGTGCGTTGTGGCATCACTGTAGGAGAGTTAGGTAGTACGCAAACAATGCATGATCAAACACGATAGTAGTAACAACAAGACCAACCCTGTTTGTCCAACATACCATGCATGCGGGCTAGGTTCCACCACATACACACATGCATATTGAAATTCTCGTTCCCATCAAACAATCATGCACAACACAACGAACGCAGATTCGCGAATCGAATGTTAACCCCCCGCCCCATCACCAACACCAACACCGGCACCAACACATAACGTCCTTCCCTCCCTCCCTCCTTACATCATCACCAGCAGCATCAATCTATACTTACACTTACACTTACCCATGCATCCCATCCCATCCCACCTAAATCCACCAACCCAACCAAAACCACCTCGCACATCCCCATCACCCTCATCGTCATGACCTAACTAAATCCCCGCGCCATCACCCTTACTTTCCACACCTGCACGCACATCCGCATCCGCATCTGTATCTGCGTCTGCGTGACACGCGATCGCGTTTCAAAGTGCCATCATGGCTCAAACAGCGATGTAGGAGTGGAAGATACCGTGCGTGGTGGTATGCAAGGGGCGCCCTGTGCGGGTTTGGGGACTCATGTTCAGGGGTTGGGAGTAGAGGGGATGGGGATGGGTGGGTGTTTGTGCGGGTTCGGACGGTGGGAGAGGTTGTTATTTAGGGGGAATAGGGGAGTATGGGGTTAGAGTGGTGGAAAGTAGGGGGTTGAGAGGGAAGTGGAAGTGCGGGGTTGGCGTTGCGTGGGACGTGGTAGGGCGTGATAGGATATGGGCGTCCTGGTGTCTGTACGCATGTGAGGTTTTCGAACTGAATTGCGTGGGACTGGATTGGATTGGTGGGGGAGGTAGGGTAGGTTTGTGTACGCGTGTAGAGGGACAGGCGGTAGCTTTCTGGATAGAAGAGTGTATGGAGTTGGTCCGCGGTGTGGTAAGTACGTAGTACGGACTGAAGAAGGTGAGTAGCGAGTTAAAGGGTGGGGTACGGTGTGCGTGCGTGTTCGTTGTGAAGGGTGCGGATACTCAGCCGGTTTAGTTGACGGGTGGTAGTGTAGGGGAGAGGTGTGTGAATTTGAAGCGCGCGTGCGAGCGCTTGTGTGTAGAGAGACCCATCCTTCGGTGGAAACACATACGTGATACTGAACAGGAAGAGGCTTCTTGTTCCCATGCTCACATCTGATCTGGTCCAATCTAGGGTGTAGTTTCCACGCCTTCTCAGTCCGTACGTGCGTGCGTACTTTGTTACCGCGTCATCCGCGCGCTTGATTGTGTATAGCAGAATGCCTCCGTGCTCCTCCTACCCGACAGTGACGCCTGGATTGCATCGGCTTACCCCACTGTTGAAGTCAAAGCACGACACTCAAATATGGCGACTGGCCAAGATTACAGGATTGTCGGTCTGCAAGCCCATGTGTTGGCATGCTCGATCTCGGTGAAAATCTATGGCTGAAGGATTAGGATCTCGATACACTGATTGATGTCTTGGTAGAACGCTAGATAGTTAAGAGAAGGTTGTTAGAACCTTGTCATCGGATGGATCTTTGTGGCTGTCATACGATTCGGGCTGGAGGCCTTTCGATTTGGAATTCTCAGTTTGCTGCCCACGATCTACACCACGAGTTCCTCAATGGCAACTGATTCCAAATCTTTTGCAAGTCTACCCGCGCTTGATGACAAGTAGGCGATTGGCGTTGACTGAGAGCCCGACTGCGCTACACTGTTCGCTAGAAACATACGCAGCGACAACATACGAAAAGGCTTGGATACGCACATCAAACGCGTCTCACAGACTGCGCTGGCATAATAAAATATGAGTGGAACATATCCAAGCACATACACTGTCTATACATGGTATCCATCCATAATCTCGCCTATAGTTCTGCGAAACTCCGCAAGGCGACACAGGCGCGCGTCAGCCCACCGGACGCTCCTCATATCGCCAACGGCTGCGGGAGGTTGCAGGTGCGAATGATGCGATGCCGCTGTGCCGCAACGATGCGGCATAAGAACGTGCCGGTTTGAGAGGCAAATCAGACATCGATCTCTCAAGGGATCGACACTGAGACATGGGACTGTGCAGATGTTCGACGAGGAAGTGATTGCGAAGATGCTGGTCATGCAACGCCAATTGGTTACGACGGAGACATTGAAAACGGAGACATTTGCGACGGAGACATTTACAACCCCTAGAGCAGACTGCATGACATATGAACGGCAAATACTCAGGTGGATATGGTTTACAACACGTGCATCCCGTGCTAGAGACTGCGATGATCGAGGGGCGTCTGAAGCGCATACGCGTGTAGCCCGTTAGGCTGCGCTGCAACCTGCATTTCGCTCTCATTTACCTCTGTGTTGGGTTCTACTATACTCGACACGAATACCTGCCGCACGCTTGGCTTGCTGAATGTGGACCAATACTTAATGACCAATGTTCCTGAATAATGTTCGGCCGCTGTGGATGTCGCTTGTCGAGTGGGATTCAGGAGCGCCTTAACCGACATTCGTCACGACTCAGACCAGTATTAAGGTTCTGGTAAGCTATCGAAGACCAGAGTCAGTCGGCAGGGCCATCACAGGAGGAAATCTGACCGCACACCACAAATCTATCTCCGCGTTGTGGGACAGTCGGGCATAAAATATCGGCAGAAGATGATACAGCCTCAGACCCTTTCGGCGTTTACACCGGAAACGAAGTCGTCCCCGGTTGTGCCCCGATTGGTCGGGGAACAGCCCAATGTTTCCCACACGCCCCACCAAAATGCCCATATCACATTAATAAATGAATAAGTCTAACCGGGTCGAGACGTTGGTCGTTGGAAGCGTTCCTGGATGTCGGGCTCTTGGAGTTGAATTTTGTCCCGAAGTTTCAGATGGCGATTCTGACATCAGCATCGGAGAGAATTGCGTGCAGCTGTGGATGGCGCATTTCCCGGAAGATTTTTGTGAGGCAGCCAGGTCTCCAGAATCGACTGAGCAGCCCCGAAAGGCTTGGGTTTGACGTACATCAACCTAGATAGGTATTCTCCGGGGAACGCGTACACTTGCTAGCCTTGCTAGCCTTGCTAGCGTTACAGGGTATTTCTCGACAGGGCCCACAATCTGCTTAACTGCCCAACGGTGAATCCTTCGCATAATCGCATCGGGTCGACGCAGACATGCGCGCAGTAGCGCTAGTCTTACCAACCTAGCCGCGTCTCTAAGCTATGTCGTAGTCGTAGTCGTAGTCGTAGTCGTATGCGCCGGGGACGTGAAAAATAAGATGCAATACACATTGAGAACTGGACGGCGATATAAAGTGTGGCGCTGATGCGTATTTTGTACCTGGTCGCCGACGTTGGTTTTAGCTGCGCCTCACACGCGGTAAGCGACGTGATCTTCGTGGCGCGCTTATTTTGTGCAGCTCGCTTGCGGCTGCGCGCGTCACTGAGCGCTTGTTGCATATGCACCGCGGCTGTCTGGGGGCTTACGCGAGGATCTGACTGATCGCCTTGTGGCGGTTAAGCGCGCCTCTCCTGCGCGCGCTTGTCGCCGGATAACGCCCGTGACGAGGCTGCTTAACTGCATCTGGAGTGATGTATTTTGCCAAGGTGAATAGCGATAAGGAAAAGCAAATAGAACCATGATAGTACACTAGTAGCTTCGATTGCATTACTAGCAAGCCCCTAGCGAACTCATTTAGACGAGCGTCAACTGCCGACCTAGGTGGCAAGTTCTCAAGAGTAGGGCTGGATACATGGCGGCATTATGCATCTGATTCATGGTTGAAATAATTCTTTGACGTATCCGAGATTCAGCCCTGGTTGTAGTGGTAGAGTTTGGATGGCTGACGCACTGATTGCATCATCGGCGTCGATATGGAAGAAACGTGTTCCTAGATCTCGACTATGAAGGGTTAAAGATGACAAAGTACTCGGGCAAGCGGGAGAAACCGCTTGTCAGGCGTCTAACAGTGATCCACCAGAACCCGTGCTGGCCACGAGTCATCCATATGATCACAACGGAGGGGATGCCTACACGGGCGCTCCGGATTCTACCATTATAATGACAACCCTCTCCAAAGATGACGCAAGGATCGTCAGAAACTCTGGAGTGTTTCGAGTCACTCTCCACGGATGATCGAACGGATTGCAGTGATCGTAGCAAGCTCCTCTCTTAGCTCGTACGATTGGTCCATAATTGCATATCTTGTTTGGGGACGCTGTTGCCTGATCGCACAGGTATAGTTCATGCGTCGATTTAATTGCAGTGTGTGTCGACGAAAAACAGGGCTTTGGATTGTCCGATGCAGGAAAGAAGCCGAAACGGCAAGCCATCGTCAGGCCACAACGGCGCCCACTGCAGGCACCGGAGGGGGTAACCGATACTTTTGCGGGGTGTCGCGCTGTACATCCTAACCTGCTACCACGTACGGATATGGACAGACCTACGCGAGTGCAATTTCAGAGACGGTACTGTCGGGTACCCTACCGTATTGCTAAACAACAGGTTGTCGAGTGACATCGTTGGCGACATGTCTTTGGCGATGATTGACCCTTGCATGGAAATACACAGACGCGTTGGTTACCGAATGTCTCAGTCGAAAGATGAGTGATTTAATCCCTGGCGCCACCAAAGGAAGCGCGACCTCCTCGTCGCTGTGACAAGGCTGCCCAGTCTTGATGAGATGACTGACGGCACCACCCGCCAGTGCGTTTACTGGCCCACATATTGCGAGGATCATGTGATCTGGAGGCTTTCGCTCATCGCCGACTCTCGTCCTGATCGCCGACTGTCGTCATGACTGCGGCCAAGTAAACGCAGGCTAGCACGTGTCGCATAGCATACTGTAAAGAGACAACAGCTTGATGCTAGAAGAGTTTGTAGTTGCAGGTTCCAATAAACCCGGAAGTCTGGTCTGAACTAGGAAGAGAATTGATTCTTGTTTTGTCATAAGCATATGCGGGACTGTGACTTGTACGGACAAAGAAGGCAGGATTCCTCCACGAAAGAGCCATGGAAGCCGTGACGTGAGGAGGTTAGTGTGTGGTCTATGCCAAGTCTAGCGAACCGACGTGGGGCGAGATAAGACATGGCGAAGCATCGTCCATCCGTTAAGCGCTGCCAGGACGCTACCGACCGGTGAGGGAGAGACGCTGCAGAAGGGATCAGTGGCCGGCATTCTGCCGTTTACGAGTTGCTCTGTAGGTCATGGTGTAGAGACAGGGTCCCAACAGCCGCCGCAAATCCACCCATCCAGGGCAGGCAGGTGCAGCAGACTAGACTCGAGCAAAATTGCAGGTAATACCCAGCTAGAGAGAATCCTGCGTCTAATTGCACCAAAGTAGCCCGTTCGAGGAACAATGAACCCGTGCCGTAATCGTATGCGCATCGTGGTCAAATTAGAGAAAAGGTGTGTGTGACGTTGCAGGGTGTCATGCATTGTTAAGCGCCGAGCTGAACAAATTTGCACCCATAATCCATGCGGTTCGCCTTAGCTCCAGTCAGTGCGTTCTGAACTTACGGCAGCGATCCCCGGCCGAAGCGCGGATGCATTGAAAAACGGTGTGGTCCATGCTGGCACTCTAGGATCGATCCAGCGTGGCGCATGTCGAGCAACCCTGGCTGGCCAACACTTAAGGCCTGTGCGTACGCACGTACCCTAGACGGTTAGATGAATGGTACGGGATAGTTCAAGGATAAAAATGTGAGGCAGTGTTGAAAGACAAAAGTATATTTGCGCAAATCTAAGGCTAATGGCAGCTCAAGAGATTCAAACAGCCTCCCAAATGTCGTTGCGAAGCCCATCTATCGCATCCAGGTATCGAGCTGATAACGCCAAGGGTATACTCACTGTTACCCAAATATCAAAACCAATGCCCACGCTACAATGCTACAAGAAAATCAAATACCACTCCCATCCGTTACCATTTCCGTGTTTCAATAGCTTCCTTTTGTACATATGATCTGTAGGCCTATGTCTAAAGTCCTCCGTTGGCTGAATATGCGTCGCTTCGAAGGCGTGCAAGCATTACAGGGTCTTCGACTTGCACCTGAAAGCGGCGTGTACATCCATCTTCTTCATGCCTAAGAGAACGGGTTAGTGAATGATGCAATGAAGCTGGCTGAAACGTGCATACCTGCGGAGTGTGTCCTTGCGCGAGAAATCCTTAGGACAATTCAAACATTTGAATTCTTTGGATTGGACGTGAACACTCAAGTTATGTCGCACCAAATCCGTTTTCCGTGTGAATGCCTTTGAGCAGCTGGGGTCTGGGCAGACGTGGTCCTTCTTTCGGTAGGGTTGATGGGTCAACATATGTTGAGTGAAGTTGTATCTCCTTGCGAAACCCTTATTAGGACATGTCTCACAACGAAACGTGGCTTTTGCGGGGTCTGTATGCCTTGGATTGCGTGATCGTTCTCGTGGCACGCTTGTGGTGATGTACTTGGAGCGAGATTTACTGCGTGGAATTTTGACGCTCTTCTCTGAAGGTGTTCGCTCATAGTCATGGAATCTATAACTGAGAGCAGGCGTTGGCTCGAGACTGGTCATCGATGCAGGTGTGTACGCGCTGCTATATTGGTATGCACCCGTATCCATTCGACTGATCATAGCAGTAAGCGGGTGCTGCTGCGAGAATTGCATGTTGTTCATTTGAGATGATCCTTCTGAGTTGTATCGTGCATCTGTAGCCCAACTTGTACTTCCAATCCTCATTCCAGAGTAGGAACTCTCTGAATCGTCGTGGGAAAAGACAGACATGTCTCGAGTCGAAGATGACAGCGAAGAGCGGGGTGATGTATGAGCAGAGCTCCAAGGCTGAGGCGATTGAGAGACTGGGTGTTCGAAAGCTCCTGACGTCCAAGGATCTGCGATGGCTTCAAGTGAGACTGAAGAAGTTCCACTAGAAAGATGGCCAACCCAGGCAGGAGAGGATTGAGGCGGCGATGGGGGTAGGCACACTGGCAGTGGTTGCTGGTAATTGTAGAGTCCAAGACTATCTGGGAATTTCGATCCGGGCTCAATTCGATTCGGTGAGGGATACGGTGATTCAAGTAGTGTTGGTCTTGATGTATGGTGTTGGTAGGGTGAGTTGAAAGGAGGCGTCGGGTGGTCCGCGTACCCCAACATAATGAAAAGGTGATGATGGGAAAGGGGAGTAATAAGAATTCGATACACAAAGACTTAGATGTAATAGAGGATGAAAGTGGCGAGGTAGACAATGTAGCTCGGTTAATGAGGAGTGACAAAAGAGGCTGCAGGTCGGATTATATCTGAATGATGCAGAACGCCGAACGCCTCAATAGATCCAAGATCAGATGTCGATATGTTGTATTGCGGCAGTGTCTTCTCGAAGCAATGCGTTCGATCGCTGTGCTTTTGAAGGGTGAGGCAGATTCGGAGATTGTCCTATACAGGGCAACGACATGCGTGCATGGTCAGGGCGAGCTCGAGCCGCGTAGGCGGCAGGCGCCTGTTAGCTGCATGGCCATGTCTCGCGGAGGGCTGTGGTGGGGAGGGGCGCAACCAACAGCATAGTACCTAAAAGGTGTGCAAGGGCCCCCGGCATAAGTGGATGTTGTGGCGCCACCGCCGGGGACTTGAACACGACCCAAGCTCTCGGGAATGCCTGAGCGGGCCGAACACAATTAGGATTTGCGCTGACTGCAGCCTGGAGGCGCGAGGGGGGGCGGCTGAACCCATGTTGTGATGAACACGCCCTTGACGTGGTTCAGTCAGGAGTGAACGTATTCTCGGCAATAATTACTCAGATCCCGCCGATTTTTTCATTTTATTGCTACCCCGCCAAGTCCCAACTAGTGCTTCAACATCGTGTGCGCCAATTGAGTGTGTTGTAAAAGTGAACAAACAATATTTGCCTTGTATTTATCCGCGAGTGTAGTATTCGTTCTCAGCAACAGGTGTCTGCTACAGACGGCCGGAAGCGCCGGCCTTCAAGCGGCCTCACTCGCTTCGCGTTGCTCTTGAAGCTGCGATACCACCACTGTGAGCTCCTCGACCCGTGCCGTTAGCTTGAGAACCAACGTTTTCAACTGCATGTCCGATCCCCCAAGTCCCGCGTTGTTGTGCAATCGACTGGCTTGATGCAGTTTTGTAGACGGAGCTAGTGTTGCCTCCGAATCTGTAATCAAAAAGCCTGGTGAGTTAATGGCTAACCGAGGAGGCCTTTTTGACGACGCAGGAGTCTGAGGTCCGCTCAAAGGCATCAGACTTGCCTTTTGTTTGTGCGAATCCACGAGCTGCTCATAAACCCAAATTGCGCCTACGAACGGGAGGTGCGTAGCTTTGAGCAGTACAATGCGAGTACTCCTCAGTCGTTCCGAGGGCACGATGAGTCGGAAGGGGCGTAGACAGAGGGGAATCAGATTCTGCACAAAATCAGCCTCGCAGTCATCAGAGCGCCAGTTTCTCTGTCTCTGTTCAAACTTTACAACACAATCAAGGTCTCTCATCCTCTCACAGCTTCATCAGTCTGGGAAAGCCTGAGCGGCAGTGGGAGGCTTGACTAAAGTGCCATGACAACTTGAAAGACGTCAATGCACCATGCCGATCGAGCCGCATTCGCCGGAGCAGTAGCGAGGTTCTTGCGGTTGGTTGTGAGAATCGGTGGTGCCGACTCCCCCGAGGCTGTCTTGGTGGCCGTTTTGGCGGCCCGGCGCTTATATGCCGTTTGAAACCTCCGGCAATAAAAATGGGGAACCACTTACAAGGGGAGGCATAAAATAGGTCAAGCGATTCGATGAGGATGCTTCAAGAACATAGACCGAATATCTGCGGGTGTGCTGCGGTCAATGACGGTGCAAAAAGACGCCTTGCGAAAAATACACTCACATGAAAAGATACTCGTCACGTGCGTGATCCAGAATCTGGCTCATTGTTAGCGTTCTCATTGTACGGCATGGCGCAGCTAGATTCAAGGATCGAAGCGTTGGGGGCCAACGGATTTGAATCAAGAGGTAGTGTACCTTGCTTAGAGAATTGCTCAGAAGCGAGATCAAGCTCGTGATGAGTAGGATATTGGTCAAGATAATGAATACCAACTATTGCACCAATCAGCAGAGCAAATATGGATATGAGTCTGTTCACGTTACCATTACAGGGGGACCAAAGAACGGCGATCTGTAGCTGGCGTTAGTGGACTGATAATCTCCCTTATTTGGAATACATACATCTGCGAAGCGACATCAAAACCAAGGTAGCTTGATCTGCATGGCAAGAGTTAACCAGCCAGGTCTGGAATTGGACATAGCTTCACATACCCGAAAAAGACCTTGATCAATATCCAACTCTACATTATGTACGTTAGCAACAGGTTAAGCTTCATGACCCAGAGCACTAACCATTTCTCTCGGCTTAAATTCTTCACGGGCCAACAGCACGAATGTGGTGAGAAAGCCAAGATATAGGATGATGACAAGCGACAAGAATTTGATGAAGTCTTTGGTCTGTTACACAGTTAGGTCTAGTTGACTTTCTACTTACATTTGTATGGATGAGTACTGACCATTTCCTTGAGGCACGGGATCTGTCAATTCGTCAGCTTTGCACGTACAATCGACTTCAATTCAGGATTTCAGGACGAGGCAGTGCCACTGTACACGACATCGCGGAGGAGAGGGCTACTGAGGTATGTGAAGTGCTTACCAGGGTACCAAAATAACGATTCAGACTGAGAAGGGAGAATATGCGTGGTACAAGGAAGAGAGCCTCCAATCCAAGCACGTCGTAAGCCAGGTCAATGGTGTCCTTGGATTGTTGGGTCAACCCGACAATTCTGAGCGCGCAGAATATGACACCGACGATGACAATGCTTATGTCCCACATCCACCAGAAATCCGAGGCGTAGAAACTGGTTTGTCCTGCATCAACCCAGTCGGCGAATTCATCGTAGGCGAAACTGGCAATCCAAAAGTAGAGCAGGACCTCTGGTACGGTTACTCGAGTGGAGTCTCGGTGTACAAGTACTGCATAATACAGTGCTAAAAACACTGCAAAGAAGAGCGTCTCGAAAACCTTCAAGTACAGAGGAACTCGTAAGCGGCAGAACGGATCAGCTTGCTTGCGATTGTATTTGCTGGGCTTCTTGACCGAATTAACGCTGAGCGTCTCCCAGAAGACGATGTCACCCCGCCACAGTCCATTGATGATCTTCTGCACGGGTCGTTGGCTAAGAAACTTCTTCGCACCAGTAACGCAGGCAATCTCGAGCGCGCTCAGGTTTTCACAATTGGATGCCAATGAACCAAACCGTGCACTCGCAGCGGTTTCATTTCTATGACCAAAGTAGTCACTGTTGGAACCACTCAGGAGAGGTGTTTGTTCACCAGGCTGGTTAGTGTTCCGGCCATTATGGCTGCTATGTGCGCTTTCTTCATCTCGGTCGCTGCCAGGAGATGATGCAGGTGGCAGCTCGACTAGCAGGAAGTCAATGATGTCCCTGTCTGTCAGATTATTGAGAAATTGCCAGGCAACAAATTCGCATGCATATCCTCTCGCTTGATTCACGCCTGGGTCGTCGCTGGTTTCCTCAAGCGCAGAGAAGTATCCCTTCAGAGCCCTGTGTCGAGTCAGGTCTTGTTCTTCGCTCAAACAACCATATCTGAGCCGCGATAGTGGTATAGATACGAAGCAACGTACAACAGTGCGGAAACGAGAGCAGGATGGTGGACGTTGGTGGAGAGGTGGAGAATAAGCGGGTGCAGGGCGCGACCGTGTTCGCTTTTGCGAAGATCTTCGAAAGTCTGTGGGAGTCTGATCGAGTGCTCAAAATATCTGACACTCGGTTAGCTCTCATAAATGCTGTGTAACTGGGGATACCTGCTGGCTCAGTTTGTCGACTAAGTCGCCGAAGGACTCGTCTCCTTCTATCTTCGGTACTCCTGCTTCATCTGCAGGCCATCTTGGTGTACAAGGCAGCGACATTGTTACACTTTGCCTCCGTCAAGTAGTGAAAATATCAATCGAAGTCATCAAACCTGACGAGCAAAAACGCGTGTGGGGCCGCATTGTCGCACGCGACTTTGCGACCTTGGTCGTGTCGGTGCTTCCCGAGACGCGTCATAGCGTACTTGCGCCTGCCCAGACTTCAATGTTGCCCAAGCTGGTTCACAACCTCTCCTCACACTTACAGGCCCAGATATGGCTTGATGAGGGCTTTTGATGGCCACTTTCGTACCCTCTGCTAACCATGGCTCATGATGCTAACTTCTGTGGCGATCGCCTGCGGCTAGCTGCGTTTCTTCGTATAATGGAATATGGGATCCCACCACGTCCTACACGCTTCAGGCGCCGCGTCCAGGCGGTCGAGAAACCTATGCGTGGATCAGATCCGTCCCCTACTAACCAGGAATATTCTTTTGTGAATACCTCAGCTGCAATCCCAATACACGGTGTTTCACGTCCATCGACGCCTGAGGCTACAACATCCGGCGTAGATGCCAGTCGTACACACCATTCTTCGCCCTCGAACCCGCTTGCTACTGATGCAGATTCTACATACGATATCCCGCCCTCCCATACATCAATTGAGCCTTACGTAGGTCTCATAAAGGACGGGATTCACGAACCTACAGGTCTTCAACAGCAACATGCGAACGGGCTACTCGTCAAGCAGTCACTACAGAATGCGGGCATCATGTCCAGCTCAAACTCCCATAAGACGCCCAGCAAACCTCGTCCCTCTTCAAGCACTCGGAAAAGGCGCCTACCGGTGAATTGCCTCGCTTTAATGCGTACCTCGACATCAGATGGCCTACCTGAGCCGAGTGTAAGAAGCTTGAACTTTGAGGAGTCGTCAAGGCATGGACAGAGCGCTGACATATACTGATTTAGAATATAGACTCTCATCTTAGCATTCCCATTACAAAGATCGACCCAATTGAAGACAGCCATAATTTCTCAGGACGAACTGCAGTTCCGATGGAGGTACGCAATTGGGTGTCGTGTAAGTCTTCGAAATGCTGAGCTGACAATTTTGGAGAGGCATAGGGCAATGGCGAGTTCGAGCCAAATTAAAGCATCGACGTCTCGCGCACCCTGGACGCCTCGAGCAAGCAGCATTTATCCAGCCAAGTCGTCGAACAGCCCGACGCGGGGATACAAGAGGCCCACCACACATAGCAATCTCGAATTGCAGATTCAGTCCGCCTTTGCAGTCGCTTCAGACGGGTTCGTCGGTGAAGAATTGACGATAACTCGGACGCAGAAGCGGACAAAGCGATCAGGGAAGAACATACTACAAGAAACCCAACTTGGTTTTGCAAGCGGTGGACTTGTGTTAGGAAATGGTCGCCTTCCATCGCCTCGGCATGAATGTATCAGTCCTTCGTTGCCCGACTCCGGTCTTAGATCTTCCAGTGGTCTGCATACTCCCTTCCAAGTTGGAAGCAGCCAGCGCAGTGCAATACCAATACAGCTCATTCTAACAAGAAACCACAATGTGACGGACAGCAGACCAGTGGAGAGTGGCTGCTTTCGAAAACGGGAAACTGCCGTTCACACTCAGCTATCCAGCATTACTGCTCCACTCAGACGCGATTCTGAGAGCTCCAGATCTGAAGCTATGGATGAAGACGATCACATCAACGACAACGGAGACCCTAATATTGATGGCTCTGTCAGCGGAGAGAGCCAGAATAGCGACGGTTTTATTAATGACGAGGAATGCGACGGCACTGACAGTACCAGCCCCTCTCGATTCAAACATCTCAGCCGCAAACCCACCTACGTCGATGATTCAAGTTATTACCAGCAGGCAATGCACGACCTCGATATGAACATGACACATTTGGTGGATAGGGTCCGATCCCGCTATCCTGACTTTGCGGAAGGTACTGTCTCGCGCGAATACACTGCCGCATGAATCTGGTCCCGAATTTCCTCTAGTTTGACGCGGGAGCGGTGTCTGAAGACACAGAACCAAAGCGTGACACTCTGGCTTGGAAGACACATGTCCAAACATGTACAGAATTATAATTCTTGAAAAATGGGCCGAATCACAAAAGTCGACGGAATCACGATAAGTATCATCTGAGCATTTATCTATATGAATCTATATGAATCTATAAGTAGAAAACTTGCAGACGCGCGCATCGTGCGTTACATGAACTTGTTTATGTTGTGGTTGACTTGGTTGAAACGCTTGTGTGTTCGCAAGCATTCAACGTAAATACGTTTCTTCCTTACATCTTATCTTCCCAATCAAATCAGCAATGTATAACATTCCACAGTCCCCTCTGCAATATCTCTCATCAACCTCATCCTCCAATCTCCCCTCAGCAAGCACAGCTCCTCACTAGTCAGCGTTCTGATCACCCTGAAATCAATAAGACCTCCAATTCCTCCAATTTCTCTTCGACGTGACCTAGCCATAAACCTCAACCGCTAAACTACCAACCATTCCTCAGAACGCGCGTCGTTACCATATCCATCACACGATAACCAACTTCTACTCATCAACATGTTCTCCCTATCAACATATATATTATCACACATACTCCTAAGCGCCTTACTCCCCAACTAAATGAAGCTCAGGGACGAGGTCTGCAAAATGTACACGCCACACTACCTGGTTGTCGAAGGTTTTGTGTATGCTCGCGGCTGTGAGGGAGTAGGCACATATGCTGCTGTGGGCGTTGTTGACGGACTGAGAAAAAAACGCGCTTTGCAATTCCACGACCATGACGAACTGTCATACACCTGAAGTCTTGACAAGGCATACGATGATGTAGAACTAAACAGAGTCGAAGTCCTAGTTCGCGAGAAACCATGGTCGTTTCTGGAACAGATACGACTGCAACGCGGTGCAAAATATATTTCTCCAAATGCTCTATTACCTGTGACTTTCACTTTGACAGTCTAACGTAAACATAAATGAAATGCATTGTGTATCACAGTCCTAGAACAAGGATAGTGTCAGAAATCATATAAGATCTTGAGGAGATTTGCACACGCATATGTAAGATGAGCTAGAAATCAACAATTCTGACCTCAAATGAGACTGCTAACTACTGAATACTATACGCTTGTTTTGAAGACATTACGTTTTATGGCTACTCCAAGATGCGTATATTGGAAGCTCCTACTTTGGTTTTCCAATTGCATTGTTAATAGGGAGACAATAGCGTAAACTTTTACTGTAAAAGCGCTGTAGGCTGGTATCAAGACATGGGACGAACAGGTGATTATTGAGAGGACATATACAGTAGAGGCCTAAAGCGCTAAACCTTAGGCCCATCGGTGTCTTGAGGGTTGGCCGTTGGGCCTACCAGTGAGAGGAGGTACACGTAACACTTACGCACTACCCTGACAGAAAATCCAGACACTCTTCGAGCAAATCAGTGCACCGACAAGAGATTTAGTACTTAGATTGAACAATAACAAATTTTCACCTTGTCTAAACTGTATGCAGAATGAAGTTATGGCTGCTCCTCTCCGAATGCCAGCCCTTCATCCTGTTCTCGATATGTTGATTTCTCACATCGACCATTAAGACTTGCTGACACATTTCGCAGTGACCGGATTCTTCTTTGAGTGTCATAGTAAGACTATGTACTCTTTATTACATGACTTACGTGGCTTCCTCGAGTAGCCATAGTACACATGACAGTCCTATGTCCTAACCATGATGTTGTAACGCGCTACAGGTGCAACAACTCAACAACGATCGTGAAGCCGCTTGACCAACCATCTTTGAACACTTAATCACTCGACATACTAAAGTAAGCGGGTACTAATGATCTACAGTGTACTTCCTCGGTTTGTATCCGCAAAAAGAAACAATCTAACCGGTCTAAACATGTCTACAAGCGACCATTGCCATCTCTCACAAGCTGTCACATAGGATGTGGTAGTAGTCACAAGCGATACTTCCCACACTATGCTAAAGCCAACACTGCGCCCGTTAGACCGGTACGTACTATATGCACTGGGTGCAGTTACAAAGAGCAATCTGCGACGTTGCAGCAATGGTGACACACGAATAGATACTGTGGACAGGTTTAGTTCTAGCATCATATAAGTGGCTATAAATCTCCATGCAGGTGGTCGCCGCATTATGCGAGCTCTGCTTCACTGTGATCAGAGTGTTGTGTAGTTTGGGAATATGTATCTCTACAGTCTGAAGATTGATCATGTTCCTGGCTCAATGATGGATACGATGATTCATATTTGTCGTTTTGAATTTTTCGCAAAGGTTGTTTTCTGGGTTCACAGATCGTGCTTTGCCATGTACAAATGGCATAACGGCTGATACGTTGAAGATACCCGTCACTCTACGGGAACAGAGTGTTGGGCGACTCGCTACATACCTAGTAGGGTAAGGATGCGTGTATCTGCAAGGAAAAGGCTTTGGGCGGTTCAATTCAGATTGACAGCGAATCTCGATGCACACGACGAGATTTCAAGAGGCTAGAAGAGGAATGAAACAGACGCGTCGATAAGATGAACAGTAGCAAGACTGGGAGTTCAGAGGTTCGAAATGACCATAGGCCACAGAGTGCAAGAAGAGATTGATTGACATTAATAATAGATAGATACTCGTGAAGATGGCAAGAGTTCGAATGTAGAGTGAAGCAAACGAATGATATAGAATGTATACGCTTCAAGAAACAGCGCAAGAAAGAACACATGACCCGTCTTGGTAAGAACTGAACAGCTTTTGAGACGAAATAATGACCTTGAGACATACACCTAAATGCCAAATGCAAGCAACACCGTAACCCTGATACCGTGTGTGTGACATGAAATCAATGACAAGAAGTAACCAGTGCAGAATATGGAAAGACTTTACCTATAACAATAGCACGCAACAAGCGGCTCGACGGCTAGGAAGGACGTAAATAACATGAGCACAACATAGATAAGTATACTCGAGAACGGCCTTGAATGGCCAGTTGGTATGCATGGGAAGCAAACGGGCTTGTATTCAGCGACGGCTGTCAAAACTTTAGCACCCATAAGTTCAAGCAGAAAGATGGCGTGTGTCTTACCTGTAAACGGCATCGACCTGAGAGCGTCGCTTTCGCTTAGATTGATCATCATGTTGTCGTTGTTTTTCATCATACTGATCAGTGTCTTCATAACTCCTCTTCCTTGCGGAGGAGCTGTCACTTCGATGGAGTTTCGGAACAGGCGTAGGGAGATCCTCAGTTCCTCCCATGGGTTTGTCAGACTCAAAGTCGGACCCTACCATAGTTCGGTTACTGCCGTCAGAGCGCGCAGGACTCCCAAAGCCATGGCTGTTCTGCTGGTGTTGAAAGTTGTTTGCATTCCAAGGATCATACCGCTGTCGCTCAGGTGGAGGTGGTGGAGGTGGGGGTCTACCAAGGATGGAAGATGACATGGATCCATATGGCCGTGGATGTGCGGGGCCATGGCCGAAGTTTTGATGCCCGGTAGGGACCTGCGCACTTTGGGGGGCTGATTGCGTGTGCAATGGCATGCTAGAATATGTTAGTGTTGATGTCTGTATACCGGATAACGACTTACGAGGGAGGAGCAGAATCAATTGGCTTCTCAGGAAGAGAAGATGGAGGCTTCTCGTCATACGAAGAGAGGGACATTGGCATGGCTTCATGCGACGGCGGCTTCGGCGCACCCGTTACGCCCAGCTTGGCAAGAATATCTTCTTGTGTGAAACTCGTAGAAGAACCCGCCCGACTCAAGCCGGAACGCCTTGGTTCCTCGGCACCACTAGCGGACAGGGCCTGCTCAAGGTGGTCCATGATACTCCAGGCAGAATCCGGCATTTCCTCATCTTTGATATAAGACATATCATCGGAAAACTCATCAGGACGATCTCGCTGCGCGATACAATCTTCCAGTGCTACAAGATTATGGCGCATTTCGTCGTCAGTAAAGACAACAAAAACCGGGTCGTTCTGCACACGCTCCCAATCGTCTGTCTGTCTCACGTTCAAGAAGGCTTCGTGAGAGTTCTCAGCCGTGAAATAAACCGACACTGACTCTGCGTTATCCAAGGTCTCGGGGGTTGGGCTCATAGCCTGTTCCTCGGCATCAGCAAATGTTGAAGGCAGAGCCCGGGTCACCTGCTTAGCAGGGTGCCAGATGATGACACCTAGACTCAGGTTCGGATCTACAGGTTCATTGCTCTTTGGCCATATTGCCCCGTCAAAGTCGAAGTCCCAGTCGTCCCAGGCAAGAAACAGTTGTGGCTTCTCGCTTGCACCATTGTCCCCTGCAACGCCCACCGGCTGGGCCGACTGAGTATGAGGCTGCGAAACCGCAAGATGCGCGGTAGTAGGAGTTGGAGTGGAGTTTGGGTCCGACATTGGTAGGCCGTTAGTGGGTGTGCCATTGTATGAGTTATAGTGATCGTTCGGCGGATAAGGTTGCTGCACATTGGATGTCTGCCAACCCGGAGCCTGGTTGTTTGCTTGATAAGAGGCTTGTCCGTTTGGTGCCTGCCAGCCTTGGGAATGATCATATGACTGCTGATTCTGGTCTACTGGAGCAGGCTGATGGGGATACCCGTTGTATGTACTTTGTGAAGGTGTATGACCTTGTCCGCCAGGATAGCCAGGTGCCTGCGAAAACCCCTGATTTGGCTGCGAGTAGGCCTGGTTTGGTGGGTAACCTTGCTGAGGCCATTGCTGATTTTGTGCTTGGGGATGCGGTGGTTGATGATATGTTGGTGGCTGTGGTGGAGCGTATCCTTGGGTGTGATATGCCTGGCCTGGTGGAGGAGCCGAAAAAGCTTGATTTGAGTAAGTTTGAGGTGCTGGAGGAGTCTGCGCATATCCATTTGGAGGTGCTTGTGGAAATCCAGGTTGAGGTGGTTGATATTGGTTGGAATACTGGTTAGTACCAAACGGACCCTGAGGCTGCGCCGGCCCACGATAGCCTGGAGGCGGGGGATAACGCGTTATTACCGGATTTCCCTTCTTCTTAGGTGGCCTGAAAAAATGATCAGCAAAAGCACAACCGCCGAGGCAGCGGAATTTTGTATCATGAGTTCGAAGCGCAAAGTGGGAGTACTGTAACAGATAAACAAGTTCGCTTACCGGTTGTCTAGCGGTCGTTGGGGTTGGCCATTTGGTGGAAATGTTGGCGTGGGCGGGTATTGTCCGTAGCCTGGCTGCTGTCCGTATTGGTAGGGTGGATGCTGGCCATATCCAGGTGGACCTTGGGGATATTGTGGCGGCTGGTAAGGTGCAGCACCGGCAATGGGCCCATTCCACGACATTCCGGGCTCAGTGGGTTACGACCGTGGGCGTCGACTTCCAGAGAACAAAAACAAATTTTGATGGACAATCGATGAGAGTGGATGACTTCTTGCAGAAGTGTGAGAGTTGAGTGCTGAGTGCAGAAAGAAATGTCGAAACGCGAGTTCGCGTCCTCAACTTTGGTTGAGTGCACGTGCCAGATCAAAAGATCAAGGGAAAGCCCAATCTCTGGCAAGAAGGGATATAGTCGCGTCTCCCAGGTGACGGGCAGCGAGTGGAAGTTGAGTTACTGCAGTGGTGAGACTGACTGAAAGACGAGGCAGCTGGCGATGCGAAAAAGCAGCCACGGAAGGCACGACAGAGATTAACAACGCAATTGAGAGAATCCCGATGCCTACCAAGATATCACCCCATCAGGGAGAGAAGAGAGCGAAAGGGGCGAGACGAGCGTGAGCTTTGCAGGAAAGATCGCGATTCAACATGTAATGAACCATGGAGATGAAGTCTGAGAGCGCAATCACGTGCTGGAGCTTGGCGCACGGAACGGCCCCGGGGATGATAGAATGACAGCACCAGTCCTCCCGCGTTGGTGCTATCGCCGTCGCCCACGTCCAGTCTCTCGATGCGCCTCTGAGAATGATTGTTCGGTACCGACAGCTGCTTGCGACCACCACAGACGACTCGACACGCTGAGCCCGTCGCGGATGCTCCCTCTGCGCCCATCCCCCACCACCCACCATGCCTGGACTCCCGTGTACGTCAGTCGCCTGCGCCCCTCGCATGCAGTGTGCAGCGCGCAGTGTGTGCGCTTATGCTGACTGCTGGCAGCCACCGTAGACCTTGACGAGTGCATCTCGCGGCTGTCGAGAAAAGAGCTGCTGGCCGAGTCGGTGGTCGAGGCGATATGCGCAAAATCAAAAGAGCTGCTCATGAAGGAGAGCAACGTGGTGCACATCAGGGCCCCCGTCACCGTTGTCGGTGACATCCACGGCCAGTTCTTCGACATGATGGAGATTTTCAAGATTGGCGGGCCCTGTCCAGATACAAACTACCTGTTCCTGGGTATGTTGGCTGCCGCACGCGACCTGTACCTGCATCACATGTCTGACTCCCTGCAGGCGACTATGTCGATCGCGGCCTCTTCTCCGTCGAAACCATCTCGCTCCTCGTCTGCCTCAAGCTGCGCTACCCGCATCGCGTCCACCTCATCCGCGGCAACCACGAGTCCCGGGGCGTCACGCAATCCTACGGCTTCTACACGGAATGCTCGCGCAAATACGGCAACGCCAACGTGTGGCACTATTTCACCGACATGTTCGACTTCCTCACCCTCTCCGTAGTCATCAACGACCAGATCTTCTGTGTCCACGGCGGCCTGTCCCCCTCGATACATTCCATCGACCAGATCAAGATCATCGACCGCTTCCGTGAGATACCCCACGAAGGGCCCATGGCGGACCTCGTCTGGAGCGACCCCGACCCCGAACGCGACGAATTCTCGCTTAGTCCACGAGGAGCTGGATATACGTTTGGAGCGCAGGTGGTGAAGAAATTCCTCGAGGTCAACGCCATGTCGCACATCTTGCGCGCCCACCAGCTCTGCCAGGAAGGCTTCCAGGTCTTGTTTGACGACAGGCTTAGTACTGTTTGGAGCGCACCAAACTACTGCTATCGATGCGGGAATATGGCCAGCGTGCTAGAAGTTAGTGACACTGGCGAGCGCTTTTTCAACGTCTTCGATGCGAGCCCGGATAATGACGTGCATCGAGCAGAGCAACAACAGCAGCAGGGCAAGGAGGTGACGACTGAGTATTTCCTATGATACCCACTCTACATGACTTTGCATCTCAGCGTGGGGACGGTTTTGGCATGAGGCATGATAATGCTCAACGTGAGGCACGGCGTTTCGGTTAGATGGATGTTGGCAGTATCTACGTGGGGCATATTTAGATTGTTGATATGCGCACGGCTGTAGAAATGTGTGTGTGCAAACCAAGCTTCCCGCTCTGATGTTTGTCCTCCCTCGTCAAACACGCTCGACATCTGTGCGCTCTACCAGCCTCTTTCAGCACCCGAGATATTTCGTTTCCACCCACCGATTCTCCATATCATCGCCTAACCTCGCAATCACAACTTTCATGTCTGGGAACACGCTGAGCAACCTGTTCACACCAACGCGACCAGCCGTATACGTCACGAAGACAATCTTCTCCTCAGACACGCCATGGTCTACCAACACCCGGACTGCCATCAGCGCTGCTGCGCCCGACGAGAATTGCGGATCCAACACCATGACGAGTCCGTCCTGCGCAATACCTGCCGGCAATGCTCGATAATGCAGTTCCGGCTCGCCTGTGCTATAGTTTGTTTGAATGAGTATCCTGCCTGTCCTGCAATCCGGAATGGTGCGTCGAAGGCCCGTCTCAAATGCGCTGCCACCGCGTAGAACGACCACCGCACTCACACTTGCGCTCTTCTTCAGACCTTTGTAAAGCTTGTTCTGCGGTGTAGAGACTTCTGTAGATGTAAACGGTAGGAAATCTGTCGCCGTCTCAACAAGCAGCGCAACCATGCGGTCGAAGTAGAAGATGAAGTCCTCTCTTGACGTGCTCGGATCCAAAAGGAGCGTATGCATCCCTTTAACCTGATTCGTCTGCCGCATCACAATCGCATTCTCACTCAGCGGACTGTCCTCTGCAATCTTGCCTAGGCGTCGGAGCTCTGTTTGATGCAGTGCAGACTTGTCGGCGAGCGTCTTGCGCACTTGGTCGCTGACCATATTAATGGCCACGTGGTTTTCAATACCTCGGGGAACAATGATGTCTGCGATTTCACGTTGAGGGGCAACGTATTTGTAGTAGTTTGGCTTCACGAAGCCGAACCATTGTTTGATGCAGCCTTCAATATCGCGGCCTCGCTCTTTCACATCACGGACTAGACGTCGTGAGAGACAGAGGTCGGAGTCTGCTTCAGCGAAGATCTTTAGATCCAAGAGATCCAAAACACGTTGGTCATGGAGGGCGAAAATGCCTTCCAGGATGAGGACGTGGGGAGAATAGATTGTTGTTGTCTTTTCGAGACGGGCGTGCTTTTCGAACGAGTAAATGGGGACTTGTGCGACTTTGCTGGAGTGATGTTAATCACTGATTTTGCACAATGCTTGTGATAGATGTACCCATTCTTGATATCTTGCAGCCTTTCAACCAAGATATCAAAGTCAATGGCCTCTGGCGAGTCGAAATCATGCTCATTTCTGAAGGCTGCTGCTGATTGCTCCGGTGTCAAGGACTTGTAGAAAGAGTCCTGTCTGCTTTCAGCACATGCGCACGTGACGACGTGTCACAACCATCCAACGCACCATAGACAGGATTACAACCCATGGTAAGTTCAGAGAGGCAACTATAGCCAGTGCCAACGAGGTTTTACCAGATCCAGAGCTTCCTGCCACTCCAACGATGCTCGCGTTACCCCACGGCGGCTCGTAATGTGTTCGTCTGCCTGCCGATGACATAATTGGGTAAATTTTTGAAATGTTGGTTGATAGATGCGAGAAAACAGTTTTCAAGGGAAGTAAAAAATGATATCAAAAGCAAAGGCCATACTGTAACTTGTATAGGTATGCGTCTCTAAACACGTCTAGGATATTGGCAACGGAGGCCACCGATCGGCAATACCTCGGAAGGTGTATATCGCTCGTAGACAAAGTCAGGTTCCGGATGTCTTTGAGCATGTTTAAGGTTTGCAGTCAGCAGTTGTAATGCACAAGGTCTACGCAGCCATCTAGTCTCCCAAGCTAAAACATAAAGTCTTGCCCATCATTTTAACACACCTTGCAGACGCTGTGAGCTTCATCAGCCCCGCTGTTTACGTGATGCAGGGTGTGCATGGGCCATGCCAAGCCGTTGGCGAGCAAGCTTAGGTCCAGCTTTTCTCTCAATGTACAGACTTTCTTCTTCCACCACACACCGCAAGCTTTGCGTGGCCCCAAGCACTCTCGACCACGGTCGGGCAGCAAACACCTCACACTGATGGACATAATATGAGGGTGATGAGCGCCTTGGCTTCATTATGGTGAGCTCCGCAAGCTGCATCTTCAGCTTCCCACTTACTAACCCAATACAGAGCTCATCCACCGTTTCTGTGTCGGCTGCGACGCCGACGCAACATCCTTTCCAGAGGAAGATCGACGAGATCAAGCCATCGAAGATGTAAGTTAACACTCTTATTGCCGCGCTCGCTTCCACACATCTACATGATGATTTCAAAATAAGTTGGGAATCTCTCCTAAACCACGTGTGGAGAACATGTTAACTTGTATCTCTGATCTCGCAAGCACTAGCTGCTTGCTATCACCTTCTGCTCCCAGCACATTGACGATTGCGACTGCAACCTTGCTGACTCCAATCTCACAGGGACATCAACTTCGTCATCATGGACTATCTGGTTAGTGAGGGGTATCCCCGAGCTGCGGAGAGGTTCGCCAAAGAAGCGAACATTCATGTGCCTCTTGTGGAGGAGTCCATTCAGTCGCGTGTAGAAATACGACGGGCTATCCACAGTGGTGACATTGATGCCGCTATCACCAAGATCAACGATCTAAATCCTCAGGTATGTATTTTGCGCCGCTCTCCCTCCAAGCCCTTGCAGGATTATACTTAGTTTCATGCACCACGCATAATCTTCTTTGATGATAATCAAACCTTCAGTCCTCAGTATGAACGCAAGCAATTAGCTCTTTTTGATTTCGCAAATGTACCTGTCGGGCTTTGCTAACAATCAATACAGATCCTCGACACAAACCGCTCTCTGCACTTTACATTGCTTCGTCTGCAGCTTATCGAGCTCATTCGGACATGCACTTCGTCTGCGACCGCGGACGTCACACCTGCGCTGAACTTTGCTTCAGCACAACTCGCACCTCGTGCTGCCACAATCCCAGAGTTCTTGAAGGACCTCGAGCTGACGATGACTTTGCTTATCATGCTCCCCGCTACCGGCAAGCTACAACCAGAGCTAGCTGAGCTTCTCGAACCTTCGCTTCGCCGAGATGTAGCGAGCAAAGTCAACGAGGCTATCCTCACCAGTATGGGTGATCATGGGGAAGCGCGGATGCGGAGTTTGGTTCGCCTACGACATTGGGCAGAGGCAAAGGCTAGGGCTACTGGCAAAGATATCCCGCCTGTTCTTCCCCTTGGCCTGCAAGATGCTGATGAAACATCATCTGAAAATAACGGGCGCAACGGTGGAGCAGGAGATGAGATGGTGCAGTAGTTCGGTATTGGTCATCTCCCAAGCTCTAATGAACTTGCGTATAACCCTCTATATAATGCCTTCCAGCATATTTGGGAGTTGGAAGTGTCTTGAGCTTACGTCACTAAATGGAGTTAAACCTCTGTTGTGTACGTCAAGAGAGGAACAAGAGCCTTCCTTAATAACACACTATGTTTCTTCACATTCTCTTCCTCTCCTCAAGTACTTGTGAAATATATTTACGCACATTGTGTGACGATGAGGCGTCGAGGATTCGAGACAAAGAGTCAAGTTCGCCATCAATACCTTGGTCCCAGAACGACTACTATTGTCAGGTCGATAACGAACTGAGGAGAGTGGTTGGTACGAGACGTGATAATATGAGACGAATGGAATACGGCCGTTGAGTTGGTTATCTGTCTGGTCCTGGATGTGATGTGTTGTTTGTTTTTAAAAGCTATTGCTTGAATGCCTCTTTGAAACACTGCGAAATCGAACATGCGGGAGTTTTCCCGAACCAAAAGCCAAAGCTAAAAATTGTACTGCTTGCTCTAGTGAAGACCGGCAGGTAAAAGATGATTGTAAGGGGATGCAATATCTATAGCATCGTTTTGTCAGGCAACTCGCAGAAACCCCATGTCTGGGGTTAGTTCTGACATGCGCCGACCGAATCAGTGATGAGTCCCTTGTACACCTGGTAATGCTCAGCCATGCGTAATCTAAGCAAAGCCGGCTCTTTGACCACATAATACTGTCCCAGCGACCTTCTCTGCGCACGACTCTCGTCCAGCAAACCACGAACCGCATCTCTTGAGACCGTGGTTCTCATATTTGGCAGATGTTTCTCGACATACTTCCTGTCATCGTCACTTGGCGGCGCAATCATCTCGCTCACGTCGATGAAGCCCATGGGTATATATGGCACGGGATCAGCCCAGCTCTCGTCTTCCCAGCGAACCCTCAGTATGTCGTCGAACGAGACGTTGAATGTGGTGTGGAGCTGAGGTAAGCGCGCCCGTAGTTCGTACAGGATGGGACTGAAGTTTGCCCAGTCGAAGACAGCGGATTCTCTCTTCTGTAGGTTGATAACTAGGCTCTCCAGCCGTGGTAGCTCGAGCAGATCTTCCCACGGCTTGCGAATGTGTGGTCGACGGACTGTGCAGTCGTACTCCATCCGCTCCAGTGCGCTGCCGTCGCTGCAGGCGTCCAGGTTGATACCTACTTCCGTTGTGTTTATGATGACGTGTCGGATGTATTTTGTGTACTTTGCTTGTTGCTTCCATATGTTGCGTGATGCGTTCTCGGCGTCGTGCGATATGGTGGTTTCAAATGTGTTGTATGTGTAAGTTGCTTCGAGTACTTCGGCAGCAAGTGTAGGGTGTGGGATGATGGGTTGTAGAACTACATCCGTTACGACGATAGGGCTGGAATCGGTGACGAGGTAGAAGTAAACCAAATCGCGCAGCTCGCGGGGGAGCTTGAGAAAGTAGTAGCCGAGTAGATCTTCCGTAGATGATGATTCCGAAGACATTTTGAAGTTGTAGTTTGCAGTCTAAGAGGGGTTGCAAAATTTGTTCGAAAGTTATGTTGTAAGAGACATGTGAGAGAATGAGTGTTAAGCTTGTTCTCAAATGCCTTGCCTTTTTGTCTTTTGCTGCTGCCTACTGACGCGTAACGCGACTAGTTAGTGGCTCAGATACTCTCTTCACCGGAATATATACAGATTGATTTGCGTTTATCCACGATTCATTCCCCGCCGTCCAGACGAGACGATGAAAGTAAGCAGTGAATTATGATTAGTTAAGAGTGGTAGACCCCAGCGCGCTAATCCACAGTTTCGGGCCGTGTCCGACTAACGACGTCATCTCAATGATTTGCCTAAGAGTGTACACAAACTCTGCACCCACATACACACTCCACGACTCAATTCCATACATCACAGAATCTACCTCTCACAATGGCTCACAACATTCTACTCGTCGGCGGACATGGCAAGGTGTCACAACTTCTGACACCCCTCCTGCTGGCCCGCTCATGGAACGTTACGAGCATGATCCGCACTGCGGAGCAAAAGGACACAATCGAGAAGCTGGGCAAGGGCCAGCCCGGGAAACTAAGCGTCCTGGTTAGCAGCGCAGCAGACGTGAAGAGCGAAGCAGACGCGAAGAAGATCCTGGAGCAAGTAGACCCCGACTGGGTGATATGGGCAGCCGGTAAGTCTCGCACCAAAACAGAACACCATGTACAAACGCAATTACTAACCCACACACAAGGCGCCGGAGGAAAAGGCGGCGAATCAAACACTCTAGCCGTCGACCGCGACGCCGCCATCGCCTTCACAAAAGCCAGCATCCACACGCCGTCTGTCAAGAAATTCCTCACCGTTTCATACCTCGCGTCGCGCCGCAACAGGCCTTCGTGGTGGACAGACAGCGACTGGGAGAATGCGCAGAAGACAAACACTGAGGTTCTGCCTACGTACTACAAAGCCAAGATCGCCGCCGACGAGGTCCTGACGGTGCTGTCGAGGGAACGTCTGGAGGAGGAGACCAAGTCGGCGCCGCCTAGCGATGGCGTCGATGAGCGGTTCTGCGGCATCAGCTTGAGGCCGGGTACCCTTACTGATGGGGAAGCCGGGGGTGTGACTGCGGGCAGGATTGGAGTGGGGGGTAAGACGACCCGGGCGACGACGGCCGAGGCGATTGTTGCGGCGCTGGCGACTGAGGGTGCGAGGGGTTGGTTCGATGTCATTGACGGAGGTGAGAATGTTCCCGCTAGACTTACGATGGCTACGGAAAGCTAACCCAGACAGACGAGAACCTCAAAGACGCTATTATCAGGCTAAGCCAGGAGTCTCAGGATACGGCCGACGACGAGGACTTTGAGAAGATGAAGGAGAATGTTGCGAGTTTGTGAGGGAGAAGATTGGTTGAAGTGACCACACCGATTGGGCAAACTTATGATATATGAAATCATACACTTCAGTTGAACCGACCGTCTCGACTTTGTCAGTGCTCGGACCCCCATCGCTTCCCAGCCCATGCCTTCTGCTCCCATTCTCCAACGAATACAACCCTCTCTACCGGTTTATCCTTTTCCTCGTGTCTCGAGTAGCCAACAACACGACTTCGACTGTGGACATGCATGTACTGACTTAATTAGATTGAATTGAACAACCCATGAAAAGCGGAGCTAATGGCAACAACGACCAAGTCGGACTTCCATATCCCAAGAAAGTCAAGATAGCCCTGAAACACCCATTATCCAACAAGCCTAGTTAGCTAAGTGAAGCATAGTAGCCACACCACATAAGACTTTGCACATTCCTCGACTTGCTGACGCGCCTGGAATTGATATGCTGGTGGGCATGTGATTCTTACCGTGAATGTTGAATGAACAGCGTGTATACAAGTTGTGACCTCGATTAGACAGATTGTATCCATTGTGTTGGTGTGGGTATGGAACGGGACATGGCTATTATAACGTGTATGTTATTTTGTATATATTCCTTTCCTTTCTTTTCCTTTCCTTTCTGCGCGAGGAGTGGTACATGGGTAGTCGATGGTACATTCAAACCCTACGAAAAGCAGGGTTAGGATGTTTGTGCGTTGTGTTGGTAACTCCCTCTCTCTCTGCCTGGGAAGAACGTCGTATGTACAGCACGAGGTGGTTTTGGGTGAAGGTAAAGAGTGTTGTCCTTTCATGGGGGGATTGTCATTGTGTTTGTACCAGACAGAGAGAGAGAATAGTAGGTAGGGTAGGATAGGGTAGGGTAGGGTAAGAGATTATTCCTCACATGCCCTCCCCAAGAGAAAACAGCACACTTTCCTGATGTTGTGGTGGAAACAACAAAAACATGAAGTTTTGTAATTTTGTTACTGCGATACATACTAGGGATTAAGAGAATCTAGAAACGAGTCGAGAGCTCTGTTTCTTTCTTTGGTCTTATCTCAAAGATACAAATCTCTCTTCGATGTAGTGGTGTCCAATGTTGTTATTACCTGTGACGGACAGAGATTTTCCAACAGCCCCGAAAATCATGCCGTTTTCCCTGGGGGGGGGGGGGGGGGGGTTAGTGTTCTTGCCGATCTACAAGCACATTGTAACTTTCTAGACATATTTTTTCTTTCCTTCAGAGGGTATGAAACCTCTTCCCTGATGGATCGACATGAAAAGAGCACGCGCTGCTATGCAGATGAGATTGTGGGTCTCTGTGTGTTTAGTTTTTTTGCTCTGCATTCTCGGCGTGTAGTACTCGGTCTGTGATTGGCGAGGGTTGTGGGGTTTACTCGATAGGCGTCTAGCCTGAAGATGGGCGTTTGATGTATCTAGGTACTGCAGAGGAGCGGAGCGTTGTCTGGGGCGGGTAGGGTGAAGTCGGGTCTGGGGTACATGGGACGAGGCCGTTGCGAAGGATGGAACGTAATGCACGGGGGTGGTAGGGTAGGGTACCTGGGAGTTTAGTGTTGACATGGTAGAAATTTGTTGTGGTTTTGTTGGGGGAGTGGCTTGTGCCGGGGTGGAAGAGGCTCAAGAAGAACGGTTGGTGGCTTATTGGATGCGTGTGAGCCACCATGTCGTGGTGTTCCGATATGTCCCTACATGTGTTTGCAAAGCAATATACTCTGAAATTGGAGGCTTTTGGCGATCTCTCCGGTACCGGACGAGAAATGTGATTGCAGTGATTCGGCTGCAAGATGACGCGCCGTGATGTAGTGGAGTAGGACTCGGCACTACTTTTCCTTAGTCCTTAGTAGATAGAGATACTGCTTTTGATGAGCAACAATGAAGTGTGTCTGATAGGCTGGAAAAATGTTTGGCCATGTTGTAACGGTTGCTTCGTAGGGCTAAGCGTGCTCGTTTGGCATGGCTGACAACCATGTCTCTGACGAGGATCAGCCTCATTCTCATGCTGCCAGGCTGTTGAAAGCGGATAAGATAGGCTGCAGTGAACTTGACCCCGCGATGACTCTTGACCTCGCAAGCGCAACAAGCAGCAGTGTGGCTCTGATAGGGCGAACGATGTAGGTCATCCAAGCGAGACATGCATGGACTGAACTGGACTAGGACACGCACGCCTGTTTAGGGTGTACAAATGTGAAGAGAGGTCACAGGTCGTCCAAAAGCAGACGGAGGTTACAGACCAGGTGGTAGGGAAGGTGCGCACAGGGTGCCAGGGGTGGTGGTGGTGGTGACCTGTGCTGACAGGCAGCCGTGATGCTGTGCGTCGTCAAGTCACGGGCGGTCGAGGCTATGATGCAAGTTCGGGACGCGTCTCGCAGTGAGAACGGGCGGGTTGGAGGATGCAGCAGCGGCTGGGGTATCCTGGCGGGTGATCGGCGCATGTGTACCGGTCTCTCAGTCAGCAGTGAGGCAGGCAGACGCTCACCGATCAACGTCTCTCACGGCAGACGAGGGAGTGGGAGCGGCCGGTGCTCCCGCGCGGAGATGAGCGGCTGCGTGTGTGACGCGTCGGGGCAGCAGCAGCGACGATGAGCGTTGAGGGAGCATGAGCATGGCGGGCGTGGTTCAGCTGGTGAGGGGCCTCGTCGTCTTCACCGCCCCGGCCAGAGGTGAGCTAGGCCCGAGAACTACTCAGTGCACAGTGCAGATCGATCCGACGGTTCCCACCAGCCTGCGCGCGCCCCATACCTGACGCCGCCACCCACGCGACACACACACAGCACGTCTGCGACTAGCAGCGCAGTGCACTGCACATGCCATGACTGCCCGCCGGCCATGACCTCGCCCTGCCCTCGCACCGCCGCTGAGTCCATGGAGGAGAGTGCCAGTGCCTGACATGATCGGCCAGTTCTTCAGCAACCGCAAAGGTGCCGGCCCCTCGCACCCCCCGCCGACGACCGCGCTCGACTCTGCCACCGAGGAGTCGCACACGCGCCACCTGCTCTACCCCGAGACGAGCACCCTCTTCCACCCCGAGGGCCAGCCCTACCCTCTGCACGCCGCGCCGCTGACGCCCGGCAGCGGCCACGACGGGCCTCTGCCTGAGATCGACCTCGAGTACCCGCGCGACTGCCGCATCATCATCGCCCAAGATGAGACGTCTGCGCCCCGCACCATCCTGTTCGACTCGAAGCCCGCCCCGCCGCGCCCCGAGTCGCCCTCGCTGCCCGCCACACGCCCCAAGGCGCCGCCTGCACCTGCACAGGGCGGCCTGCACGCACGCCGGGCCTCGCTCGTCGCCCAGCCCTCGACGCCGCGCTCGCCCACGGTGGCCGGCTTCACGCGCATCCGCACCCGCGGCACCTCGATATCCTCCATGCCCAACATCGACGAGGACGCCCAGGTCCAGGCTCACGCCCAGGCGCAGGCCAAAGCCCAGGCACGCGCGAAGGAGTCGGTCGACCTGGCCAACATCTGCCTCGACTGCATGTTCGGCAACCTGGCCATGAACTACAGGGGCAACTCGAACAAGATCCACATCGTGCCGCTCGACGCCAAGCCCGACGCCGCTCTGCTGACCCAGGACGCCACAAACCTGCTGGGACGCGCAGAGGGCTTCCGCCGGCGCAGCAACCTGGCCAAGTCCTTCACCCCCGCGAACCTGCCCGCAGACCTCCCGCGCCACGGCTCGGCCGACAGCATACCCAAGGAGCCCAAGAGACGCACCATCTTCATCACCCGCCTGTTCTCCGTCACAGTGCCAGATGACCCTCAGGATGCGCGCACGCCGACCCCCCAGAGTTCCCTGCCCAAGGCCAACGCCTTCCCCTTTCCTGCAACAAGCACCAAGCCGGAAGCGTCCAAGCCTCCCCACTTTGTGCGTCCCCGCAAGAGCCCAATGTACGCCATCACCATCATTCTGCACCTACCCATAGCCCAGACCTCCACAGCCGCGAGGCCCTCGTCCAGAAGCGGCCCTCAGAGCACGTCAGCTCACCTGTCCACTTCTGCCCCTCGCCAGGACTCGCTTGCGTCTTCCTTGGAGTCGGAGCGACGCGGAGGGTGGTCCTTCATTGACGACACCCTGCTCGCCTCGACGCTCAGCAGCGACGTCGACGACCGCGTGGATGTGGTGGGCCAGCATTGGGATGTCATCATGCGTGCCCTCTCTAGTCTCCAGTATGTCGTCCAAGAGCGGATCCTGGCCCACTTCAAGTCACCAGACCCGTCGTCTCCACCAGTGCCCCACCAGCATCGTCACCAGCCATCGCGCTCCAGCCTAAGAGACGCTACGCGTAGACCATTACGACTGCAGCCTTACGCACTCATGGTGGATACAGCGATCCAGTCTGCTGCAGAGCTGACTGGAAACCGCGTTGTAAGCGGTATGAGGATTCCTCGTGTCATGACTGGCCAGGGGAAATGGGGTGTCTGGCGCGAGGAGGCCAGATGGCTTGGTCGGTGGGCTGGAAGGCGAGAGCAAAACTTCTTCTTTTTCAACTTGCTGACCGCCTTTCTGGGCAACCACACCGAATGGCTCAACGTACTTGGCCCGAAGTGGCACCGTAGGCGCCATCGGGAACAGCAAAAGGCAACGGCTGGGGAGAACATGGTCATACCGAATCGTACTGTCATCGTGTCTCCGGACAAGATGGCTGCGCGGAGACTAGTCTTCTTACTTGCCGCCTTCTTGCCTCCTAATGCACCTGTTGCTGGGGACAACACTGCTTTGATGCGTCCGAGCACATCGACATCGCTGCGTGCATACTCTCAGTCTCCTCCTACCAACATGCCGCCCTCTAGGAAGCAGTCCCTGCGTCGCACGATCAATCGGCGACCAAAAGGTAAGACGAGCATGTCAAACATACAGTTGCAGCCATCAGGCCCGAACAGCGCCCAGCCATCTACAGGCGATCGCACCCATGAACGATCTAGCTCGGCTACGATCGAGATTCCCCACGCACAAAGGGCGTCTGGGCATTCTCGACGGTCTTCAGCTCATTCGGTTCGCACAAATCTCGTGATACCTGCCTTGTCTGAAGGGGCACCTGCCGCAAAAAGCACCCCTGCTCCGACTTCAACAGCTACGCCCCAAACCACAATTCCTGTCGCTCACTTCACGTTACCCAGAACAAGATCGTTTGGGCCGGTGCCAGACTATAGGCCTGAAAGCAGCGATAGTCTGGCGTCCGTAAATTTGACTCATACATTGCAGAGGAGTGGCACTGGGCAGACCAGCATTGCTAGCAATGACTCCAGTAACACAAGTCGCTGGAGCGGATTCATGAACTTCTGGGGTGGGCGAAGCGCATCTTCTACTGACCAGAGTGACTATCTCCAAAGTACCGACGATGGGGTAGGTTATCGTGGGCAGGATCGATCTCGAACTCAACTTGAGCAGATGGTGCAAGAGCTTTCCATGGACGGCGTGTTCGAAGAAGGTGACATTTACGACCCACCGACAACTAACATCAGCGTCACTGACGACTCGCCACCTGATGCTTACCTGGTTGGCGGTTCTAGTGGAGTGCAAGCATCAGCAGCACGTCCAATCCCTGAGCGGCCGCGCACATTTGACTCTCAGTTGAAGTTGTCGGTCAACGAGAAAGATGGTGTTATTGACGTTGACATTCCTCTTCCTGATTTTGGCTCTCCTCTTCAGTCGCCACTGCTCGCTGGGTATGGCTCAGCCTCAAGTCAGAACGGCTCCAGCTATGGCGAGTCTTCTATTCTTTCAACACCATACTGTGCACCTGAACAGCCAGTAAATGCTGCAGGTTGGCTAAGTCTATTTCATCCCGACTTTGCTGTACAGGCTATCAAGCCATACAAAGAGCTCGAGCGTGACATTAAGCGAGCTATGAGTGCCGAACCCACACCCATTCATCCTGCTACTACGCCGACTCTTGAAGCAGGGCCTTCTGAACTCTGGGTCGACGTATGCTCGGCTCTCATCGCGGACACAAGCACATTCAGTATCAAACGAATCAGCTTGCGACGTCTGGTCAAGTTGACACCTACGCCAACATATCAGCTGTCTGCGATGGCGCCAACTATGCCATCGACTATGTCAGCCAGTCGCGCTCATCACGGCAATCCATACTCATTCAGTTCCAGTACGCCGCCCATGATGACAGAGATCCACCTTGCCGAGAAATTCGTCGAGGAAGCTATCATGGACTTCGATGCGACGCTCATAGACGGTGTGGATCGCGTGCTGGCACAGTCTGGTGAGACCACTCGTGTCAACTCTGCACAATCGTCTCGATCGAGTTCCAGACGAGGCCGACGCAACACGCGTGCCGACTCGGACGCCTCTCCCTATGTGGAGGTGTCGCAGATAGACTGTAAAAGCCTGATCTTCGACGCGCTCGAGACTGTCGTCAAGAATGTCACGGCGGAGCGTAACGGCAAGGAGGTATCGAAAGATACCAATAATGAGAAGATGACAGTCAAGACTGCGCATTCAAGGACCGAAACAGACTCGTCGCTCAAGGAGGGCGTTCGACGCTGGCTGACGGAAGTAGAGTGAAAACTCATTTTTCCAAGAGAAGCCCTGTCTTTATACGTATACGATGAGGGGGCAGCCTTGCGTGCTATTACGCCATTTGGTCCTCAACGACGTTTGCAGCCAACACTGCCTCATCAGTATTTCCACAACCTATATAATTTTCTTGTGCTTTTGTTTTTTGTTTTCTGCATTTAGCGGGCGTTGTCGTTCACGGGCCGGTCCAGGCGAGTCGGCCGGGTGAATATACCCTTGGGTGGCTGTTTTGATTTTTTGTGCAGCCTTCTGGCGCTTTTATGTGCTGGAGTGGGGATGCAATGGCATTCGGTTCTGCGAGCGTGGTTTTCAGTGGTTCGAGTAGAATCACTGCTATGCGTTGATGGGGGTTGCGTTGGGGGATCTTAATTCCTCAGCGAGGCTGAGGGGAGGGGTTCAACATGTGCAAAGATACAGGCAGTAATCAAACACTACATTCATACAAATCCGTGTCTTGTCGGTATGTCTTGTCCTGCTAAACATCAATCTCTACCTCTTTAAAGAGAAGCGCGAGGTAGTTTAATCTTCCTAAGGTATCTTTCTTGTCGCAATTTGACATTTTTTACTCATACTCTGTGTTTTCCTTACTAATTTTCTAGTCGTCTTCAACCATGAGTAATTTACTCGTCAGGGTTTGTCAAGCTTGCCAATGCTGAGTAAAGCTTCGGAAAGACGCTCGCCAAGTCGGAACCAGCCAGGATGACGACAGCGGGCATTTCCCAATGACAAGTACATAAACATCACCAACCCCAGCAGCCTCTCATCCTACTTGTTCAATCGCCGTTCCATGTCCTACATCGTCTCGCGATTGAGAAATATAACAAATCGTATACCGCGCCCCGCAACCACAACACGACTCTTCACCGCGCAAGCACCACGATACTTAGCCACCATGCCTGAAGAAAAATCCATCCTCAACTGGGTTTCCCCCGGCGACAAGACGGGCGAATTCAAACGCCAGCAGTCGGTGTTTCGGTCTTGGATCTCCACGGCGCCGGATGCGGAATTTCCCCCAGAGAAGAACCGCTACCACCTCTATGTCTCCTATGCGTGTCCGTGGGCGCACCGAACGCTCATCGTGCGCAATCTCAAAGGCCTGCAGGACATCATCCCGTTCACGTCTGTGCATTGGCACATGGGGTCCAAGGGGTGGCGGTTCGCGGAGCCCGGAGAGGATGTCGCGGGAGCGAATACAAGCCCGGATCCAGTTCACGAAGGCTTCACACATCTCCGGGATATATACTTCGAGCAGAACCCCGATTATGAGGGTCGATTCACAGTGCCGACGCTGTACGATGTCAAGGCGAAGAAAATTGTGAGCAACGAGAGTAGTGAGATTATCCGCATGTTCTACACTGCGTTCGACGACCTGGTCGCAGACGAGTACAAGAAGGTGGATTTATTCCCGCAGAAGCTGCAGAAGGACATTGAGGAGATGAACGACTGGGTATACAACGACGTGAACAACGGGGTGTACAAATCTGGATTCGCTACGTATGTATCCCCTCCTCCCCTGCCTTCCCATTCACTCCCAACTAACGACATCCAGCACACAAGAAGCCTACGAAAAATCCGTAACAACCCTCTTCACCTCCCTCGACCGCCTAGAATCCCACCTCTCCTCCTCCACCACGCCCTACCTGCTCTCCGCGCCCCACATCACAGAAGCAGACGTCCGCCTCTTCACAACAATCATCCGCTTCGACCCCGTCTACGTCCAGCACTTCAAGTGCAATATCCGCGACATCCGCTCCGGCTACCCGCACCTGCACACGTGGATGAGGCACTTGTACTGGGATTATCCGGCGTTTAGCGAGACGACGCAGTTTGAGCATATCAAGAAACATTATACGAAGAGTCATGGGCAGATCAATCAGTTTGCTATTACGCCTGTGGGGCCTGTGCCGGATATTTTTGGGAAGGATGAGGGGGTTGCTGCTTTGGGGGGGAAGTGAGGTGGTTGGATGGGGTTGGAATGAAGTTATTGTGGATGAAATGATATGCGGAGATGGCCAGACTATCCTGTTCATATACATACACAACCCTCATGTAAAAGCTCACAACTCCGTTACCATCACAGCAAAGCATCATCAAAACCACCAAAGAAGTTAACCACTCCACCCCCACCCCCACCCTTCCCCTTCCCCCTCAAACCCCCCATCACACACCATCCACTCCCCCCAAGGCCCCACCACCCACTGCGGAAACACTTCACACCCACACAACGCACTCACACCAACCGGCACCACCTCCCCGAAACCCCGCACATCGTAAAAAACGCCCATTTCGTCCGTCCAGCCTTGTTTCACGACAGGGTCGGGGAGGGGGAAATACGTAGTGTGTAGGTCTTGGGGGTAGGTTTGGTAGTCGTAGTCGTATTGGTATTGGAATTGATACGGGTCAGAGGGCTGGGAATAGGGATGGGATTGGGACTGCGGATGGAAGTTTTCTTGGGAGGGCATGATGGGCCAGTTATCCGGGTAGTGATTCAGCGCTGATGTGTTGTAGATTTGTGTGTTTTGGTATTCTGGCGATTGGTGCATGGTGGGTTGTTGTGTGGTGTAGGGCGTCTGGGGCTGCGGGGGGAGGTTGTTGCGGTGGGGTTGTATGTCTGGCGCCGGCGGAGCTGCTGTTGATTCCGATGTTGATTCGTTTGTAGGTAAGGGGTCGAGGTTGCTGGAGGTGTTTTGCGGGGGCTCCGTGGTGGTCGTGGTGGTGGTGCCCATGAGCGCTGCGAAGTCGACGAGGTAGTCTAGTGCGCTCATTTTGGGTGGGAGTTTGGATGGAGAGCCCGTCGAAGGGAAGGAGGGGATGATGGGCAAGGTAGAAGATGGGGTGGGAGAGTAACAGCTCATGTGAGTATAGTGAAACTGGGATCACGAGACAGAGCCGACGTCGCACGAGAAATACTCGTACAGGAACGGGGGTGGCACAAACTGTTCTGTTACATCCATCGGGCCACTTCTCAGCTGGGCCATACCGTGTACACGAACATTGCGAAGTACCAATCTCATCACACCAACGATGCACAACACTCTCTTGGACATAATTTTTGCGATGCGTCAGTTGTGCTACGTTCCAGAATATTTCCGTTCTACCGTCAAAGTCTCGTTGTACAATGCTGTCACACCCTTCACCCTGGTTTTTGTTCATCTCTACCTTCTACTTCAAATTGTCTAGTTTTTCCTCAAACGCCGCCTCGACAGCGGCCAGATGCCCTGGCTTCGACGTCATACTCGCCATCAGATAGATGACGTTGCCCAGGATGCGAGAGTGGATCTGGACCTGAGCGAAGGACGGCTCATTCAGGAGCGCATCACGGAGCTCAACGGCGGCGGTTGAAGTGTAACCTGCGAAACGTCAGACAACAAGCTACACCGCGGAACAAGAAAGTGACAACGGGGAAGGAGCACGGCTACCAATATGAGCAAGGATGCGACTTACCAGATCCGGTTTTGTCGACCAGTGAGATGGCCAGAACAGAGCCCAGTGCATTGACATGGTCGACAAGCTTGTGCTTTGACAGCCTGACGACGAACTTTTGAGACCACATGCTCCACAGGCTTTTGTCTTCCCCAGCCTCTGGTGTTACAACGCCGAGACTCCACCTACCCGTCGCTGTCTCTTGTTCGACGGTCTTCCAGTCTTTCTTGTATCCCCTCCATGCGTAGGACGTTGGAAGTGCACCCATGGTCTCCAGACTCACATTGGCAACGTGACAACCGATGGGGTGAGCCGTGTAGCTATGCCCGTGCAAGAGAGCTTCCGACTTCTCATCGCCCCAGAAGGCTTGGAAGATTGACTCGCTGGCTGCTGTGATGGAGAGTGGAAGTAGGCCTCCAGTGAGCAGCTTGGCGTGGACGCTGATGTCAGGATGTACGCCGAGGAAGGTGGAGGAAGAGAAGCGGCCAAGGCGGTACAAGCCGGTAAAGACTTCATCGAAAACGACGGGCAGACCAGACCAGTCATGCTTGTCTGCTTCGAGCAGTGGTGCAGCCTCGGAAGCGGGCGAGAAGTTGTATCTACGTACAACGCGAACTAGACTCTGTTGGAAGAGCGGGTCCACAAAGATCATCCCTCCAGCGCCCAGTATCACCGGCTCCATGACCAGTGCACCGAACTTCTTGCCCTTTTGTTTGACTAGTTTGTCTAGGGTCTTTTCGATATACACTTCATATGGTAGAGAACGACCTCGGCTCTTAAGGTTGAATATGTCGTCTTGATGCTTGAAGTACTGAGCCGGACCGAATTCCTCGATCATACCCGCAGGAGGCTCAACAATCCATTGTCCCCCCCTCATCTTGAAGGTTGGATAGTCGAACCAGTAGCCGCGGCCACGGTACCAATCCGTCTTTTCGTTGTACACATTAGGCTCCGATGCGTCCATGGCACCAATTGTGTCACCGTGGTAACTGCCTTTCAAGCCCAGAATGCCAACCTCTTCTCTTGCTCCATTCCATCCATAACGCTTGCACATGGCTCGTATACCCATCTTGATACCAACTTCGGTAGCAGTGCTCCCATCATCTGTGTAGAACACCTTCTTCAAGCGAGGGTTATCAAGACCCTCGAGCACCCGTTCCGCAAGTGTCAGAGCGGGCTCATGTGTCGCTCCAGCAAACATGACATGACCATATCGTCCCGCAGCATACGCCGTTTCCAGCGCTAACCTTGGATTTCCATGGCCAAGGCCTTGTGTCCACCAACTCGCTGAGCCGTCGAATGCCGGGTAAAAAAGCGATGTATCGCTTTTGAAACCGATGTCTCTGCAAGATTTCTCTGTATGTTTGACCTGAAAGTAGTCTCCGTATGCAGAATCGAAGACCAAGATATCATTCGCTTTTTCAACGTGTTTGTGTTGCGTAAAGGGATGCCAGATAGTTGTTTTCGTCCGAAATGCCATATTCCTCATGTTTGTCATTCGCTCCAGGTGTCGATCAATGAGTCTATCAGCAACTCTGTATGTTTGCCCTGCCAGGCTCTCAGTCTGGTAGTATTTCCACATCAAATCGCCCTCTTCTTGCTCCGAAACACCCTCTAGATTCGGAATCCAAGGGAGGTCAAATGCAGCGATTTCCAACTTTTTGAAGTAGTTTTTTAGATAGGCGGCGTTTTCATACTTGCTCTTGTCGTCGAAACACACCACAGCATCGATGTCATAACCCCTCATGATCAACGACTCGGCAGCTGATATCGTCGATGCAATACCTCCAAGTCTATGGTCTCCGACAAGGACTACCGGGAGACGCAATGGTCGGAAGATATCTGCTTGAGGCGTTCCAGAAGGCCCTGGGCTGAGCACACCACCAGCAGTTTCAACAAGCGATAGACCCATGTATCCCCTTCTGAAAGCATGCTTATTTGCTTCTCCCCTGAGGCTTGCAAAGAGACGCTGACAGATGTGGTCATCGCTAGGCTGGCAACCATCAACGACGGCCTTCCAAGCATGACTAGGGGTGACTGACAATATGAGGTGCATCCCGAGCCGCTACATGCGGGCTCACGGCGTCCTGGAACTTGAACAGCGTGGATACTGGCGATCCGCTGTATTTGTGGACATAACTAATTCCATCAGTCCCCAACTCCTCCATCAGAACTCCTCACGAGCAGCTCACCTATCATCAGCTTCGTCTGCCGGCCCCGTCGAAACAGGCTTGATATATTGCACTCTCCATTTTGTTTTACCGCCCAAGCGCTTGCTAAAATGCGATCCAAGAAGCGTAGAAAAAACAGTCTTCCCAACCCCAGTATTCGCACCGTAGACTTGAATTGCGAGGAGGTTCTTCCACAGCCCCGCCGGCACCCTCGACATTCTTCCAAGCAAAAGGATGAGTGCGGTGCAATGGATGATGCTCGGCCGCGTGTGGTTGGTGTTCGAGAAAGTGCAAGGCCGAGGGAATCTCAGTTCGGCTACGCTAGCGCCAGGGTAGATCGTTCCTGCATCCCGAGCCTCCAAAATGCAGCAACCGATGTCGGCGGCTACTGAAGGTCTAATTTACGTGACTCTATGAGTTGAGCGAGTATCTTTCCCCGCAATCTGGTTCTGTTTCGATGGTTGAACTTTGACCAGACTTCTCACGCTAGCCGTTCTCGTCGTTCATGCATCATCACGAGTCAATACCGTGGAACGCACACATCTATCTTTGGGAAGTTTTGTAGAACTGGTAGAGAGAAAGAGATGGAACCGCAACCCGGCCAGAAAACATTGGAACACAAACTCCACCGTCTCCTCAACAACCGCCGCAAATCCTCCACCCTGCGCACCCTCACCCTCTCCACTCCCTCTCAAGTAGACTTCTCGTCCAACGACTTTCTCTCGCTCTCCACAAGCCCCCTTTTGAAATCCCTCTACCTCGCCGAGATCCAAAAATCCAACCTCCCCCTCGGCAGCGGTGGCTCCCGGCTCCTGGATGGAAACTCCCTGTACGCGGAAGCCCTAGAGCGAGAAATCAGCGAGTTTCATGGCGCAGAAGAAGGGTTGCTGTTCAATTCGGGGTTTGATGCGAATGCGGGGTTCTTCGCATGCGTGCCGCAAAAGGGCGATGTGATTGTGTATGATGAGCTTGTGCATGCTAGTGTGCATGATGGGATGAGGTTGTCAAGGGCTGTCAAAACGGTGGGATTCAAACACAATTGTGTTAAAGATTTGAGGAAAGTTCTGGAGGGGCTTCTGGAGGAGACGGAGGGGTTGAGGCGAGGGGAGACGAATGTGATTGTGGCTGTTGAGTCGATTTACAGCATGGATGGCGATGTGGCGCCATTGAAAGAGATCGTGAGTGTTGTAGAAGGAGTTTTAGGTAGAGATAGGGGATACATTGTTGTGGATGAAGCGCATTCGACCGGTGTTTTGGGGCCCAAGGGGAGAGGGTTGGTGTGTGAGCTTGGGCTAGAAAAACACATCTTCGCAAGGTTACATACATTTGGCAAAGCGTTAGCTGGGGATGGTGGTGAGTACTGTTGTATCTGTTTAGAGATTGATGACATGAAGCTGATAAGATACACAGCGATCATACTCGGTTCCCCAACCCTCCGCCACTACCTCATCAACTACGCACGACCTCTTATATACACGACGTTCTTATCCTATCCTTCGCTCGCACTTATCCGCTCCTCCTATCAGCTTCTTCGTACCGGTCAAACTGTCCCTCTGCAGGAGCATCTCCATCACCTTATGCAGACACTTTTTGCCTCTCTGCAACAACTTCACAACACATCCTCTGCCTCTCGTTGCCTCCTGAACATTCCAAACGCATGTCCTCAATCGCCAATATTCTCGATACAACTGCAACGCCCAAGAGAGTTGGCAAAATTTCTTCAGATGCGAGGTATGATGATAAGAGCCGTTGTGCCGCCAACAGTGCCATGGGGGACGGAAAGAGTCAGAGTGTGTTTGCATGCTGGAAATACGGTGGAAGAAGTGGAGAGATTAATCAGAGTGCTGAAGGAGTGGTGTGAGGAGCAGGTGCAAGGAAGTGATAATGCACATGAGGCCAGCTGGACAGATCGTGCTCGGCTCTGAATTGTATATACAAAAGTTCTATTTTGATGACTGCTGGAATCAAGCAGTAGCGGAGGTCGCTTGCGTCACCTCTTCTGGTGTAGCTGCTACGATATCCTCGGTGATTTTGTCCTTCTCTCCAATGGTTTCCTTCATAGCCATTGGCCGCAATCCCCATCGCTCAAACATGGCCTTATCCTCTTCCCAGCCGTTGCACGCGGTAGTAAGCATCTTCTCACCCGTGAAAACAGCGTTTGCGCCCACCTGAAAACACATGATCTGCTTCTCCTCGGCCATTGTGTGTCGGCCAGCTGCAAGACGAATGATGGTTTTTGGCATGACCATTCGTGCAGTAGCAATGGTTCGGAGGATCGCGTCGAAAGAGATGGTCTGGGTTTCACCAAGCGGAGTTCCCTTGATGGGTACCAGCGCGTTCACGGGGAAGGACTCGGGATGTGCGGGAAGTGTGGATACAGTATGGATGAGCCCAACGTGGTCGCGAGCCTTTTCTCCAAGTCCGAGGATGCCGCCTGTGCACACATGGATGCCAGCTTCTTGTACGTTTTGGATGGTCTTGAGGCGCTCGTCGTAGGTGCGTGTGGTGATGACACTGGGGTAGTGCTCTCGGCTCGTGTCCACATTGTGGTTGTATGCAGTCAGCCCAGCGGCTTTGAGTTCCTTTGCCTGCTCCGCGTCGATCATGCCTAGCGTCACACAGGCTTCCATGCCCAGATCCCTGACGCCAGTCACCATGGCCTTAACGTTCTTGAGGTTGGTCTTGCGGCCACGCATGTCGCGCCATGCAGCACCCATGCAGAATCTCGAGCTGCCGTTCTCTTTGGCGACGCGCGCTGCCTCCAGAACGGATTCGACGGAGCTCATTTTGGTGGCTTTGAGGCCTGTGTCGTAGCGGCTGGACTGGGCGCAGTACGAGCAGTCTTCGCTGCAACCGCCCGTCTTGATGTTCATGAGAGTGCACATCTGGATGGCAGCCGGGTCGTGAAAGCGTCGGTGTACCGCGGACTAATATGTGTCAGGTCATGTCTCGTACACCAAGCTGTGAGGGAATAAAGCTAATCGTACCGCGGCATAGGTGAGTTCAATCAATGATGTGTTGTACACTTCTGCAATTTCCTCTCGTGTCCAGTTCGTCCTTGGCCCAGCTGCCTGCAGAGCATCTTGGAATACCGATCTTTGGCTTGTTGGAGGGGTGATTTGCTGGGTGGAGGGATCGACTGGGGTGTCCAGTACGGTGCTAAACGAGCGAGAAAGATATTGTGTGCGAACAGGGACAAATAGGAGGCCAATTGGCCTCTTCAGCAGTCTTTGAGCCATCTTGAACTTTTGGAAAAACACAACCAGGTGGCTACTCTGAAATACTGTGAGATGATCAAACGATCGATGCCCCTCTGTTGGGGTTCCGGGGCGGGAGCTCAACCGCGGAGTTACTATTGGGGTTTCCTTATTGGCCAATTGCAAAGGGTCCACACTTGTGTGGGGCAGGAACGCCCAGGCACCGCTTGTAGTTTGTCCGGTTGACAGCGTGATCCACACTACGCCAATCCTTTCACCCAGCTATGCACGCTAGTCTACGCGTCGCGACATTCAATGTGTCGCTTTGAGCTCTTGAGCCTGCTAATTGTCTTTCTCCAGCGATTCACGGCGCGGAGAAAGCGACGACAGACGACCAACGGCTCACCTCTGCCGCCGCGGCCATGCTCCACGAAATCCTCCTCTCGCTATCCGGACATCCCTCCGCGCTCTTCGATGCCAATCCCAGCCTACACGTGACTTCTACCGCGACCCGCCTTCTTTCGCCCCCTGAAGCCGAGCTATTGTCGTCTATCGGGCATCTGTCGCGCCTCCATCGCAAGACGCGCGACCACGTTGCAAAGATCGCATCTTCCCATTCTTCGACTGTCTGTCGGGCGGTAGCTACCGCCATCACCTCGCATCATCTTGACAGATTCCAACGAAAAATAATTGAAGTAGAGAGCCGCATTCTCAAGCAAGATGCTTCTATCGTTGGTGCATACAGTATCGTGCCGCTGGCCGGCATTGTCAACGAGTTTTCCGAGTGGGTCAAATTGATGGAGTGGCTTTGGAATATCAGCAACTTTATCCTTCCCTCAGAAGCCCAATCCAAAAGCGATATCCAAGATCGAAAGACGGCCTCTGGAGCTGAGATCATCGACAAACTGCGGACAGAAGTTCAGACGGGCTATCCAGACATCGAGGCAGCTGCTCGCCAGTTGGGCAAGGTCGCAGAAGCGTCGTGGCTAAGACAGCTGTCGACCTGGCTCTTGTACGGCCGTCTTCCTTCCTTTGGTGCCTCTGATTTCTTCGTCAAACAAGAAGACGATGAGTCAGACGAACTATCGTTCGTCGTGCAGAATAAGTTCCTGCCCAAGTTCGTTACACGACAAACCGCCTCGTCTATTCTGTTCGTGGGAAAGTCGCTCAATCAGATAAGATGCTTACCTTCTACGTCCAAAGTAATGAGTACTTCGACGACTGTCTCAGAACTCGAACTCCTCCCTGTGCATGTGGAGCAACTCTCTCAAGTGGTTACTCCCGTGTCAGCAGCAAAGCTCTCTGAGGCTGTTGCCAACATTCGACTGTCACTTTCGCGTAATCTTTTACAACACCTTCTACCTCGTGAGAAGATTGTTGAAACACTCACGATCTTACATCAGTTCTTCTTGATCGGTCGAGGCGAGTTTGCTATGACACTGATTGCGGAAGCAGACGAGAAGATTTTGTCTCGACACCGAGGTTTACTAACGAAACCTAATCAATCCGTGAAAGGATTCTTGCTGAAGGATACCGAGATCAATCAGATACTTGCTCGCGCGTTCTCTGTTCTCTCCACGTTGGGCGGGGAGGACGATCACACGGATGATATTCTCGATACTGCAACAGAAATCTTGCATCTCACTACCCACAACTTGTCTGGCCATCGCCCTGGCACACCCGGTCGCGCTAAGGATGCTGACTCCGCCTTGCCACAACTTGTAAACTTCGCATTCGACGAATTGTTATTGTCAGTGCCAATGTCACTTACCATGGATATCCGATCTCCTCTCGATCTCTTCGTGACTAAGGCAGACCTCGATGTGTATTCTTCGATCAACGCATACCTGCTTGCGGTTCGCCGCGCCCATTTGCACTTGGCTCAGCTCTGGCGGCAGAGTTCCATTCGACGTGAACACCCAGGTCCACCCGGTTATCAGTATAGCAACACGGCATACGGAAAAACAGTATTGCGTCGGCGACGCCAGAGAACAAACGAACGCACGCGTCAGATGCGGAGAATCTGGGCAACTTGCTCAGCTGCCATATTCTTCCTCGCAGAGGGTGAAGCCTATTTTCAGGGTGAGGTTGTTCAGGAATCGTTCAAGCATTTCCTATCATGGGTATCCGGACCACGGCGTTCATTAGTTGAGGGATCTAGAATCGCCTCTCCGACTTTTCCAACCACGCCTGGGTTTAGAAAGTCAAGCACCGAAGGCGACATCGAGCAGCAGCACGACCCTGAGGTTCTGGCTCTCGCACATCGTCAATTCCTCTCTTCAGTCGCCTACTCTCTACTCCTTACGGATATGAACTTCACTAAGACCTTGCGCACGTTCTGCACCCACGTCGACGAGTTGGTGGCGTACATCACGCGTCTCAACGTCATCCAACAAAATCTTGACCTAGAGGAGGATGAAGGTATCGAAGACTACGCAAAGAACTACAAGCAAGACGAGAAGGAAATGAGTCTGGAGATGGATCGCGCTAGGAGGAGACTGGACAGCGACCTCAAGGCGCTGGTCGAGCGCCTGAGGGAGATCGACAGCGAAAGGATTGGGGCTTCGGCGCCAGGATTCAAGAGCGGTGTTACTATGCAAGAAGGCATGTTTGAACCGCTCAGGGTAGGTGGGATCGATCGACTTCTCATGAAGCTGGATTGGGGTGGAGAAGACGAAGAGGAGGAGCAGCATGAAGACTTGCTGTAGATGATCCTGCATCAGAAGGAAGTAGGAATTACCTTAGTTTCTAAAGCGAAATGAATATCACCAGTTCTTACCCAACTGTCCTTTGCCTATTGTGGTACACTGCAAATTACCGTCATCGCGTCGGGGAGTAAGACGTCGAAAACATTAGAAAACACAGGTTATAGACAAAAGTAACACATGAAGTGGATTTTACAGAGTATTGCATATCCATGGACGTAGTATACAGAATACCAATCAAACAGTTTAGGCTAAATCGCATGACTGACGTGGGGGGCCGGGGGGCTGGGAGAAGATGCGCACTTGCTCCCGTTCAGAGGGCGAGGCCAGTTCCATCGCCACTCCACCGGTACATGCTCAACATTTCCCGACGTCGCTGTTGTGCCAGTTCGGCATGTTCATCCGGGTCCCTTCCCCGCACTTGCTGTAATGCAGAACGCATGACTTTGCGGAAGTTTCGCTGCAAGCGATTGATTAGCATAGAGTTTCTGAAATCATATGCCTGATGAACTTACTTGGTATTCCGTATTGAGAGTGACGATGCACGCCTCATGCGCCCGCACTATTACTTCACATGCACGTACGATGTTTGCGCTGGCGTCTGTTTGCATCTTATCGGCAATCAGCAGCAGAAGGAAGCTGCCCTGCAAAAGATATATGCCGAAGAGAAACGGCATGAAGCTGAGATCGGGATCATGCTCGAGGATCTCGTTCAGCGCATCGGCTGCGGAGACCGCGTGTCCGGTGGCGTCGACAAAGCTTTGCGTCGCTATCCAGTGGTCGTTGTCATCCAGCAGGGAGATAGGATCCCATTTTCCATTAAGTAAGATATGCAGTGTATGCATGAGGTGCGTGCCATATGCGACTACGATTTTGGCTTGCATCAAAGATTCCTGTGCTCTTGACGTCGGCGAATTGATCGATCGGGCGGAGAGTGTATCCTGATCTTGCACCTCGGCGTTGACCTCGGCGGCGGCGCGGTGCTGCAGACTTTGCAACGACTGGCCGTAATCCTTGAGCTTTTGACTGATCTCGGACGCATGTCCATCCCAGTCGATATTCATGCCGAATCTCGGGTGACTTCTTGCATGGTTCAGGTCGACGATTTCCCCAAGAATAGTCATCAAAGGAAGGAAGAATCCGAAGACAAAGTTTCCAGTGCAGTCAGAAGCGGGACCTCTTCGGCGCATTGCGGGATCTGGACTTCGATGAGCGGAGTCCTCGAAGAGTTCGCCAGCTTGCCATACGTTATCGTCAAGCGGCTGCATGAGACCTGAGCATTCGGCGTCCGAGAATGACAGAGGCCGGTTGTAGCATAGAGCTAGATGGCTGTCATATCGTCAGCCTTGGTCCCACAATGTTTCTCGTTGCAATCAGTTAGCATCTCTGGATCATCTTTGGCAGATGAAGAGACGATGCGTGATAACCTCATAATTGCCAGCCAGGCAAATAAACATCACCATCTATAACAACGAGCAAGTACGTACCGATCTACGGTGTACAAAAGCCACCAGATACGTCTGCGTTCTTCTCGTTGCTCTTCGGTGAGCTCAATAGTGTTGCCTTGGCCGCTCGCATACATTCCGCCCATGTGCTCCAGGTTGAATACATCAGATACGTCTTTGTGAGTCGAATCGAGTGAAGGTGTGACAGGCAACTCCTTGCTTAGTTTCAACTCTTTAGCTAGCGACCATGCAGCGTTCCACCAACGGAGTGATGCAGCTTTGTACTCGCTGGCTGAAATTGCAGTGGCTAGATGCATGTATGTTGCTACATCGTCAAGAGCTGCTGGAGCTCCGGCTGGAAAGGAAAAGTTAGTTTAGAAGGTACTAATGTCACTTGAATGTATAATAAAACTTACGCAGGCTTATTTCTGATACTTGGGTAGGCATACCAAATCCGTTCATTGTAACCCCACAATAGATGTTGTTGTTATCGTATGTCGTACCATTCGTATCAGAATCGTCCAAAGTTTGATGCACGAGAGGTTTGAGGAGACTGATAGTGAGATTGATCAACTTTTCTGACAATTGGCTCCGCGCCGAAGGTGATGACGACAGGTATGGGGAATCGCTCGTCAGACAACCAATCCATAGCATGCTAGCTAATAGTGCTGGACTGCATACACGTGGATTGTGCTGTCTGAGAAATGAACGTTTCCGGAAGACGTAGCCCAGTACATATGGAGAGACAGGTTGCATGAAGGCGGAAGAGGAGCTTTGAAAATATAGCTCCAGTAAATCGCAAGCCAGTGGGATGGGCATGATATTGGCAAGGTGCGGAATCAATGGCTGAAGAACCGGGTACTTCAAGTATTGAGTGAAGTGTGGTGCGCCAGAGTACACGGTCGTAGATGGTGATGGAAAGATCCAGCCCGGAGACCCAGCAACTGGAGAGTGGGTTACAAATCCCATATTGACAGATTCGTCAGGTAGCCTGATAGGGTTTGGTGGTACTTGTGCATGCGCACTATGAGGACTTGTCGCACTATAAGAGCTATCAGAGTAGTCCATGCCATGGCTGTGAGATGGAAGGATAGTATGCATCCCGGTTTGCAGCATTAAATGTGGAGGCTGATACGTAATGTTTTGAGAAAAATCATCCATGGCCGTGTACTGTGGAATGGAGTTGTGTATCAGATGTCCTTGCGTCTGGATGCGAGGCTGAACCTGCAGTTGGAGTTGTGGAACTGTGGTTTCTAGATTTGCATCATTTGTGGTCATCATTCGGTTTGGATATGTCGATGTATGCTCAATCTCCTCCGTTCGGTCAGAGACAGGAGGTTTTGTAAGTGATCTCCGACCTTTAGATAGCTTAAAGCTAGCATAACCAGCCTCGATAGCATCTTCCTGTGACTGCGGAGAGGATTCTTTAGACGACAGCGTGACATTTCCCGCTTTCGCGGTGGCTTGTTGTTGAGCAATGTCCTTTCTTGATGCCTTGCCGCGCTTCTTGCGTTCACGAATGTATTCGCACGTCAAACCAAATTCTATAGTTTCGTTAGTCTAGTTACCATATCAAGCATGTCTACACATTGGTGATCGGAAATCAATGCGATACAGGGATTTTGCAAGATTCCCCATAGATAGTAGAGATGCCACTCCGACTTAAGAATACGCAAGAGGTCTAAGATCTACTCATCGTGGATATTTCGTTCCCCATCTGTTGCGCATTGTTACAAATGATGATGGGACATACCTATACAATGGGTACACTACCATACGAGTCAGACTCCGAGCTCACCTACTGCGAAGCAAGAGAACACTTACTGGCTTCCGTCCGTCACATTTTGTACGTAGTTGGTTGCATTGATCACAAGCTCGACTAATCCTGCGTCGTACCGGTCCTGATGTTGCATTGCTGCGTCCCGACCGCTCGTGGAGCATTGCTTCTTGCTCGCTATGTGAAGCTGCCGCTATTGGCCCATCGGCGTGCGTCGATTGATCAAGGTTTCCGATTTCTTCAGTTGAGAATACATTGTGGGTTTGATAAAACTGCAGCTCTGCAAATTGTGGCGTGTCTGCCCGACCGCCGAGTGATGGGCGCTTCATATGCTGTGTGGCGAACTGGTGTTGTCGCTGATCGACCATGTTTGGCGCGGGGGAATGACTGAACATCGGCAGGTACTGGTGGAAGAATCTACACTCCTCCGAAGCCACCACAGCACCCACACTTTGACAACGGGATTTGAGGCTCAAAATTGAGGAACGGAGGTTCATGCGCCGGTGGATTTGAGCAAGTACCTATGCTAGGAGAGTGGAGAGCGCTGAGAAAGAGCTTCATGCGGTCGGGAATCCGAAACACTGAGCGAGGGGGGTCGGCAAAAGATATTATAAAGATCTGCAGCAAGTGATTGTGTATTTTTGACTACTGTATCGGGGACAACCTATACAATTTGTCGAACTGCTATACTTGCCTAGCACTACATCTTAGCAGACTTCTGTTCGTGGGTCTGGCCCAAAGTGTCAATGCTTGGAGGTGCAGAGTGCCCAATAAACTTGACTGCAGGGATCAGTAGCATCGTGTGTCAGACGTGTATCTGGACCACATGCCGTAACCGAGACGGCATCAGGGCGCACAGGATCGTGCATCGATTCAACGGTCAGGCTGCTCTACTTGTCTTTCGCTTCCCCAGTCGTTCCGTTGCTACTTTGCACACCGCCTGAAAGCCGTTGGGCGATGCAAGCTTAAACCGACGTACCTAGTCAAAAGTGCTCTCCGCGGGTTCAATGGACAATCAGAGAAGACATTGGTGGACTGATGCTAGTCCAACCCCAGAAGTAGGTGTGTGAGCTGTGTTACACCAGAAGGCGGCATGCGAATGCCGGCTCCGCACACACCTGCCGATCGAGCTCACACTCCGTTCGAGCGAGCATGGGACAGCATGTACCGCGGCTTACAGCCATCATTTCTTACTGAATACGTACGGCTGTAACCTTGCCCGCAGACGGGACCTGACAGTCATCACCTGCTGTCGTATAATACACGTGTCATCCATGCCTCATGGCTGTCATAGGTATTGCACTTTGGTGACTGGTTTCGTTAGCGGCAAGCCTTCCCAAGTACGCCTTGACCTGCTTGTTTTCTCCAACTTTTCATAGGAGTAGTGCAATGTGCGAGTTCCCAATGGGGACAAAGCAACGTTCATAGGTTGCCAAATTGAATTCCAGGATCCGAATTCCAGCCTTTACACTGGCTAGTCTGAGTAATTGGCTGGTCCTAGGTATCCGAATAAATCATCCTTGTCTATTATGCGCATTGACTTTTAGAGACGATTGATAGTTTGATCGATGCGGTGGGTCGGTGGAGATTCCACTCGCTGTCTCTTTTACGGTAGGTTGAGTTTGAGTTTCTCAGTTAACCCGCTGCGCTAAGGTTGCATTATGTGTCCGCCGCTAGCTGTGTGAGTATGGGTTGACATTGTGGCTCGACCTCTCAACACCATCTGCTGATCAAACCACGTTGTTGCATCTTATACGGCCAGCTCTCCAAATTTTGCGAAACATTTTTTTGAATATGGACATGATTTACCCTTTCTGATGGCCCGTTCCTCGAAAGCTTGGTGAACTCTCGATGCGACCGCGTGTAAAATATCTTATGACGTCCTACGTGATTCAAGAAGATGATTGTGACTGTCCTCGATCTCGTATTGACCTTGGCCCACCGAGTCTCAGGTATTGCGCGTATTAGGTTACCATGGCGTGAGATTCTTACTACTGACAAGTAACAACTGACCTGCCGAGGAATGTACCTTCTGACAGGGAACGTAGAGCACATCTCTCAAATATTTGCTACATGAGGAGTTGGTAAACACTCTGCCAATATCAAGGAGATGTCCCCCGCACACAAATTGCGTCCTAGAGGAATCGTTTCAAGTGACGTGTTCTATTATGGGTCCTGGCGGTGTTGAGGTACATGAAGGTGACTTTCCTCTTGCAAGCGCGTTAGACGCATGCCAGAATCGCATGCTGCAGACGCGGCGGCGGCGTCATTGTACTATGTATGAAAGTCGAAGACTTCAGCAATCGGTTGACCGATGTAGGCTCGCCATACCTGCTGCCAAAAGCGACTGTGCTTGGTTGACCTAGATTGCCCGAAGGTCGGATCGTTGAGATGAGAACGCTGACTTGTCGAAGCTGATGTGGGGATGGGCACAGGGCATACATAAGTTGTAGATTGATTTGAAAGCCTGCTGCACGTCGAAGAAAGAGAGAGATAACGAAGTAAAGATAAAGGAGAAAGCATCGCGATTCGGGTGAAGTTGCCAAAGTGGACCAAGCCTGACCAAAAATAGTGTTAGCGTTGTTCACGTCATCCCTCCGAGTCGGAGCTCTGAAAGCACAGTTTGACGAGACAACGACGACGATACACACCCTTTCTTTGTCCATTCTGCACACCTGAATTCACGTACTCGCCAAACTAAGCCTACCCCTTCATCATGTCGCTAGAGAAGATCACCACCATCTCTCCCATTACAAACAAGCCACTTCTGACTCGGAATGGCCTCTCAGACGCTGATATTCAATCTCTTCCCGAGACAGCCGTCCGCGCTTTCGAGTCCTTCAGACGCACATCACTTGGGGAAAGACAGAAGATCATCAAGGACGCCTTGAAGTTACTCACTGATCGCCAAGATGTACTAGGCAAAGAACTCACCGAGCAAATGGGTCGCCCTATTACATACACGCCCAAGGAAGTCACTACAGCAGTCATGCGCGGCGAGTACTTGCTGAAAATCAGCGACGAGACTCTCAAAGATACTCCGGGTGAGGCGGAGAAAGGCTTCAAGCGCTACATCAAGAAGGTTCCATTGGGGCCTGTATTGATCCTGTTTCCATGGAATGTTCGTACTCGAGAGTGAGATGAACCTTTTCACGCGTTAACTCATCCCACAGTATCCCTATCTGACTCTCATCAATTCGCTTGTACCAGCACTGCTTGCAGGCAACTCAGTGATACTGAAGCCATCCCCACAGACGCCTACCAGTGCGGAGCAGATTCAACAAGTTTTCAAAGAAGCTGGACTGCCTGACGGAGTGCTTCAAATCTTTCACAGCGGTTCTATCTCTCAAATTGAGTCGATAGCTCGGTCACCGCAGATCCAGCTTGTTTGCTTCACCGGCTCTGTGCCCAATGGGCTTGCCGTTCAAAGCGCTGCAAACGACCGAGTCTCTCTCCGTGTTGGTCTCGAGCTTGGTGGTAAAGACCCTGCGTATGTACGGTCAGACGTTGACGTGAAGTGGGCTGCAGAGGAACTTGTAGACGGCGCTATCTTCAATTCAGGCCAGAGTTGCTGCAGTGTAGAGAGGGTTTACGTTGACGAGAAGATTCACGATGAGTTTGTATCTGCGGTCCAAGATGTCCTCAAAGGCTACAAGCTTGGTGACCCATTCGACAAGAGCACGCACGTCGGTCCTGTGGTTTCCAAGAGGTCGGCAGAAGCTATACAAGCACAGATAAAGGATGCTCTCGAGAAGGGTGCGAAGGATGCTACTCCAGATAACGATACTTTCAAGAACACGCCCGCAGATGGAAACTACGTCGCGCCTACTCTGTTGACTAACGTCACGCATGAAATGGCTGTCATGACCGAAGAAACCTTCGGTCCTGTTATTCCAGTCATGAAGGTCAAGGACGACGCAGAGGCTATCAAGCTCATGAACGACAGTCAATTCGGACTGACAGCCAGCATCTGGACCAAGGACGTCAGCAAAGGTCACGAACTGATCGATGATGTCGAAGCTGGTACTGTCTTCGTCAACCGCTGCGACTACCCTGCACCAGTAAATATTCCATGGTCTCAATCCCTCGTTCTCTGCTAACACGTGTAGGATCTGGCATGGGTTGGTTGGAAAGATTCCGGCAAAGGACAGACGTTGAGCAAGTTCGGTTTCGATCAGTTCGTCAAGCTCAAGAGTTACCATGTCAAGGACTACCCGAAATAGATATCCCTGTGCGGAGATGGGCTAGTATCCACGGTCTGCTAGGAATATGAAACATTGTGGTTTCTCCCTGTCAGAATTGCGACGTGACATTCCTCAACTGAAACCCACGTCATCAGCTGACTTTGTGCGCTACAAGATAGGTACCGAACTGTGTCCACATACTCATCTGTCCCGATATCTAGCTGTACGTGTGGTACTGCGCATTGACCCCAGCGTTCGAAATTTCGCGAAGGTGAAGCCCTTCGTCTCATATATACAGCTCGGATACGAACTATAGCAAGGCGAATTACTCCGGATGCTCGAAGATACGCGATTCTGTTCGCCACATGAAGAATGTGACCCTACGTGAGGCCGTTGGTACGAGCGCTAAGGCTTCGAATTACAAGAACATCTTCAACCTCACCATCACCTCGATTTTTATCAGATTCCATCTTGCGACATCCAATTGCAATACAATTTCCTGGACTCACCAATTCCTTATCCCAATTTTACAATCGATATTCAGATGCCATTGAGATATCCGACTCTGCGAACCGCACTGTCCACGCATGATCTACATTCCAGAGCCCGCCCTCCCGCATCCGATCGAGCAGTAATCTGGAGTCAAAGAAAGCCAAAGCCTACGATGACTAAACCAAGCAAGGGGTGGAAAATTGCCTTGCGGCGGAGATTTCTGTTGACTAATTTTGCGAAGGAGGGCCTGATTTGTCGCCTGCAGCTTATATCCTCTTCTGGCAGTCACAGCTGTAGGTCTAGCCCACACGACCATTTGATCGAGTAGCATCGTTCGTGGCCGTGGTTTTTTCTCTCGCTCGTTCAAGTCTCTTGTTTGTCTCTTTGGTGTGTCTTGCGTCCCATCGTCGCTCGTTACTTTGTCGTCGGTCTTTACATATACTCTTTGTTACCATCGGTCCTTTTCGTTATTTTCTTCCCACATCATGAACCTGAAGAAACTCGTCGCAACCCTTCGACGAGCGATACTCTGTTGTAACGACCGCAAGTCCAAGCCGGAGCCAGCCATGCAAATCGTAAGCCTACCCCCCACACACATCATGCCAGACAGTGACCCGTAGACCAGGGTCTCCCAACAAACGTACGACGCGTAGACATCAGCGCCCTGATCCCCGGCCTCAGCGACTCGGAGCGACGCGAAATCCACGCAAACGCATCCAGGGACGCCGTAAACATCGCGGGCTTACAACTCCAAGCTTCAACTCGTCCGACGACAGCGTCTGCCTCACGGCCAACTACGTCTCATCGACACCCGTCCACATCCCCTTTGCAACTAAATCCTTTCCATCCCTCCGGCCCTCCAACGTCTACTTCCTCGCCGACAAGCGTGTACTCGCCCTCCTCTGTTGCGCCGTCATTCTCAGTACCATGCGAGCCAGTCGACGTCGCACTAAATGCTGCTTCGACGCATCTCCCTAGCTCCGTGCCGACCCCGCCACAGCAGCTACATGATGAGGATTCCTCACCTCCTGTGCGGACAAAAAGCATGCGGGGCGAGGAAAAGGAGGCAGGTTGTGAATCTAGCTCCGAAGACAGCTTCAAGGAGGTGAGGACATCGTCAGCAGGCGGGGCGCAAGGGAGCATACATGCAGGCACAGCGGATCTGTGGTATGAAGTGCAAGTGAAGCAAACGGGTACGGATGCTGATACCGAGACGGTGGGTCCTTGGGGCAGAGAAACTGTGTCAGTGATGGAGGCGGTGGACGTGCCGAATACAGGGAGTAAAGAGGAACAGAATCTTGAGGATGGGGAGAGCGGTTCGAGGCTCGAGAGCCGGTATAACGCATCTACTTTGAACGACGGGGTTGTTGGGAAGGCTGCGGAAGATACGAGACTTGTGAATGGAATGAAGAGCAATACGGGGTGGGAGGAAGGCACCTCCCTGGAAAACCACCAAGATTGACGAACAAAGCGTGCTGGGAACGTCGCACAGGTTTGTACGGCGCAGTGAAAAGTCACTGGGACGCTGATAGAATGTATTAATCTAATACCGCTGAGGTGGAAGAGACTCGTCACAGAGGATCGTGGGCGTGAGACGCAGTGAGACGCGCAGGTCTGTCTGATCAAAGGACGTAGTACTAGGCCATCACTTACACAGGTTTAGTTGAATCGTTATCAAAGAATATGGATATCAGTATTAGAATTCTGTGTAAAGCACATTGTTGCTTGTATCGCTTACAAAAAGTGCAGTGACAGCCGTCCTGCAGCAAAGTGACAGGCCACGATATAGGAGTTATCGAAAATTCGCTCGATCCCGTGCAGAATAAAGATTAGAAAAACGCTAAAAGGGGTATTGGGCAGTACAGAGGGTATATCGTGAAACAAAAAACGCCGAAACCTATCAAATCGTTCTCCACGTCTGTAATCCTCGAGCAAGTTCTTCTCTCTATCGCGTCGTTCGATTTCCGTTGTTGAGCTCGCCGGTTCACTCGAATCATCTAGCTCGTACCTTGGGGTGCATGCCATGTCTCGAGCTGAATTCAGAGATCGGGGTCGTCCTCACTGCAGACATCCACCTCAGGCAAGTACTCCTTGAGCTGCATCATGATATTGCGGCAATGCACGACCAACATGGCGATGGCGAATCCGTTCCACACATCGAACCCCGCGTTGTCTTTTTGTTTGTTTTCACTCCGCTTCTGCTTCTTCTGTTTCCTTTTCTTCTTTTGTTCTTCCTCCTCGTCAGGACCTCCGAAGTCGAACGTGGCCACTAGTCGAATTTGAGGGACCTTGCTCTCGTAGGTTGGCGGATCGTATCGGACAAACGCCATGACCGTGTGACTTGCAACGACGCCGTACAGCGTGGGGACTTCCGGCACGATGTAGCCCAGGGCGGCTTTCTTCTCAAGGGCCTCGGCCCATAGTTCGTGGAGGCGGCCGAGTTTCCATATCAGCTTCTGCTCTGAGGTATATATATCGGCCCTCTTGTCCCATGACACGGTCTGGAAGAGGGGGTATGCGTCCCAGAGGGGCTTGATGTCGCCGTCTTTCAAGGCCCAGTCGGTATATTTGTCAACAGATTGTTTGAGGAGATATTCGGGAGTCCGTCTACCCGCCTTCACCTTGGCAACATTGCGAACAAGCCCACCGAGGTCGAAAAGAGGGCTGAGTGCTAGTTGTGCTGTCGATGTGTGAGTTTTGGTTCATTCGTATGAGCCGCCTAAAAGCGAAGATACTTACCATGGTAGGTTGAGCCAAGAGCTGGTTTGATGAAGGCTTTTTCCGCGTTGACTGTGAACAGATCCCCTGGTAGGCCGCTGAAGCCAAAATCATCAATCCAGTCGATTGGCAAGAGCGGTTCACGACCACGCTGAGCCAGTTTCTGGAACAAGAACACAGCATCCTCAGGCCAGCCAGCTGCTCGCAGTTCACTAGCTTCTCTATCCAAGGTTTGTCTCTCATCCTCAACATAGACGGTCTTGGTCTCCCCTAGCATGTACCTTTGATCTACCACCGTGACGTTGCCAGTAGCGTCGGATTCATCCTCCGAAGATCCAGGCTCTTCTTCAGGATATCTAGTCTTGACCATGTATCCGCACGGCGAGCTGGGGATTAGTGTGTCACCATCAAAGTCGTAGGAGCGCTTGAGCGAGCTTGGTGGTGATGGCGGCAACAGCGTTACGTCAACATCGCCGTATGGGCTCGATGTTTGAGTGTGCCAGGTCTTGACTCGCGACCCCGGGCTCATGTCCCGTGCCTCTGGTGTTGCAACATGTTCTTTAGTAAGTCGCTTCCGTAGAGGAATTGCGGGGACCTTGAATGGCTTGTCGCGTCGTTGCTGCGTTTTTCGAGGACTGATGTAGTTCCAAAGGCGCTCTTTAGCATTCTGCAGAAATGCCATAGCGATGGTACTCTAAGGGATTGTAGTGAGCCTTGGAGATTCTGGCGTCGTGATGCGTCGTATGTGTAAGTGAGATGGTTCGCGTCCTGAGCGTGATAAACAGCGTGATGGTCGAATGTCAATGCGTCATTGTTGCTCAGTCGCGGTGAAGGTGAGCGCGAGGCCGGCTTTTACCCCTCACTCAGCGATGAGAACAATGCCTTGTCGTGTACAAAGGGTGGCTTTAGCATTGTGAGTACTGGATGGGCTGGGGATGATCTTGGCAGTAAATGCAGGGAAGGCGCCAGGCTGCAGTCAGGCAGGAGCGATCTTAATCTGATAAGATTTTGCGATCCAACCCCGCCCTGCACACTTCACCCCACTAAAAAAGTTGAGCCGCCATTCGAGATTCATATTTGATCACCCTAGTAGCGATCACGCAAAGATCTGTACCCATATCAAGCAAAGCCACAAATATGACCGCACCAGAGACTTCGGCGGAGGACACTCAGGTCCTCGCTCTCCGCAACATCCTCACTTCAGAGCGAGAGGCCCTCGCGCGCCGTTTCCGCGCTCTCTTCTCCCTCAAATACCTTGCATCCCTCCAGCCTCCCAGCGAGCAGACAGTCCCAGCAATCGAAGCCATTGCTGCAGCATTCGGATCGCCTTCTGCACTACTCAAGCACGAGCTTGCATACTGCCTCGGACAGTCTCGCCACGATGCTGCGATCGCCCCTCTGCGACATGTGCTCGAGGACAAGGAAGAGGACTCAATGTGCCGACACGAGGCTGCAGAAGCGCTTGGTGCAATAGGCGATCAAGGAAGCTTAGGGTTGTTGAAGGAGCTCAGGGACAACGTGCAAGAGCCGGATATCATTCGGGAGACATGCGATATTGCAGTGGACAGGATCGAGTGGGAACATGCGAAGAAGCAGGAGAAGCTGAAGAAGAGGTAGGCTATAAAATGTCCAAACCCGAGGGTAGATGCTAACTAGGGATCAGCGACTTCGCCTCCATCGATCCTGCGCCGCCACTAGCCCAGAGCACCGAAACGCCGTCGATAGAAGACCTCGAGAAGACGCTGCTTGACACCAAGCTGCCCTTGTTCCAGCGCTACAGGGCCATGTTTGCCCTGCGCGACCTTTCCTCGCCGCCCGATCTGCCTACAGCTGTCCCAGCTGTTCTGTCGCTCGCCCGTGGTTTCAGCGATCCATCTGCACTTTTCCGTCATGAGATCGCTTTTGTCTTCGGACAGCTGTCGCATCCCGCATCCATTCCTAGCCTGACTGAGGCGCTGAGTAACACAAAAGAAGCGAGTATGGTACGACACGAGGCCGCAGAGGCCCTAGGAAGTCTGGGCGACGAAGAGGGTGTTGAAGAAACTCTGCGAAAATTCTTGGATGATCCAGAGCAGGTGGTGCGAGACAGCGTAATTGTGGCACTAGATATGGCCGAGTTCGAGAAGAATGGGGAGGCGGAGTACGCGATTGTGCCACAACCACAGGCTGTCGCTGCTTAGGGGGTTTAGTCGAATGGGTGCATATTTGAGGCGTTTAGGTTACACGAGGAATGTATATAGAATTTTGCAAGTGAAGGCTCGCGCTCAGTTGTTATTGTTCCATCTGTAGGACAGTGATAAGTATACAAGCAACAAAACGTTGAGCAATATGAACTTACTTGTGGCCACAATCGCACTCGTAGAAAACGGTGGTCCCTTCGTCTGCACCACGCAGTTGCTGAGTATAGTAGCGCACCTCCTCTTTGCCGCACTTCTCGCAGGGGTGGGCGATGACACTGGTTGTGTTTACATCACCCTCGGAGATAGTCTGGACTTCAGACCGCTTTGCGCGCAGAGCCGAGGGGAAGGCTGTGGGCTTGGAGTGTGTAATGACTGTCTTGGAGGAAGTATCTGCGTACGATCAGTCAGTTCGCGATTGTTTGCACGCCGTTCGGAGGCGCGCATACCTTTGCAGGATGCGCCGCAAATGCTGCAGGTCAAAATGGCGTTCAGCTTGCCTGCGCTGCCATCGAGCAGGTTTCCGCAGTCACCGCAGAAGACGAGAGAGCCGATTGCTGACATTACAGGGAGTTTGACGGTTTTGAGCGTGTGAGATTGACGTGGTGAGGATTCTGAGAAAAAAGTTACAAAGTTACCAGGAATCGCGAACTTTGCGGGGAGCTTCCGCAGCTAGAGCGCAAGGGGCAGGCGGTCAGACGCGTCCGAATTGGAAGGCGCAGGTCCCCATCAATGGCTTTCACTCTGCCTAGCCCGCGACCAGCACTGCACTCCCCGACGATACAGACGCATCACCGACGGCAACCTGCTCTGTTCCGCCATGCGTCTGTTGTTGCCGCCGTAGTGACTCGCCAAATCACACATCCACGCACTCTGTCAACCCTCGTTGCCTGCACACCAAACCTACGCTGCCGCAACACTCCACAGGCGCATCATGGCTGGTTACGGGAATGACCACTGGCATAATGGCGGCGGGCTACCATACCGTCCGCCGCCTACCGTGGACGAGGCTATTCCGTACTCACCCTTTACCTCGATAGTCCCTTTCTCGCCGGGTCAGTAGCTCGCCTTCACCCAAACTATCGCTCAAGCGTTGCTCTCTCACCTGGATTTTCACAGTAAATTAACAGATTGCAGACATCATCCCGTTCCCATCCGCCGAACCGCCGACTCCTCCCTCCACTCTGACACCAGACCAACGAAACGCTGCGACGAAGGCAATCAGTATTCTGAACGATGAGATCAAGGGTCAATCGACAGCTCAGCACCTGAACAACACGCTTCGGCAGCTTCAAGAATTACTGGACCCGGACGAGCTGACGCAATTGTAAGGATCAACAATCTCCGCTGGGTGAGACTGAGAGTTGACCATCTTCTAGCGAATTCAAGCCAATGCCGCAACTCGTAACGCCTCCGCCCGAAAGTCCTACGAAGGAGACAAAAGGCTCAGTTTCCGACTATACATCTGCCCTCAGCCCTTTCGCGAGCCTGTTGCTGAAGCAAACAAACATGAGCTTCACGCGTGAGCTCCATCGTTACCCGCGTTGCGTCACCTGCTAACAATACCAGCACTCGGTGTCAAGACTGCTGAACGGCCTCGACAGTACTACGTACCTCCTCGGAAAGCTGCGCCCCCACAGCCGCCACGGCCTGTCCCTCAGACACAGTTCGCCAGCCTTAATGGCATTGCGTCTACGCAAAATGCGAATCTCTCGCACACGCTCAGCGCACCACCCTCCGCTTCCACAAAAGCGCCTCTTGTGCTGATAAAGTCTAAGAGCGTCCGTCACGAAGAGTACAAGCGATATGACAATGTCGAGGTGACTGAGAGCCCGTCGCAGAAAAAGGTAGAGAGCGGCGCCACTGCCCTACGACCCCATGAACGAGAGATCGCCGACAGAAAAATCGAGGAACTGCAGTCTTATGTAGAGGGCTTGTCTGAGGAAAAGGATGACATGGATGCCTCGGAGAACTTCTCGCGAGTCTCAACCGCCGACGCTGAATTCAACGTTCTTCTCCCCAAGGCGATGAACCACCTTTCTGACAGGATCTCAACTGTCACTAACCTTGGCCGCTTTGCCGTTCTCCCTGTGGACCTAGTCATGCAAATTCAGTCGCTATTAGAGCCGGCGATCAATTCGACTAGTCAACTTGGGTTATTTCCTCGAGATGATGAGGAGCTCAACTGGTCCGAGAGTCTCGAGAAGGCCAAGTTCGCGCTCAAAGCGTCCAAGCTTGTGTTGAACACCATGATAGAGGGACGCGACGATTATCGAATGCGTCGTGAAGAGATCATCGATGTGATCATTAACCTCATCAAGGCGATCAAGGATGAGTGCATAATTCCAGTTGTTCAGTCCCGACGTATTGGCAGCTCACAAAATTTGTTCAGTACTGCGACTGGTCAGAGAAAGGATTTGCTTGCGGTTCTGACGTTGTGCGGGAGCGTTTTCAGCCATTTCGCTACTTTGATCGGCAAATTCAATCTCTCAGATCGCGCGCTGAATGTCATGGAATACCTGTCACTAGAACTGCTCGTGGAACAGAACAGCGATTCTGAGAAGGATTCGGTGTTTGGCATCCAGAAATTTGAACAGTTTCGCCAGAAGGCTATGAATGTCATTGCTCAAATATTTGCTCGACACGCAGAACAAAGGTCCTCCATTCTCAACGGCATTCTTAGCAATTTGGAGAAGCTGCCCGATAAGAAGGCGAGCGCCAGACAGTTCAAGTCAGCACGTGAAGTGCCTATTATGTCTATATCTGCGCTGTTCATGCGCTTCATTCAGGTTGCCGCGATGAACAGAGAAACTCAAAAAGGAGCAAGCAACGATATGCACGAGGAAGAGGTTAGCGATTACGAGCCAGGAACTTCCATTCCAGAGAAGAGGAAGAGAGGAAAAGGTGGTCGCTCACCAGATCAGATTGCCAAAGAGCTAATGGCCAACGCCAATCAGATCGCTGCTCACATTGCTCAGTCTCTCATCGACAGAGCTTCGAACGTTTCCAAAACAGGCGACAAACCCTTCCGCAACCTATTGGATCTCTTCATTGAAGACTTTTGTAACGTTCTTGGTTCTCCCGAATGGCCTGCTGCTGTTCTACTTATCTACCAGCTGCTCGCTCGCATGGTCTCCATGCTCCAGGGTGAGAATGCTACCAAGGTATCTGTGGTTGACAAGGACATGGCTCTTGCGACGATGGCAAAGATGGGCTGTGGTGTTATTGACTTCAAGCACCGTTTGAAGCAACTTAAGCGTGGTCTGGACATTTCACAGTCAGATCTATCTTCAAAACTAGACCGTCTCGCGGATGATGCTTTGAATGGAGTCCTTCACGACATGGATCTGCTCGCATTCGATGGCCCGTACCGGATGCTTGTCGAATCGCTGAACGACTATCTGGAGTGGCAGCCTGGTCAGGAGGACCCTCATCTCCAGTCTGTCAGCGGTTGTCACGTCACTTTGTGGCTCGATTCGGTTATTCGAGCCTTTTCGGAGCAGGATACAGATGCGCCTCGTCCACAAGCGGCTCAGCACTTACAGGACCGCTTGGAATCTATGATTATGGATTCGAAGTGGCTCGCTCGGGAGTAGTAAGTATATCCACTCCAATTCGCAGGATGATGTTTGCTAACAGTTCATCAGTAAGTATCAAGCCGTCACTGAGCACCAGAGCAAACTTGCCGCTGGCATTGTCACACTGCAGAGTCCAGTCTGCAAGTTCATTCCTCGAATGGTCAACACAATGCTACAATACAGCCGAGATAAGAACTCTTCAAAACTCCGGTCAAGAGGCATGACTGGGCTGGAACAGTTGATTGAAAAGGACCCCCGCATCATTGACGAACAGACCATCAAGGGTATGGTGGGTCAGTTTTCAGACAACTCACCAATGGTTCGTGATCACACTCTTTCCTTGGTATCGAAATGCCTGGAGCAGGATCCCTCGTTGGAACGCCACTTTCTTCCCAGCATTCTCAGCCTCACTCTGGATACGTCCAACGCTCCTAAGAAGAAAGCCATCAAGCTTCTGAAGGACATTTATGTTGGTCCGACCCAACAACACAACAGGCTACAAATCGCCGCTTCACTGCTTCTACCTTCGCAGGACGACGAGAAGGCTATTGCAGAGCTGAGTCGTAACGTCCTCGAGGAGATCTGGCTGAGCTCTACAACGTCTAGCGCCAAGGCAGATGAAAACCACCTCCGACTTGATCGCGTACAGAGGGCCTCGCTCATGATCGACGTCACTCAGAAGATCCATGGGTCACCAATGCACTTAGAAGCTTTCGAGAAGTTTTTCCTACATGCCTTGTCTTCTGAAGCCAAGGCCCCGACTAAGAATCTGCAATTCTGCCAGAACCTTGTTGCTGACATGATTGACGGAGTAATCAGTCCTGAATCTATGCCGGGAGCGAAGCCACAAGCACACATATTGAGCGCTCTCAGCATCTTCGCCAAAATCAGGTCGACTTTGTTTACCATGGATCAGGTCCAGTTGTTGAAGCTTTACATCAAAGATCTTGCCACCGAGGAAGATCTTCTCTTGGTGCAACCCACGGTCACTATCTTCCGGCATGTCTTCCCGAACCTCCCCGCGCTTCAGCAGGCATTTGCGGAAGAAGTGCGAGCGAATTTGATGCGGATGATCTCCAGGCTTGCTATGTGGGCAGCTCAAGGGCAACCCACGAGCAGAGAGACTCTTGTCCATGTCGCTCATTGCTTATGGATTGTTAGCCCCATGGCGGATGAAGGCTTGACTAAGCTGTTTGCGACAATTTCATCGATTATCTGCCAGATACGACCCTTCACATCCTTGACCAAGGAGCAAGCAATGGAGAAGCGCATCAAAATCGGTTCCTATCTGATTCTCCTAGGCACATTCGGGAAGGTCTGTACTTTTGATCAATACATTGACAGGTTTCGGGAAAGGATTGTCTTGCAAGCCCGCAACTTCATCAGCAAGCAGCAGGCTACAGAAAAGCAAATGCAACCTCTGCTAGCTGGGAAATCGTCAGCCGCTCTCCTTCTTCTGGATTCCGTCCGACCATTTACAATGCAAACATGGGGCATGGACATTCGAGAGCAGGCATTGCTGAGCATGGGTGAAATCTGCCAGCAGTCACCTGAGCTCTTCATGCGCGGAGAAGTGGAGAAGGTTGTTAAGCTCGTCTTTGTCAACCAGGATAACGACCAGCTGAAGCATGTGGCTCTCACGTTCTTCAATGAGTACTTCACGTTTGCCGAGCGACGTTCTGAGACTGGTGCGGAGATCGCTGTAGGCAGTGGGGCTGTCAATGGCTCCGCACGCCTAGAGACATCGTTCGTGGCCAACGAGAATGACTCTGCGACACTACACCTGGCTCAAAAGTTTTTGACAGATTTTGTGGACGTCGCACTGAAGAACAAGAACCAGCTTGCGGAGCTTGCGACCAATATCATTGCTAGCATCAGTCGACAGGGTTTGGTTCATCCTAAGGAATGCGGTGCTGCGCTTGTTGCTCTGGGGACCTCTTCGAACAGCAAAATCGCGCAGACGGCTTCTTTGGAACACAGGCGGATTCATGAGAAACAAGAATCGTACCTCGAAAAGGAGTACATGCAAGCTGTGCGTCTGGCCTTCAACTACCAGCGGGATATCTTCAACGATCCTCATGGAATGGTTGAGGAGAAGTATAGCCCCAAGCTCGCCAGACTGTTCGAAGCTTTGAAGATTGGTAAGAAGGCTACCATCAAACGATTCGTCGAGAATGTGTGCAAGCAGATCGACTTTGATCTGTCGAAGTTGAAGGCTGATGGGGAGATTCCTGACGCTATTCTCTTTGCGCGCTTTTGTCTGGAAAACTTGAGCTTGCTCGACTTCCCGCGCCTCGAGGAACTGGCTGTTTTCCTCAACGCAGTCGAGGCTATTATCTTCAAGAACACCGGACCTGCCGTGGCATTAGCTATCGAAACCGAGATGCCGAAGCAGTTTATTGGCCTAGAGCAGCCGCTGCCACCGAGTCAAGAACACTTCCAGCATCAATTCCACCACAGCGCCGACATGAACCTAGCATTCCCGACCAGTCTCACCCCAGCCCCGATACCATCACAAATCGCCCAGCCAACCATCGACGATGCCCGCCTCCGCACAATCACAACAGCCTGCATGATCCTACAAATGGTATGGGAAACACGCACCTTTGTCCGGCGCTGCTACACCGCAAAATTCAGCGGCCGCATCCCGCAGAAAGAATACGCAAAGCCCGCCCAACGCAACAACTTCATCTCCGGCAAAGAGCTCTGGGAGCGCCTCACCCCTATCATGAGCGCGCTCGCCTCCCGCGAAGCAATGGTCAAGCAGTGCTACGACTTCGCTGACCTGCTCAACGTCGATAGCGAAGCGAAAGTCGGCAACGACGAGGATGATGACGAAACGGCCTTTGCCGCTGGATATGAGACGCCGCCTGATAACGGCGAGGCGAGCGCGCCCGTTCCTACTAGTGGCCGCGGCAGGAAGAGGAAGAATAATGTTAGTTTGGGGAATACGCCGAAGAAGGCTAGAAGTAGGCCGCTGGGTGGCGCGAAGGGCAAGAAGAGGAGTTCTAGGACGCCTGAGGGCGATGATGAGTCGGAGTAGGTGCCTTGACTCTTGTTTTTTTTTCATTCTACTCCCTGAAGTGGTGGCGGTGTGGAGAAAAGTTTTTCCCCCTTCTTTTCTGCCTTTCTTTCAATTCTTCCTTTTACGGCGTTACGCAGGTGGGTTTCATCGTCGTCATCATCATCGGAGATACCCCCTTGGCTTGGTTTTGATGCGTGGATTGCTTGCATGGCATGGCATGCATGTGGTGTATTTGGCGTCGTCGTTTTATGTTCTCTTCATCGGTAGATTAGGGGGGGTTCTTCATAGTATCGAGGGTGCTGGAGTTTTTGAGCATGTATGGGGTAGTTCTTCTAGCTTCTAACTTCTAGCTTCTAACTTCTAGATATTCGATGAATATATTGTATTCTCGCTTTGTAGATTGTGTGTTGATTCAACGGATGGTGAGTGTCTTGCTCGTCGTGTGCTGTGCTGTGCTACACCGTCTTTGGTTAAAGTTGTCACTTTAGTAATATTGTCGTACATGCACAAGTTTTCAAAGCATCAAGGATAGTTGAATAATTGATTGATTGATCGATCGACCAATATCGAAAAGGCAGCGTCGGGGTATATTATCTCAGATCCGTTCATCCATCCATCCATCTGAGTCAGTTCATCTCCATCCCCCATGTTAATCCATATCTCCCTCCATGTCTCCCTCGCCTCAACCCACCCACCCCCCCAGCCACGCAAGCAAGCATTAATTCATCCCCACATTTCGCCCCAGCATGCCCAGTCCAGTCCAGTCCAGACATACCAAAAAAAAACGCCAAAACAACTCCACTCAACGCAGCACAAAGCAGATGGAAACCCACCCCACTCCTTTTCCCAAGTAGCCATCAAACGCCGCAACGCTGAAAATGCACCGCACCGTACCGTACCGCACCGCACATCCCAGCACGGCAGATAAAACGCCAATAACAAAAAGCGCGATAAAAAGATAGAGAAAAAAAAGTGCTAGACATACCTCATCCTCGTCACCATCATCCACATGTAAAGTAGGCGCTACATGGCCGCCCACCCCCCAACATGCGTCAAAAAGCGATCCACAGCGTCGACCCAGTCCTGCCCATGCAACGTCCCAGCGCGGCGCTTCTCCCACAACCCCTCCACGAGCTTGGAGAGCGCAAGCAACGCCGACTCACCAGCGTCTTTTGTCCCGTCATTACGCACGATGCGGACGCGACCGCCCGAGAACTTTTCGCTCAAGTCGATGCTAAAACTTGCATCTCCGTCGGGGGGACAGTATGCGTCTTCTCTCGGTGCAGGTATAATCGGTAGTTGCCCATGTCCTTGATGCAAATTCAGCGTAGCGGGGTGAGTTTTTCGGGGGCGGAACAGCGTGCCGCGAACGGAGAGGGTGAGGATACGCAGCTGGCCTGCGCCGGAGCCGAGGCGGATGATCCAGTCCTGGAAAGCTTCGTACATGATTTTGAACTCGACTTTGATGGTCCAGGTGTTGTGGCTGTAGAAGATTGCGAGGGTTTCGGCGCGGACGAGGCGTGAGACGGAGGCGAGTGGGTGCTGCATTTCGGCTGTGAAGGTGGATACGCAGTAGACGAGGGGGCGGTCGACGACGAGCTTGGCGCAGTGGCGGTAGATGTTGTGTCTGATTTCGGGGGGGAGGGTGAGGAAGGTGGTGGGGGGGATGTGGTGCGTGTTGGGGAGCGGCGGTGGTGTGTCGTCGTCGACGCGCTCGAGGTGGATGGCTTTGGACTCGTGCAGGGCGAGCGACTGCTGGAAGACAGCCCAGTGCTGCTGCAGCACTGCTTTCTCGTCCCGACGCACGTTGTCCAGGCTGTGGTTGCGCGAGTGCGAGATGGATAGGGCGTAGTCCTCGGCTTCCATGCATTCGTCCGCATCGTCGTCATCGCCTTCCGCAGCGCACAGCTGCAGCTGCTCCAGGCTCGGCGCGTCGGGCAGGCTCAACGCGCTCGACGGCAGCCAGTAGTCGGGCGTCGAGGGGAGCGACGTCGGCTGGCTCTCGAAGCCCGCATCCACATCCACGTCATCCAGCTCACGCAACACATCCGTGGCATCCGAGACATCCGAGTCGGAGTCGGAGTCCATGGCGGCGTCGTCGACATAAGCCAAGCTGTTGAAGCGCGCCATCTTGGGCGGCATCTCGCGGGACGGCGACGAGGGCGAGGGCAGCTGTGTGGCGGAGCGCTTGCACGAGTGCCGTGAGCGCGAGGACGGGCGGCGTCGAGCAGGCTCCAAGACGCGTGCCACGGCCATGTTGATCTTGCGCCCACGCGCCTGCTCTGCACCGCTGTCGTCGCTGTCGGGCCCACCCTCGCACAGCACGCAGCTCGTCGTCTGCACGCTGGTGTCGAGCGGCTGGAGCTTCGGGGAGCGCGCTTTCATGGCCTCGGCGTCGTCGGGCGGAGTCTGGCCCGTGACGGAGTAGCGGCGCTGGGTAACCATGGCCGTGGTGGTGGTTTGCGGTGGTAGTTGTGGTTGAAGATACGGAAGAGCGGTCGGGGGGAAACGTCGCGGTGCAGTCAGTGCAGGATTTCTCGTAGGATTCCCCGTCGATGTGCTGGCAGGCTGCAAAGACGCAGACGCAGACACGCGCAAGGGCAAGGGCAAGGCTTGCGGGGTGCAGCGGGTGGGGAAGCCTTGCTATCCGTGGTACTCTATCGATTAGCCCGCTACCAGACGACGACTACGATGCAGTAATCACGAAAAAGCGAGCGTTGGCGTCAGCGTCAGCGTCTAGGTATACAGGTGAGTAAGTGAGAGTGAGTGAGAGTTTGAGAGTAAACAAGCGAGAAGACGCGGTGAAGCTGGACAACAGGGAGATTCCACAAGTTACACGACGTTTCAAGTCCCGCAAAATGCCCATCTGCCTTCTGCCACTTTTCATGCACAGCCCTCTCCCATTCATCACCCTACCCTGGCAATCTCTCGTGGGTAGGCGTTTTTGGGCGATCACCGGGATCCCCCCTGTCGGGCCCATCATTGGCAGATAACGACTCCCAAAAGCTACTCACGATGCAAATCAATATATGTACTGCAAATTTCGTGATTTCGACTAATTCAAGCAATTTATGGTGGAAAACGACATACAATAGCAACCAAAGTTCTGTTGAAGAACACGCTCAAACTCCACGCCGTCGATCAGTCTACCTCATTCGCCAGGGGGGCCAAGCCAACCGTGTTGAAGCGATGCTCAGTCCCCTCACACATCTCTCCTCATCACGCGCCTACAGCCCACCCACCATCTGCTTCCCCTTCACAACAGGTTCCCTAACCATAATGTCAAGGGAGATATTCTTCTCACCACGCTGCAAATGAATCGTGCGGCGTTCCTCGAACAAAAACTTGCGGTAAATCGGCACGTTGACGACATTACTCGACTCGAGGTAGCAGGCCCTGCCCTCCCGGTCTGCCAGCTTGGTCACATGTTCGATGAGCTTCCTCGCATGGCCCTTGCCGCGCCCGCTGGTCCTGGTGCCAAGGTAGACGAGGTACCAGACTTCGTTTTCGCGCTCGTTCAACGTCATGTGCATGGTGTCGTGGAGGAGGGGCAGGAATTCGTCGAAGAAGCGGCGTTTGCCTTCGGGTGAGAGGCGGTAGTTGAGGCGCCACATGCCGCTGCGGAATATGGTCATGTAGTCGTCCATGTTCTGGCCCGGGGGCAGCCTGTTCGTAAAAACATCAGTCTGACCGAGTAATAGATGACAAAACAGATGTAGTGAAGGGGGAAAATCTACCACAGCGCCACGGCTTCAAAGTCCCCGACTGTCGTCACCAGTCCCTTGAGGATGTGAGCATACGTGATGTATTCGAGAATCTCCACATGCAGCGCCCACTTCTCCTCTGCAGACCAGTGCTCACGGTCAAGCACATCGATAAAGTACCGAGCCACATCGTCCTCAGCAAAAGCATCAGCCAGACAGGCAGCCGCTTGCTTGTACTCTGCCGCCGTGACCAGACGCACCCCGTCAGTCAGCGGAGGAACAGTAGTAGCAGCAGTAGCAGGCTCCTGCTTGAACATTCTGAAACTCGTAGGCACATCATTGACCAACAGCGCATTGGCCGACTTCAGGGCTGACTTCGATTCAACAAAGCCAACGCTGCAGGCCACGGGTGCGACAGGAGGGAATGACTTCGCCATGATTGCGGGTTGTGCTGTAAGCTTCTACTAGTATTCAAGTGTGATCTGCCGCTTCGTTTGATGATTGGGACAGTCGTATACGCCAGCGTGAAGGTTATTCGGTGTAGACGAGGCCGCAAGCCCGGAAGAAGAGGAAGAAGAAGATCAGTCACTTGAACGTGGGTTGGTGTTTTTCTTACGGCAGAAGAGAAGAAAAGACGTTCGAGTTCAAACAACACTACTCTTACCATTAGTCTGGTTTGCGCAGCATGGCAAAAAATTGGGCTGGGCTGGGCTGGGGCAGAAAGAGCCGTGACTCTCTCTCGAGTGCCTGCCATTGTATACCTTTTCGTTTTCGATGAACAACTACTATGTTCGGCCGGACGCGTACTATCTCCCGTGTGTACTTTAGAGAGCTGCGATCTCGAGACGGTTTCGACTCGAGAAGGGTAGCGTAGAGAAGTAAAGGCTTGACGTGAATCAACCGACATCAATAGGTGATGCTCGACAAGCGGCCTTAAGAAGGGTTTCAAGCGGTTACGACTGACGATCAATCGTCTCGTCAAATGTGCAGTATGTGCAGCTGGTTATCGATGTGCAGCCTCGTGCGTGGGTGGACCACAACGTGTGGTCGAGGAAGTATCGGGCCTGCTTTCGGACGCGCCGATGACTTGTCACAAGACCAGTGACAACACTGCTGTACGCCCGCTTGGCTTGAGCCCGTACGTCGAGAGGGGTTGCGTATCGTGTAGGATGAGAGTGTCTTGCTTTAGCGGGATGTACGTGTCGTGGGGGGCAGGCGGTAAAATCAGGGAATGCCGGTGCAGAGGAGGATGAGGAAAAGTGACGACAGAGGAGAAGGGAGATGAGGATGTTCGTCGAGGGGAGAACAAAGATGGGATACATATGTTGATATACTTCCACCCCAAACCTTGTCAATACCCCGAGCTATGCAGACAGAGGTGGAGTCCGTGGTAAGCTTGCAGCGGGAGCTATCCAGGTGACATTAGCTCGACCAGTTGAACGTTCACTGTTATCAACCTCCGGCGGTATTCAGCCTCACTTTTCGAGTGGAAGCCGCTCGACCTTACCATCACAGGTAGCTTGATGGGCCATCCAGATGCTTCTAGATGGTTGTCTTTACTGTAGATCCAAGCCTACGACGCTGTGTTCAGTGGGGAGTGCAGGGTGTGGCGCTCGTGTGAAAGTGTGGGGAGGTAGATGCTCGCTTGTACCTCCTACATTGGGTTAACCGCCGTCGCATTCGTTCCAACTAGACGTCGCTATCGGCAATCGCCTGAAATTTCTCCACGCAATGATTGATCGGATTCGACCTCCGCCAGTCGTCTATCAAATGATCGCCTCCCGCGTGACGATGTTGGTCATAGGAAGATAATGATAGTGAAGCGAGTATTGAAGGCGCGCTCGATAAGGAATTGAATGGTTGACAGTTGTATTAAGTCGCAACGATGGTATCTATTACTATGCATGAGCCAAATCAGCCTGCGCGTGTTGTATATCTTCCAGGCAATGCACACTATGAAGTTCTCTTTGTAAGGACTTTCTGATCATTCCTTCGCAAGTACAAGTGCTCGTCCTTGGATATCGAGGATGTCTTTTGCCATTTACATGCGTCGGATCTCCGTCTCGCCCATGTACTTCTCCAGGCCCGAATCAAGATGGTTCCACCACTCATACAGCATGCTCTCGCAGATGAGCTTGAACCACGGCGTGAACTTGAGCGACGGATCCTTGAACATGGTCTTCAAATCATCCTGGCTCACCCAACGCGAGTCACGGGCTTCGTTGGGGTTGACATTCAGATCAACATCGGCCTTGATGAACAGGATGTAGTCAACTATGGTGATATTAGTTCTGCACTTCAGTAGCCATTGCGTGTAGTCGAGACTCACTCTCATGCTCGCCCCACTTCCCGTCGCTGGGCGACTTGTAATGTATCCGCGTGAGGAACTTGAAGTCGTCAATAGGCACTTGCTCAGGCTTGATGCCCAGCTCGTGGTCCAACTTGCGCACCGCGGCGCGACGCACACCCTGTACCGACGCCTCGAGCCCGACGCCAGTCTCTCCAGGTATGCCGAGAGGGTGCGAGCAGCAAGTATTTGTCCACATATCGGGGAAAGTGATCTTCTCGGTCGCGCGCTGCTGGAGGAGAAGGCGGTTCTGCGAGTCGAAGAGGAAGACGGAGAAAGCGCGGTGGAGGAGTCCTCGGTCGATGTTCTCCATGAGGTGGCCTGCATCGTCTTTGTCAGTAACAGTTCGCATAGATAATATTCCATATCCTCCTTCATCATAGCTATATCCACAACAGTCCCCCTAACCACTCACAAAGTTTCTTCGTCGCACTCCCAATCGGCACATCGTCATTATCCAGCACAATGCACACCTCATCCATCAAGCGAATCTGCTCCTCATCATAACCCTGCAGCGCGCTATCACTGGTCGCCGAGTTATGCGCGCCCCCAATAAGCGTGGTGTTGACTTCGGGGAAGAGGCGCAGAACGTTCTCCGCCGTAATGACAGGCTGCTCAGTCACAGTCACAATGCTACTCATGGTTGCGACTCGGGCAGGAAAAGGGAAATCCAAGGGTCCAAGTGGTTCGTGGGAGAGGAATTCAAGGGCGGGCGTGGCAATGGATCGAGAGCGGCCATCGAACCCCTGGCTATCTTGGACCCTGGGTGAGCACGTGCGCTTGTTTAAACTCTTGCGTGCGGGGCGGACCTCCGCGGTGAGACAACGCCTGATCTTATCCAAGGCTGAGCGTAATGGCAGAAAATTTGACATTCGACGAGTCACACCTCACGTTTTACAATTACGAATACAAACACAATGTAGAGAGCAAAGCCTAATTTGATAGCACATTCGTCATTGTCATTCGACTCTACTCATAAACATCTAATAACGTCTATACATGCATTGATGAGTCGTTCGATTTTCATAAATCTGAGGTATCAGAACAGACCAAATGAGAAGAACTTTTTCCGTACTCGGAATATATGCAAACATGCTAAAAACCAAACACCCAAACTTTGTCAAAGGAAAGCCAACAAAACTCCAGGGTAGCCCCCATTCTACACTTAATTCGACCCCTCATGAGACTGTGACTGTCTTAGTCTTCTTGGAAGATGGCACTTCAGCTCCTGCATCCGCGGCAACATCTAATTGCCTCTTCTCCTTCTCGCCGCTGAGCTCCTTCTCAGCATCAATGAACTTCTGCTTCTCCTCGTCTGTCAGGCCTGGAAGAAGGGGAATCTCCTCCTTGGCGTGCAGGTTGTGGTAGTAACTGCGGATGATCGAGTCTGTGTCGTCGAGTGCAATCTTGCGGATATCGGCAATAGCCTTGATCTTGGTAGTGCACTCCTTGTACTGCGCGTCGGTCATCTTCAGTTCGAGCTGCTCAGCACGACTCTTGATAGCGTTCCAGCCCGTGAGTCTGCTAGCGAAGTGTACATATCGAGACATGCCGAAATCCTGGGGGTTGATGATCTCATACGTCGACGGGTTGTTGAGGATAGCCTTGGCGTGGATACCTGCCTTGTGGGTGAAGGCGCAGAACCCAGTGATGTAGTTGTTGAAGGGAATGTTCACCTCAACAAGGTCGGCAACGAGATCCTCGATGTCCTTGAGCTTCTTGATGTTGTACTTGCTGAGGACGTAATCGCGGTCCGCAACAATCATGCGAGCCATCAGGCCACCAAGAGGGGTGATACCGTTACGCTCACCAATGCCAAGGACTGAGGTGTCAATGTGAGTGGCACCAGCCTCCAGAGCACAGAAAGCGTTCGCAATAGCGCACCCAGAGTCATTGTGGAAATGTGTCTCGATGTCGCAGGAGACGACACCGCGGAGTGTCCGCACCAAGTCGTAGACCTGACGGGGAGATGCGCAGCCAACGGTATCAGCAATACCAACACGGTTGACACCAACCTTGTCGACAGCGCTGTAGATGGAGAGCAAGTCTACGAGGTCTGATCGGAACGAGTCCTCGGAGCTGAATCTGATCTCCTTGCCCTTGCTCTTGACAAACTCGATGACCTCGAGAGCGGTGTTCTTAATGTATGTCATGTCCTTGCCATGGCTGTGCTCGCGGAGGTAGCTCGATGTGCCGATAACGACATCGAGGCCGTCGACTCCAGTCTCGACTGCGATCTTGGCGTCCTCAAGATGGCATCGTACGTGGGTGAGGATCTTGGCTTTCAGCTGGCGGAGTGGTCAGCTAGGGCCCGCAAATAAACTCAACGCTGTGGACTTACGCCGAGCTTGCAGATGGCCTCGCAGTCCCGCCTCGACTGCTCGGATGCGGCAGGGCTAGTCAATTCAATGTCTGAAAGAGCGGTCAGTCATCCAATGCCGCGTGTAAAGTGCCATGGGGTGGAGCCGTACAGTCTACGCCAAAGTCGTCGAGCGCGCGAGCAATCTTGATCTTGGCCTCGAGGTCGAAGTAGGCATTGGCGAACTGCTCGCCTTCACGTAGTGTGCTCTCTGCAGGCAAATGTCAGCGAGCTTTCTTTCTTGCAATGAAAACTTCCGGGCGCAGCCGGCCCACATGCGTCTCCGATTGCGCTCAGCAGCTAGTATGACGTACCAATAATCTTGAAGCGGCTGACGTTGGAGAGGAAATCGCCTACGGGCGCGTATGGGCTCTTGTGGGAAAGGCGAGGGTTGTGCGAGGACTTGATGCCAGTGTAGCCATTGCGGTCGCCGTTGCTGTCGTTGGTGCTGCTGGAGCCATTCGCATTGCCATTGGTGCCATTGGTGCCATTGGCGGGCGCTGTGGCCGATTCGCAAGTCGCACACATATTTGCAGTTGGGAGAGGGTATGAGTGAGAATGTAGGAAGCTAAGTCGGTGGATGAAGGTGGAAGATATTTGAAGGGCCGATCTTTCTAGGTGAGTCAAAAAAGATCAATGTCAGTCAAAATTCTCGATGATGAAAGCAAAGTGGGCCGCGACCGGACCTCGAATCAATGTGGGGTTCGACGACCAACGAGAAGCTCATTCGTCATGCAGCCAAGCGGCATCAACTCCCCGCAACCAAGCTGCTGCTTGCCGTACCCCGAGGAGAAAATGCTGGCACATCTTGCTCGGCCGAGCAACAATCTGCCGGGGGTGTCGCTTCCACCGCCGTGCTCGCTTCGCCGTCCTGTACGAAAACTGCCACATCGCACGCGACACAAACACTCTGTCCATGTTTGACATCCTGCACGTCGGAACGACTCCTAGCCTTAGTGCATGCAATGCTGCGTAGCTCTGCGCTTTGTCTGAGCTGAGGGTGGAACGAGAGACTTGTCTAGCGGGAACGTAGTACACCACTATCGCTGTTCCCATACAGTAGTATATTTCGTTGTCTATTCTCGTAATATATTCGGCCCTCCGAGCAATCTGCGTGCCGCCGGTACTCTACAGTCTCGCCATATCGAAATCTTTCAGCCATCCTAAGTGACTCAGAGAGATTCACTTCCCTCCCCCCAACTTTCTCATCCGTCCACGCAAGCTTTCCCTCTATCCATCATCCGAAAGGTCTCGTTCTTACAATAACCCCGATACCTCGTGTTTCCCAAGTATGTAATTGTATAGCGGACTGTGCCGCAGAGACGGCTGCATGAGAGATTCTCTGAACGCGTTGTGTCCGTCTTTATATCTGGCATTCGTGCCTGTCTACGCGACGAGGGTATCAAAGGGTAGAAAGTCGAGACCAACGCCTGGATAGAAACAAAGCAAGGAGAGAGTCGTTACCACATCAAGCGCTTTACACGAGATACGACTTGTGAGCTCCACATCAAGTTACACAACAGCCGCCTTTTCCAGCAATCATCGCTTGCGAAGGAAACATATCGTAAGAGAATTCGTGAATTTCGTTCATCATGAATAAGGGTATCACTTCTCGACCGCTCCAATCCATAGCCAAACCAATCCAAAGCGCCCAAGCACCGTTGTCACGCGTCTATAAAACAACTCTAACCTGCCCAATATGAACACTCGAACCATGTCGACGGAACTACTCGGTGATTAGCTCCACATTCTCCGATAAATCAAGGTACAATGACTTCATGTAGTATGTGCTCATAAGAGTATTAAAGTTGTGCGTGTTTTGTCCTCATCGAGGTAACTCAGGGTTAAAAAGGTAATAATCATAGCGAGGGTGTGGTATGAGAGGGAGTAGGGCTTACCTCAAATGCTCTGCTCCATCTCGGTGATGTAGAGTTTGATATGACTCTCCATCTTCAGATACTCGTCGTGGGCGGCATGCACTTCGTTCTCGATGTTGTCCTTGAGTTCGGCCATCTTCTTCTCTGTCTGCTCGATGCGGACCCGTCGCCGCTCCATCTCGCGGCCCTTTTCGCCCCTCTCTTCCGCCAACTTGCTGTGTGTATCCTTTAGTTCTTCCATCCGCTGGCGAGCACGCTCTGCTTCTTCGTCTGCCTTGTTCTTCAACTTCCCTGTCCGCGCGTTGACGTTGCCCAATTGCTTCTGGAGTAGTCTTTCTTGCCGTTCGACATCGCGGACGTTGTTGCTTCGATCTGCGAGTGCGTCTCTATGTCTCGCTGCTTTTGACAATTCTTCTTCTTCCTTCGTAAGATCGGCTTGGACATCCGTCAGCAGGCGGGTACAGGAAGTAACATCGCTCGCTACGACGCCGAACGAATCAGTTGAAGTCTGCAGAGCGCGAGCACGACGGTCCAATGAGTCGATTTGTGTTTTGTCAGCTCCGAGGCGGTCGTTGGAATCGCGCAGCGAGTCCTCTAGCGCTGTAGGGCTCTGCTGTGTATACGGTCTTAACTTTAGCACTTCACGTTGAACATTCTCTTTGTTCTCCACTTTGTGTTGCAGCAGCTCCTTGAGTCGGCTTTGCTCAGCCCGTGCTCGCTCAAGCTTTTCTGCAACCGCCTCCTGACCCCGCTTGAGCTCCAGAAGCCTGTTCTTCAGCTCGTTGTTGCGCTTCTCCTTCTCTTGCATGAGCCTTTGGGTGGCTGCGCGGTTGCGCTCCAGATCGGCGAGCTGCTGCTCTTTTGCTTGCTTGTCGTCGTATAGCTGCTCGATTCGAAGCTTAGTGCGCTCTGCTTTGTTGAAGTGCTCGTCGATGACCTCGGTTTGTGATTCACGGAAGCGAATGAAATTGATCATGTAAGAAAGGATCTTGATAAGACGCCCGTGTGTCGGCTTATAGAGGTCGTTGAAAGTGAAGTCATGGATACCGCACTACCGCTGTTAGCCTTGTTGCTCCTCACTATTCATGCACATGTTTCTGAGCATGAGGGGCGACAATGCGCACCTCGCGCAGTAGCTTCCTTAATATCACGAAGAAGGCCATCAGGTCTCGCGTATCGCTTGTGTAAAGCCTTTCTGCGTCGTCTCCGCACAAGTCTTCTGCAGCGGCACGCATCGCTGGCGCAACAACCTCGCGTGTTGTGTTCATCAACAGCTCGGCTAGCCATTCAAACACCTTCTGGATGATTTGCGGGTTGGGTTTCTGGAGGTCTGCGACGCTGAAGTTGATGCCAATATCTGTGATGCAACCGGCGATCTCTGCATCGGGCTACTTACATTAGCATGGTATATGTCAGAGAGGGGTGAGGCGCATACCAGATTCATGAAAGTATCTTGCTCGACGGCCGCTGGCGGGCGCTGATTGTGTGACGTGGTGCGCATAGTGCTCATGCGCGGATTGTACGACATGTTGAAAGACTACAGCGAGTGCAAGTTAATCGGGGTGATCGGTAGTATGGCGTTGGGGTGCTGTCTTGCGGTGTGGTCGTGGTGTTTCTGGCGTGTTTGTTTACGCGGAGCGCCTTACTAAGCTTCCGTCGCTCCTACCAACCAGCTCATGATCATATCAATCGTTCACCACGTCCATCTTCTGACTTTTGCGACAATACACAACAGAGTTTCAAGATTGCATAGACGTGGTGTACCTTCAGAGATCTATCTATGGATATGAGAGAGTGTTTTCCTGATGTGGAGGCCTTGACATATCAATCATAGGCTCTGTCTCGACCCGAATACGCAGGTCACGGGGTGCCAAATGCTGGAGAAGGTATGCAACTGTAGATGAACTAGTTCTGCGTCGTACAAAAATCAATACAGATGTGCGCCACGGATCGACGTGCATATAAACGTATCGTGAACCCGTTGGCCATCTAGCATAGCTCGACCTCGCGTGCCCATGTCCTCGCTACGATGCACTTACATGCAACCCCGTTGTCGTGGCTGCTGCGGTGTAAATGTGTACAGTTCTAATTGCGTTGTCGAAGAGCATGCCCAATCAATATATGGAGATCCACTGTTGGTCGTGCAACGTAACGTTTGATCGACATGTCTTGTTGTGGGTCAATATTCGCGTTTGGCACTTCCAGAATGTCCCGGACTTCTCCCAAACTCTTTTGCGGCACTCGCTACTATTACAAAATTGGAGGGCTTGTTATGGATGTTCTGATGAAAGGTCTCGATGCATCAGGAGAGCTGCACCATTAAGATCCCGGGTAATAGACGTTCAACTTGCGGGAGTCAGCTAGTCATGCCGGATGCGCGGAGAGAGAAAGAGAAAAAATTGGCGGTTTAGTCCACAAAAGTCAGACTCGAGGGTGGCTCTCGATTACATAACAGTTGTAGTTCGTGGCAACTAACCATACTCTCCAGACAGGCGTGCTAGTACCGTGCTACTAAAGTAGAATTATCGTCGAGCTTCGTCTGACGCAATCGTCACACGTGCTGTAGTTCAAAGGTAGGTTGACGTGCTTTGTAGATGCGTGCATTGACAACGACAGCTGACAGACTGACATGCTTGGCCTCAGGCAGCGTGTGCCCAATACAGCTCTGCGACTGAAACAGCCAAACGCCATGCATGATGTGCTGCACGGGTATAAGGGCAGGGCTCTCGACACGAGGAGTCAGAACAAAAGTGGACCATTAGTATTTATTCCGTGTTGGACGTATCTGTGATAAGCAAGCACGCGTTTCGTAGCGGCGACATGCATGCTCGAGCCCCGGGTACCTGAACTCGACGACTGGGAATGGTAGAAGGATTGGGGCGTGAGCACATCATTGGAGGGGGAGGGCTCCATTGTAATGAGTAGGCATTCCCCTCGGCCTGGCTAGCGTTCGCAGCGCAGCTTCCCGTGGCAGCGTAGCCGACGTGGCTCTCCACAGGCTGGGTAGGGTGCAATATTGGCATCACGAAGGTGCAGTTGCAGTGCAGCACAATCTCCGGGCTCGACGGCTCTGATGTCACATGCGCACGACTGGGAAAAAGCAGCTGGCCACGAGCGATCGAGCGGCGGAGAAGGCTGGTCGAGAAATTGAACGGTGGTGGCGGAGATTCGCAGTTCTGGCGAACTGGTCGACATCGGGGCATGATTGGCACAGGCATTGATGACCACGGCCATCATGGGACCCAGGGTGGCCACGGTGACGAGCAGCCGTCTGCGGCCTAGGGCAGACCGGGCAGCGGGCGTGCAACGTCTGGCGCCGCAGCGCGTTGTTTGGCTGTGGATGGCGTGTGGTTGCGAGCCGGGCTGGGCTGGGTGCAGTGGGTGCAGCGCGGGCAGACACACACCTCGCCTCGACCTGCGTTTCTTTTGCAGGGCCGGGGCGGCAGACGTCAGGGCGCACCAGCGCAGCGTTTAAAGCAGCGCTCGCCGGGGCGTGTGCAGGGAGTGGCACCGAGCGACGACACATTTCCCCGAGCGAGCAGCAGAGTATTTCTGGCGTGGGGCACTTTGTCGTCACAGCAGGCCGAGCCCGTTCCATGGCCAGAGAGAGCGCGGTCCCTTACATCACGCACGCCGTCTGCGCATCCGCCTCCCCGCCCCCGTCCGCGTCCCTGTCACCTCTCTTACACTCGTCCACGTTCCCTCGACACGCCAACATTTCAGGAGACCCCTCGCCGCCAAGCCCCTGCACTGCCAGCCTGCCCTGCCCGACGGACGCCGCGCGCACCATGCAGCACCTCGACGACGGCTGCCCATCCGACGACCGCACATAGCCAGCCCGCCCTCCGCCGCGAGCACCGCACACGTCGGTGGCAGCGAGCAGCGACCATCCATGGCGTGGCCGTTTGGGCGCAGAGCCGGCAAGGCCGCTAAGGCCAAAGAGGTCCGAGCCGCCGCGGTTACAGACAGCACGCCGCCTGTCGCAGCCCGCTCGCACACGACTCACCGCACCCACGTCCCGCGCCGGGGGTCGCGCGAATCGACGGGCTCGCTTGCCGACGTGGAGAAGGGCTCCGTCGCCACTGCCTTTGCCAAAGAGACGCGCCGCCCGCCCTCCAGCCCCGACGACACCACGGCCCTGCCCCAGCGACGCCGCCTCGAGCAGAGCCCGCACCTGCGCCCCGTGACCCAGGACCACGCCGGCATCCCCTACAACTTCCACTCGCCCTCGCACACGAGCCTGCCCACCGCCCGCGAGCGAGGCAAGCTGCAGCGGCCCCAGTCGCTGCGCGCCCGCGACAACAGCATCATGCGCCGCATGTCGAGCCGCCGCCGCCGCGACCACGACCACGTGCGCGAGGAGGAGATCCGCGCCATGGTGCTGCCCATGCCCCAGAAGCGCCCCGCCGCCCACTCCGGCGCCGTGCTGCGTCGCGACAGCAAGAAGGTCAAGGGCGCCCTGAACCACCGCCTCGAGCGCCCCACGTCGACCATCACCCTGCCGCTCGAGGACTCGATCCACTCGTCCATGTCGGGCCACTCCGAGATCCGCGCCTTCCGCGTCAGCGCCTTCGACATGTTCTCGCCCAGGCCCACCGTCCGCCTGTCCATCAGCCCGCAGTACTACTACAAGGGCGAGCGCAAGTCGCCACACACCGACCAGGACAGCCCCGAGCCGCGGAGAGGGCGGCGGCCCCTGAGCAGCGACGAGGACACGGCCCTGAAGCGGACGAGCAGGATCGACGACCTGGCCGACACCCTCGACGCGGGAGCCCTGCGCGAGATCCTGGAGAGAGACAAGCGGCGCAGAGACCAGAAGGTCCGCGCCGAGCAGGAGCGTCTGCGGCGCCGGCTGGAGCGACGAGCAGAGAAGCAGAAGACTGCAGAAGCAGCGCCAGTCGGGCTGGGCGTGGGGAAGGAGACGTCAACGCCCATGGAGGACGTCCGCCCATCAACGCCACAGCAGCCACACAGACTGCAGACACTGCCCGTGACGCCCAGAGCAAACGACAACAGCCAACTCCCCACGCCACTAGACAGCCCCGTCGAGGAGCCCGTAGTTTCTGATGCCCGGGCTATCCGCTATTCCCGTGGCAGCGTTTTCTCAGCCACGCACAAGCGCGGGCCCTCGAACATCTCCGAGCTGCCAGAGCTGCTCTCGGAGATGATTGCTGCAGACACCATAGAGGGCCCTGAGAACCAAGACCCCGCACTTCATCCCGTTGTCACCGCGGATACGACTGCTTCCAAACGAGGCTCCAGCCGCCGAAGCAGCAGCTTAGACAGGATACGCCTAGGCGTCTTCGCTTCCATCTTCCGCCGGGGAAAACGCAATTCCCAGGACCGAGTGCAAACTACCCCATCTGAGATCTCCTTCTCAAACACCTCACGCGAGTCCATGTCTCGCCAACCGCTTCCTGCTCACTTGGTCGGAACTGTCACCACCCCAATCCAGATACGTCGACCGTCCAGTGTTCCTCGACGCACAATGTCCAAGTTCCGGGAAGACTTGCCCGAATTTCCCCTTTCACCACCCGATTCGCGGGTACAGTCTCCAGACGTTCCGTCCACCAGTCTCATCGCGGCTCGCCGCAGAAACCGACACCCAATGGATATCCGAGTGGAGTCGGTGAGCTCAAGCGCTGGTGCTCGATCCGACTCCCCCGTCAGTCCAGGAGCACCGCCTCGCCACACGATGTCACAGTCGCTCGCATCCGTCGACTCTGAGGGCTCATGGCTTTCTGGCAAGCCATTGAAACGGGCGTCAAACAAATCACAGATGCGCTCCAGCATTGGCTCATCAGCCGTGCAACGAAACGAAGAGTTTGGCAACTCATACGAAGAGCTTGGCATGTCAGACGACGAGTACTTCAAGAGACTCAATCCACATCCAGATGAGGGGCACAGATCTGCGCACTCAAGTGGCATTCTTAGAAACAAAGCAAGCAGCACTGCCATGGCTACACTTGATGCCGCTGCTGAGTCTGACGAGGAAGGGGTACAACCCACATCTGTTCCGAGACGATCCCAAGAGGGGGATATCTTTCAAAGCACTGTTGGTCGCCAACCCACTATCATAAACCACCCGCCTCGCGTTAAATCGACACAAGGCCTATTGAGCTACTATCTCAACGACATGCCGTCTCCCGACGAGACTCCCCCCGACACCGCGGACGGGGAACCAGATTCGCCCGTATCGGACAACGAACCGGCTATGGTGCAGCGTGCAAAGAGTGTTGATCTCGGCAAGCACCACGTACGACACCTCAGTGCAGGCTCGGCTAAGCTTTTGGATATTCAAAAGCGATCGAGTACACCCTCACACACCAGGCTGTCTGAACAGAACTGAGAGTTCTATTATCGGACGATGAGATGTGGTCCAGGATTATCTTGCTTACTTGCCGAACGTTCCATTCATTTACCTTTTCCTTTGTACTCTGTCTGTTTTAATAGCTGTTTCCCTCACCATAGTCACTCCTTCATATTTCCTTGTGTATCTTGTGTTTAGTTTGGCAAGTCTGCAGTTCCCGAACCACTCTCATCGTCTCGGAGACCATTTGCTGGGTCTTCCGTAGTATTGGCTGGTCTTTGTTTGGAAAAGACCATGCAAGCAAGGCGTTTACGGGATTCTATTGTTTTGGCCTTGATACCACATGTAATTGTATACTGGCGGCAGGTCGCCATTTTCGCGATATATCCCATTTTTCCTAGCTGGCGATCTCAAGCTGGCTTTTGGGAGACGGTCATGGACAGACCGGGATACACGGCCCTTGGGGCCTGTGTAGATGGCTTTTGGCCGGCATGTGATAGACCTTGGAAGTATTGTTTTTTAATCATTCGGGATCCGGCCGCTTTGTCGGGATCGCCGCTGTAGTATAAATCTAGCTGTATTGATGGCGTCGCCATTTGGGATTGGAGACTAGAGTTTGTGAAGCTCGTCCTAATTTACACGTTCGCTGAAGATGTTTGTCGTGCCATTAATGTGTATGTCTGCTAGTCACTGCAACGTTTAGATAGCCACCGTGTCAAGCACAATACACGGACACACTGTTCACTAGTTCTGGACTTGACTTGGTACCGTGGGGTTCTGCTCGATAAGTTTACCACTTAGATGCTTGGCATTCACTTCTGCAGCAGCACCACTGTATAACACTTCATTGTTTTCTTCTCGAAGATAAATGATGAGACTCTCATACTGAGCAGAATTCTACGGTATCCAAGGTCGGAGGAAGGGATACCTATGGTGTGGTTGTTTTGCCAGGCTGACTCGCGACTTGGGAATGTTAAGGGTCCCTTCCTTTCTCAGACCTAGCGTAGCACGTCATCATCGATTGCCCCTCAACAGCATGCCTAATCTAGCCCACCTGCGGATTTATCATCCCGCAGATATCACACCCTAGAAGACCCCTTCGATCAGCCTTCACAAACTCACAACCATACACTCAGAACACTGTAAGTAAGCCTTCTCTACGCTTCTTCGCCCGTCCTTTGTCATCTCGCGATTCGGCACCTCTTCGCCTTGCGCATGAACTTTGCACCTTTGCCGAGTCTTATCACTAGCATAAGCACGTCACCTTCCGCAAAATTGTAATCGACGCAGGCATTGGTGTCCAGTCGGTTCCATCGGCCAAGCCTTTGAAATCATACAACCTTCCTGTCTTACTTTTGTTTCGCTCAACATATATCATGTTTGCGCCGTCGACATTCAGATTCACTAGAACACTGCTTACATCTGCGCGACTACAAACAGCTTCCATCAACCCAACAACTACCGCAAACCTCTACCGCCCTCTCTTCACTCCCAGGTTTTTCTCAAACACAAGCAAAATGGGCCACGAAGGTGTACACAACCTCCAGACGTGAGTCTCCTCTGCCCGCGACACACCCCAAGGGACGGGTGACGTCACGTCACGTATCTCCGAGTAGCTAGCTGACAAAGATGCGCAATACAGCAAGTCGGCTTTCGACGCGGCTCTGGAGGAGAAGGGTCTGTTGATCGTTGACTGCTTCGCGACCTGGTGCGGACCCTGCAAGGTCATCGCTCCCGTAATCGTCAAGTAAGTTTCTGCATTGCCAATCGCAATCATCGCAAGGCTGATACCTCTCAGGTACGCCTCCGCTTTCTCCAACGCGCGCTTCTACAAGCTCGACGTCGATGAGGTCCCCGATGTCGCACAAGAGCTCGGCATCCGCGCTATGCCCACCTTCCTCCTCTTCAAGGACGGCGTGAGGGTTCAGGAGGTCGTGGGCGCTAACCCCTCAGCCCTCGAGGCCGCCATCAAGAAACACTACGACGAGTAGATTGCTGTCCGCGCGCATAGACTATCTCACTCGGCATAATGGTGTTGGCTGTGGAAGCGAGTTTGGAAATGGCATCTTGCAGGCAGTTGGTCCTGAGTGGTCGGGGCAGAGTGCATAGGGTGGGACATTTGGCAGCCCAGATATCTTGATACCATCCTTGAAATGACATGTCCTGCTACAAACTCTGATGTCGTTGTAAAGTTTTTTTGTTTTAAACCTGGTGAGGCTGACTGTATGTGAAGGATTGCTTATAAATGCAGGTATTTGACTTGGACATAGATCGGCTTTACAAACTCCAAAAGCCGACCAAGAGCAACGACGACGAAGTAGCAGAGCTGGTATCGGATGCCGCCCAAATACATAAATTTTAAACACAAAAGCCAGGATTGAACCAGTTCGAATAAGGAAATTCATCAGCAACGAAACAAAACATCAGATTGCCAACACTTTACATCGACATGCCGACTGTTAATATCCATGAGAATCCATCCCGTCTCGTGAGAACGTCAAAGTACTCAGGTAGGCATGGATGAATACGCGTATCCCGACATGAGGGTCTTGAATATACAACGATGGCATAGTGCTTCACGCATCAACCCACTCCAAAACTTCCCTCGCACGCCCTCCTACTCAACCCACAACAACCCTGAACACAACCCTCCTCAATCCTCCTCAACCTCACATCATCCTCTGAACCGCCACCCACCTTCTCCACGCGCACACAGTGACGAATTTGCTACGAGAAATATAATGTGACTCAAAATGATAGTGGGAGATGAGAGAGTGAAGGTTTACGCTTTGGGGAGTGTCTCTTTGGGGAAGGTGCGCTCTAACATGCCATCATGCCCACCAAACATATCATATCTGTATGGGCCATGGGCCTTCAAAAGTATCCCAGAGCGTTTCCCACGGATAGTCAAGCGAATCGATCGGAAGAAAGAAGTCGGGCATTGAAGTCGTGTCGACGGCTGGAGCTTCCGCGAGAGCGCGATCCAAAACCAAGCCGTTGTCTACTTGATCAGTCACCCTTGTCTGTGACTCAGTGATTCGCGGCAATATCCCAAGAGCATTGGCGATTTTCTGAATCGGCTCAGAACACCTGTCTAGGCAGAACTCAGCAAGATCCCATCCGACTTCGCGCGCCCGTTGTAGTCGGTCGTTGAAGTCGACTAGTTTAGTTGTGCACAGCTTCTTGGTTTCGATGTCGCCGCATTCTACTGTGCAGCGGAGAAGGATGGTAGCAGTTGTCACTAGCAGGTAAGACGTGTAGGGCATCCAGAATTCCTCGAGCTGAGCTTCGGTCAGCGAGGTGACGAAATCGGTCACTTCTGATGCGGCTTCTCTCAGCATCGCTAGTCGGTATTGACGAGTTTCGGGTGTGGGTGGCTTTGGGTCTTTCAGGGTTGCTTTGAATGCTAGCCGGCATAATAACACTTTGACCGATAGGTATGAAAACCACAAGTTGCTGGATCCGTTGACTGAGTTGTTGGTTGACGGTGCGGAAAGGCGAAGGAACTCTGGAAGTTCCAACAACCAGTCATCTAACGAACACTCGATTTTACGCAGATTCCGCCATAACTCGACCGAGTCAAACTCGAGCGAATACACAAAAGGCAGAACCTCGCCCAGGATCCGGCTAAGCTTGCACAGATAGATGAATGACGATGCAGCCCTTTGGTGGCTTTCAGAAGGTCGTGATGTAGCCAGAACCTCGAGCGAAGGAACAGGAACATCGTAGAACCGCGAATGGATCAAAGGTGGGTTTCCATGGCTAATACTTGACCAGTAATCATGGATAAGAACGCCCCACCAGATCCTTATGCGAACGCTTTTCTCATGCGCTGTTGCTTTCCAAAGGGTCGGGTCTCTATGCAAGCCCAAACTCTGTGCAAGCGTTACAACGCGTCCGGCGTTGACTATGTTTCCCGTGACTTGGATGACGGGGCGACCAATCATGTCCAGTAAAGCGGCATGGACTGTCGATATTGTTGGAGCCATGAAGTCATCTTGTAAAGCAGCTACAGCCTGGTTCCAGATGAAGTGTGGATCAGGTCTCGGGTGTTGGCGAAGTATCTCGGAACTCTTCCAGAAGGACAGGGCAGAAGCATACATATCGCATAGCAACGTTGAAGAAATGCGGTCGTTGTTCTTGTGCCACATATCCGCAAATGTTTTCTCGTCCACGATCGGAAAGCATGGATGGAGATGGTTAAAGTACGTCTTTCGCACCTCTGCGGCAAAGGGGCTCAGAATCTGCTCGATAATCTCCCTTTGAACTCTGCCAGGGTCAACTGCGGAAGCTAGTCCTTTACGCCTTCTCGGAACTGTCAAATAGACAATTGGATTTTGACCTGGAACACTGGAGACGGTGTTGTAGAGTTTTGCTGCTGCGTTGCCCTCGATGGCTTGCGATGATAGATACTGCTCCAAGACGGTAATGTCCTCAGCCATATGCGGATTCATCATCAAAGAGCTTTCAGTTGGCGATGTGCCGGCCACACTTGGGAATCGCAACAGCGTCCCCTCTGTAGTATGTTTGGATGCTGCGGCACCATCCTTATCATGTCCAAGACTTCGGCGTTGCCTTTTTGCTGGTCTCAACTAATGTTAGCCGATGAAAGTAAAAGATAAACAACCAAGAATCAAGAACACTTCAATCGCCTCTATATTATACTCCTCGAACCGTGGGAGATCATTGAACATTCCGGCCGCATGGAATTTAGGTCCAACAAAAACGATGCTTACCTGTCAGGGGTTTGTGGAACAACGCCTATCGACGAGGCATAATCTGCTGTCGCATCTTTCGACGCATAGCTACAAGGTTCTTGTCGTTCTCGACAAAAACGACATGCCTGACCGGCTCGATCAATATCGCATCTGATTTTACGGCTGCGGCATTTGTCACAAGCAGGTACTCTATGACTTCTGTAAGGTCGTGCAGATGATGACGCTGGAGTGGACTGCTCCATCGTATGCAAATGGGAGAGATGTCTGTGCTCGCCGCTTACTAAGAGTCCGACGTGAGGTCAGTCCAGTTTTCCGTCAATGTCGAAGGACAAGCGACGGCGATATTGGAACGCGTGGATGAGACCAACAGCGAGGATTCCTTGATGGTAGACGGCGGGTAGGTTCTCCGTAGTTTCCCGGCCGATGCCGTGAACAACACCCCGACTCCTTTGCGTTCTCCGGGCTACCGACCGACGGGAAAGAAGCAAGAGCTGGCGATGAGCTAATCAATTGATACTCATCTTCGACGGATTGTGCTCTCTGGAGTGTAGTGATGGCTCTCTACGAAGACTCAGCAGATTTCCTGTGAGGCGCGTGAGAACGTCTGAAGAGTTATTGGGCTCCGCTTTGCAGTCTGTCCGCTATCAAAACTACAATCGCATCCGGGACAGATGGAATAGCACTACGCTATGTGATCAATCTCGAAAGCAGAACATCCTAGACCATCGGGAGTTATGGGAAACGGAAAAGTTAAGAGGGTCGGAAGCCCTTCTGTTCGGAAATTCCCTAGCTCGTGTTTCCCGTTATCTCGACCCCAGGCCCGTCTTTTGGTACCGCATTATTGCATATTAAAGACGCATCAGATTGTTCAACATGGGCAATACACCCTCTCACATTTTCCTGTACCCATTACACATCAATAAAACTACCAGAAATGTCTCGCCCATACGATTCTGCCGACTTTGAGCAACTCCAGCGCGATGCGGATGAGTGTCTGCTCACGTACGGTACCGCATTCCATCCTGAAATCATCACCTCTACCGATGGTATCTACATGGAAACACAGTCTGGCCATAGGATGATGGACTTTACCTCAGGTCAGGCTCTAGCAACAACTTGCGTTCAGAAAATCCACTAATATATCGTAGGGCAAATGAGTTGTCTGTACGTTACCATCACTCTGAGTTCCTTGTTCAAGATGGTATAGCTGTGAGAGTGGACACAACATGCTGACGATAGTACAGGATCGGACATGGCAACCCTGAAATTGTACAAACCATCAATGATCACGCTCAACATCTTGATCACCTCTTCAGTGGAATGATCAGTCCTCCAGTAATCAAACTCGCGAAACGACTGACTGGTGTGGCACCTGCGGGCCTTGACAAAGCATTCTTCTTGAGCACAGGTGGCGAAGTCAACGAGGCTGCCATCCGGTTGGCAAAGTTCTTTACGGGAAAGTTCGAGATCGTAGGACTGGCCTCCTCGTGGCACGGAATGACAGGAGGCTCATTGGGGGCTCAGTATCACGCTGGACGTTCTGGTTATGGACCTAACATGATCGGAAACCTTGCACTGCCGACACCTAACTCCTACCGCTCGATTTTCAGGCACCCAGATGGATCGCATGATTGGACAACCGAGCTGAACTACGGCTTTGATCTTCTGGACAAGCAATCTTGCGGATCGCTTGCAGCGCTCATCGTTGAGCCCATCCTTTCCAGTGGTGGTATGCTGGAACTCCCTCCTGGTTACATGAAGGCTTTGAAAAAGCATTGCGAAGCGAGAGGCATGCTTCTTATCGTTGATGAAGCGCAGACGGCCTTGGGAAGAGCTGGAGATATGTTCGCCTTTACACATCACCCCGAGGATGAGGGCGTTGTTCCGGATATCGTAACACTTAGCAAGACGCTTGGGAACGGTATCCCACTGAGCGCCATTCTCACATCGAACCGTATCGCGCAGCATGCGAAAGAGAACGACTTCCTCTTCTACACCACACACATCAATGATCCTCTTCCGGCGGCAGTGGGCGACAAGGTTCTCGAAATCGTCATCAGAGATGATCTCTGCGCACGTTCGAAACGGCTAGGTGTCAAGCTCCAAGCCGGTCTCAGACGACTGCAGTCACGGTATGGATGTGTTGGCGATGTGCGAGGGCGAGGCTTGATGGGAGGTCTTGAAATCGTGAGCGACAGAAAGACGAAGGTCGGAGCACCAGAGGTGGGTAGCGCGATATCAGACAAGATGGTGAAGATGGGCCTGTGGGCACAGCTTGCTACTATGGCGTCTTTTGGTGGTGTCTTCCGTATTGCACCGCCAATCACGGTAACCGAGGAGCAGCTTGATCTTGCCCTCGCAATCATGGAAGAAGCGTTCAGGACGACACCTGGCACGATGCCGTTGTATATCGAGGAGAAAGTACCGGTACGGAGCGAGACTATTGTAGAAGCTCGGTTATGAGATGGGTAGGACTAGTCTCACAGGTTCCTGGATGAACAATTGACTTATAGGTTATGTATATGTCAGTATTGAAGGATGTTTGGATACTCTGTTCTTTTCCCCTCCTGCACTTGGTCTTTTTTTCAACTCACGGATACTTTTGAAAACTCAACCTTTCCCTTCCCCAGAGACCTAGACGCTCCCAACTTTGGGTATACTGCCGGTCCAAAGCAGTAAACATGACTAAAAGATTTCCAACCATCCCTTGCAAAACCCTCATACTCCACCTTGATTTTCATCTCGTAGCTAATCCAACGACGCCTTTATCAAGCTGCCACTCTCCTGCAAGTCCGACATCATCTTCAAGAAATGTGTCTTGAAAGGTTTCAACTCTCCAAGCTCCTTTAGAATCTCAATCTTTTCTTGTTCCCCTTCCCTTCTGACTTTGATCTCTTGCACTAGGAGCATGTGTTTGGCATCTCGCTCTTTCGTGAGTTTGGTTGCCGAAAGCGCCGAGAGTTCGGATAACTTATTCGCCTTGTTAAGCTTATCCTCCAATTGATGACGTCTAGACTCCAAAATTCCGGATTCTTTCTGAAGCTGCAATACACTACTCTCGCATAAACTTAGTTTCCGCTCCATCACCGAGTTCTGTGATCTTAGGCTCGTGGCTTCGATCTTTAACGCTTCGTACTCATCGTCCGTGTGACGTCGAATTTGCTCGACGAATTTCTGGAAGTGATAAAGACCGTCGTTAGTGTTTTGTCGCTTGGAGTACCCTGTTGACTTTTAGCATCCAACTACCGGGACATAGGCTTGCTATGCTTACGCTCTTCGTCATCAGCCTCGGCTATCACTTCGCTGGCTCTTTTCGTATGCTCGCCGTCTTGATGTGCAGTGTTTGCGTCTGTTGACAGAACACGCAACTCCTCCAGTCCTAGCCTTCCAGTCATAGGCGCGAAGACGTCCGGACGATTAAGGTGCTGGGTATCCAGATGTGTTTTGGCTGCGATGGATGTGTCCGTGGATGTGCCAACCTCGAAAGCTGTAGTCAACGAACTCGGAAGAGATGTTTCACTGGGATCATCTGGTTTAGAACCATGCGCTTTTCTGCCAGGACGTACCTTCACCACCGCCATTCTTCTTTGTACTGGGCCTTTATGAGTATTCCTCCGTGCTGGACCTTTATCAGTATCTCTCTGTGCCTTAGCCACAGTCGCGCAAGCTAGCCTGAGAAGATCGAACCCGTCCTGTTTGAACTCGATTTTTTCAAGACATCCCTTCTCTAGGAAGTAGAAAAGTATCAAGAACCGAACTTTGTCTCGTGTTCTAGCAGTATCGATACTGCCAAGCTGCTGAAATGGCTGGACGAACTCGACTTTCGCGATTTCATTAAGGTTGAGCTTTGTGTTGTCCCCCAGGAAGTAGCTAATCTGGTTGACGCTATCGGCATTGACCAGACAATGTGCATGTGCCCATACATCATGCGTTGCCTCCTTTTCAAGCTTTCTGTACGTGCCAACGAGCAATTTCTGCCCAGGTGAAGTGATCGTTTTCTCACCAAGCTTTTCGAAGTTGAGCTGGGTGTGCTCTGGGACGTGACGAAAGTCTTTGCTGAATGTTCTGTCCTTTGCGATCTTTGTTTGTAGCTGGGCTAGAGTGAATGAGCGATACTGTCCCGCCATACTAGAAGAGACAAGGTCTTTCGCTTCGTTATTCGACATCTTGCGTTATACTGCAGGAGCCAGCTTGAGAGTGTGTTTAGCCGTCAATGGTGGGGTCGGTGGATGTCATGAGGGAAGAGGAGCTCAGACGAAAAAGACTGATGCACAACTATGAACAGACGAAGCCAAGCATGTGTGGTAAAGTTCAAGTAAGAGTGGGCTGTAAAGTAAGGGATATTGAACAAAAAATGTGAAGGCATATAGGAAGACTCTAACTTGTGCTCACCACTTCAGTACTTGCTAGCTCCAGAAGGAGTGAAGCAAAGTGAGTTTGGGCAGTGTGTATTCTTTTCCACTATGGTGAATTTCATCATTACCGCTCTTTCTATTGCGGCACATCATCACGCCATACATCCTCTCCCCTCTCACTGCCGTACATTGTCCACCTTAGACCTCCCGGCCACCGACCATTCGAAACTCTCTCATGCTCTTTCTCATATTTCTCACTCTCATTTTTCCTCATCCAACAATCAATACAAGGCTCGTCGCTTGTCTGTATCGTGTTCACGATGACTGCACATTGCCTCGGTATAGGATAGTGTTGGGCTTGCTCACATAAGTGGAAAGGGTAAGTACTGTTGAGAAGGATGTGAAGCTCAGGGCAAGAGTATTTTGTGTAGTTGCGATAGCACATCTTTAGCAGGTATCAGTGTGGGATTCGCGAAGCAGATAATCTGCGACTTCCAAATAGCTGAGATTTGTGAAGGTGCGATGAGAAAACATCAACCACCACGTACTTCATTTCATTGGTGATGAAGTTACTAAATTGAATCCAATAGCTTTTCTCGTGACTTACCCACAATCATTGCATGACGCGTGAGTATTTTATTCTTCACATACGCCATATCAGACTCGGTCTTGGGTGAATTTTTGCATTTGTAGAATACGTTCGTTGTGACTCCTCCTCCTTTTGTTGGTGTTGAACCTTTTTGTAGCTCGCATTGATACTTCTTGTCCAACACTGATCTAGACTTGTGCTTTTGTACTTGTTCCGCGATCAGTACATATTTTGAACTCGCAAGTGTATCGGGTCTAGGATAATAAGTATACAACCTGCGCTCCTAGAACTAATTTGGATCGGAGCAGAGACAGTTGGAACGCTGGTGCTGTCGAAGGAAGTGAACCAATACACAAGTTGTAGAGTAGTCTCGGAGGTTAGATAGTGATGTCGGTTGACGTACTACAATTAGTTGTTTACAGACGAAGCCGTCGATATGGTTGTCAGACATACCTTTGATCACGAATATGACATGTCTCACACTCTTTCGCGACACCTGGGATCAGGGCCGGTTGTGTCTGTTTCGAAGACCTATCAGCCGTCTTCCTATGCATAGGGGCCTTGACAATACCAGCCACCAAAGTCTCTACTCGGACATGTTCTTTGGCGCCCATTCCCATCCGCTCCTCTGATTCATGCTAATCACACCCAGCGACTTGATCACACTCGCGATGCAAGTTGGGCATATACCAGCCTCATCATTGACGACGTTGGTAGGATTGCTACATTGCAACTTGAAGAAACCACTTTGTGATCGTTCGCATCTCGCAATCGGGCTTGACAGATCTATGGCAGTGTGTTCGCAGTATGAGTACTTGTAGAACCGACGCTGGCACATGATGTGTAGCCTTAGCAAGGCGTGTGAGATGTGTTGACAGGAGGGTGCCGCGTTGGATGTGAAGAAATATCCTAGTATTGCTTGTCCAGATCAGTATACGTCTTGAGCAAGTGCGTGAAACAAAATGTGTGTGTGTGTAGAGGCAAAGTGTTTACAAGCGGCTCCACAGAGTTTGACGAAGTTATAACGTTCTTCTGTTTTCGCCAACATGCGATATTTGTTTTACTTTCACCAACGTAGCAACATTACTTCTGTGACGTATTGTGATAAACTTTCAAAGACGGGTTCACGGTGAGCGCTTCTTCCATACAAGCAGGATACAGTCCTATACTTTGATTGTTCGTACTACCCTAGATTGATGTTTGTGCTCACTAAGACTGTGATGTCCCGAAATGTCAGCTTTTATGGTTCGACGAAACATGTCGGATCAGATATATATGAAGAGTACAGTAGATGGCAAAGGACTACTCAATGAGTTTAAAGATCGGGCTGAGTATTACACAAGCGAAAAGGAAGTTGTATCACATTTGTACTACCAAGAATGTGTGCGACACAGTGAGGCTTTGAATTTGGCTCATATGACAACTTAGCCACATCAAATTATGTCAACGTGATTTCACAAGTATTCAGCCGAACACGCGTGAATTCCCTCCGTAAAAAGTGTTCCAGGTATACTGTCAATAAGTGACAAACGTTATATATACACCTTGGTAAGTAAGATTACACAAGTTTTACATTAATAGTGTCTTTCGTTATGATGCTGTTACAAGAAGGTTGATTCCGGCTTTCACATTTAACCGGGAGGTTGGAAGCCACATTCGGCATGCGGCGTGCCGCTAGCACCGCCACCCTGCATATTCTACACCCTTTTGTCTCTACAGCCATGCAACTCCAACTCATCACCTCCTTTCCTCCGAGTCTTGGCTACGCATTTTTGCCATATTGCCTACGACACTTGTCAATCTACGTCCCCTCCTGACCTGTTATAGTTGCGTCATTCAGCGAATCGCATCACGCTTTGGCATTTTTGAGGGTAAACCCAAGAGTCTTGCTCTAGACACCCGGGATAAGGGATAGAAAAGAGATGGAAATTGATCGCCGTTGCGGTATCAATATGGCTATTCTCCGAAACAACCCCACTTCGGCTAGGTTGAGATTCATGGACGTCAATTTAAATGTCTGCACGTGCGTAGGCTGGGGTACCGAACGTTTCAGAACCCGGATCCAATCATGCCTTCATTCTGTCTTTATTTCTTCTTCTTTTTCGATGTTTGACTACTTGATTGGTAGCTGTTGATTATATTTCCATGCACTTGTCATTCAAAACGTCAAAACGCGCATGCATTTAGCCTATATCCTTGATCTCATCTAATTTACGGACTGACAGAAGCATCGTAGACTCCGCGACGATGTCACATAAACAATCTAGGCCCTACCCATACGAGGTGTTCTCCCGTGGTCCACCATGAAGAAGTCTATAAGAGTACCCTGAGTCGTCGTCAAGGCTGGTCCCTCACTCTTGCTCATCACATCCCCAGCAAATACATTCTTTCATCAAACTCCAACAGCCCAACATGGTCTCTTTCAACTCCCTCCTCACTGCTGCAGTGGCTTTCACCAGCGCACTTGCTGCACCCGCAACTGACCTCTCTGTCCGCTCTTCCGGCGACCTCGTAGCCCGTGCGGGCACTCCTTCGTCCACGGGCTGGAGCAATGGATGCTACTATTCGTGGTGGACGGATGGCGGCGCGTCAGCCACGTACACAAACGGCGCCGCTGGCCAATACAGCGTGACCTGGCAGACCGGTGGAAACCTCGTCGGTGGAAAGGGATGGAACCCTGGAGCTGCTCGGTAAGAGTTCTTCTCCCCTACAATATGCATACAACTGCTTACTCATGATAGCACCATTACCTACTCTGGTACCTACAGCCCCAATGGAAATTCGTACCTCTCTGTCTACGGCTGGACCCGCAACCCGCTCATCGAGTACTACGTCGTTGAGAATTATGGGTCATATGACCCCAGTTCGTCGGCAGCCGTCAAAGGAACCCTCACCTCTGATGGCTCGACCTACAAGATTGCGCAGACGACTAGGCAAAACGCCCCTAGTATCGATGGAACTCAGACCTTTCAGCAGTACTGGTCTGTACGCACCAACAAACGCTCCAGTGGAAGCGTGAACATGAAGACCCATTTCGATGCCTGGGCGGCGAAGGGAATGACTTTGGGCACTCATAACTACCAAATTGTTGCCACAGAGGGATACTTCTCAAGTGGAAGCTCAAGCATCACCGTGAACTGCGCATAAGTGGATAGGGAATAGTGACGGATGAAAAGTTGAAGGGAGTGTTGGAGGGAGTTGGGGATTTTGCAGAGTCATCAGCTGACTTGGATGTTGTTTCTCAGTGTATATAGTTTATCAGGTTAAGCAACCAATCGATGTCGTAGATTGGTCAGGCCCTCTCCCGATTAGTTGAGATACCAGGCTCTTGGTTAGTTGGAATACCCGGAACTAAGCAGCCTGTAGCGAGGTCTTGCAACGGCTTGACAACTACATATAAGAAAATTGTAAAATTTATACACCTTACATGGTATTTGTATACGCCTACTAGCATGTTTGTCTTTATAGTACTTTCAATCTTGTAGTTTAGGGTTGTTGTGTTACTGCAAAGAACAAACCTTGATTCCGGGTATTTCGACTAACCGAGAGCCAGGAACCACTATATGGAACGAAATAGAGAATGCGGGGAAGCCCAAGCTCTCAGCAGCAGCAGCAGAAGAAGAATATGTGCTCCTTCCGGATGCTGTAGTCATCACATGGGCGGTAGAATGTTTAAGGAAGGATCTATTTTTCAACAACTGGACAACTACAGACTATATTCTGCATGTAACTTGTGTGCCTCAAAATTCCCGGTATATGCCTGGGGTAGATTTCCACTTCGCTCGTATAGACCCCAGCCCATGTCATTCAGATATCCTCCTCGTCCATGTCTTCATATTCTTCGGGTTCGTCATCGCTTCCGTCGCCCTCCTGCTTGTCTGAAGTCGAAAAAGGTCGCAGGGTTTGCGTAAATGAGACCTGGTTGTTGGAGGTTGTGGCCAAAGGTCGGCTGAGTAGTGCAGCGGTAATGGTGTGCGCAAGTTTTTCGTCCTCTGGGCTCATTTGGACAGCAGAATTGGAGCTCCTGAGAGCCGAAGTCCACGAACAGCATGGTCGGCCCATATGTTCGCAATTCTTGCACACTCTGCTATTCCCTACTTGCTTACAAGTGCCCCCATCCGAAGAACTGGTTTGGGGGTGATTCAAGGTGCAACAATCACACTCCTTCCTATTTGAGGAATCGTCATTCGACTGTCCGCCGAACTCGCCGAATTGACCGTCCACGTTCTCCAGGCAGTACTTCTTGTCTTTCATCTGAGCTATGATCTCTTTGTCTTTCCTCACCCGACCAACGATCATCCGGATTTTCTCAGTAGGGATTTTGAGAATGATGCGTTGATTCATAGAATCGTAGTTAGATTGTATGACGCGCGCAGAACCTTTCCATCTGGCAATCCAGGGGTGATTATGGTTCGGAGGTGCGTCGAATAGCCACTGGAGGAAGCTGATGCCTTTCGCGTAATGCTCAAGGGCTCCGGGTATGTGTTCAGCACCTGTTGCTTTGCCCCAAGACTGACTACCGCGAGGCTTCCCTGCATGTATGTATTTTGACAACCACTTCCCCGAGTTTGGCGGGTGTTCCCATTCGATCCGGATGGCAAAGGAACGCGCCTGGTCCCAGTTCTTGAAGCGGCCTATGTCACAAAGTCGTGTCCATGAGTGTGGATGTGGCGTGCCGTCTTTGTAAACCTCGAAAACAACTTGATGTGGTGTACCAGGAAGAGGTGCAAAGGATTCGTCTGCTCTGTCGATGGTATAAGAAAACGAGATGACCAATTTGGTACCTGACCTCTTGCAAAACGCCACGACGCGTGGTGAGTTGCTGGTGGCAGTGACAGTTCTCGGGGTTGAGCGACGAAAAACCGATATGGGAGTTGATCGTCCAGTCAAGACATCTTTGATGACAGAGTCTGTGCGAACGAAAAGTAATTTGTCGGTGTTGTCGCAATACTCTAACAGAGGTGAGCTAAGGTTGGCACCACACTGTACGCCAAATGAAGGTCGAAGAACAGCACCACACCATCCAGTGAGACGAAAGGTTGCATCCGAAATATCGACGAAGTACTTCGCGGCCATCTGGAGATCAATCCGGCGTATTTCGGGGTTGGCATCATAAACAGTTTGTCTGTATGTCTGTAATAAGCACACAAGTACTTGTTCTGCCAAAAACAGGAGTCCGCTATTAGCCTGCGGAGGTAGGATGCAGAGTGCGATCATGGCATATTCAGAGCTTCGTGTAAGATCGCCGTATGTAGTTGTTGCATCTCTTTCATGTTGTGAATATTGATCCACCATGTTGACTGACTTGCCGACATAGCCGTAGGTTGTTGCGGGTTTCCAATAAGGCGCGACTGAACCGGTGAGATGAAACCTGCCATAAATGCCTCGTTCCTCAAAAGAACATCCCGGTGTGATTGTGTATTTCGCGGCATTGATCAGATCATCTTTGGTAAAGCTCCCATCAGATCTTGTCAACACTGCATATAGCCCTGCTTTCTTGATGCCATCGATGATCATGTAGGTGAGCTTGTTGATGCCATGAGTGTCAACAAAGGTCGGGAACCTTCCCTCCATGAAGTTTGCTGGCGATTTCCGAAAGGCTGTGATAAGTTTTGCAATGGTTTTGCCGAGCGTAGTCGTATCTGGTAGGTGTGATGTGTTCCAGCCTTGAGCGTCAAAAGTTCCTGTAAGAAGATTCATTTCTATCTTCCAGTCGTTGATGTTGGCCTGCCATGGCGGACCCTTGTCGATGTAGTCTCGAGGAACGTATCTGTTGGTGAACCCTGAGCCCTCCGTAACACCCTGAATGAATATCTTGGCCATTGCAGTTCCCTTTTGACTTGTATGTTCCCCAAGAAGACGGCCCTGCATGCCCTTTTTGTATGTAACTTGGCCGGCTGGGTCGGAGAAGTTCCTGTTGATAACACACGCAAACTCATCCAGGCGTTGCGTATGAGGGGCAACACCAAGATCAGCTTCATGACCATCAGCGAGCAGATCGTGCGGTGAATCTTGAGGTGTCGACGGCATGTTGTTGACTACCCGAGGGCGTTCGAGGGACTGGAGGGTGTCTGAGGGACTGGAGGGTGTGCGAGTGACCGTGCGGTATGTGAGTGACAGTCTTAAGAACGCGCTAGTAAGTCCAAAGACCTATGTTTCACTGCAGGCAACCACGATGTTACCGAGTTCTTCCTGGCTCATACAAGTCGCAAATCTAGACTAGTAGGATTCACACAAGTGCATGTTAGGCGTATACTGCTAGGAATCCATGCACACAAGTTCTATGTCAATATCAGATGTAGTTGTCAAGCTGTTGCAAGATTTCGACTAACCATGAAGGTGGGCGGTGTGGACACGCAACGCAGTTGTGGGCCTCCCGCCTGAGCAAACACTGCGTGAAACAAACGACTGGAACCGTTGAGAGACGTCTCTCTCCACAATCTTCAACTTCAGCTACAGATCCTCTTTTGTTGTGACACTCTCTGAGCTAAGCTGAATCCTAGGGCTGTTTGGTATGTAATCCACTTTTACTATACCCTCTGACTTCCTGTTACGACTTGAAGGCTGGAGTGTTGACAAGCCGACAGTCTTGAGTGGAATTCATGGCCATTTCGAGACCATAACAACACCGGCGTCTCCAGAACAACCTTGGCGTTCATTGACGACAAATTATCTACCTCCAATCTGTTCCTAAGCCCAAGTGCCCTCCGGGTTGGAGACAAGCCGATGTTACCCTTCCCAACCCATCTCCAAGAACCGACCAGCTAGTAATCCACTCATACCTTAGCAACCTACGTGTCGACCGATTGCACAACCATCTGCTTGGAACAGAGCAGGAGACACTGTCTACAATCATGATGCCGATTAGTCGAGATATCATGAACCAAAGTGTATGGATATTTCCCAACAGCTGGACAGCTACATGAGGAGTTTGTGTAAAACTTGTGTACTGCAAGCATTACTGATATTCGCCCAGCATGGTTTATGTGTGGCCCTTGATCCGGTCGTTCGATTGCGGTATTTGCCCAATAGGATTCAGCTTCGTTTCCCGTATTTCGAACAATGGAAAGTTCATACGACGCTCGTCCTATGATAAATGATAGGTGCCATGCTTATCATAGTTACTACAACTTCGCCTTAACGACCGACTCCTGCTTCAAGATCTCCAGGACCAGCTTCTCGGCCTCCCACGCACTTCCCCAGCCGCTCTGGTACCCATACCCAGCATGGCCATAGTTATGCACGATCCAATTCCCGTCAATCTTCTCTTTCTCCACCCTCGGCCCACCCTTCCTCATCGGCCGCAAGCCCACACCATGTCTGATAATACTCAACTCAGTGACCTTGCCAGTCTTGGGGACGAGTGATGGGCACAGGTCGATGGAGCGTTGCATGATGCGTTGCGCCAGATTGGGATCCGGCTGCGACTCCCAAGATCCGTGTTGGAGACAGCCGCCCAGAACGGTACCACCCCCGACTGCACGTTGCATGATGTATGTTGCTTCTTCATCGCCATCGTCGGTGCCACTGACAGTTACCATGACGCCGGGCTCATTCCTCACTACCACGATCTGACCTCGCCCTGGGTAGACGCTGGCATCCATCACACCGCCTAGCTTTGATGCGAGGAGCCCTGTGCAGTTAAGGGTAATGTCTGCTTTGCCGGACGAATGGTAGCTGCCAGCTTCAGAGATGTGGGAGAGGATGCCTCTCCTGATGGTGACGCCGTTTTTAACGCACTGGCCCAGGATCCAAGGGAGGTATACAGAAACATTCATGCAGACTGAGGTGAATGTTGTTCCGGTTTCGGCATCTGGAGGAAGTTCGGATTTGGGAAGAACGCGAAACTGAGTTTGTCAGTGGGAGGCTTGAGAGAAGACGCTCATATGAGTAGGATTAATTCAAAGCAGTTTACTGAAGTTGGAAAGTTTTAATTGGCAAAAAGGTAGACGTACGTTTGGAACAACGTCCTTAAACCACGCATCTTCTTTTACTAGCTCTTGAAACCACTGGCCAACAGCCGTACCAGCGTCTTTCTTCCTGCCATATGTTTTTGTTTCTTGAAAGTGAATGCCCGCTTCGGGTACCTCGCGACATATTCTGTCTAGCTCACCCCACGTTGCCTTCTCAAATTTTTGCAGGTCTGATCCTGGAGCGCCCACTGGGAAGAAGTTTGCTCCTGCCCACGGACTAGCATATTCAATATCAAAGTCACCAGGCATATGCTTGGCGACTACTGTAATGTCCAAGCCCTTGTGCTTGGACAGTACCAGGGCGGTGGAAAGACCCAGCACGCCTGCACTGCAGCTCTGATCAGCATGATGAGATCATCGAACACGAAAGGCCAGCTTACCCGACTACGACTATACTCGTGGTGGCCATGTCCGTGACCTTGATAGACACGTTGATTATCTCACCATGAGACGCTCCGTGGGGTCAAGAGTCGCGGGGTCATCTGCAAGTCCCCGTCCGCTTATTGGTTAGCTTCCGCACACAGAGCACCACGAGGCAAAACGCGTTGGCACATGTTCTTGTTTACCTGATGTTGATGCCTGACCTGCACTCTTCCATTCCACACAGTATTAAACTTGCCCTTCAATTGTCGTCGACTGCAGCTTCTGACATTCAAGCCTGCCTCGTTTGCACCTGCTGCTGCTGCGCTGTCCGCCCTCACACTCTCACATCCCTCACCGAGCTTTCATCGTCCGGGTGTGCCCCGGCGACTAGGGGCTAGAGGAGCTCTCTGCGGCCCGTACGTCATTCGTGGTCCTCGGTAGCGGGAGAATTTTCGACCCCAATCCTACAGCTCCTATTTCATCCGCAAGCAAGAGTCCACAATTTGGCAAATCATCTTTGTGCAGTTTGCTGAGTCGAATTGTGTGCTCCAGGCTTCAGCGTTTGAGCAGCTCTGACGAAAGGCGACCACTGTTGATTTCTGGAACGCCAAGTCACCGCCCTACGATAGCTTCGCGTAAATCCTACCTCACCTTCACCGTACCAGTACTGCGTGAACGGGCACGACCTTTACCACCTTCACGGTGGCCGGCCCAGCCTTCTATTATCCTGCACCTGTCGTCTTCTGGCTAGTCTTTTCCCCATGATCGCGTCACCCCACTTGTGCCTTCCTTGCTCAACAACTTCTCCTGTCTCGCGACCTTGGCTGCTCCAGCTGTCAAGATGGCGCCCCGCAAGTCCCGCGCCAACTCGCCAGAATTTCCCATTCTCGAATCCAATGGCTTGTACGCAGGCGAAATAAGAGGTGATGGTGAGCTTGAACCTGTGATATTTCAAATAAATGTGCAAAGGCTGACCCGTGTGCAAGGCAACTGCTTATTTAACGCCCTCTCCGACCAGCTCTACGGCCACCAGGAAATGCACGAAGTCCTGCGGGCCACGACCATCGAGCATATGAGGGGCGACTCAGACTTCTACCGCCAGTACATGGCCGTGAACAACGTGCGGAGGAACCCCAAACGCAAGACCACGAATGCAGCATGTGCACGAATCGACACATCATACTACACGGAAGAGCAGCTGCAACAGCAGTTTGAAGATCATGTGGAGAAGATGGGCCAGCCTGGCGAGTGGGCTGACAACATGGAGGTTTCGGCGTTTGCCTCAGCCCTCAATGTCCACGTCCGCCTCTGGCAGGCTGACTACACTTACCTGTTCTCACCACGTGTATACTACACATCAAACGACGATCTCAGTGCTGAGGATGATCGGCAAACACTGCATATCGCTTACCATGTACGTTGCAGATCACCCTCACTCAATGCCCCATACTAACATCGTCATAGAGCTGGGAGCACTACTCGTCTGTACGCAATACTGCAGGACCTCACATTGGGGTGCCGAAAGTATACATTACATCTGCAATGCTATCAAAGAAGCGGCCAAGCCCTAGCGTCGATGGCGACGACGATGACCAGCGTCGGCGGGCTAGGAAGCGTCGTTCGCCCCTCCCACTCTTCGACTCCGACTCTACACCTGAAGGGACGGAGAGCTCGTCGGACGAATCTTCTGGCGCCATATTATCGCAGCAGTCGATCATAGACATTGCGCCTCCACAGCCCATTGTCAAACCGTACAAGCTTACCATCAAGCTCCGTGGTCTTAGAACGACAGATCCTCTCGACTTGACTACACTCCTCAGTCGGACATCGACACCAGTACCAATACCTTCGTCCGCTCCCACACGTACATCTACACCCACTCCTACCCAAACACCCACGAAATTACTCACGTCCGCTACTACTCCTCTCCGTACACAAACACCTGCACCAACACTAGCACATACACCAACACGTACACATAAACATATCCCTCTACACACACAAACGCCACCTACACTTGCGGCAGATTCAATTTCGGATACCGCATCCCCCACCACAGCGGCGTCGTAGAAGAAACAACGACCAATAACGACAACGACAACAATGACGAGACCGACGAGTTGACGAGATATACCCTTTCCCTTGCATCAACATCAGCACGCATCCATCCATACACACGCACACACACATACCTGCATACACTAGCTTGGAGCATCCATATTCTTGTTGCAAGCATGTTCTGCTTTTGATTCTGCACAGCATACATTACATACATCCATCCATACATAACGAGGAGCCACGGTTTGCATGACTTGACTTGCACGACTTGCATATGCCACGCTTGACGGGAACGACGGGTGCCAAAGTGCTTGGGCCCTGTGTTTTTCGGAAACTGGCTTTTGGCGTTTTTATTGTGGGGTGCTAGGTTGATGATTTTATATTTTTGTCTGTTTCGGCATGGAAATGGCATGGCATGGCATTTGGACGGTATTAGAATACATGACTCATCCTTTCTGTGCTACTTGACGAGTTCTTGTTTAGTACTTTTGTGATTTGAGGAATGTAACGGTCTTGAGCGGATGGCATTTGTATCAGCATTCGTGATTGTCGTACATTACTGTATTACCATATCTACACTGCCCCAACCTACGCCCCCATCCATCCATCCATCATATTCGTCGTCATCATACCATGTCATGCAATACCACATAATCATCAAACGGCGTCCAGCACAGACAAAAAACCCCTTGGCTATTCGAACCCCTCCGCCTTACTATCAACCTCCTTCTTCCGCTCCCTCGCCGGACTCAAAAGCGGCCCATCCCCCATCTCCACCGGCGCAACCAGCGACCTCCTCCGCGCACGCGGACTCGCATCCAGCGTCTCGGGCACCTCATCCAGATCCGCATCGGCCTGCACCTCATCGCCAAACCCCTGATTCGCCAGCCTAAGCCCCAGAATCTGCTGCCTCAACTCATCAACAAAGCGCTGCATATCCTCGAACGGCAAGCTGACAACCACCCCCTCGCTGCTCTCCGTCTGCGTATTATACAGCCGCAGCGCAGCATCGAGGCACTTCTCCGCCTGCAGACTCTTATCGAGGCGCCACCAGCTCTCGCTGGCCAGCACGGCCCACAGCGCTGCCTTGCGGCGCCGGCTGCCGAGCTTGTATGTGCCGACGCCCGTGCGGATCGCGTAACAGGCTGCTATGCGCTCTGTGACAAGCGCGGTGCCGATGGGGCCCACGAGCCCGGTTTCCAGGATGCGGGATGCCCAGCGAGCGGCGTCGTCTGCGGCGCTGGAGCCACGGAGGCGCAGGAGCTCCACGCTGAGGGCGAGGGTGCGCAGGGCGTAGTAGGGTGCTGCGCTGCGCTGGCGGTCCGTGTACGAGTAGCTCGCCGCCTCGATGCAAGCGTCTATATTTTCCGCGCGGTTTTTTGCAGACAAGGGGGACGGAGCCATGAGTGCGGAGAGGGCGGCCATTTCGGCGGCGCCGGCGTAGTGGCGCCAGGCTTTGTCGTTTTGGAAGTCTGTGCGTAGGATGTCGTAGGTGCTGAGGGCGAGCTTCCAGTCGCGCATCATGAAGCAGTAGTCTGCTAGGCGGCGCATGATGGCTTCTGGTGCGTCCGGGCGGTAGAAGCCCTGCAGGCTGTCGTAGTTTGAGTTTGAGGATGCGGGGGAGGAGGAGGAGCTGTTTCGTGAGCTGCCGAAGGGCGTCCAGCGCTTGGAGAGCGACATGAAGCGGCCCGAGAGGCCGCGGCGGCGGGACAGGATCTGCTCGTTCCAGGTGGAGACGCTGCGCTCCATGTTGGGGATTATGGACTGCGTGACGAGTTCGCGGATGAAGGTGCGGAGGCTGTTGATGTCTGAGTCGGGGAAGTAGGGGGTGGGGTCGGTGATGTCGTCTGTGGTTTCTGCGGTGGGTGGTTAGTATGCAGTTGTGTTGTGTGGTGTGTGGAACATACCTCGTCTCTGGATCTCTGCTAGTTCTTCTGACGAAGACATCCATTCGCAGGTTGGGAGTCGCACGCTGTCGTCGTCCGAGGGTATGCATTGTTGACTCTTCAGCCGTAGCAGATGGCAGTGGAGGCCGAAATGGCGCTTCATCGAGTCGAATGTCTGGTTGGACTTGACGATGTCGCCCGTCTCCTCGTCATGTATTAAGACGTAGTACCGTAGGAAGTCGTTCTCCACCCACTGGGGGAAGCGCAGGTCTCCGTCATGCTGTCTGTTGTACAACCGCCGCAGCTCCTCTATGGGATGTGGGTTGCGCGAGCTGATGGCTATTATCCCAGCCACTGGGTGCGAGAACGTCTCGTGGGGCACTATTGGCATCCCTGACAGCAGGCGGCGCAGATAGAGGGTGTGGAAGGGCGAGGAGGTGCTGTCGGTCTGAGCAGGCAGGTCGCCCTTGTTCAGGTAGTCGGACGTGGGGTGCTGGTGGTTGAACTCGGAGTACTGCAGGTGCTTGTCGACCAGCTCCTCGATCTGCGACACATCGCCTCCCATGCGCCGTGGCCGCGTAGAACTCGTCGACGTCCTCTTCCCGGCACCTGTCTCGACGCGCGGGTCGGGGTAGGCATCCTCGACGCCGACGAAGCGGACGCCAAAGTCCTCGTAGCTCTTGCTCGCGCCAATGCTGTCTCGTATTGTGACCTTCCCCGGCACCGCCTCTCCAAACGGCTTCAGCAGCTGCAGGAACCCGCCCTCCAGCCCCTTTCCCCGGATCAGCTCCTCCGTCTGCGCATCGGCAAGGACAGCGACGTGTGGCACGAAGGCGCGCTGGATCAGGGTGCGGTGCTCGTCCGACACGCCCGGTGGCAGGCTGTTGGGCGTGCCCGACCCGCTCAGGCGCGACCCAGGCGAGAAGACGGAGCCGGGCACAGTCGTGGCCGTGGGGGTTGCGGTGCCGGAGCTGGGGCGCGAGGTGGAGATGGTCGTCGTCGACTCGAACAGCTTGGACAGGCTCGGGTTGGAGCGGCGGTAGGGCAGCGAGGCCAGCGAGGCGGCGGGCAGGGCGCGCTGTCGGGGCAGGATCAACGAGGCCTCTTGGGTGGGAGGCTTGGGCAGGCCATCTTGCGGCGTCATGGCGGGCTAGGGCGATGCGCCCGCGGGGTACTGGATGCGCGCGTGCTTGCTGAGGCTGCCGGCATGTATTCGGAGGACGGCGGCGGTGGTCTGGCGGCAGGACGCTTTATCCGTGTGCGGGCTGTTTGTCTGTCTCAACGTGCTGCCGGCGACATTGGCCCTCATGGAGGATGCGGACCGCTGAGCCTTCTGACTGGTGCATTCATCGTCGCAGCAACCTCTCCCACCACATCCACATGCCACGTTTAGCTGCTCGTGCTTCACATTCCGTCTTCCATTCGTTTTCACTCCTTTGCACGCCCAAGGCCGACTATTTCAAGTGCTGGCGATACCCACGGTGACGTTGTCTTGACTCATATGGATTGATGTCTCTGCTCGCTCGCGCCTGCCGTCTCTGTTCACCTCGAACTTTTTCTTTGCTGTACAAACGTGACTGTCCCTCACCATCTCTTCTCCGCCCTTCCACTTCGAATCTGCCAGCAACCAGCTCTCTGCCCGCTCTCACCGCGCAACTGCATCGCATGTCCACGACACACTCTCCACCCAACTTGCAAGAGCCGAGTCCAAAACGGCGGAAGCTTGAAAGACCTTCGCCTCGATTCATACACCCATATCGAACCATGGCTTCGGAATCAAAATCAAAATCAGTCCAACTTGAGTTGACAGAAGTGGAGTCCAAGCTGCGCCAACTGCTTCTCGACGTAGCCGCCTACATAGACGAGTCGCCAGCCGTGTCGGATGAGCCTACTGCCGTCAAGGTCCCTGAAGAGCTTGGGAAAGAGAAAGTTGTTCTACGCTGGACGGGAGGATGGGTTCGAGACAAGCTGCTAGGGGTTGGGAGTCACGACATCGACGTTGCCATCAACAAAATGACAGGCGAGAACTTTGGCCTCAAGATACAGGAATATCTGGAGCTACCAGGGAACGCTGAAAAGTATGGTCTGATTGAAAAAGACGAGAAAACGAACAACCTCAGTGGGACAGAGAAGGCCAAGAGGATTGCCCCTGGTCTGCACAAGATTGCGGCCAATCCAGAAAAATCAAAGAACCTCGAAACCGCCAATACCAAAATTCTGGGCATTGAGATAGATCTAGTCAACCTCAGGAAGGAAGTCTACAACGAAATCTCTCGCAATCCGGAGATGGAGTTTGGCACTGCCGAGGAGGATGCTGTGCGTCGCGACGCTACGATAAATGCCATGTTCTACAACCTACATACGTGCCAGGTCGAGGACTTTACAGGACAGGGATTCGACGACATGGCTGCTCACATCATTCGCACACCGTTGGAGCCCTTTCAGACGTTCAAGGATGATCCGTTACGAGTACTTCGCCTCATCCGGTTTTCTAGTCGTCTGGACTACACTATCGAGCCGGAAACGGCAAAAGCTATGGGAGATCCAACGATTCAAGACGTCCTGAAGATCAAGATCAGCCGTGAACGAGTTGGGATCGAGCTCGAGAAGATGCTCAAAGGCCCACGACCTCGCATGGCTTTGGAGCTCATCGATCGCTTTGGCCTTTACCAGACTGTCTTCACCGACCCAACCAGGGAGCTTCCATGCAAGCCAGATACGGAATACTTTCAGCCGGCGTACGATTTCGTTCAATCTGTTCTCCAGAAAAACGATGGTATCCCCGCAGCGATTCACGACACCCTCCTGCGGGATCGAGATGAGCAATACCTCGCCTGGATCTGTGCTACAGTAGTTCCATGGGCTGATGCGCCTACTGTGCCCCACCACAAACCACTACAGAGGCCTTTCTTCCCTGCTTACCTCGTCGCACGCGAGGGATTCAAAGCTCCAAATAAAGTCTGCGATGTGATCGCTGCTTCTCTTACCAATAGCGAGGAGATTCACAAACTCGTATTCCAGTGTGCAAAGGGTCTTCGACAGCCCAATACCATGAGTCCATCAGATGATCCAACGGCTAGAGACACACTAGGAATGGCCGTCCGTCGCTGGGGCTCAACATGGAGAACACAAGTGCTATTCAACATGATCCACGAAGTTGTGCTTGGCCAGGTCTCCAAAGAGCGTAGGTTCATACTGACCTCCTTTGTTATACTCCAGCTAATTCTCCGTAGAAATCCTCAGTTCATACGCTGCTTTCATCACGCACTTGGCCAAGCTCAACATCCTCGACGCAGACACCTTCAAACCCCTCCTCAAAGGCACCGACCTGGCAAAAGCCCTCAACACCAAACCAGGCCCGTGGATGAAAGACGCTCTCGACGTAGTCATGGCTTGGCAACTCCGCAACCCAGACTCGACCGACTCCGCTGCCGCTATCGAGGCAGTCAAAGCCAACAGGGATACTAAGAGTGACAGTGAGCTTCCCTTCCGCCTCGCGTCGCACTTTCTGAAGCTTACCATTCCACCTTTGTTTCCACAGTATAAGTCGACCCTGAGCACTCTGGAAGCGTCAAGGCAACCCGCGCCCTGGAAAAAGGTCGAAAACCAGTACGCTCTAGACCTGCTGAGGTGGTCTATCGGGGCGCTGGATGGGAAGGAGGTGGAAGCAAACTGGCAGTTCCTAGTCCCGCCGATACTCAAAATGATGGACGACATGGACGTGGCGTGGAAAGCAAAAGGATGCCAATTCCTCAATCTACTACTCGAGAGTCTGCGCCAGCCGCGCACCAAGAATCCCTCCTCAACACAAAAACACACCCCAAATCAAAACTTCCTCCACCGCACAGGCTACCACAACGTCTTTGCCCAAACCCTCTGGCCGCTCTTCTCATACCTCCCCTCCCTAACCCCCGAACCCGACTCAGCAACCCTCTTCAACGAGGCTTTCCCCGCACTCACTTCCCTCGCCCTGCTCCTGCCCCCAGACACCACCACCACGGACAAACAACCCCGCACATCCTTCCTAGACACCCTCCTCCGCACAGCCGTCCTAGCCCCCTTGTCCCACTTCCCCACCCCCGCCGCACACCCAGCGCTCACAACTACAATCCTCACCCATCTACCCCCCCTCCTGTCACTGCTGGGAATCAACGCAGTTAAACACCTCCCCGCGCTCCTCCCCCTGCTCACGGCTATCCTAAAAGACCCCTTCGCCCTCGCGCACACACGCCTCGTCGCCGCCACGCTCAGGGCGCTGCACGCCGTTGTGATGAATGCCTGGCCGAGAGTGCCGGGGCATAGGGGCACGCTTATGTTGGGGCTTTGCGTGTTGTGGGCGCGGTGTGGCGAGGCTGATGGTGATAGTGGTGAGGCGGTGGAAGAAGTAAAGCGGCTACTTCTGGAGAGCGTCGAGATGCTGGACGCGGTTATGCGGGCGTTGGACGAAAGTGACGCGCGACGAGTGGCGTGGGCGCAGGAGAAAGTAGATATTATACATGCGTCGGCGGCGCAGGGGCGGCTTTTGGGTGTAGAGGGGTGTGTGTAGATAGCTAGCTAGTTGGCTGGTTCCCGTCCCGTCACATCATCGTGTTGGAAAGATATATAAGCGGACTTTGTTCTTTCTCTTCCTTTTCTCATTCCGAGATATGATTCCCCCTCCCCCCCTTCAACCCCCGTGTATTACGTGATTATCTAAAACATCGATGTGGTATTGCGCGTCTTGGCTGATACCTGTTTGTCTGTCTGTCTGTCTGTCTTTCGCTGGTTATGCTGATGTATGCTCTTCCTTGCCTTCCCTTCCCTCCGCTCTACCCCATCTGTACCAATCCCATCCAATCCCATCTTTCCCCTCCACATCCCCACCCATCTATGGAGCGAAACCCTCCCATCCAAATTCATCATGCGTAAGCCAAAAGCAGGCACAACTAGCCCTCAGGCACCCGAGTATGCAAAAAACAAAAGAAAAGAAAAGAGCAAAAATCGCCCAAAAACCCAGCTCAAACGCCGAAAATGCAGAATTCCGTCCTCGTGTGTAACGGGGGCGAGACGAGAGAGAGAGAGAGCTATATATTGAGAAACAAGGGAAAAGAAAACGCCTCGGTCTTTCTAACACGGGTTCGCCAACGCACACATCCACATACACACACGCGCGCACGCAAGCACAACTTGGGAGTGGGGGAAACCAAAAAAACCCGGGGTATCATGCAGCAGCGACATAATGGACAAGATCTTTTATGCACACAGAAAGGGAAGAATGGAAAAAAACCACACACACGCACACACACACACGCAGAGACAAAAACAATGATGGCGGGGAAATGTCTCGGTATTAAGGGGATCGGGGTTTCTTTGGTTTCGCGGCGTAGATAGGGGTGGGCATCTTCTTTGTGTCGTGGATTTGTATGGTAGGGGGTGGGGGTTGGTTTTTAGCGGAGAGAATGGCGGAGATGGCGAGGGTGTGGAGGGTGAGGAGCTCGGCGCATGCGGCGCCTACGGCGAGGTAGAAGGCGACGCCCTGGGAGGTGGTGGGTCAGCTCTTGTTTCATCGTTGGGGGGAAGTGGATCTGGCTTACTTGCTCTTCGCAGACGGCGCGGTACTGGTAGCGCCCGTTGCTCACGACGTTCTGGTGCTTGCACGAGTAGCGGCCCAGGCTGGCTTTGCTGGCCTTGTCGAGCAGGTGGAAGACGATCAGGGCCGTGGCCCACAGGACGACGCCGAAGCTCCCTGCGATGATGCGGTACATGTCACGCGAGCGGATGGGGCGGCGAAACGAGCGCTTCAGCGAGAGCGAGATGATTGCGACCGAAGCGAGGAAGTTTGCGGCGGCGATGGCCAGCAGCACGATGGTGGGCGCGAGGTTGGTGTGTGCGGGCCATGTCACCGGGAGCTCCCCGTGGCGAAGGTCCAGGTATCTGTTCCCGCGGTAGATCTGGAGCGTGTGCACCAGCATGCAGACGACGGAGCCGCTGAGGACGATGATGAGCAGGCGCAGACAGGAGCGCACGCGACTGAGCCAATGCGCCCGCGGGACTATGGAGAGCTCGAGAGGCATGCGGGCGCTCATCCGTTCGGGCACCCTCGAGAGAAGCTTGAAGCCGCCGTAGTCCTCGGCCTTGGGGTAGAAGGGAGGGCCGATGGGGGCGGAGATTTTGTAGGGCGACGGGGGCGGGGGCGGCGACGAGGGAGGCGGCGGGTGGCCGTGGGAAACGAGCGTGGTGGGCGTGGTTGTTGTTGAGGATGCTGCGAGGTGCGCTCTGGCCATGACGGGTCGAGGATGGTAGCGCCCTAAAACTTCACTATCGGCGCGGGCGTGGCCTGGCGTCGCGCCGCACTCTTGCTCCTGAGTCGAGGGGAGCCGCGGGATCCTGTGACTGGTGTTGCCGTTGCCGTTGCCGTGTGCCCACGGATGGTGGTGTGTCTCGGGGAGAGGAGCAATGGCAGCAGGCACGGTGAGGTGAGCGTGCAACTCGTACATCTCCTTTGAGCAGGGGCCGTCCCGCAAGGCGACCAGACTGGGTGGAAGGCTGTCCGTGCGTTGCATTCAGTCCACCGCAATGATGGACATCTGAGATCATCGAAACTGGTTGGGTGCTCGACTATTTCACTGCAACATCGGATACTCATTCACGGCTACGCGTTGCTCTTCTTCCCCACACCGCGCGTTGTTTCCCGTAGAGTGCTTCACCATGCTTCAGAACCACGATACTGCCTGGCTGCTCCCTGCCACCACAAGTAATTCCAAGCCACCGCGAATTGCATGGGAGCTGGAAGTGGCGGACATAACGCGTTTCCCGTTGGCTGCACGTTCCAGCCTCCACACGTGCATGCTCATGCTACACTCCTTCAATCAACCTCAGTCATCGTTACCACCAGATCGAGCAATCGCAGTGTGAAAATATCAAAACAGGCAAACCACACAAGAGTAGTACCCGCCAATGAGGTCACTGCCGGCGCTTAGGTTGCGCAACAATCCTGTGTCTGCCCAGTGACTTCCCAGATCTTGACATGAGCTTGTGACGCGCGTCCACGTCCACATCCACATTCAGCATGACGCCCGACATAAAACAGGGTCTGCGGGATCGGCGGTACGAGCTGACATAAGAATCTCCCACGCACGTTCTACGCTTGTCAGCGCCTTTGGACGTGGCAAAAAAGAAGCATTGTCTGTAAATAGATTTACATCTAAGGGTCCCACTTAAACACTGGTCTCTCGTAGCAAATACCAGTGCACGAGTCCTACTTTATATACGCTCTGGTGAACCATGCCCGTGCAGGACAAGCACATCATCAGGGAACAGCCTTGAGCTTGTCCTGCCCAGACACCGATTCGCGGCCACCACGAACCAAGCTTCTAGGCAGCGGACCAGCGTCCCGAATACCCCTCGCCGAACCTCTCACCCTCATCCCTCATCTCTCATCACGAGCCAGCGCAATTACTCGCAACCGTCCAGCTCGTCGCACACTACCACGCATCAGCACATCCCATTTCCACCTACAAAGCACTTCAGAAACTCACCCCCGTAGGACATTTCTTCGCACACTCCTTGTACACCGTCTCCCTCGCCGTGCGCGTGCAACAGTTATCCGTAATACACGGATGCGTGATCGTGCTAATCTGCAGACACGCCGGACGAATGCATTCCGCAGTCTTGAAGGCGCAGGATGACCAAGGCGCAGGTTCGTCGACGCGGGTGGTGAAGCTGGGGCAGTGGCGCGAGACGAGTGTCGTTGTCGTGATTGTCGTGATGTAGGTTTGGGTTATGGGGGTGAAGGCGGGGCAGGTTTCTGGTGTGTAGGGTGGAATGCGTGGGAAGATCGTGGGGATGGGGATGGGAGGAGGGGATTGGGGGATGGCAGTTGAAAGGGCGCTGGGGCGGTTAGTTAGTTGGTCGTGGATGGAGAGTCGAAGTGCGGAACAGACCAGAGAGTGAGAAAGAGCGTGATAAGAAGCATGGTTGATACTGGGTGTGGTAAGTTCAAGTGTGTTGGTCAGTGGCTACTACAGCAGTGTACAGGCACACTCTTTTATGTTTTCAGAAGGCCAAAAATGGCTTTCGCACTCCTCAGCTGGCAGATCAGCTGTCTAGCAGCATACGAGAATGTGGCTTCTTAGGCTTGAAGCGAGTAACTGAGAACAAAGTCGATGTCGTGCAAAAGTCCGTATAACATCTTGGCTTACCTACCGTTCTGTGAGGGGTTTATAGTTTGAGGGCTGAACTCTGTGCTTTTTCTGGTGGAAGTCTGCGTCCAGACCAATCAATGAGTTCAAGACTTCGATCGAAAGAAATGGTTGCTGTTTTGGGATTATCAAATAGCAAAATACCGATATCTTGCTGCTCGGCTAGTAAGCTCTATCTACCCTACGCGACAGGGATTGATCAAGATATTGGTAGTTTGCTGTTCTTTGATGTAGTATTTCTCCGAACGCCTGACGAGCTGAAAACGCCTGCTTCAAGATGTCACAGTAACAGCACATAGCGATTCTCCCAAAATTACGTGTCGTGAGAGGATACTCGCAGAGGGTGAACTGACAGTCAATCCGACCTGGTGTCTTGACATCCGCTATCGATTCGAACGCCACTGATGCCAATGATATGATACACGTATATACACGCTCGTTCAAAAGTCGATCACGCGGCCGCCTTGGGCTTCTTTGTCCCGTATTTCGATCTCGACGTGATTCGGTTACCAACACCACCCTACTATTGTTAGCGAACGTGTGAGCTAGACATTGCAGATAGCGTACCAAATCCAATGCTCCTCTGACCAAATGGTATTTCACACCAGGACAATCCTGCGCTCGTCCACCACGCACCATGACGACGGAGTGCTGCTGCACATTGTGACCTGTGAACCTCATCAGCTCCTGTACCTTCCCATAATCCCTGCAATGCCTATTCCTGCATACCTTCACCTGGAATATACGCCGTGATAACTTTGCCCGTGCTCAACCTGACCCTCGCAATCTTCCTCTCTCCAGAATTGGGTTTCTTAGGCTTCGTAGTTCCAACCTTCAGACATACGCCCTTCAGCTCTGGTCTGTTCTTCAATTGGGGCGACCGCAGTTTTCGCGCTTTTTGTGATATTCTGCCCTGGCGTAGGACTTGAATTAATGTGCATTTGTTCGCTCGCGAGCCGGGTAGTGCGCGTGTGGGGAATGCGGAGGTGGCATTTTGGAAGATTGGGGCGGCGATTGAGGGTCGCAGTGGTAGAACAGCTGTGAAGGGTGATTGTGTGAGGAGGGAAGGCCGTATGAGGCGTCGGAGGAATTGGACTGGCATGGCTGCGGTGGTGGTGTTGTTGGACGTTGTCGTGAACCAAAAGTTCGAGATGCGAACGACGGTGATGACTAAGCGGGGGTTTGGTCGCTCTTGCCCACCTTCAACTCTGTCTCATGCGTGACGTTCTCAAGGCAGCATCTCCAAGCACGTATGGCACGCGTAGCTCGTTGATTGATCGCAGAGCTGAACAATTATCCCAACGACATGAGCCAGGCTCAGAGCTTTAGTTCGCCTGAAATGCTGTCGTTCATCCACTTGTAGTGATGATAAGTCTGAGTCGAATGATTGGGCGATCTTGAGGAAGGAATTGGACTCTTCGCTCTGAATTTGCTCTCAAGATTTGTCAGATGAAGGTGGCCTGAGTGATACCGACGCCAGCTGGCATGGTTCCGAGTATACGAGTTACCTAGCCGACAACTACACAGATTGGCTGTGACAATGTCCGGCCTGACCAAGAATTTAGGCATCACCTCCCGCTATTTCGCTGCGTCTTTGTACCTTGATCTTCCAATACTCTTGGACAAAGAATCACCATTCACCAGTATCGTCTTTTGCGTATAGCTAGATGCTGCATCCTTCGATCAATACAACTCACCCGCACAAAGTGCCTGACAAGTGGACACCTACGTATATCGGCCTTGCTACATACGATTCAATCCGAACGCTGTTACGATGGAGACGTCCATGGCCAAAGAGGAGAACGCTTGGTTTATCAAACATCCAGAGATTGATCATCTGGGTGACCGGTCATATCCCGCTGGTGCAAGCCTCCAAGATATCTACAACAGCTATCAACAATTTTGTCGTCGAGAGGAAACCCTAGTCATAGACGAACCATGGTACATCGCGGAACCTCAGCAAGAACTGAGTAATTCCCTCTGCGATGTATGCAAGCACATCGACTTTTCTTATATATTTTCCGGACACAGAGGGAGGCAAACTCCAATTTTGTGGTTTCAGAACGTTCTGGAAAATCACTCTAGATGCAGTTTTTGCGACCTCGTTCTAACAGCTGTTCGCCTTCCTAATGGGGTTGAACCTAATCTCTTGGCTTTCCATTGGACGACGAGCAGTGCTCTCACCATTCACGGGTACCGACCTCAATTCAACGGTATGAACATGCGTGTATTGAAACTCATTCGCCAGGACAGTGGTACCTTTGTGCCAATTCCTCCAAGAATCGCAGACTTCGATCGGATCCAAAGATGGATCATGACTTGCGAAAGATCCCATCACGATGCTTCAGAACGAGTGTGTTACATAGAGAGCAGTTCAAAACCCCCCGCAAGCTACACTTTGCATGTAGTAGACGTTCAAGAGCAGTGTATCAAGGCCGTAACGCATGACGCCCGTTACGTGGTCCTCAGCTATGTCTGGGGAGGTGTCGATCAGATGCGGCTACTCGAATCGAACTACAGCGAGCTGACTGCCGAAGGCTCACTGGCACAGGACAAGTGGGGGACTCATCTTTCGCAGACGATTGTAGACGCAATATGGCTAGTCGCTCGTCTAGGCGAGCGCTATCTTTGGGTCGATGCTCTGTAAGTGAATCTAAGAATGCTTCTACAACACTACGAGCCATGGGCCTTTCCTTTCATTTCTCTATGTCTTAGGTTTGTTGCAGATTGGAATTCAACTTAATCCCACTACTGATTACATTGTCCTAATGCTTTGCCTGCTATAGTTGTATTATCCAAGATAGCCCTGAGTTTGGACAACAGATTAAGAACATGAACAAGATCTACTCCCAGGCCGCGTGGTGTCTAGTGACTGCTTCGGCGAGCAGTGCTAATGATCCTTTACCACGGATCGGAAACGAACAAGACAATCTACGCTCTCCTTATGCTTCTAGGACTGTACAAGGTCTCCAGCTTGCAACGAAACCACCTCCACTGTACGAACTGATCTCTTCCTCCAGATGGGGTTCGCGTGCTTGGACATATCAAGAGAATGTGCTATCTCAACGGCGGCTATATGTCACCAACGCGCAAGCTTATTTTACATGCCGCCACGACTCTATGTTCAGTGAAGCCCGTGGCTCTGAGCACTCTCAACGTCTTTCGGAGGTGACATATTTTAACAAGGGTCACGTGTATGGCAAGCAGAACGTGACAAACTTCGAAGTTTACTCAAAGGCTGTGGAAGAGTATACGACGCGAGATATGGCCTTACAAGAAGATGCCTTAAAAGCCCTTACCGGAGTGCTGTCATATCTACAGACATCGTTCAGGGGCAGTTTCTTGTATGGCTTGCCAGACACCGAGATTGACCAAGCACTTCTCTGGCGTCCACGTGATAATGCAATTCGTCGAAAAGATCGGACGGGACGCTACTTGTTCCCTTCCTGGAGTTGGGCGGGTTGGATTGGTTCCGTTGAATTTGAGCAGAATCTGGCCATATCACGAGTCAAATGGAAGAATCCACACACTGGAAAGTTCTTCTCAACTGAGAGTTTTCGGCGTCCGGACTCTGATTCTATAGACTCGTGCTGGTATCGAGATACGTGGTCAGAAGAAGACATACACGGATCGATATATGTGTCATCTGGCGGGTTCGACGAAAATGGCAAAATGGGGGAGATGAGGTACCTCCATCCCGTCGCGGATTGTGCAAGCACAAAAGATTGGATGTTTTTCGATATTAAGCAGCGGTTACAATTCCGAGCCTTGTTTTGCTGTTTCAAGATTAACCGACAACATGACAGATATGCGAGTTGTTCTCGAGGCATGCACAATGTGTGTGCGCTCAAAATCTTCAGTTTCTCAGATAATCAAGTCGGAACGATTCACGTACCTGGATCCATCGCGGCGTTGCTCCAACCGGGGGCCTTCGAGTTTGTGCGTCTCTCAAGAACTCGGCTCAATGAGGATGACACGTCCCACAATCAGTTTCCCGCAGATTACGACGAATTTGGTGGCCTGGCGATTCCACAGGCACACTCAGGGCAGAAATTTGAACCAGACTACCATCCTAATCTCTTTCAATTCGATACTGAGAAATTTGACCACACCGTGCCCTGGTGTGTCTACAACGTTATGCTCATCGAAACAAAAGATGGCATATCACAACGCCTTGGGATTGGAAAAGTCCATATGGATGCGTTTCTGCAGGAGTCACCAGTGTGGAAGGAATTCATATTGGAATGATTCAAGATTTTGAAGAAGCGGTCTTCGTAATCCAAGTGTTGGATTTTCTTTGACACCAAGCCCTTTTCCCGAAACATCAGTCCCCGAGCTTCTTCAGTCAACGAGTTATGCTTGTTCGTATGCTTTTGACCTCTCAGAATGATCACAGGAGGATATTCTTTGGAACGAACTTGGTATCATACAACTCTTTATTGGACAATAGTAGCTGATTGTGCACTGTTGGTTATGCATTTATTTCGCTATCCGTACTCAATTGTTGGATAGGCGAGCAGTTTTCATTCCGATATTCAGCAAAATATACTGTCCACATATCTTGACTTCTCAAGGATATTCAAGCCTATCGAGTCCATTGTGTCTATCATTCCAACGTCCTAAACCTCTATGGAGTGCCCCAAACCTCATCCCACCGCTCATATCCCAACTCAACCGGTCCATCAAACTTGCCAAACCTTGGAGCTCCTGTTCCCGGCTCGGGCAAACATATCCACTCTCGTATGCACCCAGGAACTTCTTGTTCACTATGGCTAACGCACAAGAGCGCTTGGTGATCTTGCAGACCAGGCACTACCACTTCGTTCTTCTTCGAAGCCTCGCTTTCCACAGGCTTTGGGCCAGCATCTGTATGTTGTAGTTCCATAGATTGTCCACGGCTGAGAAACAGAAGGCACTTATCTCGCACGATATCATCCATGCCACTGAACGCCTCGTCTAAAATGACGATATCTGGATTGGCGATTGTGGCGCGGAGGAAGAGGAGGATACGTTGGGCGGAGAAGGATACTTCGCCAAATAAAGTGCGAGATGACCAGTCTAGACTGCCTTTTGACGTCTCGCCGTCTTTGAGAAGCGGGTTTAGTTCCGTCTCAAACCAACGGAGACACGCTTCTACACGCTTGATAGTGTTTTCATTCAGCCGTGGTATGGTGATGGGCGTATCACTCCATGCCGTCTCCAGCGTGCGTCGTATAGAGAGGCGCTTGGGGAATAGTGCGTGGACTTCTGGAGAGGCATGGCCCATGCGTGATTGGATTTCAAAGATCGTGATGCCCGGAACGCCAGGTTCTGGAAGTCGTGACCGCTGGAAAAGTTTCACCGGTGTCGAATATGTCTGCGGGTGATCGGAGGTGACAAGGCTGATCAGAGTGGTCTTTCCAGAGCCATTAGCGCCAAAGATACCCCAGCGCTGCCCTCGGTGCACGTTCCAGTACAAGCCATCTTTCTTTGTGCCGTCGATGTCCTGTTGCCATTCACCGAGAACGGCGTTTGAGCCATACTTGATTCGTACTCCTTCCATCTCTACGATTGGTTCGCCAAGCGGCACCGACGAGGCGTCAACCTTTTCGTAGCCATCTCGACTAAGTACTGGTACACTTGGTGATGATTCTGAAGTTGTTTCAGCTGCTTCGAACCCACCTCTTTCGGCAATGTGACGGCCTAGATCGCGGAGTTCAAAGAGTTTTGAATCGAGCTTTTGGCCTGCGGATTTACTTTTGATGGCTTTCTCAATATCATCATATTGCTGCTTCAGATAACGGAAGACTTCTTGTTTTGGGCCCTGTGCCTCAACCTTTCCGTCCTCACCTGCATACACAATGTGTGTAATCCAATCTGGAATTGCATCTTGAGGTCTTAGCGATAACACAATCCGAGGAGCATTAGTTTCCGCAAGACGATGGAGAAGTTTGGAGATGTTTCTCGTCACGATAGGATCCAGGCCAACTGCAAACCTGTCAGTTCATGCGTATCAACATCACAACATCTTAACATACTAAACGGCGCATCCAAACAAAGCACTTCTGGCCTCGTCAAAAGCGCCTTCCCAATTCTTGCCCTGCGACTCTGGCCGTTACTCAACATACTAACCGGCTTCTCCAAGAATCTCTCCAGTTCTAGATCTTTCATCACTTTTCTTGTGATTTCCTCATCCAATGACTTCGCTTTCAATTCTTCCTCGCCAGGGTTCATAGTTACAATACCCGTCAGATATCGCTCGAGCGTGAAGTCTGTGTCTTCCTTCAGACTCTCATAACGAGCTGATAGATACGCGCCCCCAAAAGCTTTGCGCTCCACATCGAAACCGACATACTCGATGGCTCGCTCTGGAAAACGTAGGTTGGGTTTCTTCTCGGTGATCTCTGGAGATAGGAGGTATGGATAAGTTCGGCCTGTTGGGGGAAAACATAGAAGTTGGCCTCGCAAGATTTGGAGGAACGCTGTACGAATATCCGACGAGGGACTCAAGATTGCCCAGTGTTGGTTTGGTGTTGAAAACGAAGGCAAGGACAAAGTCAAATCTGGAAACAACGCCGGATTCGGAGGTGCGTCTTGGCCAGGCACTGGTTTTGCTGCCGGATGTTGCCGGTAAAAGGTGCCATTGGTGATTTTGACAATGGGTTCTGCGTTGAGTCTACGCAAGGTATGGAATCTCGCGCATCTCGAAGCTGCCAAGAACAGTGCGGGGGTTCTTGTCATGTCGAAGGCAAGCATCAATGGTTGTTGCGGATCGAATCGATGTCTCGATTTTTACATTTCGGTGTCGTTTCGCCTACCGTATTGAAGCTATGACGTTGCCTCTGCCTCGGCCCAACTGGCATTCACGGTCCCACATCTTAGTGTGGGCTTGAATAGACCTCACACGAGCAATCGACAATGCTACCCAGCTTGCAGCCGTCGCGGCCAAAGGCGAGTCGCGTATCTTCTGGAGTGTCGCGTAATTAACATGTCATCCAGCTTCAACAACAATCCACAAACTCAACATACACGTACCAACAAAGGCGCGCAGGACATGAAGCTTCTCAAGGTCAACAGGCACCAAACATCCAGGCACCTCATTCGAACCGGAAACCACAATCCCAGATTGAGGCGATGCCCCCCTCTGGGTCCATACCAGCTCGGGCTTCCTTCTTCCCACCACCGGCCATCTATGATAGCGCAAAGTGCCATCCGGTTTTCTTCACAACGAACTTGAGGAAGCCGCCGTTTGCGATACCTCAGATAGCAACTCAGGGGTGGAATCCAGTTGCGAGCGGGTACATAATGGAGCAAAGGAAGCCAGTAGGGGCTGATGTTGGACCTAAGACGAAGTTGTGATGAAATATTTACATTGATAGCATTGAATGGCGTTACGGAGTATGATTTTTTAGAGCTGAGTATTGGAGACAGACGTTACTTTAATCTGTGTATGCCGGCTCTCTCGTTGTAAGAGGCATAATATTCTATATGTTGTATTCCATGAACCACACGCGAAGAAGTACTGCAACAATGCTTCTTCAAGATACACGCCAGTTGCAACTTTGATAGCGTTTCGCTCCACGCGCCGATCACAAGAATCTGTACCGTAAAACTTCGGCTTTTTGAAGTAGAGCTAACAGGGGAAATATGAGGCCCTAATTTTCCTGAACATTCCCCGCAGGCCGTAGCACGCCTAACCAATTAATGTGACTAAATATCACTAGCCTCAACAACTCCTTCTTTTTACCAATGTGGCCTTCCTCGTCACCCGTTTCGCTTGCCTTGATGACACTCGCCTAACTTAGAATATTTTCTTTGCTAGCTTCTGTCAGTTGGCAACAATCGCTACTGTTGTCTTGCGCCTATACTGTTAGTATAATACTAGCATCGGCGGCGGGGCGCAACGATAGTCACGACTATGTCAGCTACGAGAAGGCATGGCAAGACTGATGGATGTTGGACATGTAAACTCCGCCGCAAAAAGTGCGATGAACATCGCCCAATATGCGGAGATTGCAATAGCCTGGAGATCGCCTGTATCTATGGACCGAGGCCAACTTGGATGAATGGCGAGGAGCAACAACGACAGAAGATTGCCTTGCTCAAGAATGAAATTAAACGGAATGCAGCAAACCGAAGGGAGAAAGCCAACACCTCCAGCACAATTGCGCACGGTGTTACCACTCATCAATTCAACATCATCTCTGATATGGTGGTATCGAACAACTTATTGCCGAGCGAACCTATGGACTCTACTATGTCAGACGACCAAATAACGACCCCAGAGAACAACTCAGCACGTGCGCTATTTCTATCGCTGCCCTATGATCACCAACAAGTTGGGGAACCTTCTGCCATCGAGACAGACTTCATTATGAAATACCTCGATTTCGTGTTCCCCGCCCTATTTCCATTCTATCGGACAACTCTATTCGATCCAGGCCGTAGCTGGTTACTACTATTGTTGAGGAAGAGCAAGATAGCTCATCATTCTGTTGTCAGCCTGTCGTGTTATTTCTTCACCATGGCCCTCACCGATGCTGACAGTGGAGGAGAACATACAGACTGTAAAGAACTGCGCTGGAAAGAAGTGGAGCAGCATACCAACAAGTCTTTTGACAGCCTTAGAACGGATGTGTTAGCACTGGACTTGAACCTGGAAGGCACGCCAACAACGAAATCAGAGAAGGTAGAAATTTTGGAGAGTATTGTCCAGGTTCTCATTTTCGAGACAGCATTGGGCAAATCCGCTCCCTGGAATTCGCATCTCCCTCCTGCGTTCGCCTTATTTGAACAAATCATGGCCCGCTCTGGCCCGTCTCACCAAGTTCAGGGCGAATCGAAGCTCGCCTCGGTGCTGCTAGAGATTGGACAGCCTCTGTGGACCAGGCCCGGGCACAACAGTCACGTCTGGTCACCTGAGCAGTCTGGTTTTCGATTCTGTGCCGGCTTACTGATCTTTATTGACGTCCTGGCAAGCACTGCTATTCAAGAAACACCGAAACTTCTCGGCTACCATCCCGATATCCTTGCTCGTATAGATGAGGGGACATCTGCTATAAACGACGCTGAAGTCCGACTCTCGACCATTGTTGGTTGCCGCAATTGGGTCGTCCGATCAATCGCCGAAATATCCGCCTTGAATTCCTGGAGACGGGAGCGACTCGAATCCAACAGCCTTCCTATTATAGAACTCGTTGACCGCGCCTCGGTCATTACAAATAATCTGAGAAACGGTATTCTTGGAATTCAAATCGATCCCAACGCCAGTCCTCTGTCATATCTAACTCGTTGCGACGCAAGTCCCAGTCCTTCGGTTTCTTCCAAATCAACTCTCATTTGGGCACATGCAGCACAACTGTACCTTACAGTTGTAGTTTCTGGCTGGCAACTATCTAATACGGAAATTAGGGCTGGTGTTGCTCAGATCATCGGATTGCTTCACACCGTTCCGGCATACCAATTGCGTGCTCTCGCCTGGCCACTGTGCGTCGCTGGCTGTCTAGCGCTGGAATCAGAGGAACCGTTGTTCATAACGTTATTGTCAAATCAAGCTAAAGTCTACACAGCTGGGGCATTGGATGATGCACGCCAGATCATGGAGAAGGTGTGGCAGATCAGACCAATGCTGGATCCTACCACGTGGAATCTCGCATCTTGTTTCAGCATTTTGGGATCTCCAGTCCTGCTCGCATGAACATCGCGTTGAGTGAAAGAATGAAGTGTGAATTTCTGTAACTACATTATACCACTATTAACTTCATCCTCGTGCCTTTCCATGACTTGAGCCCTATCTAACGATGGATCGTTCACTTGCCCTTCCAAGCGTCAACCACTTCCTTGACGCTCGTTGTGGCGATCTCTGGAAATTTCTCGTTCAGGGATCCTTCTTTTGGAATATGCACAACACCATTGACAACCCACAAGCCGAACCTAGACAGCACCACTGCAAGAAGCGGCTTGGGAATGTAGTCGTACGAGTATGGGTTGGATGGAAGCTCGGTGACCTCACCCCGCTGGAGCTTCTCAACCGAGTCGTAGGTGATTTTGAATTTGCTCCCTGTCCACTGTTAGTTGTGCTTACCATGATAAGGTTTGGTACTCACCAGTAGCCTCCTCGGCGTTCTTGATCAACTGGTTCAGTGACACATTGTCACTATAGCAATACGAAACCTCCTCCCACTTTGGCAAGCTTAGCGCTGCAACCACAAATTTTCCCAGGTCCTTGGTGTAAGTAAACGACAGAACTTCATCACCAGTGGAACCAGGAATGGCAGCCATTTTATGGGCAATATCGACGGCCCATACAAGCGGAGAGAGATGGGTGTCGACGTGCGGCATACCGAAGTAGTCGGAGTAGTGCCCGTTGTGGATCTGCGTCCATTCGAGGTCGGTCTTGCGAAGAGCTTCGGCGCTCTGGTCTCGGAAGCTGTTGAATGGTAGCCGTATAGACCTGACAAACGGCGTTATTAGCAACAGTTATGAAGTTTGTCGAGAGCTCTTGGAGGTCTTCGTTGATCACTCACTCGTCATCTGGCGTGGCATTGCCCCAATGGCTCGCTACGAAGCGTTTTGTGGAGGACGACTGACCCGCCGCTGTTATCATATTGATCTCTGCTTGCGCTGCTTTCGGGTCTATCATCATGATGGTGGAAATCACGGTGTGAACATCGTTCGCATCCAGGGTTTTGGTGAGCTGTTCGATGTTGTCGTAGTCAACAGCGAACACTGGAGCAGCGTTTTCACCCTCTGGGACCTACCACTAGTTAGTACACAGATCGCGAGTATGGTTTGCTATAGCGTGACTGCTTGCCTTTCGAGCGAGCACAATGACCTTGTGCTTCCCATCCTCTTTGAGCGCGTCAACTATCGTCCTACCCACACTTCCCGTCCCTCCCATAACTGCGACAACAACCATGATGAATTGTTTTGGGTGGTGAAATAGATAGATGTATTGGTAAAGAAGCAGAAGCCGATGTGATGGCCTTCAAAACAACGAAACTCGACTGCTCTTATATACTTCACAACCAACTTTCCCGGAGCAACATTTCGACCGACCGAGTGATGATTTATAATTGAGGAACATGCAAACATGCATATCCTATCCAATGCGGCAATAGCATCATGAGTTCTAAGCTGCGGAATCTATGGCTGACTCCTCGTGGATGCAATTAAGTTGGATTACGCCCTGGCTAGCCGCGACGACGGGTGAACTAGTCTCAATCCGAACACCCGCGCGGGCTGCTCAAGATGGCATCATGCAAGGCCAGTCATCCCCTAGGATAGCACTGCCATGATATTCCAAGCCACTTTCGAAGTCCATACGGAGTACGTGACTTGAACCGGTCGGAGTTTGTATCCCTGCTTTGCAGCTACATTGAACCGGTCAGTCTTATCGCCGAACATCATGCTATGGTCTAGTCTACCCTTGTATTCTCACATGCCTTTGTCACTTCCACTGAAGGGAGCTCGCATACACAGCAGCTGTCCGCCATCTTCGATCGTGGGGCAAGTCGTCTCAAGCTTGTCACATATACGCTAGTCTCTAGAGAGCTTAGCGGTATGTACAACTTTCTAGCGCGAAGTTCATTGAATCGAGTTCATGATATGGCCGGCGGACCAACCAACATCGAAGACGGCATATAACACCAAATTCTCGCAACACCTCTCCAACACGAGATCTAGCACAATGACCGACTCCAAACCCCCACCATTCGCCCACACCCTCCTCCAACGCGCCTTCTCCCCCGACACAGCAGCCTCCCACTACAACGACCGCATCCTCAAACGGCCCCTCCAAATCCTGCCCAACGACCCCACCCCCTCCGCGCGCGCAACCCGGCGCGCCGCCCTCACCGCACGCAAACAATCCCTCCAGAAGCGCAGCAAGCAAAAACCGCGCCCGCTCTCCGCGGCGCAGAAGCGCAAACTAGGACTCTGCGAGATCCCCAAGGAGCAGCAGAAATACGCAATCTACGAGCCGCTGAACAAGCTGTGGGCGGGGTATATGCGCGAGGTCTTGGGCCTGGATGGCGACGAGGGCAGAGCGCATGTCACGCCCAGTAGTAGTGGGCAGATGCTGGCGAGCGCAGATATGCATGGTGCGCTTGTGAGCGTTGTGCGCAGTCGGTGTGTGAGCCGTGTGGGGTTGGAGGGGATTGTTGTGCGGGACACGAGGTTTACGTTTGAGATTGTGACGAGGGCGGATGTGGTTAAGGGTGAGTCGAGTTAGGTAGGTGGGTGAGTCAGTGAGTGGTGCTAATGCTGTGGTTGCAGCGATTCCCAAGGAACATACTGTTTTCCGCTTTGAGATCCCGTTGCTTGGTAAGGACGGTGGCGATGTGCCGAAGCCGCTGGTCTTTGAGATCTTTGGTGAGCAATTCCAGACTAGGGCGCCGGATCGCGCGAATCGGAAGTTCAGGATGCATTATCAGCCTGATATCTGAGGGGAGGGGAGGGGCTGTGGAAGGTAACGACTATTTGAATATCATGCCGAGGACAGGAGACCTCGCCAACGGCCACCTGCGATTGCAGATGTACATCGCGCCTCGACGAACGGGTCACGTCTTACAGTAGATCGACATTCTAGGGAACAGCGATACACGCATGGCGTGATTATCCGCTATCCCAGCAGGACTATAGAAGTTCGAAGAATAACGTGTAGGCGAGAGGCAAGCCTGAGCGTTGGTATGGAAGTTCATCTCGATCGAGTTCATCGTGTTGAAAGGATGATAGATGAATGCACGCCCATGCGCCATTCAGCATACGAATATATTTGACTCAAACACGTCACAACATTGAATTTATCTCATCAAACATCCCGTGCCAAGTCCCTCCACACCCCGTTATAGCGTATACGGCTCTGCGCCCTTCCCAAACAACAAATGCGGTTTCCTTTGCGCCAGATCCAGAATCGTCTGTGCAAAAACCGAGTTCGCCCAAGCAAACCAGCTACCTATTAACCATGAGCATACATTCACTTTACACCTGCAAGGGAGAGAACTTACGAGTATAATCCGTCCCATGATTGACATTGATAGTCTCATGTACAAGTCCAAGCCGACTAACTCTCTTCACGGCAGCAAGACACTCAGTGATCTCGTCGTCGTCGTCGCTAGTCATAGCCTGCACAAGGACGCTCATCGGCCATGCGTTCTGCAGCCCGACGTGTGGGCCGCCGATGCCACCGAAGTGCTTGCCGGTCAGGTAGTATGGGTTTCCGCTCTTCTCGAGGATCATCTTGCGCGTGTTCTGGTAGACTTTGTTGTCTGTGTCCACGAAGCCTAATAAAGGCAGGGCCAGTAGTGAGGGCAGATTCGCGTCGTCCATTATTATGGAGGAGCCGTAGCCGTCGACCTCAAAAGCGAAGACTTCGCCGTATTTCTTGTGCTGCACGACGCCGTGTTCCCAGACGCCCTTGGAGATCGTCTTGCCCCAGTCCGAGACCAGTTCAGCGACGTTCTTCTTGCCTGATTTCTCCAGCAACTGGGCCGTGCGTTCGAGCTCGACCGCGATCATGGCGTTGGCGGGGATGAAGAAGCCTAGAATTGTGGCGTCGTCGCTAGGTCGGAAGGCGCTGCGGACGAGGCCAGTGCCGCTGTTTAGGGGGTTTCCAACGCCGCTGAGGCTGAGTGTTTCGGTGCCGATGTTGGTGTGGCGTTGGAAGGTGTATTCGTTGCGTTGGAAGGCGCTGGTTTTCTCGTTGAACGTGGGCTTCGATTGTGCGGTTAGAACGTCGAGTAAGGTGTCCAGGGCAAGCAGCCAGCGGCCGTTCACGAACTCGGTGGATCCAGTGTGGTTGTGGAATTGGTTCGAGAGCGATAGGAAATGTGCTAGGGAGTCTAGTTCGTACTTGCACTCGAAGACGAAGGACGGCTCGTACGCAGGGTGAACGTTGTCGTCGCCGCTTTGGAATGTGGGATTGAGACCGCTCGGTGGAGGAGGCTGGAAGGCGTTGCAGTATGGAGACCCAATGACGTATTCCGCCTGCGTGTTAATTGCTCCCAAGATAAGCTGGTGGATGTCCTTGTCTTTCTTTGCGAGAAGCTGATACTGCGCCAGCTGGTTTGTGGAATCGCGTAGCCATTCCGCATTGATGTCACCCGTCACGATGAAGCTTTGCGGTCCTTGCCAGGCAGCTGGATCCCAGTACCTCTTCGACGGCTTGTGCTTGACGGTACCATCCACGTGCCATCGAACAGTCGTATCCAGCGTATTCGGAAACGCATTTTCGAAGATGCGCGCGAGATCCTTGTCGACCATTTTCTTGTTCATATCTTTTATCACCTTCTCAACAAGGGGCGATTCGAATGTTCTGCAGTACTTCGCGGGACGTTGGAATGGCAGCTCGAGTGGACCCTCGCTGTAGGGTGGACTATTCGAGGTCAATCAAGAGAGCCTTGTAGCGGTAGGTCGAACATACTGTGGTCGCATGGCATAGTGCTTGTAATCTGGGCAGGCTGCTTGGTATTTATTTGGATCAATCTGAGCTCGCATAGGGTCTTGTCCACCACTGTTTTGGACGCCAGCGGAGACCAGAGGAAGAAGCGTCCCCAACAAAGCGGATGACGACCTCATCGTTCAAGTTGAAGCCTGCTGGTACCAAGACCAACTCTGGAAGAACAAGGACGCAGTACGTTGTGTTCAAGTCGCGCCGAGATAAGGTGTAAGCTGTATGGAGAATTAGGGTAGCTCTGGTTGTAAATTAATAACGACAACAAGAGACAGTCACAGCGCTGATGTATCAGTCATGGGGCAAATGACAACTCTCGCGATGTCGGCAAACAAGAACCATGGAGATTCGAAAGAGTCCAACTGTCGTCTGAGGTTATCAAGACGTTGCGTGAATTGGACCAATGAGTGCGCGAGTTGGCCGCATCTCCACGTGGGTCAATGCTTCGCATCCAAGAGCAAAGCTTCCTACCACCAACCTCCAACAACGACACAACACCATAGCTAATCGCGTTCGGTGCGCGCGCTACTTCTAACAAGAATCAGGCTAAAAACACCTGAGCGTACACCCTTGACCGTTCCACGTAATTCACACCAGTTGTGCTCTGGCCCGCGCGACTACCTCAACATGCTATCGCTCCCAGGCCTCAACCTGGCGCCCCAGGCCGCCGAGCCGCTCAACATTCCAACAGCATCCGCGACACGAATCCAAGAACTCGCCGCCAACACGGAATATCGCTTCGAAGTCAGCTTCTCTCGCGCGGTGACGGTGAGGCTGCAGTCCGGGACGGCAGAGTTCTTCGGTGCTGAGCTCGCGCCCTCCAACACATATACTTTCCTAGGCACAAAAGGCGCTATATACACATGGCATGGCTGTAGGCTCGAGATTGGCGGCGAGGTTGAGTCCGACTATGTTGCAGAAGAGACGCCCATGATGAGCTTTGCGAACCTGCACTTTGCGCTCGAGTCGCTGAGGGACAGGAGCGTGGCCAGCGGAAGTATGGAAATGGGTCCGCGGGTGCTGATTGTAGGGCCTGAGAATGCAGGCAAGACCACACTCGTCAAGACGCTGACGTCTTATGCGATCAAGACCGGCAGACAGCCTATGGTAATCAATCTCGATCCCCGACAAGGCATGCTGAGTGTGCCGGGGTCCTTCTCCGCTGCAGCATTCTCGTCAATCATGGACATTGAGGAGGGCTGGGGAAGCAGTCCCATCTCAGGGCCAAGCCCCACACCTGTAAAGATGCCGTTGGTGTATCACTACGGGCTGAAGGACCCAGAGGAAGGGAAGATATTCAGGCCGCTGGTTACGCGCATGGCTCTCGCCGTGACGAGTAGATTGGAGGAGGACAAGGCGAGCAAGCAAGCCGGCTTCATCATCGATAGCTCGGGCGCCATCAGCCATGGCAGGGCGGGCGTGTACGAGAACATAGAGCATATTGTTTCCGAGTTTTCTGGTGCGTGTGATGTCTTGCAATCAATGCCTGGCGACCTTTCATCATCTTTCGTCGTCGTTCTCCTCGTCTTTCTTCTCATCATCTCTCTGCTCATACCCATTCCAACCCCTGGCCCCCCTTCCCTACCGCAGCCCAACAATAACAACCACAAACTGACATCCCACAGTCAACATCCTCATCACAATCGGCTCGGAGCGCCTCCACAACGACCTCACCCGCCGCTACACGCACCGCCCAACCGAAGACACCGTCAGCGTAATCCGCCTCGACAAATCCGGCGGCTGCGTCGACCGCACAGAAGACTACATGAGAACGCTGCGCCACGCGCAGATGCGCGAGTACTTCTTCGGGCACGGAGAGAATGCCCTAGCACCCAGCAGCCAAACAGCAGATTTCTCCGACATCCACATATTCCGCATCATCGACGGTATGTTCTTTTTTGCCCCCGTTGAACCCCTTTACTACTAGTGAATGAGCCAGACTGACCATCAAACAGGAGCAACCAACCCCGCCTTCCTCCCAGGCGACGCAGACGAGCACGACTACGAAGCAGCCGTGTACGAGAAGATCACGCCCTCGGCGCAGATCCAGGGCCGCATGCTGGCTATTACGACGGCGAGCCATATGGATAAGCAGCAGGTTATTCGCGACGCGAGTGTGAGGGGCTATGTGTATGTGGCGGATGTGGATGAGGGGAAGAGGAAGATTCGGCTGCTGAGTCCGCAGCCGGGGCAGACGCCTGCGAATGCTATGGTGGTGGGGAGCTGGCCGGAGGATGTGCCTGGGTTGGTGAGTTAGGTGGAGTGAGATGGGATGGGATGGGGGTGGAAGGGTGGGATCGGGTTGGGGGGGTTTGGTATGGATCAAGTGCGGGTTATGGGTGAAGATGTACTTGTGATGATGAACATGTGCTTTGTCAGTGGAAATCTAAAGTGTATGGTCTTGGGAATATTGGCTCATATCACTACAACATGCAGCGCTATTCACGATTGAAAGATAAGTCTGTGTGATTTCGAAGAACTTTACGTGGGCGAACAATGAACGCAGGTGTATGGCTTGGGGATATCTACACCTACATACCGTACGAGCGTAGAGAGTACTATGGCCAGGTCGTCTATTATCTATTTTGCGCCCTGTTTCTTCTCCAAATCATTCAGAAACTTGTCCAATATCTTCACCGTACTCCGCATTCCCCGTATGGCATTCTCATCCGGCCCCTGCCCGGGATGCCATGTCGCATGTGCAAAGTCGATCATCTTGACCGCTGCCAGCTTAGGCAAATTTTCGTCCTCATCTTCGTCATCGCCCTCGTCGTCCTGTTTTGAAGACATAGATGCCAGTGTTGTGCGTGTTTTGTTGTACTCGTCCAAGTCGCCCTCATAGACTAACAGGATACTCGCACCGTACATGCGGCTCTCCTTGCTCTCAAAGACCTTCTGAATATCCTTGACCTCACCCAAAAAGTACGAGAGCACTTCTCTCGCCCTATCCAAGTATACATGATCATCTGCCAGATTCGCCTCTGGTAGTATGAACTCGGAGAAGCCCTTGTCGATGTCTTCAGTGCTGAATTTGCGACCGTACATCTTGTTGTACACCAGGTAGCCGGTCTCCTTGTCGAAATCTACAAACTCCTTCAGGTCGGCGGGGATATCTGGTGAATTGTCCCCTATCCACGTCCGCATTCCCGCAATCCTAAACCCCAGACTGGAGCTTGTCGTCTTCTCGCTCACTGCATCCAATCGCGCCCTCTTCTCTGGCTTCGCAGCCTCATCCCAGAGTTGCGCGCCGAGCTTTAGATCCAGCACGTTTGGCTTCTTAAAGCCGTGTGTGATGTTTGCCAAAACGATATGCAGATCTGTTGCTAGTTGCTTGCCGTGAAGTCGTTGCACGGTACCATCAGCCGCTTCAATCACGCCGGTGTCGACGGTTGTGCTCTGGTCGGCGGAGACGGATAGCTGGCCCATGAAGGTGGGCAGATGGACGGCGAGATCTGGGTGTGAGGCATTCACAGATTCGTAGAAGCTGATTTCGGCTTCGGTGCATGGCTTCACCACCACAGCGCCAGATTCGTCGCTGAGGACGCCATCACTAGGTTGAGGGTCAGTCGAGGTGTAGTTGTGAGGAAAGCGCGAAGAATACTGACTGGCCGGCGGCTGCGCTGCCGTAAACTTGAAGTTTGGAGGCGTCATATGTTTTGGTCGACATGGTTGAGGATTGTGACGAGGCTGGTGTTGATAGAGCTGGAGCTGTCGAGAGGCTCAGCTCATGGTGGGGCGCTAGAGCACCCCACAAAGCGTGCTGACTCGAGCTCGTCGTGCAACCTCATGTCCTCTGAACATTATCAACCGTGACGCTGACTTACACACATGCCAGTTTGGCTGTTCATTAGCCATCATTTACCATTGTAGCAGCTTCTGGGTCCTGGAATGGATGAATGTAGATCATCACACCATGACTTCCAGCCCCTTTCACATACCGTTATTCAAGTACTGCCACCATTCATGTTATCATAGGACTTTGTCGTGTTTGTCGTTTATTGCTGAAGCACTGCTGTAGACCTTTCACTTCTGTAGCGACTTCTTCTCCATTCTAAACAAGCCAGCATGAAGCGCCGAGGATGGCATATCTTACCCCATGGTCAGAATGCCGCCCTCACACCGCAGTTGCAACCTCTCTCACCTGCGGCTGTGTGCAAATTCCGTTACCCGCTACATTTTCTTGCTCTCTTTCCAACTCACCTCTTCCGACCTCGACCCCTCAACCCAAGTCCGGCCAACTTCCACTCCTTCCCTTAACCGATTGGTTGTCCATCGCGAACAAACATGGCAGCTGCAGCAACGAACGCAATGCCGGACGCCAATCGCTTGACTAGAGACACCATTACACAAATCGAGGACGTGGTCACTTCCGCACCTGCCAATGACATCGCCACAGATCACCCTGATGGCACATCGATCCGCCGACAGGTTGGTATTATCTTTTGACACCGCGAACACCTCTACAATGTGCTGACAGTGACAAGGTCGAGTTCTATTTCTCCGACGAGAACTTGGCCACCGATCTTCACCTTCTCCAGTGTTGTGGCGGGCGCGAGAATCTCCCCGTGTCGATCAGTCGCATATGCGGCTTCAAGAAGATGAGGGGCTACAAGCCTCGCAGTCTCGTCATCGCAGCTCTCCGCAAGAGTGCGTTTCTCCAAGTGTCTACCGATGGAAAGACCATCAAACGCAAAGTCCCCCTCCAAGGCAAGTGCGCACTGGACGCGGACTTTGGTGACGACGATGAGATTGTGTATGACCCGCGCGTGCGCAAGCCTGCCGTATACCCAGTTCCGTTACTCCCTCAGAAAAAGGTAGAGTATCCGCCAGGCACAAGCAAGAACATGATGAAGCCCCATGGATTCGAGGACAACTTTGTGGAGCCGCCTCTCAGGCCGGAGGAAGCTGCTGAGGAAGACATCTTGTACGACCCCGACAAGCCTTTCTTGGAGCGTATCGAGATCGCCATCCAACGGTTCAAGCAGAAACGACGCATGCACGAGATGTTTGCTCATGTTTTCAACAAGCTGATGCGGTTCGGAGGTGTCGAGTCTGGTGTGCGTATGTACCAAGGAATATCGAAGAACGACATGAAGGACATGGATGCGGAAGAGATCGCGAGAGCCCTTGCTATTCACAGCGTACCCTGGGATCGCGGCGACGAACAGCAATGGGTCGTGGATTTTGTCGGCATTGGTGCAGCCTTCCTGTGAGTCTAGCAGCTTTCGAGTTCAATGCGTGATCTCGTTGATTCGGTACGGGAAAGGCTGACCCTTCATAGCTCGTCGTTCTATCCAACGCACTATGGCTACGCTCCGCATGCAATCAAGAACGCCTGTCAAGTCCTCCGCTCCTTCTATAACTATCTTCTCTATCACAAAGTCTGCTCCGAATATGACGAACAGCTTCAGATTGCGCGTAAGCTTTGTGATACCGCCGAACAAGAGCTTCCCAAGGTGTACTCGGCTGGCCTTGCGTTACCCGGAGATTTTAACAAATCTGCGAGCGTCATCTTTGGCGGATCACAAGCAGGATTGTACACTGGCGACAAGTCATGGGCGGCAGATCTAAAGAAGGATGGCATAAAGCTTGACGAGATTGGCATTCGTGACGAAGAAGCGAGGATCAAGTTCAAGATAGGAGTTGCAGTCGTAGCTTCTGACGAACAGTACGCCTTGATGGAGTCTGGCCAGCTTAAGATCGTTAAAGATGAGTCTACCGGTCTCGAAGTTGTCGCCATCCAAGCTCCTGATGATCTTGTCAAATCAGCCTACAAAGAACAGAGCGAACAACTCAAACACAAACTGGGTCAGCTCGAGCCCCTTGGAAAGCTCATATGCAAGACCTGGGTTGCTGAGGACTGCGATGAGTGGGACCTACCCAAGGATAAATATCCTGACGGTAAGCCTCATAGGGTCAGTGAAGCTAAGCAGTACGAGTTCTGGGTTGAAGAGAGCGTGCTTGGTAAGTGCTTCGTAAGCATGAAGATGGACGCCAGGGTCCTCACACTTGCTGGTGGCATGATGATCCTCGACGAGGTCAGGGAGACGATGTGTAGTTTCTTCGCTTGGACTCCGAATGAGTTGTGGATGGAGAGAAAGCCGAAGGAGGTGAGGTGGTTGAAGAAGGGCCTGGGACTGGATGACGATGAGGAAGAAGCGGAAGTCGACGGAGGGAGGAGGAAGGATAGGGATAGGGCTGGAAACGATGAGTTTGATGATGAGTAGGGGTGATGGTGCAACGTTTCAAGGCGACGAAACCGTGGTCAAGATACTTATCCGATGTCTTCTGTTGCAGATGATATCGGATGTCTTTCAGCGTCAAGCTTGATGATCACTGCATTTTAACTCCATAGAGACAAAGTTAAACTGCAAGTTCTCCTCCATAGTTTACATCGCAGATCAGGGGTGCGCTTACCCTAGTATGGCTTAGTGCCCGAAAGCAATGAGATCCACAAGCTGAAGATGATCCACAGCCAAACACCTCACGAACCATGCTTCAGTGAGACATCGAAATCCAAAATGGGCTAACTTGTTCTCATGGTACACTATGTACCTCCCCCAGGATTTATCCACCCGCGACCGTCCAACGCCCTGTCCGCTCGGGAAGCTATTGTTGGCTCGAAGCTAGGCAATTACCGCACCATGGCATCAAGACGTGCCGCGTTGCTCAGAATCGTCCTCCCGCTCTTGACAACCAACGAGCGTTGGGAACTGAAGGATAGCGCGCTGGACGATGACGCTTCCTCCGCTTATGCCAATGGCCCGCTGTTCGTTCCCGATCATCAATGTCTTGGTATGCTCGGCGCCAATACAACAAACTGCCTGGATCCGGCTTGTCGTTATCTTTTACAGCAATTTAGGATGGGCTCACGTATGGCAAGACAGTTGACCGGAGTATGACAAACAGGACCACCTTACTGGTAATTGCAGTGCGATCACGAGGGTACTTGCTTCCCAATTCAGATTGATTGATTGCATAGCGGGCAGGGACACGAGTAATCCGCCCGCTTGCCAGCCAAGCCCAAGCATCTTGTCTTCTTAGCGGAGGACACAAGTAAAACAATGCCGCCAGCACCCTTCGCTTTTCTTAGCGGTGTCTGGCGCCGCCCTTCCTTCCACTCCGCCATCCTACTTCAACTATGCTCCTCCGCCCCCGTCATCCTAGACGTAGCGCGACTTTTTCATCATGAACGTTGAGCGGAGCGTTTTCTCCTGGGCCCAGACTAAATAGACGATCAGACGATCAGACCCAGGCGGAACGGAGTAATTTGCCAGGATGAGCGCCTCCTCCACCCTGGCTATCCTGGGGGAACGCTTTGTGGACTTGCCGAAACAGGTGGCTGGTGGATCTTGTGAGTGATGTCTTTTCAAATCTTCTAGATTACTTTTTGCTCACATCGCACTAGCACATTCCGTTCTCAACCCATACATCTACGACCCTTCAATCCCACTGGCCGTCATCGGCGCCATCATCTTCTCACTGATCTTTTCACTGTCCATCTACCAGTATCTCCGCCACCGATCATGGTTCTTCTGGGCTGCCATCGTCGGCGTAATCATGCTGGCACTCGGCCACATCTGCCGTCTCGTCTCCGCCCTAGATGAGAACAAGAATCTTCCGTTCCTCATCTCCTGGATCATGATTCTCCTCGCACCATCCTTCTTGGCTGCTGCGTGCTATACAGCCTTCAGCAGAGTCGTCTGGTTCTCATGCCCTACGCATGGTCTCAAGTTCAAAGTGCTATGGTGTTTCCCCCGCTGGATCACACCAACATTTGTCGTCTTCGACCTCTTATCCTTCCTCATCCAACTCGTCGGAGCCAGCCAGATCTCGCGCCAATACGCCAACGACGCATCTCCATCACGCTCCATCGAGTCCTCAGAGCGCAAAGCCCTACCCGGCCGCGTGATCCTGATCCTCGGGCTCGTCATGCAGATGACATGTTTCGTATCCTTCAGCATCATCTCCGTGCGCTACTTCTACATCAGCCGACACTGGCGCGCCTTCGACCTCGGCGACCTAAAGCTCTGGCGCAAGCTCTCCTACACCATCAACGTATCCTCCATCCTCATCGCCCTCCGCGCTATCTACCGCACCATGGAGATTCCCCATGATAAAAACTACGGCCTCAAGTACCTCCAGAGCCACGAGTGGTGCTTCTGGGTCTTCGACGCACTTCCCATTCTCACCGTCTTGGTCGTCTTTGCCGCGTGGCATCCTGGCCATTACCTGCCCAGGAGCTACACTGGACTTGCGCTTGATAAGGGCCGCGCTGTGAAGGAGAAGGATGAGATTACCTCGATGATTGGGACGGGCGCGCAGGATGTGGAGATTAGAGATTTCAAGCCTGGAGATTTTCAGGGCGGGAGTATCGATGCTAGAGTGTGAATAACTGGATGATGATGTTGGTGATGGAGTGTGATTATACGTGGCGATTTGCGCTTTTTTGTCTTGTTTGTTTGTTGATACCATTGCATTTAGCGGGCTGGGCGTCTTTTTTTTAAAGGAGGGTCGGGATACTCACGTCAATTCTGTCATGCATGCTGATATGATACGAATTCTACCGCTGTATCACAATCTCGAATATTGTCCCGATTGCCTGCCACTATGTTCCACCACAGACGGCGTACCATACGTTCTCGACTTGCAGCTAGTCTCACGCAGCACAAAGTCGATATCGTGCAAATAAACAGCGTCTCCATCATCGAAAGTCTACTTGACAAGAATCAAGATTTACAAGCCCACCTCCAAGTACACTGATGCATGTATATACCAACAGATTGATATGCTAGGTAGTCAAAACGACCATTACAAGCAATCTACACACAAAGCCGTCCATCCATCCATCCATCTACCAAGCGCACCAGGTCTCTGACCGAAAGAAAAAAGTGGGGGGAAGGGGGTGGGGGTATAGTGAAGTAAGCTCTTCGCAACAAAAGAGAGAAAAGAGATGTTGAATTACAAAATAGTGCTCTAACAAACCAATGCTCAAAAATTCAAAACAAACACAAGAAAAGAGGGGGTATATCGTCCATCGGTCCATCAGTCCATCGGTCCATCCAACCATCACCTTCAAAAAGCGCTTTTCGCAGATCCATCTCACTCTCACTCTCTCGCTCTCACCCCAAACAGCCCCTCCAAAAAAGAAAAAAAAGAAGACACACCTTCCTCCCACCTACGCGCCCGCATTCCGCAGTCTCTCCATCGTCCTCCGCTTCGCCACCGTACGCAAATCCCCACTACTCTTCTGCCCGGTAATCGCCGTCCAATCCTCCCAATCACTCGCCATTTCCGTGAGCACATTACCCATAACATTCGCCGACGCCATAAGCCCATGCTGCTCGCCCTCCAGAATCCGAACCTCACATTTGCGCATCAACTTGCCGAGCCAGCGGACATTATCAGCAGGGACGCGGGAGTCCTTGCTGCCATGGTGGATGACGACGGGGCGGTTGATGTCCTCGTAGCGGAAGCCGATAGGTTGCTTTGTTTCGAGGCAGACGATGAGGTCGGTGGCTGGGTTTGCGTTTGCGGTTGCGCGGTCCCAGATGGCGAAGGTGAGGCGCTCGTCGAAGGCGCGTTGGCGGTCTTGCTCTGCGAGGGAGAGGGCTTCGCGCGCTTCGTCGAAGGTGGCGCATGTTGGGCTTGCGGCGGCGAGGGAGAGGGATGTGGCGTTTGGGAGGACTTGGTCCATGAGGAGCATTGAGTTTCGCTGCGTGTCTTTTAGGGAGGGGCGCTGGGGAGGGGCTTGTGCTGGGACTGCTTGGGGGCCGATGGGGCGACGCTTTATCTTGGAGGAGTTCTTGGGTCCTGTGCGTTGGAGGCTGGCGCTTGTGGAGCTGAGGAAGGTGGAGTTGGCGATTTTGAGGAGCGAGGGAGGGAGCGTTCGGAGGAAGCGTTGGGAGCGGGGGAGTTGTTGCGTTGGGGGTGAGTCCTGGCTCATGCCAATGGGCGCCATTTGGGATGGGGGAATCCAGGGTGCTAGTAGGTGCACTCGTCCACGAATATGCTGGGGCATTCGCAACGAAGTAGCCAGAGCATATACCGCGCCTGCCGAGTGCGCGAGTAGAGAGAACTTGGTGATCTTCAAAGCCTGGCAAATCACAAGGACATCATCTAGAGAGCGTCAGTTGGTCGTCTGTGGAATGTTCAGTGCTTGCTACTCACCAGGCCAGCTGAGGGGAGTGCCATTGGGATCTGCTTGACTTCCTCCAATACCAGGACGCTCTGGTGTAATAAGGCGCAACTTCAACGTGAAAGCAAGCTGGTCGTAAAAAGCCATGACGAATCTCGTCAAACCCATACCTACACAGACAAAAATAGCGAACCCCTCAGGATCTCCAACTTCCGAAAACGAGATGATCCTCCCAGTTTGCGGATGTCGAATCTTCTGTGACAGACGCGGCGCATTGAGAAATTTATTCACGTCAATGTCAACGGAGTCAATGCTGTCAGGGCGCTCTTGAGGGGCCGGACGTGAAGGTTTCTGGACAGGCGCTACTGCTTCCTGTGCATCAATCCTACCATTGTGCTCCTTTTCCACTTTTGCCGGTAAATCTGGATGCGACCACCGCTGTTTCTTTAGCCCACGGCGCTGCTGGAGCTGTACGACGTTCGATGCTGACAAGCTGGCATTGAGCGTCTGGGGCCGGGATGATATGTCTTCACTGGTAGAACGGAGCGACGGAAGTCTTTCGCTAGCAGTGTCACTGGTGATACTTGAGGAGTGTCTGTGTCGAGTAGGTGCACCTATAGACGTCGCAATATTCACTTTGCGCCCAACTGCTGACCTCCCACCGACTGCGACAAACGAATTGGATCGTTGCATTGTACCACGACTGGAGATCGTATTCCTAGTTGAGCCCATGCTGATGCTTGGGGGTGCAGGCGAAATCGGACGAAGAGACTCTGCGCGATGAGATTCTGCGCGATAAGACTCTGCGCGGTACGACTCGACGACAGGAGACGAGGGTGCTGATCCTGCAAGGCTTTGGAGAGCGAGAGTATAGTTGATGGGAAGCGAATTGAAATCGTCGCCATCGTTCACCGTCAGGCTCCTATGCCGCGCATGGCGCCATGACGATTTCTGGTCCAGGGCTTGGGGCTCCACGCTGCGAGTGCCTTTTCTGTCTGGCGGCGAGTCGGTCATTGCTCTCCCCGTATTAATTCCAAGAATCTTGTGTGCTTTGGTGGAGCTCTGCACTCGCGGTTCTGAGGCGCTCGAGTTGGTCGAGGTGGGCGAGCAGTCCGGGCTGGAAGAGGCTGGGACGTGGGTTACATAACTAGACGCCTCTGCGTTGCTGTCTTCTGGGAGCTTCCCAGCTAGCTTGTCCCTGAGCAACTTTTGTTGCCGCAGCTGCCGAATTCTCTTGGCGACATCGCTTTCCTCCTGCTCCAGCTCCTCGAGGATCTTCTCTTTCATGACCGACTCGGAATCCATCGTATCGCTCTCTTGTCGAAGTGGAGGTCGAGGTGGGGCAGTGGCGGTGTTGTGTCGCTCGCGCTCGCGCTCACTGCGCTTGCTAGCCTGGCTCTTTTTGCCCTTCTTAGTAGGACTCCCAGAATGATGCAGGGACGAGCGGCGGGCGGGGATCAGGCCTTTTTCGGCCGGACTCTCGCCGCCGGGGCCGTCGACCAGATTGATGCGGATGCGGCGCGGGCTGTCGCCCCTGCTCGGATACCACTGGGCGAGTCTGGAGGGCTCGGCAAGCGGCGGCAGTGGGTCCTCCTTAGCGTGGGGCTCTTCCTTGATCGTGTCCTCGTAGGGGAACAGGTGCGCCGTCTTGCGCGGGGACGTGGGCGAGGCGAGGTCGTCGGGCGGGTGGGCAGAGGCGCGCTTGCGGTCCGTCTCCTTCTGCTTGAGCTGCTCACGTGAGCTCATGTACATCAGGCTGCGGCCCTTGAGGCTGCGCTTGCTCTCGGCCGACGACCGGTTGCTGCCGGCGGAGGGCTGGCGCTGTATGCCCGCCTCAACGCTGACGTTGCCGATGCTGCAGGCGGAGCGGTTCGAGTGGGCGGAGTGGATGGACGCGGAGCTGCTGGCGCTGCGCTTGATGTAGCTGGTGAGCGAGTGGGGCCGCTCCGTCTTCCTGGGCGCGGTGAGGGCCGACCTGCCCGAGGGCGGCTTCGAGGTGCGCACGACGGGCGGCTCGCAGGCGTCGTCGTCGTCGTCGTCGCCGTCGTCGGGGTAGCGCTGGTTCTGCTCTCTCAGGGCGTCGTACAGGGCCGTGTGGTCGGGCGCAGGCCCATGGTGGCCCGGGTGCGAGGGGAAGCGCGAGAAGGTGTGCAGGCCGGGGCTCGCGGGCAGCGACACACTCGTGCTGTTGCCGTAGCCGACGGCCAGATTCTCAAAGTGATTGTGGGCGGGCAGGGCAATGGCCGACAGCTGGTCGATGAGTGACGAGATGACCTCGGGCGAGGCGGCCTGGGTGCGGGCATATGTCGACGGCGGCCTCTTGGGGCTCTTGATGGGCGCTGGTAGCGAGCTGCGCTTCCGTAATCGCGTCGTCGCAGCGCCCGGCGAGGTGCCACGGTCGGCGGGCACGTAGCTTGCCCATGCCTGCGCTTCCTGCGCTGTCGGGACGTCCATGGTGAAGCTGCCCGTCAACCATCAGTGCCCGGCGGGAGACGTCGAGCGTCAGGGAGACAGCGGCTAGTCGCGTAGGCAAGAGATCCGCCCGTCGTTAATCAATCGCTCGTCCCATAGGGGGGGGCCGCAGCCCTGTCAAATGCACTGTCAGGGATGGCGCAAGCGAGAATATGTCCTGCTAACCGGGAGTGGCAAGCCTCTGCAGATCAGCGCGCACACCTAAAGACGAGCATGAAGATGGACGGTTCTCATTCGCGGTCGCTATGTAATAAGAAGACACACACAGAACAACTCGTCTTCACTTGCCATCTGCATGTGCCAAGCCTATTCGCAATCTCTCAGCATTCATCTCCGTCTTGGGTCCTGTCTTGTCTGACCACCACTATGCGGCACACCCCAGCTGCCGGCTACCGAGAGCCCTGCAGCAAGAAATACGGTACGAACTGCACGGACTGCAGACGAGCGGCTCCTCAAGCAGATCTCCAGGATGCCTCATCACGACGATGGCATCTCATCCTCGTCGAGTTGGGCGTCTTGAAGGGTCTTCATTGTCGTTTCCATCGTTCCGACGCATGACACTCGCTTAGATCTCCCGACCGGAGATTTTGACAGCTGTCCAATCAGCTGGTAGAGGCGTGAATCTAGCCAGGATGCTGTTCAGCCTCGTCCTTTTCCACTTGCACCTCATTAGAATTGAGAGTTCGGCGAGAAATCACGGGAGCATCGATACCTCGAGCTCGCATAGCATGGCTGTCAGGCACGACGTCCGCCAAGCGCTGCTCTTGGCTCCGCAGGTTGTTTCGCAGTGTTGAGAAGTTGCATTACATTTTAATATCGATGGACCCTTTTTCAACTTAAGACCCTTGCAGACGATCCCTCATAATCTCTTTTTCTCAATCGTCATGTCTCATTGCGCAATTTGTATTTCCATCTTCTCTTCAGCGCTACATTCTCCACGCATGTTTTGGTCGCTTTTGGAAGTACAAGGTTGACCATGGAATTGACATTCTAAAGACTAATAATTTGGTATCTGGCTAAATTGACAGGTAGCACACACACACACATCCAGCCAGCCTCTAAATGACCTAAGCTCTACCAGGAGGAAGCAGATGATCTGTATCTCAGCCTGGTACTTCAGTACGCTACTCAATTGGCACACCTGCTAACCATCGACCACCAAAAAAAGCCGCTAAACCGACTTATATATCACAGACGACTACCAAACAAATACTCACCGTCGCATCAAGTCAGAACCACTTTCGTACTCCCCGCGGCCCCAAAACAGCAATCAAGAATAATCCAGATTCCGCACTACGTCATACCCTATCGCAACACCAAACGCCCATCACCACTCCAAACCCTCAAAAGCAAAGACGCCCCACAACCCCCCTCCATCACGCACCTCATCGCGGAAACACCTAGCCACCCCTAAAAATGTCTCTCTCCGCCCTCCTAGCCCCCATCTCCCTCCCCCTAGCCTCCATCCTCGCAATCCCCATATTCAGCTCCTGGTCCAGCACGCTAAACCTCCTCTTCCTCTCCCTAACCTGGACAACAATCGCCGCCAGCTACTCGCCGCTGCAGTTAGAATTCTTCGCGCCCCTAGTCCTCCGCCTAACACTATACGTCATTCCCTCGCTACTATGCCTAGCCTTCGACACAGCGATGCCGAGCCTCGCGCTGGAGATCAAGACGCACGGCTTGCCGCAGCGGAATGCGAATAAAGGCGGCATCAGGACGGTGGCGCTGTGGAGTTTTGTCAATGTGCTGCTGGGCGTGGGCGTGCAGGCGGGTGTGGAGTGGGGTGTTACGTCTGGGCTTGGGATGAGGAGTTTGCTTGTTATCAAGGGGAGTCGGTGGACGTTTAATCATTTGCCGAATCCGTGGATGGTGGGGAAACATGCTGTTGTTGCGCTTTTGGCGCGGAATGTACGTCCCCCTAGAATCATTATGTGAGGATCGAGCTGATGTGGTGTAGATCCTGCAGTACTATATCCACACGCATGTCCTGCACGCGCCGACGCCAAATACCCTCTCGCGCTGGCATAAGTCCTGGCACCATAGTATCCGCACGCCTTACTCCCTCGCGGCAAACTACGATCACCCCGTCTGTCACTTGCTGCACCGCTTCCTGCCCCTCTACCTTCCCGCCATAGCACTCCGCATGCACATCCTGACCTACCTGGCGCTGACGGCGCTCTTCAGTCTCGAGGAGACGCTGGTGTATTCTGGGTACAGCGTATTACCGTCGACCATCATGCTACGAGGCATGGCGCGCCGCACAGATGCGCATATGATGAGCGAGGGACAGGGGAACTTTGGACCTACGGGTGTGTTGGACTGGTGGCACGGGACGACCTTGGGGAAGGATGTCATTGAGGATTTAAGGGTTGAGGCCGAGAAGCATGATGTGAAGGATAGGGCAGGGAGTACAGTGAGTGGCGTGGCAGGGAAGATCAAGGATAGAGTTGGAAATGGGAGTGGAAGGGGAAAGAAGTAGACTGGTAAACGCATTGAACAGAACATCGCACGAGATTAGAGGGTAGATATCGTTATTGGTGGATGAGATGAGTATCTGACGTCAGGACTAGCGTTGGCGTTCTTAGGGTTGGTGGTTTGATGGTTCGGTACACGGATCGCATGTCTAATGTTCTGACACCCAAAGAAATACAAGTCGTCTTAGCTTCCGTGGTTGAGTTTGGCCACGGTCCATCGGAGAGTTGAAGACTTGCTTGTTATTCTATATTCATGCATCAGTATTTGGTACCACCCGCTTATGCTCCATAAAACGCCCAAGTGTGACATCACGGAAGCCAAAGCCAGCAGTTCACTTTTGGACCGTTTCGGATTCGCGTGCTCGTTACAAGTCTTTTAGAAAATGCAAATCGGACCTTCTGTGAAAAAAAGGTTGGCTGCCGTGCCGTCGCGGTTGTGATTCCCTGCTGTACGGCCGCAGCATGTCCATGTCATCTGTCACCCCATGCACTGAACGCCAAATGCCCCCGCCATCGACCCCACGTTTAGAAGACCATCTGGTGTGGCCTGTCTGAGCTGCGAAGGCTGAAGCTGGCGCCGAGGTAGTCGGCAAGGTGAGCCTCCTTCTTGATGGTGGCCAAGAGAGCCTTGTCGACAGCCTTCTGGTCCTCCACACGGTCCTTGGCGGTCTCCTTCTTCTGTGGCAATTGTCAGTACTGCTTCGCGACGCTGCTGCCAGATGCACTGACCTCAGGCTTCTCGCCCTGCTTGAAGAAAGAGTCCTCTCCAGGCTTGCGGGAGGCCTTGTCCTTGGTGAAGTAGCCGTCTTCGCTGGCCTTCTTCAGGACATCCTCGTCTACACCCTCGACGTTCACCTTGGTCGAAGTAGCAATGACGTATCGGGCGTTTACTCGTCGCAGAGGAACGCCGTTGACTTTGAAAGGACCGGTGACGAGGAGCACGCCCTGGGGGAGGTGCTTGAGGAGGACGACACGCTTGCCGCGGAAACGACCAGCGAGGAGGATAACGACGGATCCGGGCTCGAGGGATGCACGGGGCTTCGCCGGGCGGAGAGTCTTACGGGTCTTGGGTCGCAGTTAGTGGGAGCTCCAATTGATGCGTCTTCGGCCAGGGACATCATTCTCGGTCGCTGCACCGTCTTTGACAGGCGTGGAGTCAACCACAGCTCCGTCGTCTTCCTCTTCCATGACCCATCCTCGCTGTCGCAAATGAACGTACCTTCTTGGGGACGGCGACGTCCGTAGCAGGGTAGTACTTGCTCGCCTTCTGCGACGCATGCGGTATTGACCGCTCGCCCTTGGAGAACTTCTGGGTCGTGGGTTTGGTGTCCGCCATTTCGATTCGCTGTTGTCGTCAGTTGCCCTGGAGTTGTCTTCGTCAAAAGCACCGATATTGACTTGTGTGGGAGCCCGGCCTTAGCGCGGCATCCAGCCAAGCCGGACATCGGCTCATCTGTTTATCCGGTCCTATCACCACAGCCATCGCGACAGATTTTGGTCAAGGAAGAAAGCGTATTGGAAGGTATTGTTGTTTGTGCAGACCGAAAGTGGACGAGTTCTTGAGGAATATATATGCGACCATAAAGCAGTCAACGACTTATCTTCTCTCATACACCGCGCTCTACCGACCCGACTACCTGTTCAACAAGCACTCCATGTTAAGTCTGACAGAGGATGTAAGTGTAATACAGATGATATTTATAATATATGGTAAGATTGTTTGCAAAGCCGCACCAAAGTCCAGGATCACTCTTAGGAAAGGAATAATTTTGACATCAACTACAGCCCTCACCATCCCGTCCTTAGTGAGTTTCTGTCCATTCGTATACAGCGACCAGCGCAACGAGCCACCCATGCATCAGCTCTTTTTTCGTCAAGATTTTCTCAATGAGTTTTCGGTCCTGTGTTAGGTCTGGTGAGGCGCCGTCAAGCTTCTGTACTCTTTGCATCACAAATTGTGTCTCCTCAATCCTGTGTTTCCTCTTCTCGGTCATACGCTTCGTCCTGATGTAGATGATACACCGTCCACCTTGTGTGCTTATTGTACCATGCGCTTCGCCTCTGCGATACTCTTTGTGAGGTCTCCTGGCTCGGAGGGCGCGGGTCGTTAACCTTGATCACTGCAATCATAGTCTCCTCACTGCCTTCAGTTTCGCTTTTCTCGACGGATTGCTGAGTACGAAGAGACGACCCAAAAGAATTACTATTTAGTTGTCACATTACTGGTTAGATCAAGGTCTGAAATCGTATTGTTTGTTGTTCATATTGTGACTGCTAAAAAACTTGAAAAGCCTCAAAGGAGAAAGGCAGTGGGCGACGCTTGTGAGAGCTTGGCGGCTAGGTAGTTGCCCTGTGCTGATGTTACGTGATCCCGCATCAACACCATTCGAACAAGCTCCACAAGCTACTCTTGCCTCCTACCACACACAACAAACATGTCGATTCAGCCGCTGATCACTTTCAAGGCGGGCCAGTGCGAGCTTACCGTATGCAATTCTCGAATGCATGGTACAGCAACCAAGCTGACCTCTACAGGCTAAGAACGGTACTCAGCAGACGGTTAAACCTATCAGGACGCCCGGATATGTCTACCTCTACCAGGGCGAAGATGGTCTGTTTGCGACATGACATGTCTCTTACCCCGCTCACACGTACCAGAGTTCGTCCACTTCTGCTGGCGACCCCGCGAAGCGTCCCTCGAGGAATCGGAGCTAGACCTCATCATGATCCCTGGTGATGGCGCCTTCCAACCCTACACCGGCAAAGACTCCGTCGAAGACTCCGAGAACGTGCAGTCGCCTACCGATGGTCGTATCTTCGTCCTCAAGTTCACCTCCAGTTCACAGCGCTACCTCTTCTGGTTACAATCCAAGTCGCAGCACCCGAGAGGCGACGCGAGCTGGTTCAGCGAGCGCGACCAGAAAGTCGGACAAATTGTGGATCTGCTGCTGAGTGGAGAAGAGATCGATGTCCAGGGCGAGCTCGCAAGCGTCCAGAACCCTGCTTCTGGTGGCGACGATGATGACGAGATGATGGAGGATGCAGATGATTCGACTAGCCGAGATCGCAGTAGCAGTACCGGAGGTGCGGGGGCTGGTGCCACAGGCGGTGACATCAGAGAAGAGGGCGCAGGGTCACGAGAAGGCGGCGCTGATGGAGGTCGAGCGTAGGTTCTGTTTATTTGTATCACAACGGCGTCGTGGCGCGGTCAACATTCTAGGAAGAGCCCAGGTGGCTACAGATGATGATTATGCGAGCTCACCAAGGCACCACGACATGTATTATCACGGTAGGCGTTTGGGAGCAGAGATGTATCAGACTGACACAGGGGCGTAAGCCGCGCATTGTAACATTAGACAAAAAAACGTTTCCATTTCAAACCACCCACTCGCCACGCCACGGCGCCTAATTTTTGCGTTGTCTTTTTTCTCTTTATCATTCACGCGGTCTCTGAACGCATGGCTGACCCTCGAGCAGAGCGGCAGACACGGATGTCTCCTCCATCGTGCAGAACTTCATGAACTCCCTGAAGGGCAGTGGTGGTAGCGGCAGTGGTGGCGACAGCGGGAGTTCTCAATCTAGAGGCGAATTCGCAACTCTTCTCGACCTGTTATGGCCTACACACACGCTACCGACCATCGAAAAAGCCCCGGACTCCATCATCGATGCCCTCTGCGCACAATTACCTACAACGCCCTTCCTCATCGAAGCTGAAGTCGAAGACATCGACCAGATTGACCCCAACTCCGAAACCGCGCAGATGGCTATGCAGACGCTGGATCAAGACCAAAAACGAGAAGTGTTGAAAAACATCCTTCGCGCACCGCAGTTGCGTGCGGCGCTCGGGAGTCTGACGGAAGCGCTACAGACAGGTGCTCTGCCGACTGTTAGCCAGGGGCTCCAGATCGATGTTGCCAATGGTGGATACATGAGGGGTGGGGGCATGCCGTTGGGCGGTGGGGAGGCAATCAAAGCGTTTTTGGAGGGCGTCAAGAAGACTGCAGAGAAGGAGAAGAAAGGGGATGATGAGATGGACATGAGCTGAACGGTGATCCAAAAGAGCGGGATGAAACGCATGATATGATATCTGCCTATTATATGCATGAGTGGTACACTAGTTGAGTGTACATAACGAAGCAGATGCATAATGAAAAGGTCAACGTACATTCATTCAACCATTCTCTTATCACATCTTGTTGTCATGGTCTTCATCAATCTGCCGCCATCAAGCTGTCGCTTGGTCCATCAATCGCGACACATTCACTTCATCAAAATCTCCAATCCAGGTCGTCCTCCCCTCTGAGTTCATCCACCCACGAATCAACCACCACCCCTACACCCCTCAAGTCGACCACGCAACCACATCCCCCTTCCCAGCCCTCACAACAATCCCAACCTCTCCCTCACCCCCTCAATCCCACTTAACCTCTCCAAATCCTCCATCCCATCCATCGGATGCCCATGCCGATAATTATCCATCCACGCACTCCGCATACCCTCCCACTCAGGCTGCATATAGCAGCCCAGGCACGGGAACCGCGACCGCGGAAGGAAGCGCGGGGGAAACACGTAGGGGCAGAAATTCGGCACTGGTGTGACGGGGCTAGGTGGTTGGTTAGAGAAGGCGGTTGGTGAAGTGGGACCTGATGTTGAGGGGGAGGAGGATGTCGAGTAACGAGATGGCAGGGTATGTTGGCTGTTCATGTTCGTGTTTGTCGTGGAGAAGGTAGGTGAAAGAGCGTGTTGGCTCGGGATGTTGAATCGGAATGCTGGGGCGCGCGGCTCGTTGGGCGTGGCTGCGCTTGGGTTGACGGTACGTAGGGGGGAGCGCTGCGCTGGCGAGTTGGTCCCGACATTTTGCTTTGCTGATGGCGCGATTGATGAAACGACGGAGTTTGAGCGTGAGATGGTTGCTGGGCTGGCGGTGTCTTGTGCGTGTGGGCAGGGTGTTGTGCATATGTCTTTTGAGTGGCCGCAGGCGTAGACTTGGATGAGTTCGTTGCACATGACTGATCGGGCTGTTGCGTCCGGCGTTTTGGTGGTGTTGTGCGTGCGATGAGATTTGGTGATATAGGAAAAGGTGGGGCGAGGGAGAGGAGATGTGGTGGTGAAAGAGACGTCTTGAAACAATGCTCATTGAAGACAACAATAGTGAATCAGCCACGCTGTTCGCGACACATCAAGCCAGTGATTGACGTAGAGTGCATGATCATGATCGTCTGCTTGCCTACCTTACTTTTTGTTTGCTTTCCATTCTCGAGTAAACGACCAAAACAGGTGGAACAGAGCAAACGGACATCGAGAGACACAGAGTTGAAGGGTTCAGAACCTTTTTGGTTCTAACCTTGATTGTGTATTACACACAGTAGAACAGAATATGGCCAGTCATCCGCGCAGCTTTTCCCATGCTACGAAACTACCGCCGTCAACTCCTAACCACCAAATACCTGGGGTTGTAAGACAATCCAAGCTCGATACGTTCTCTAATAACTCCTTCCGAACAGTACCCATGCCTTAGCGGGAGTAGTGCAGTCAGGATTGATGCACTTTGTGTTGCCATCAATGCCCTCAGGCTGTTCAAAGGGAATACACAAGCTCTTGGCTCCCATGGCAGGGGCTTGCTTGTCTTCTGCGACACCATCGCCCAACGCCTTCTTCGCGCTCTTATCTTTGACCTCGTCTTCGCACTTGTCACCTTCGCAGTGAGGGACGAGGACAACATTCTTGCCATTCAGGGTAGGAACGAAGTCGTCCCAGTTAGTGAGTTGCACACGGTGCTGCTTGTATTTCTTATTGGCACGGTCGAACATATCTTTCTGGATCTTCTCCAAAAGTTGGGGGATCTCTTGCTTGAGGTCGTCAACACTGATAGTTCCACGAGCGGCGTCCTTGTCGTCGATGTCACGGCGCGATGTAGTGACAACACCCTTCTCAGCATCCTTGGGACCAAACTCAAGGCGTAGAGGAATACCCTTGAGCTCCCAGTCGTTGAACTTCCAGCCAGGAGAGTAGCCTTCCCGATAGTCGGTCTCCACACGTACTCCTACTTCAAGCAAGTCGTCCGAAATCTTCTTGACTTTGCTGTACAGATCCTCCTTGGCCTCAGCAGACATCCTGTCATCTTGTTAGCTCTAGAAATTTTCACATGGAACTTTCATCTTACTTTGCGGTTACTCCGACCGGAATGAGAATGACCTGAACTTCAGCGACTCTAGGAGGAATGACCAGACCCCGGTTGTCTCCGTGTGTCAGGATCATGACACCAATGGATCGCGTGGTAAGACCCCATGAGTTCTGCCAGACGTGAACATGCTCTGATTTGCCGGCCTCCTTTGCAGTGGGATCCTCGACAGTGATGTTGAACATTTTCGAGAAATGCTGCCCAAGCATATGAGATGTAGCCGCCTGAATTCCTCGACCGGTGGCAGGGATGAAGCCCTCGATCGTCGTAGTGTAATCTGCTCCAGGGAATTTCTCGTTGACGGTCTTCGTACCCTTAACAACGGGGACAGCAAGCAGATCTTGGTATACTTGAGAGTACCATTCCAGAATTTGTAAGACTTCCTCGTCGGCTTCCTTCTTGGTAAGATGGGCGGTGTGACCTTCCTGCCACAAGAACTCGCGAGATCTGATGAAGGGCATGGGGTCTACACAAATGTCAAACAAGATCTGGCAACAGTACAATCCATGAGCTTACGCTTGAACTCCCATCGAACAACGTTGTTCCACTGGTTCAATTTCAGGGGCAGATCGCGATGTGACTGGATCTTGCGGGCGAAGTAAGGGTACATGGCAGTCTCAGATGTGGGGCGCACCGCGACGGGCTTCTCCAAATCAGACTTTCCACCTTTGGTCACCCATGCGACTTCAGCAGCAAACCCCTCGACGTGCTCCTTCTCTCGCTCCAGGTTATCTGCGCTGATGAAGATGGGAAAGTACGCGTTGCGGACCTTGAGAGTCTTGATCTGAGAGTCGAACCATGCTTTGATCTGTTCCCAGATGGCGTACGAAGAGGGCTCGAGGATATAGCTGGCTGCACTTTAGCAAGAGTGATGTAAACGGCTTGGTTTGGCTTACCAGCCGGCGACCTAGGGAAATGTTTAGTCAAATGCATCGTGAAAGCATCGAGATTGGCTTACGTCGTAGTATGAGATCATCTGCCCCTTGGTGATGACTTGCTGATACCATTCTCCCAAATCAGCCTCTTTCGCAACATCGATACCAATCAGAGCAGCTCCCTCGATCTAAGTTCGTGTCAACATCCTGCCCAACTCTCATCTACCCCGTATGTCTGACCTTCTTCTTTTGTTGCTGCGGCTTCTTTTCCTTGGGAGCCTTTTTGGGGGCGCCGTCCTTCTTGCTCTTCTGCGTCTCGGATATCTTGAGATCCTTCATTTTCCCGTCGGCGGCGGAGGCTTCAGCCATGGTGAAAGTGATGCCAAAAGCAAATACACAGATGTACTTTAGATAACTGAGAGCTAATGTTAGTGCGCAAACCAAGAACAGTTTGAGAATAGTTTGAATCGTAAATGCGTCCTTCTCGTGTGACAAAGCGTTGTGTTCCTTCAACACGAAAATAGTTTCGCGAACGAGGTTTGAGATAGCCATCTTGGAGACATTTGGTGGGGTAGCGGGGTAGGGGAGAGGGGCATATTTACCTGCGATTGAGGAGTCAGTGGGCTGAGTCAAAGTTGATGTGGTGTCACCAAGAGGGCGGTGCAGCGTACCTGGTAATCAGCGAAGGGCGGTGGCTGTATCGGGCACAAAGTAAACAGTCACAGAGCTTCGAATAGTGTTGCTGGTGGGGCCGAGTCATTCGCAGCAAGGGTCGCATTTTAGCGCCGTCACGTCGGAGCTGGTGCTTCCGTTCGCCGGCGTACTCTGAATTTCTGCGAAGAAACACGCCCAAACACAGCAATAAACAGCTACACCACGACGACATGGCAGGCATCTTCGAGCAGTCGCGCAACGGCGGAACTCTGTGTAAGCTCCCCCAGCTGGAACGCGAGACACACGCTAACGGGCTGCAGTCCTTGGCGGAAACAAAATCAGCGGGCAGGACATCCGCGACCAGAACGTCCTCGCGACACAGGCAATCGCCAATGTGATCAAGTCGTCGTTCGGGCCCTCGGGCCTGGACAAGATGATGGTGGACGACATCGGTGACGTTACCGTAACCAACGACGGCGCGACTATTCTCAGTCTGCTCGACATCGAACACCCCGCAGGCAAAATTCTCGTCGATTTGGCACAGCAACAGGACAAGGAGGTCGGAGACGGCACAACATCGGTTGTCATAATAGCAGCTGAGCTGTTGCGAAGGGCAAACGAACTTATGAAGAACAAGATTCACCCCACTACCATCATCACAGGCTACAGGCTGGCACTGAGGGAGGCGGTCAAGTACATGAACGAGAACATCAGCACAAAGGTTGACACCTTGGGTCGCGAGTCCCTGATCAACATTGCCAAGACGTCCATGTCTAGCAAGATCATCGGGTCCGACTCTGACTTCTTCGCCAACATGGTCGTAGATGGCATGTTGGCCGTCAAGGCGGCCAACAACAAGAACGAAGTCAAGTACCCGGTCAAAGCAGTCAACATCCTCAAGGCACACGGTCAGAGCGTAACTCAGTCAATGTTGGTCAAGGGATACGCCCTGAACTGCACAGTCGCCTCGCAAGCCATGAAGACACGCATCACGGACGCCAAGATCGCTTGTTTGGATATCAACCTGCAGAAGGAGCGAATGAAGCTGGGCGTGCACATCACCATCGACGACCCGGAGCAGCTGGAGAAGATCCGGGAACGAGAAGCCGGAATCGTCACCGAACGCATCGAGATGATTCTCAAGGCCGGTGCCAACGTCGTTTTCACAACAAAGGGCATTGACGACCTGTGTCTGAAACACTTCATCGAGAGGGGCGCGATGGCGGTGCGAAGGTGCAAGAAGGAGGACTTACGAAGAATAGCAAAGGCTACTGGAGCAACATTGGTCAGCACATTGTCCGACCTGAACGGTGATGAGAAGTTCGAGGCTTCAAATCTTGGTCAAGCGGAAGAAGTGTCCCAAGAGCGAATCTCGGATGACGAGTGCATACTGGTTAAGGGCACCAAGGCCCATTCATCTGCATCAATCATTCTGCGAGGAGCCAACGATTACGCCTTGGACGAGATGGAGCGATCGGTGCACGACTCCCTATCAGCCGTTAAGCGTGCTCTCGAGAGTGGACGTATTGTCCCTGGTGGAGGCGCTGTCGAGACCGCTCTGCACATCTACCTGGAGGAGTGGGCAACATCGGTGGTATGTATTCCGCTGTGTGGACTTCATCCCCTGTCCAGATTACCATTCATTCAGCTCAGTCGAGCCTAACACTACACAGGGCTCTCGTGAACAGCTAGCAATAGCCGCCTTCGCACAGTCTCTACTCGCTATCCCCAAGACCCTCGCCATCAACGCCGCTAAGGACGCCACTGAACTTGTCGCCAACCTGCGCTCACGACACGCCCTCTCACAACGCACAGTAAACCCGTCAGACCCAACTTCGCAAGACGCCAAGCAGCTCGCCAAGTCCAAGAACTACAAGAACTACGGTCTGGATCTTGCAAACGGCAAGGTACACGATTGCCTGAAGGCGGGTGTCCTAGAGCCGAGTATGAGCAAGGTCAAGCAGCTGAAATCTGCTGTGGAAGCCTGTGTGGCGATCATGCGCATCGACACGCTGATCAAGCTTGATCCCGAGGAGAGGGGTGGTGGAGAGGATGATGGGCACGGACATTAGATGATTGACGAGGTCACGACCTGCTGAGTAGCAAAGAGAGGATATAACGACAACGTTGTAATGCAAACTCGACGTCACGAATCATGAATATGGATCCCTGAAAATATGCATGCAGTTGCAGATCTTCGTGAGACAAGATCGTTGGGTATATCACTAACCTATCTAGCTTTTTGAAAGGGGATACATTTTTCTAAGAAGATTCCTCTTGTCATACCATACATGGCCCTGTTCCTCACCACCCAATACTCAATTTTTAGCCTTCAGATCTTCATGTTTGTTCTTCCACATCGCTGCCTTTTCTGTCACTTACTCAAGCCCTACCCTAAGGTTCTCCCAGCCTACTCTTGCTTGGTTTCCTCAACCTTCATCTACTCTCCGTACTTGGTCCTCTGTTCCTCCAGCGCAGCCTTCAGTTTCTCACAATTGGCGCAATCCATGCTGACCCGCATCTGATACTGGTCTCGACTCTGCTTCAACTGGTTCTTAGTGCTTGCAAGAAGTTCCTGCAACTCCTCAACTTTCATCTGCGAGGCACGTGGCACAAGCACGCTGTCATCCTCTTCTTCCTCCGAGTTCTTATCGGCGATGTCCGTAGTGCCCACGGAATTCTGGGCAACCAGTGCCTGAGAATAAGCCACCGCAGCCTTCCGAAAAGCCATGGGAAAGTTGTATGTAGCTGCATCCATATACCCATCATAACCGCCCGTCATGATACAGTACCGCGCAAAAGCCTCGAATTCGTCGGACATCTCGAGTGTAGCAAGCCGCTGAGGCAAGAGATTCGGCCACAGACAGGCAAACGGCTCGTTGAGTTTGACTTGGGCTGGCGTGGAGGGGTTTCCGCTGTACTCTAACAGTTTTAGACGGCCGGTTGAGGGGTCGATTGCGGCGTACATGGGCCACCAGAAGTTGTATCTGCCGATTTGGAGGTGTGGAAGGTTGTTGATGAGCTTGATGGTGTAGGTTGTGGGTTCGGGTAGTCGGTGGAAGGCGTGGAGGAATTCTCTTGCGGCGAAGAGCTTGAGCTCGCCGTAGCTGCTGATGGGCATGTTTGTGGGTGGTGTTGAGGTGTTGTTTGACTAAGTGTTGTTGGGTTTCGGTGTGGATAGATGGATTTTGACAGAGAAGGTCAGCTTGTTTTATACTATTTCTTCGGTTAGGCACTGAAACTCTGACAATAGGCGGGACATGGGTGCGTAAAGACAAGGCACTGAAGAGCGAGACTGAGTTCGAGACTTGTGACTTTTCGAGGTAATGTCTCGTAGTTCAAAAGTGTTTCTCTTAGATAAAGCAGGTTGATCGAGCATGGCCAGTTCAGCAGACTGAGACGGCGTGAAACTGATTCATTGGAACTAAGTTGATGTCTATCACTGCTCCCGACCTCCACGTGGATGTATATTCTTCCCAGATCTGGATTAATGCTATATACATTTTGCTATGATGCGTCGTCCCTTTGAAGTGTTGAACCGCCGGGAAATATGCGGGGAGTTGAACGTTCCAATATTTCGACGGTGAGTTGGCGTTTATCCGACACATGTGCTGACTGGTGTAATTATTCGTATGGCTAGTCATTGTGGGCTCCTTTTGGTAATACGAGTACGTGTTGCTGTCTTTGGCGGATCGGAATGTCTGTTAACATAAACTCTGTCCTCGGTATCATATCCATCGATAGCGGTTAAGTATTCAAGCCTCACAAAACAAAGCAACCCAAGACCAAAGACGGTCTCCACGGATTAGATGACAAATGAAGCAAAATCTTTTTGAGACTATTTGTGTGATTTGTAGTCTACGGTGACATGCGCCATGGGTAATCGTCATGTTCACGTGTTCATGTGTACTTGCTTATTGAGCAAACCAATGTTCTGTAGTTTCCGTTTCCAACCACAGGAAAATTCATCCAAGGATGATTCAGCACCCTTGCAACCGATCACCAGTCACCATACTCCTGCTCGTCCGTCGCAACACGAACAACATCCCTCAGCTTCTCATACTTTTGCTTCCAGGTTGCGACCTCGTTTCGAGACTCCTTGAGGGCAGTCTCGAGAGACTCGGACTGCGCAAAGATATCCGTCAGCTTCAGGCGCAAGCCATCGTCTTTTGTCCCCAAATCACTCACCTTCCTGAGGAGATCTTGTATCTCTTGCGTCTCGTTCTGACCACCGGACTTGTAGCTGGTCCTGAAGGCTTCGAAGTCTGCATTTAGACGTTCGATGCGGTCTTGCAACTGTGACGTATAAGCAAGGGTAGATCCAGCAAAGTTTCTCCTTGTAGACTCACCACATCGACTTGACGATTCTCTGAAGTTAAGTTAGCTTTTGATTCTGATATCTTTAGTCGGAGAGATTACCAAGCTTGTCAATGTCTGCCTCCTCGATCACAATCGTGCCCTCAGGCTCCTTGATTCCTAGCATGGCCTTCTTCGCATTCACGCCCTTCACGACATCTGCGCAAGCTTTCTCCAGAAGCGACAGGACATCTTCGTTGCTGCAACACCAATACCTATCTTTTTCGAACACTTGGAGGTCTCCAGGAAAGCCGTTTGCTATGAAACAGTATCGAAGGAAGACGCTCATCCTGAGGAAACGTTCTCCATAATGCTCATCATCTGTGTCGGTGGCCATCCGAATCCAGGAAAATGGCTCATGGAAGCGGATACTCGTGTAGATTCTACTGGAAAAATACGCGCCATCCCGTGAAGATGAGAAGTGGAGCTCGCCCCTGAGTAAAGTCGCGTAAACGGACGTGTAGTTCTCGTTCACCAGATTAAGATGCGCTCCGGGAGCTTCGCCGACTAGTAGAGAACATCTCGACGGATCATCCGCTCGAGCATGGCACTCGTAGATGCTCGCCGGAGGCAGCTTCGCGAAGTACTCGGGGAAGTGTTCTTCGGCATAAGTCTTGAGCTCGTCGTAGGTAGTGGCCGCCATCGTGAAGCGCGGGGTACTAGTCGAGGGTGTGCTTGGGTGATGAGCAGGTCGTCGCATGAGTGAGAGGGCAAAGGAAGAAAAGGCAAGACAATTTATAAAGAAAGGACGGCCTTCACGCTGTGACCGTTGTCGCTTATCGGAATAACCAAGGGCCGGTTGATTGCTCACTTTCACTCTCACATTCACTACGGGAGTCCATCTGGTTTTTGACATGTTCGATCTGCTCGCACACAGATGTTTTCTAGGATACAGAATCTAGCGGATATCCTGACCATAAGCTTGAGCCAAATCTGCTTTAACTACCCAAGAGGTCATGGGCATCGTATGGTCATGATATCTATCCTACACGCATATCCCCCCACCAAGCTCATCGACCAGAACCTCCCGTCAGAACTGCCTTCCAAGCGCTTCCTCCATCATCTTCCTCAGTCCTTCGTACTTGTCCTTCCAGGTTGTTGCCTCTTCTTGTGCAATCTTCACCTCTTCGCGTGTACTCTTTGTCTCCTCCTGCGCACTCTTTGCCATAGCCTCAGACTCAGTAAGCTTGTTGACTCCCAACTGAACCTCAAGCTCAGAAACAGCTAGTCTACCCTCTAGATCCTGCACTTGGTGTTGAAGTTGCTCTTTCTCGTCTTCGTGGACTTCCTTGATTGCAGACATCTGGGAGGTGAGTCCGGCCCGGAACTCTGTATATGCCTGGTCCAAGTGCTGGAGTTGGTCCTTGTAGGGCGATGCCTGGAGTCCGTCGTCCTCGTCGGAGTTTGCCGCATCGGTGCCTGGGGTATTGGCCGTGTTGCCGGAATCTTCTACCAAGGGTCAGTTATCTGGAGGTTCAGCTATATCAACTGATACTTACCATCGATCGCGCCACCGTCGTTCATCGTCACATCCAGAGTCTCGCTGATCATGGCGCCGGAAGGTGCAGCCTTCCTGGCCAAGCCCCATGCGATATCTCGGCAAGCGCCTGGAAAGTCGGCTTTGAAGGTCTCAAGCTCAACTTCCAGAGCGTTCCTTCGTCCTCTCGCTAGGAAGAGATAACGAACGAGTGCCTCAAACCTTCCCAGGGTATCTTTGCTATATGCCATGGTGATCCAACAGTATGGCTCATGGAATGTGACGTTGTCATCCTTAATAATTGTACCGAAGCCGAGAGACTGGTGCAATCCATGGTCGGCTGGGCGCAGATGAACACGATCAGGGCTGATCCAGGCGTAGATGGCAATGTCACTGTCGACAATGTTGCCCACGACGAGAGACGGAGAATGTACGTTCCTACGAAGTCCTGGCCCGTGAGTGTAAGTATCAACAAGTTCAAGGCCCCTGTAGTTGTCCAGTTTCGCAAAATCGTCCGCAAACTCCGATTTTGCCCACCGATTGATTGAAATGAGGTCACTCATGGTGAGCGCGAGACGGGGTTGATGAATGTGTAAGCGATCGAACAAGTGACGCGGTGGAGAGGTATAAGTAGTAGTGGGGTAGAAGACGACGACAAAGTAAAAGGTGCAACAGGTGAGCGTAATCCAGCTTGGCAAACACTTTCACTTTTACTTTCACTTCGCCGCCTTTCCCAATCTAGAGATACGATGAGCTCAGAATGAGAATGAAACAAATCATCATACAACTTGGGTTCGAACATTGGACACTGGACAGAGTGGTTGCGTTCTCCAGACACTTCAGTTCGTTTGCTCCAATTTGTTACCTTCGCCAGGAGGCTTCTTCGCAACCCCAAAATTATTGTCGTCGTCCTCATACGTCTTGGTCTTCGCCCTAGAAGATTCGACCTCCCTTTCCCATTTTCTCTCATCAATCGGGACCTGCTTCTCGTCTACATATTCCCAAATCCCCCAATGACTCCTCCTCAACGTCGTGACCTCAACAATAAATTTCGCCTCGTGCACTTCTGACATTTACCCTTCACCAGCAGTTCTTGAATGCTGAATCACAGCTGTTTTCGGGGTCCCCCCTTCTTTCTCACATAGTATGCAGTGAGTGAGTGGGTGGATGCATGTGTAGTCCAACCCTATTCCCCGTTTCCAAAGTCCCGTAGCGCGAAAATGAAAGCGTATAAAAGGTGAGGTGGGAAGTGAGTGGGTATCCCATGATCCGCTGCGAGGTGACCTGGAAGCACGGGCCAAGATTTAAGTCAATTAAATTACGTTGTTGTGTCGGCATATCGGCGTTAAGCCCTGCCTCACGAACTTCAAATTCGAGATTTGTAACTAAAACACCGACTCACCGATGCTGAGTCTTGTTCTAATTAGTCCACAGTCGGTCCGTGCTCCAGGTCACCTCGCAGCGGATCATGGGATATGCATCTCTACAAAACTGTAGAGATGGAACGCGAGAAGACATGCAGGCGGACGTGCAAGCAGACGATTCTACCAAAGTGGAAGGTGGAAAGAGCGGATTCAGTTTGAAATAGGGACGAGAACAAGATTAAGGATAAAATGTACATAGAAGCTGCGGCTTTCCAGATCATCAGCCCAGCGATGCCGCCACGTTTAGTTAAAGTTGAAACGACAATCTCAATCTCACAATCACCAACGCACAAAAGTCCATGCTGAGAATTCCTCAAGGTATTATTCGTAGTGCAGAAACATCTACAGTCATTCCCGTATCATTCCATTCCATTCCATTCCATTTCCCATCCGGGCCCACGTCCCATCATCTCAATCCCGACCATCAATCGCATCCGAAGGAGTAGAAAGAAACGCCCCATGAGACTGAACAAACCCCCCCTCCCAGACAAGGCTCAAGTATAAACCTTCCCCCCTACCTGGAAAAACGTCAAGTGCCCCCGGGAAAAAAGCCGGAGGTGGGGAAAGACGAGAGAAAGAGAAGAAGAAAAAAAGAATGGGAGTACACTGCCTCCCGGTAACGTTCGACCATGTTCCCCACCAAATCGTTGTGGTTACAAAAGGTCAGAAATATGTTTGTTGGTAGAAAAGAAGAAGAAAGACATGCTGACATGCCCGCAATATAAGTGATACCCAGCCCCGTGTGCACTCCAAAAAATTCCCATGAGCGATTGCATATGTAGAACAAGTGACATGATGAGCACAGCCAAGAGAGGTTCCTCAGGTTCCTCAGGATCCCTCGGAGTGACAATGTGACGATGCGCATAAACGCCCTCTATTCGATAAGCGAATACTCTACGCCGGCAGATTCGACAATGAAGTTCAGGTGATGACTGGATTCGCTGACGCAATTGATAGTGCTTCACTACTTAGTTCACAGAAGCAGGTGCAGCTAAAAGCCTAGCCCAGGTCTTCTGTTGCTGCGGCTGCGACGGCGGCGGCGCAGGACGATTGTTCGTCGACCATGTGTTCGCTGCAGGGGCACGAGGCGAGCTCTTGGAACTGACTCCTTGGGGCTGCTGAGACTGCTGAGACGGTTTGCGGGAGCGGTCTTTGGAGCCATTGGTAGGCAAACCATTCGGAGCGCTGGTGCGCTGGGGCTTGTGCTGTACATTACTCCTCGGACCACCACGGTACTTCTTGAACATCTGCTTGGTGACAGGTTCGCGCGTAGTGGAGAGGTGGATGGTTACTTCAACCTTGGGGGTGCCTTTTTCCGTGTCGAAAGCCTCGAGCCTGCGAGTCGTGAACGGGTTCTCCCACCTCTTGTAGAGAAAGCGCGAATCGTCCTTGTCTTTAGGAGCGCTAACGGCAGCTTTGTTGGCTGCAAGGTGAGGGACCTTCGACAGCTTCACAGTGGGCAGTGAGCCAAACTCGCGATCTTCAAACAGCGCTTCAGTGCCGTTGCGCGTGATGACCTCTTTGCTACGAGAATCTACGTTGCGTCTGGGAGGAGCGTTGGGCAAGGAGACGGTCGCCGCAGACCCGACATTGCCTCGAACGTCTAATGTAGCTTTGGACAGAGCAGCCACGGCGAGTGAGTTTGGCTTTGAGGAAACGACCGATGGTGTTGCAACAGCTGGCCTTGCAGCAGGGACTGGCACAGGCGCTGAACCTGGCTTATGGAGGAGTTGATTAAACCTAGCCTGCCATTCCGGGTTCATGGCAAGGGGTCGAGAGCCTATTCCAGGCTGGCCACGAGGCGGCATGCTCACTGGAGCTTCGGCAGGCGCAGCATGCTCTATGACTGGCGGTGGCAGTCGCACTCGAGGCGATGGCTTGGGTAGTCTGACAAGCGGATGATGCGTATCTCCGCTAAATGCTGGGTGACTCTCGGTCTCAGGAGGAGGTGGAGGCGAATTGATCTTGTTCGATGCAGTCGTCGCTGTATGCGAGGCCGTTTCAATTGGGCGAGGGAAAAATCGCGAGAAACGAGAGCCAGAGGCCTGTTGGAGCGGAGTCGCTTGGCCCAGAGCCTGTTGTGGCGAAGGTACTTCATGGGCTGGCTTGTTGACTTCATCTCTCGGCTTGAGCTCGACTACTGCAGGCGGGCCGGACTTGGTAGCGGCTTCGAACAGAGCCGCCTTGCCTCCTACTTTGTCATGCAATGTTGTCTCAGCCTTGCCTTTCTGGTCTTTGTAGGTCTCGCGAATCTCAGGTCGGAACGTCTCCCCACCCAGGCGGTCGAAATCCTGTCGTGCCTTGTGAACCATGATTGCGTCATCGTTGCGAATGTGCGTAAGGAAGTCACCCCAGCCTTTGGTGGCGGCTGCTGCTGCTGGAGGTGGAGCGATGGGACCAGGTTTCGGTGGCGCAACAGCTTGCACTGGCAGCGGTGCTGATTGAGGATACATTGGCTTTGCTGCAAATGTTTGGTTCGTGGGTGCCAAGGCCGATGGGTGAGCCACTGTGCTCAAACCGATAGGAGCGGTTGGTGCAGATGAAGGTTGCGCAGGAAGCTGCGGTTGAGCACCAGTGCGAGGTTGACCTTGACTGAACGGAGAGTTGAACGTTCCGTTTCCAAGGGCGCGCTCCTTCGTCTGCAGCGGGCCCCAAACTTGCGATGTCCAAGGTCGTGGCTGTGGTGCTGTTGCAGGTGTCCAAGCAGCTTGTTGAGCTTGCGTCGCTTTTGGACCCTGAGGAATCGCGCCTTCCAATTGGCGAGGTTGGCTCTGCGCTTGTTCAATCTGCTGCCTAGAAGAATTATCCCGGTCGCGAGTGAAGGTGTCAAACGGTTGTGCAGGAGACTGATTTATCGATGTCGGTCTCGCTTGGACTTCGGCCTGTGCTCTCACCGGTGATAGCACAACAGGTTTCGTCGGCGGCGAGGACTCATTATGGTGGGTCTTCTTTACTGGCTGAGCTTGGTGCACTTTCATCATGCCATACTGGGCGACCTCGCCTTCGACTGTTGGAACCGGCGGCTTTGGCGGGGACTGTACAGGTGCAGGAGCAGCCTTCTCCTTCTGGACGGATTTCTCTGAAGCACGCGAAGGAGACTGCTCTTTGACCTTCGACTTTGGCTCAACGGGAGGTGCTAGAGCAGCGAGTTTCTTTGCGAGACGCTCCTTTCTTTCCGCCTCTGCTTTTTTCTCTGCTTCCTGCTCTTGCTGTTTCTTGGCACGAGCACGCTCCCGTTTCTCAGCCATCAGTCGCTTTTGTACTTCTACGGGGTCTTCCACTGGAGCTGGAGCACTCGGCGTGGGTACGTCTTGTACAACGGGCGAGACAACTGCGGGGTAAGGCGAAGCTGGATGCGCTTTTGCAACATTGGGAGACACTGCCTGCGACGGCGGCTGTTGAGGTGCTAATGAGCCTGTAGCGTCTCCTTCAATGATCGATTGTGATGGTCGTCGCTCAACAGGCGTTGAACCATTGGGAAGATCAAAGCTACGTCTGTCGATAGACATTCGTCGACCATTTCCACCGCTGACATTTGAAGAATTCCTCCTCCTGCCCCACGTCGGCGCATCTGCACTAGCCCTAGAAGTCTGGAACGCTGACGATGGCTCCGCTGGACCGTCTTGAGAGGGCCTCTGCAAGACCGATGGCTGCTGTCGGAAGTTGGCGTCACGCGTGGAGGTTCGTCGCATCTCATGAACCGGCTCGTAGCGGCCATTGTGTGAGTTGAACAGTTCTCGATTACTACGGTCATCGCGTCTAGAGAAGTCGTCGGGGGCTATCTCCTTTGCAGGCGGCGGGGGCATATGGTCGTAGCCACGAGAGTCTTGTTGCGAGAACCGTTGCTGGGAAGGCTGCTGTTGCGGGGCGTTTATCTGGATAGGGGAGACTTTCTCGACAGGAGGCAGTGTTGCCCATGGGGACTTCTTCTCTGAAGCGGATGGTTTCGCTACCAGGGAAGGCTTCTCTGGCTGGCCTTTCAAGACAAGGCTCGTCTTCCCTGTTGGTGGCTGCGTATGCGCTCCAGGCTTGAGAATCGTCTTGGTTCCGCCAGTGACGCTTGGTTTGGGGGTGTTCGTAGCTGTAGTGGGCGCATCATTGGGGGCCTCTACTGGCACTTCAGCCCTGACTACGGGCGTCTGCTTCGGCTCTTCAGGCGGTGGAGGTTGGACTTCTGGCACTGCAACAGAAGATTTCGTGCCGTCCATCCATTGCACAGTGTCCGGCGCCCAATCATCCTCGTCATCATCGATATCAGCCCATTTCGCCTCCTTCCCGCCTTCGTCTGCCTGTAAGCGTGTTGCCAGGTGGATTCCATATTGCTGTTTCAGTTCTTCGTCGGTAAATTGCTTGGGTGGAGGCGGCGGTACGGGCTGGTTCTTGTTCCAGACTTTGCTCGCATCGGGACCAGAACCTGCGCCGTTCATCTTCCCCAGGGCTCGAGGAGCATTGGCACTGCCTGACTTGGCTACGAGTCGGGGTCGCGCGGTTGGTACAAGCAGAGCGCTCGCCTGAACGGCTGGGGCGGCCTTGTCGCCCAGTCGCGCAACAGGCGTAGACACGGCTGACTTTGCCAAAAAGGTTTTTGTCACGTTGACCGATTTGAAGGTGGATGGCTTCTTGGCCAAGCTTGCGCGTACATGGCCTGCAGCCTCTTTTGACGGGTCCACGCTGCCTGGCCGGCTAATGTCTGTGTCTGAACCGCCGCTCACATCTCCAGGGGCCTGTTGCGACTCGGCTCCCGAGTGCTCGCCCGAGTCGCCATTCAGGTGCGCGTCTTTCGTCTCTGGTTGTGCTGCATCTGAGAGCGTGCGCTCATCAGAAGTCTGCTACTATCAGTATAGGAGCGGTGTTCCTCTCCCAGCATTACTTACCGTTGCTGCACTTGCTTGGTCCTTTTCTGATCCGCGTGCGTCATCGGCCAGGGCATCAGCAGCGCTTGCTACGCTGGTCGATAGTGAAGAAGTAGTCGTCGTGTTGGGGCCCGAGGGCGGCTCGCCATTGGCGGCGGAGGAGCTGGTAGTTGACGCAGTGTCGTCGGTGGGCGCGGCATGTCCCACCGACTGTGCTTCCTTTACCACATCGTTGGTAACCTGCTCTGCCATAACAGTTTCCGGAACTGTCGTGGCCAAAGATTCCCTGTCAGACTCGTGCTCTGAACCGAATGCAGACGTCGGGGAGGTGGGCGACGACAGGTGCGAGTCGCCGCCTGCTGGGCGCACATGCACCATGCGTGCAGCGCGAGGAGCGAGAAAAGCGGAAATGTATTCACCTAGTCTCAGACTCTACAGGTCGCCACAAGAAAGAGTTGGCGCTTCCGCAGAAGGTGATGTGTGTCTTGGGGCTGATGCGGCGAGTGCGGAGGTGTCGGCTGTGATGTGGTGTTGTCGCTCGAGCTGGAGGGAGTCGCGGCAAACGTGGCCGGTCGCGTTGGGTGCACCGAACGGCTTGGAGCTTCGTCCGGGAGGGCGGTCGAGGAAAGGGGGGCCCTGGAGGTTTGGGCGTGTCGTGGGGGTGATGAGCGTGTGAGGAGTTGTGTACAGCGAGTCAAATGCAGTGAGGCGCATGTCTTGGCGCGCCCTCCTTTGTAGAGCCCTGCACGTCACACGAGGATGCACAGCTGACGTTGCGCGAGTGAGGCCAGTGAACATCCTCGCCGGCGCAGGGAAAGTGAGTGGACCGCATCCTGCGCCCAGGGTAGACGCTGGTGCATTCTTTGCACGCGACTCCTCCGTCCACAGAGCGGACCATCAACATCCAGGAATGAGCAACGGTGTTTCACGCCATGGAAAACAAAAAACTTCCAACTTCCACAAATAATGAATGTGCTCACTCCTTCTTCGTGTGAAATAGAGTCAAGTTATTTCCAAAGGCTGTGTTGAACGTGTTGGTCGTGTTGCTATGTTGACTGTGCAAATGATGGACGGGCACATGACAGACAAATACTGGACGCATACTAAACAGAGGCAGACTGCACTGGCTAGATCTTGGATTGATCAACTACATCTATATTTACACGTCCAGTCACTCCACCTCGATCATCTCTAGGCGTGGACGTTGTTCTTGTGGTGGCCTAGAAGCTGTGAGTCACTTCACGTTACCCAACACAGAAATTACTCACGCAGATGGAAGTAGTAGTTCTGGGCGTAGCCAAACGCAATCAGGAAGCCGAACACGTGGAGGAGAGCTGTGGGTTCCGGTTAGCGAATCTGCATGGAATCTCGTTGGTGTTGTGGTGGAGTAGAACAGGACTGGTGTAGTGGAATAGGGCTGGTGGAGTAGAATATGGCTGATGGGAGCACATCGACACTCCACAGGGACACACGTACGCCTGCCTGATGCGTTCTTGCCGAAGTGCTTCTTCTGGTAACGTCCGATGAGGCCCTTGCCCTCGGGCTCGGGAGCGGCGCCACGAGGCAGCTTCTCGTAGAAGTTCACGACCTTGTGCATGCGGACGGCATTGGGAGACGAGCCGATAGCCTTCACTGGGTGTTAGCGAGTGTTCCGGGTCCATGTTGGGTGCCAAGTCTCCGCTTCCGGCCGTGTATTGCGAATGTCGAGGTGATTTGCGGTCTAACGCAGAGCGGGCGTATGCGATCTGGGGCCTGTCGAAGCCGTGGGCGGGGGCACTGGAGGAGCTCTTACACTGGGAGACGCAATCTACAGGGCCATGTCAGTACTCAGCAGCCCGCGGCCGGGCATGGAGAAGGCGCACCTTGGGGGGGATGAGGGTCGAGAGAGCGCGCTTTTGGATGAAGCTCATCTTGGCGGCTGTCGCTGAATTAGCATCAATTGCACGCTCCGGCGGGCAGCGGCTCGATCCGGGCGACGCACCTGGGCTGGCAAGATGATGGGGTGGAGTCGAGGGTCGTGAAGGCGGTGCAGTGGGTGAGGGAGAAAGCTGCGAGTTCTGCCGACGTTCCTCGCCAAGGACTGCGGCAGCTCAACCACCATCGACATCACCAGCACCGCTGCCCCTCTGACGACAAGACGCCCGCCATGTCTGCCATCCCCAGGTCAATCGGTGCCAGATTCGCCCCCGCCCTGCGGCCCTCTGCCACGAGGGCCCTCGCCCCGACATGCCGCGCATACTCGACCAGCGAGTCCGAACCACACCAGCACAAGACGAGCCCCGACGATGCGCCCGCCGTCAAGCTCAACCACGACTCGGTCCAGATACGGGAAGAGAGCGCGTCCGAGGGCACGAGGCACAAGCCCGACTATAATGTTGCCGTCGACTACAGGACCTCGTGCGTCACCCTGCAGTGCAGTGCCAAGACGTGTAGCTAACACCCTGCAAGCAACTTCTCGCCAATTCCCAAGCGTGTCATGGACGGAAGTGAGCCTGGCGAGAGCGTCGCCGCTGCTGTGCTCTCGGGTGCCCCAGTCGACCTCCAGGCGCGTACTGTCCGGTACTTTCCCTCTCTATGTCTATCCACACCACCGCCGTTCTAACCACTGTACCAGCATCTACCGCCCCGCAAAGACAGCCACTCAATCTGGTGACTGGAACGCCTCGCACTGGTTGATGGACTGGGACGTGCTCCCCAAGGGCCACCGCTGGGAGAACCCCCTCATGGGCTGGGCCTCGTCGGCCGACTTCATGAACGGCCAACGTATCCAGTTCAAGACCAAGCAGGACGCCGTCAACTTCGCCAACAAGCAGGGCTACGAGTACTTTGTCCAGGAGCCAAACGAGCGCAAGTTTGTCCCCAAGGCATATGCTAACCTTTTCACTTACAAGCCGGGCAAGCTCAAGGTCATTCCCACCAAATAAAGAGTTGGACTTGATTGTGATCGCGTCACGTGTATATATTTCTTCAATTGTTTCTTCTCATCTGTCTCCTCTTCTGTCTGCTCGTGCAATTGTCGTGATCCTGTGATTCTGGCACGTTGGTGGGGCTGCTCCTGCCCCAAACGTTGATGGACAAGCAGTGAATGTTTATAGGGAAATTGCGCGCCTTCCTTTCCTGTCCGGACTCACTTTCACCACCCACTTGTAAACAAAAAGTTCCTTTCGTCTGTTCTGCTCTCCCCACAACCACCATACCACGTACGCTTCCTGCCCTGCGATTCCCAGTGTTGTACGAAGGTTTTGACGCCGCCGCACCGCGCGCCGCACCGCCACGCTCCATTGCACGCGTCCTTTTACACATCCCAGGCCACACCAACGACTTCGTCAACATGGGCCGTGGAGGCTACGACATGACCGACGCCAACAGCATGCGCTCTTCCGCAGCCATGCACGCCCTCAAAGAGGCAGATGAGCGACGCGCTGCAGAGTTGGTATGACACTGAACACCTTCACTGCGTGACATGACCTAACAAGAAACAGCGCAAGGCCAACGCGGAGAGAGAAGCAGAAGAGGAGGCGAAGCTCATCCGGACCAAGAAGAGTAGAGGTATAATGGTAAGTCGTAATTCGTATTCATCAATGAGTGTGGGTATCATCTAACACATCTATGTACAGGCTGCTAAGCGGGAGGAGAAAGAACTGGCTGCGGAGGAGAAGAAGAAGAAGAAGAAGAAGTAGGACCCTCCGGAACGGACGTGTTCGACTCGGTTTCCCAAGCAGAACAGGACCGGACGGGATGGGATAACTCTTGCTTCCACGCGGTCCTTAGCCATGTTGCCCCTCTGCTGAATCATGAAGGACAAGAAAAAGAAGTGAACGCTATCAGGTCATTACGAGGACAAACACATCCTCTTTTTTTCTCTACTGCACCAAGCTCAATGTCCTCTCCCACCTGCTCAACCTTTTTCCCGCCTTGGTCTTGGTCGCCGCTTGGATAGCGAGCTGTGTGTTCTTGATGAACTTCGAGGCCATCTTCTCGTTGCCCACACTGTTGGGGTGCAGCCCATCCTCGGTGTCAGTAGCAGCATTGTACCCATCGAAGTTGTCGACAAAATACACTGGGCTAATCGCTGTGCTCTTCGTCGGCGCATAAGCAGCAACCTTGATAGCCAAGCCCTTGACGCGGTCTGCAGTCTCCTGCGTCCATCGCGCGGGGTCGAGTGGTGTCAGGCTGGAAAAGACAATCTGCATCTTGGGGTTCTTTGCGCGTATCTGGTCAAGCATAACGTCGTAGGCGCCGAGGATTTCCGTGTCGGTCTTCTTGCCGATGATGATGTCGTTGTGGCCCATGAAGAAGACAACAACATCGGGAGGGTTCTGGTTCAGCCAGCCAGTCACGTTGCCGTTCTTGGCGTAGTCGGTGACGAGCGACCCGGGGTGGCCTTCGTGGTCTTGGTCGTCCCCTACGATGCCTGTGCAGGTTGTTGAGCGCTGGCTACCGACAAAGTCAAAGTTCGTGACGCCGTTGTTGCGCAGCTTGGCTTGGAGGTTGGCACGCCAGCAGCGCTAGGGTGGGTTAGTAAAGGTCTTGGTGAAGAGGAGGCACGACATGACTTACTGTGACGATGGAGGCGCCCAATGGCATGACCTTGATTGTGGCGAGGGCCATGGCCTGGCTGGCGAGGGAGAGGAGCCCGAAGGCGGCGAGAGCATTGATCTTGACCATTGTGGAAACTGGTCAACTGGATCTGAGTGGATCAATTGGAGGTACTGAGGTCGAGTTGAGTAGCTGATATCGAGGTGGAGGTCGAAGTTGCAGTCGACGGCTTCAGGTTATATAAGGAGCAAGTGCCGGTACGTAGTGAATCTATCCCGGGAAAGCGTGATAGATCGATAACGATAGCGTCAAGGTGAAGGTAGGTGGGGTAGGCAGGTCGCAGTTATACGAAGATAGTGTGTACCGATTCCAAGATGGATATAGTATTCCACGCGACGAAACCAGAACGCTTGAGGATATAGAGATGTAGTTGAAACAGCTTTCTTTGTGAGTACCATTCTCAGCTAAGGACGCACCCGACCTTATGTAGCATTTCTGAATCCTCCATCCCCCTCCCCTCCCTCCATTCCACATAGCTAACACGCCCAAAAAAGATACCCCCCAGTAGTCCACGTCCAAGTTGCGCCCAAAGCTCACCGCACCGTCCCTAGACCCAGCACTAAAACGCCTCGTCAAGGCTTACTGTGGTGCGCGCAGCAGCAGTGCGACGGGCAACCGGAGTGGCCACTACAGCTCAAAGCGCAGCCAAAGGGCTGGCTGATGGCGGCCCTAAGGGACGCCTAGTCACGAGACCACCCCACCCTTCCTACCCTCGATGCGTATCGGGCCCCTGCCCGCGGGTGTCCTAGGGCGCATTTTCGATAAATAGTTCAAGGCTGAGATGCATGTGTTGGTGTGCGCCTAGGGCGTGCCATAGAAGCCGTTTTTTTACTGGGGGAACGTGAGGGTGAGAGCACTTTGACAGCACGACGCAAGGCGCTGTGTTCGGCTGGCTGAGGGTGCTATTTTAGAAGAACACGCACGACACGTAGATGACGAGGGTGTTGTGTGCGACGTGATGCGCTGTGGTCTACTTTACTGTTGCCAGCTGAGTTTACGTTGAGAGAGGGTCAGTGGTGCGCTGCGATGCGATGCGATGCTAGGATGAGATGCATGCATGCTAACAGTGAGACCGTCATTGGCCATCCGTATAGCTAGCACCACGTGCATGGAGGGATGTAGCTTCTATGGTTCCCGCCGAGTTGGGAAGGCACGCACTCCTCGGTTCTGTCACTCTCATGCAGGGCAATGCGGAGAAGCATTGTCGAGTACTTTTTTTCCTTCTTTCGCTGCGTAGAGTTCCGGTTCCAGACTTTTGCTCCGCGCTTTTTGCTGGTATCGTGACGCTTTTTACCACCTGGTTTGCCGGCCTGCATGTTGTCGCAATGCGGCAAGTGAGGATGGGGATTGCTCAACGCGATTGCCGGTTGCAGCGTCGCGCCGCGGCACCTGTGATCGCCGTGCCTATTTCGCTGCTGCACATCATCAGTTGGTTGGTGTTGAGGTGCACTTCATCGGTGATGTCGATAGGATCGCGACGGAGATCTGCGCAAACCAACGTCAATGTTTCCCACGCATCACGGTCTTTCATGCAACCAACTCTAGTCTGCACCTGGAGCCCAACACTGCTTGCCTCTACGGGTCCAGGGTATACAGTCTTGCCTCGGACAAAGCTTCTATCGATTTATCCAACTACTGTAGCTGGAGCATAATCGATTAGCGGAGAAGCTCATATCGGCGAATCCAGTACAATGATTATGCTCAGCCAGCGCCCACATACTCCGCATGCATCTACCATAGTCCTCACATCTACAGCCTCAGCTGACCTGGACATGTACAAGCCCTCACTTGGCAATCCCACCAATAGATGCCGTGATGGTCCAGAATCGCACAGCCAAACCAAGACCCTCGATGCTGTGCTGCCCAGCACCTTAGCCAGCCGCCAGTAGGTAATCTACTTCCACCTCGCTTGGCCTCACCACTAGCTTCCGGGCGATCGTGCGGGTTCCATTGCTCGACCGCATCGCCCATCCATCCGAGTGTCTTCCCTTGATCGCCGTACCCGTCATAGAGGTAGAGTTAAACATGACACAAGCCGTACCGTACCATTGATGAATGTCCCGGTCTGTCGACGTCAGAGCTCAAACAATGGCTGATCATGAGCGTTGTTACCGGGAGATCTCTTCGTATTGCTATCTCACGGACGGGCAAGTTATGTCCTAAAGCCTCGGACCGGGTATTGCCTTATCAGAGCGTGTCGGCGTATCGGCGTTTCGTCTGGTGTTGTTGTTAAAGGTGTGCTATTGCTAGTCTATTGGCTAAACCTTCAGGGCATGACTTGCCCGTCCATACGACACCTACCTCGTATTCTATATGCTATAGATTTCCCTATTCGTATCGAGTTTGGAAATAGAACTAACCTTATGCTTATTATGACTTGGCCGCCTTGTCCCTGCACATAATAATACTCCGACCAGGGTTCGCAGAATATGATGTGACAACATCACGTCAGCGCTGAAATGCATCCACATCCATAATTAGGTAGGCAGACTTTTACGAGACAGAAAAGTTTGAAGTTTGGTAGCCCAATTGCTGTCAGCTGTCACTTCCCACTTCGTTCCACAGACGTTAGACGAAGCTTTCGTGGCGAGACAAAGAATGCAGGTGCATGACGCAGGTACAACCGATCAAATGTACATACACTTGGCGAGGCTTTGCGAACTTCCTGTCGTTACGAAGTGGCAGAGTAGAACATTGTTGCTTGTCTGACGCATGATGACGCCAAGTCAGAGGGGATTGAACAGCATGTATGAACTCTCATAGCTATATAGTAGTCCTAGCCGGATAGATTGATTCACCTCCTCTCAGTAGTTCAGTTTTGATGTCGGCATGCTACATCACCATACATGACCCCATAAGCACGCGTGAGAACATAACGACAAGTCCACCCATTAAAACTGCAGATACGCGAAATAAACTCTTCGTAGATATCTTCGTCGACGGTGCAACCATGCTTGTGCGTTTCGAATGTGGAGGATGTTTTCCATGGATACAAAAGTGCGAGCGAAGATCAGCAATCGAAATTCAAGGTTTGCGTCCCAACTATTTTGGGAATATGTGTGGATGTAGCTGGCTGTTGTTGGTTGTCCTGTTACCGTTAGTAACCATGCTGGGACTCGGTACTTGATCCTACATCTTGAATTGAGATGGTGGCAGCGATCATCATTTCGCAGTCTGAGACCGCCAAAGTGATGGCTCAAAGTTGTGGTGGAGTAAATATGTCCTTCTTTTGCTTTTACTGAGCAGATGTAGAGACCGAAGAAAACACTCCCACAACAGAATCAATGTCGGTGGTTGTGCTTGAGGACATCCCTATAACGGAATCGTAATCGTTCGCCTGGTCTTGGTCTTGATGGTGTGTAGAGACTTGAGGCAGTTGCTCACTCAATCTGTGTTCATGCAGAGATTCCAATGTAAGCTTGCTTTTGATGGTGTGATGTATCTCATCGTGGGCCCCATCGCTGCCACCAAGGCCGTATGTCGGAGTTCGTGGCGGATCATCATACAAGGCGTAGTTAGCCACGGCGATCTGATGAGAAGCATGTTTGTTCTCGCTTGACTGCCGATGTTGCGAAGCTGGTATGATAGAAATACCCTGAAGAGGATCGGGAGTTGGGTCATGGCCAGGATTTGAAAGTAGGTTCTCCTTATCGTCATGATCAAACCTCAGGGGCGAAGAGGCGTTCGCTTCCCGTTCCAGTTGGTCTTCCAGGCGCTCTGTAAATATATCGAAAGGCTGGCTCGGAAGAACAAGATGAGAGTTCCGGTCATGCGGGAAGTAACGGTGGCCCGGTGATCGTTTCCAGACATCCAACCCCTCCATACGACGAATCCCATACGGCGGAGGAGTAGCGACCAATGACGGCGAGGAAGAGGTCTTGAGTAGCGAGTCTGTATGCGCAGTCAGTATCTCACATCTTCGTATGCATATAACCTAAGCGATAAGGCAAAAGAACGATGACAACGACATCATGCTAGACAACCAATGAATACGATACAATCTGCACTTTGGCACTTTAGACGAAGGTGACGAAGGCGGTGTTACGACAGTGTCTAAGGCCTCCCTGTCACGAATGTCCACTCACCTACTCTGCTCCCAGCGCTCACGTCTGCACTACCCCCTGCTTGGTACTCGATCTCAGTCTGATACAAGGGCTCCATCCAGGTCGACGTGGGACTATCAGAGCCACCGGAGCCATGCTTCCTTCGTTTGCTGGCTACCTTCTCAGTCGTACCGCTCTCATCACTCGATATTTCCAGGTCCCTATCCTGGGGGTGAACTTTTATGCTGTACGAGAAATTACGATTGGAGACCTTGCGCGAAGAACGTCGAGTTGCCTGGAGAGATCCAACTTCAGCCCTGGTGCGTTTCTTGCCCTTCCTGGCTGGTGCGGGTCTCCCTTCACCCTCACTCTCACTATCGGGAGCGTTCTCTACGTCAGTGTCAGTACACTCAGGATAGGAGATGCTTGATTCATTTGAGGAGGCTTCATCTTCCCCGTGCATAGAGCGACGCTTAGCTGCTTGCGATGGTCGCAGGCTATCGTCCATTGGGTGATACCTCTGATCATAACTGAGCTTACTTTGCGTTGCTTTGCGAGTTCGAAGGTTATGGGATGCTCTCTGGGTAGAAGGTGTTGGCAGTCTATCTCCAGGCAGCGGTTGGTCTTCTTCGTCGGACGAAGAGGGAATGATGTTCCGCGGGTCGACACCGGTGAGAAGGGTAACAGCGCTGTCGCCACGCTTTTTGGTAAATGGAGCTGTACGCTGTAGATGTCAGCCATGCTGGCTTCCCAAAAAGAGATACCGAACCCACTGGGCTGGTCTCCTTGCTGTTCAGTAGCTCAAGGCTGGACATAGTGTGAATTGATTCCTCCATCTGCAACCTCTCTGATGGTTCAACCCAGGCGTCCTCAAAGTTGTCGTGGGTGGGTCCCTAATCATGTCAGATCAGACGTCATTGCGAGCGAACCGATTGAACAAACGTACAATATCTTCCTCTTCAGTCGGTAGCAGACCGACGTCGTTCATGACTGTGAAGCTTGTAGATGTTTCACTTCACTTGACAATCGTAACCAGGAGTGGAGAATGCTATAGCAATGCGATGTGGTGCGATGCGGCGTGGCGAAGGTGACGCAGGATGTGAAAGCTCAAGGTGGGGAGCAAGCGCACCTGAGAATGATAGGATGTAATCGTTGTTCACAAAAAATTGAGAAGATATCAAGACGCGTTTGTGGAAGGCGCGCGCCATCACATGATTGGCATTCGCGTGGCATCGTGAGTGTGGGGAAGGAACGGCCGACACAAAAAAGAAAGGCAGCCCGGCCTGATAGAAATTGCACTTTGGATTGTACTTGCAGCACTTGCAACAAATACATCCTGGTGCAACTGATGAAAAAGATGACATCTGTGGCAGGCGAAATTAATCATGAGGAAAGCAAGGAGCGCAATGTACTTGCAAAAAGGTGCGTTGTAACGTCCGAGATGTAGAAAATTGACCATATGCAAGCAACTACAGTTATAATGCGCATGAATATTCCTCCGAAACAAAAGAAATATGGTATCAAGATCCTTTCCTTTCCTTGCCAGACCCCCAATAAACTCGACTCAAGCCTACCACACGCTATGCATCCTGTTATGCATGCATATTCCAAACCATGGATGTTGAAAAACGCCAGATGACCAATACCAAAATGAAAGTCGCTTAAACGCAAATAAACATCAAATACACAGAGGAAAGAAACAATCAAGTACGACCGGTAAGGCGGGACGTCAACCTGACAGGCGGCATGACAAAGTCCGTCTCTTCGTCTGATTCGTCGTCGCCGACTTCAATGTGCAGTATTTTGGTTGTAGTGGGTGCTATCTCAGTAGACATGGGTAGGAGTACACCGTGTGGCTGTGGCGCCAACTCGGGTGTTGGTCTCGCCATGCGTTCAAAACGTTTGTTGTACGAAGGTTGTTCCATCGACGAGACCGATGTGTCGGACGTGTCCTGTGCTGGCGATTCTGGTATATCTTGCGATTTTTTGGCGTTACATTTTGTGACCTCAGTTTTTGCCGTTTCCAGTAACTCTTCGAAGTGTTTGCGAACGCCATCTAGTTCTTTCCTACAATCGCCTTCCCGCAGTGTCAGATGTGCTGATTTCTCACACAAACTCTGTGCTTGCTCCAATGTCTTGTCTACGGTTTCGAATAGCGCGGCGGGCGTATTCGAATTACCACCGACTCCACGTCCATTACCACTCCTTGCCGCGGCTCGCATGCGCATGGCAGTTATACGTGGACGGTAGTTGGCCTTTGACATAAAAACTTCGTCGTCGTCATCGTCGTCGTCATCGTCTTCATCCTCGCTCGAACCAACAACTGCAGCCAACTCGCTCATCTTAGCTTGCATCTTGGCTTTCCGGAGCATGTTTCGACCCGTCCCTATTGCTCGCACAAGAAGCTCGAATGATTTCTGTATATCCCCATCGTATGTGATAACAACCATTGTCCTCGGGCGATATTTTGACGGACCGGATGCGCGATCCGATATGACTGAGGTCGATTTTCGTTTGCGATTCGCCAGAGGAGTTGCTAGTGGCTCATTTGGTGGCGTAGCTTCCTCCACAACGGCATCCAGATTGCCCGCCCTTATCAATTCCACAGAGCTTGTATCGCGCTCTGCAAATGGTGACCGAGACACAACCACATTGATATTTTCATTCTGCATAGCCGTGACCTTCTCTTGTATCACAGTAACATCCTGTAGCCATTGCGGTATACCATCTTGTAGGAACGCAAACGATTTCTCGACATCTGACATGATGGGGAGGCGGGCCGTTGGAAGTGGTGGGGTAGATTGAAATTGTCGGTGTAGATACGGAGGAGAAGAGTCGGCCAGCGAGCAAACTTGAATGACAACAACGTTCGTAGGGGATGTGAGGATTTGGAAAGAAACGGAGCATGCGGAGTGGTTTGTGCGGTCACCTTAAGCACCGTAAGGGAATCAAGCCGGCTGACAGGGCAGGGGGTTGCGTCAGATGTGACTCGCGATCAACAGGCCCGCAGTTCTCCGGAGGAAGACATGTGTTGGTAACTCACACGAATCGACGGTGAGTTGCATTGCAGGAAACGGGAGGGGAGCAGGTGCAAGGAATACATATTGAGATACCGAGAGGACGGGCGTGGCGGGCATTTCCGTGCCTCCTTGGCACTGGGGATCACTGGCCTCATCCCTGGAAGACTATTGAATGAAATGTCTCATTCTCCGCCGTTGCACGAAGACGTTGCGTGGGTTAGTGTTATACATCGCACGTGGCAAGCAGTACAAGATTGAACGCCGCGACAGAGATTTGTACCCACAGACATCTCAAACACCACAACATCAACGACGAACGCGAAGGGACCAAGCTCACTCTTGAGGTCGGCGACCATAAGCAACTAAAATAAACGCGGAGAACCCGAAAGTGGACGTCCACTGGATTGACACGGAGCAGTGGACGCATCGACGATAGGCACGGATAGAGACGCGGGAGAGCGATGCGCGGCTACCGCCCAATCAACTCAACGCCTCCGCTTTCTCGCCCGTTCTCACTGCAGCAAGCCACAGCCAGTGAGGCGTGGTTACTCCGCGGTAACCATGCCTGGACATGCTGTTGAGCTCGCGTTGCTCATACATTGCGGTGTGAAAATACCACAACTCCGGGCCTGTGTTCAAAATCACATCACAACAACAACCTAGGATCACTATTGTCTCTGGGGTATGACAGCCAAGTAACACTCGCGAATCCTGCCAGACTAGGAAGGCGCACCTGACAAGATCAACTACGGTAGGTATACACAAATTAACAAATCTGCAACCCTCAAGTTGTGGCAGTCGTTCACTCGTCTGCGTTTTGCAAACTGCTTGTAATTGCGTCAGCGAGGCGTTGGTGGCATCCAGGGATTGTGCATAGAAACATCGGCAACACCGGGCGAGCTCTGGAGTCAAAAGTCTTACCACTATCACGAGACAACGAGCTGCAAGCCAGTCAACAGCGGGATACGCCCATCAAGTACTGCGCACACATACGGGCGAGTGTCTACAACCGACCGAGTATGTGATCCGACGAGATCTATCACAGTTGGGCTCGCCGATTCCTCAAAGCGGCAGGAAGAGCAAGCTTATCCCCGTACACTTCGACTGCAAACACGTTTTATTGACTAGGATCGTCTTATATAGCCTACACTTGCCTTCCACATCCAAACGGTGTTGCTGACTACGTGTTTAATAATCGCTCAGGTCGACGAGAATGCACACAATTGAGCAGGGGTCGAAACAGGACTCAAAAACGAGTCCGAGTTGCCGCTGAGCCACAGCTTGGGAACTATGTGTCGGAGCACTGCTTATGCGCAAGTTTGACGTTGTGCATGCATCATGTTGCGACAGCGGGTTGCACGACATGCTCGTTTTGGGAGCGGTTTTCGTACCCTTACAAGGGCGTGAAAACTAGTAAGAGAATTGATGGAGAAATATTAATTGAACGCGCATAATTGGTGCAGCGTCGATAGGGATACAGTTGTACATAGTATGTTTGGTGACTATGGCCAGAGTTCTTCCGTCTTCCAGCCTGCATCCGACTTTTGGTCAAAGGTGTACCTGTACCTCCGTCCCTTCTCAGGGTCACTTAGATCTGTCTGCTCTACAGAATCCGGAACGATGACAACAAGACGGAAGTTCTTGCGTGCAACAGAATCGTGCAAGTCATCCGCTTTGCTACCGAGCTTGAGGTTTTTGTCGTCATAAGACTCGGCCGTGGGTTTACCAGGAGGCGGGTTCTTGAAGGAGCCTAGAAACATTAGACAAAACCATATGTGTAGCAATATCAGAATGAACATGCCTTTGATACCAGGCGACTGATTCCCAAAGAAACCTGTGAGCTCCTTGTTCCAGCTCCAGTTCTCCTTTTGCTCCTCACTAAGCACCCTCATCCTCTTCCCCACCTCACTCTTGACTGTCCTCACACCACTACTCTCCTCATCTCCCTCGATGTCCTCAGCAATGACAAACGCCCTTCCCTTAACCCGCCACTGTGTCCCACTGTCCTCTGCCCACCATACAGCTTCCACAGGACCTCCACCCCCGCTACCCTGAACCTGGTCTTTACTTTCCGCATGTCCCGCACTTGTCGCAAAGATCTGCCCCACTTTCTCCATGCGCACGTCCGTAGTAAATGTCGGGCAGTCGCTCTCGTACACCTTGGCGTTCCGCTCCGCATCGTTGTGCTTGTTCTCGGGGAGCTCTGCCCAGAAACCGCGGAAGATGCAGAAGCGGACGCGTGGGACGTAAGGAGTGGGAGCGCCTGAGGGAGCGGAGTCGAGTGTGCCTAGGACAAATTCGGGAGACTTCATCTTAGAGATGTGCTCGTTGAAGAGCTTCTTCCATGGTGCTGGCGGCAGACTAGCCGCTGTGGGTGCGGTGGACGACATGGTGCGTAGGAGACGCGTGAGGCGATGAGAAACTGATCTTGAAGCTATGATTGCTGTTTGTGAGGGCTTTGGAGGTAAGCAAAAATATTAGTGAGGGGTTGAAGACGAAGCTTTGGACTTCGATGCTGTCATGTAGATGACGACATTGACTCCAGAGCTGCGCGATCGGGCGGGACAATGAAATCAACCATTTCGCGTCTCGATAATTAACTATTCCTTTGTGAGGTGTAGTGTTCCTTGCGAAATAGCGCGCGAGGTGTGTACTATACTCAAAGCTGTCGAACAGTGGTGTTTGCCGTTCACGACCAGCCCTCCTGGAGTCATCTTGGCACACCATAGATCGACCCACCAGACTTCTCCTCTCAAGTCAACATTCTCTGCAGAAAATCTACATCACAAATTTACACATCACAAAACTATCCCCGCCATATCTTGTTCCACAAACCTACTCCAACAACCAGGCCAGCAGCCCCAACCCTGCACATAGCATCCACAACTATGCCACCGTGAGGAACACAACATGCACGGGGATGCCAAAACGGTCATATAAGTCAAGATCTGTGTGGAATCTCGTGTGAAACCTTGTTGGCTGGGATTGTACGATAGGGTAGTACGACTCAGTCACCTGAACGATGTCGCTTGGGCTTGGCGTCGTCTTTGGATTTCATAGTCTGTGGCGGATTGGTGAGAGCAGTTTGCATAGTGGTGTAAGTTCGGGGCATTCTCGATGATAGATATCCTAACTTTCAAAATGCACACTTTCATTGATGCTCAACGACAGCTGACCACCATCATGAGTATCGTCTTGAGTATTGAATTGATGTATGAAGCAAAATATTTTGTAGATTCGAGCTTCATCTCGACAGCCAAACTGAGCATGCGCTCCAGACACGGATGAAAGTTCCAGCCAGGCAAAACCTACGCCTTCTTGAAGAAGCTGGCGATACTGCCTTGGCCCTTCTTGCCAGCGTTCTTTCCCTTCGCTGCGGCTGCTGGCTTAGAGGGTGCAGGTTTGAGCTTCTTGGGTTCCGGTTCATCTTCAGAAAAGGACTCCCACACAGTCTCCTCTTTGGTTACTGCCTGAGTTAGCTTGGACTATTAGTTTTGTGATGATGCGACTCACCAAGATAACCGTCCTCGTCCTTGACCTTCTTCTTCTTTGTTACTCGTCTTCGACCTCGTCTCCTACCACCCTCCACAGTAACTGCAGGTTCAACTTCGGGTTGACTAGGTGTGTCCGCCGCGTCTGTCATTGTTGCCTGTGAGTCCTTCTCGTCCGCCGCTGGCGCGTCCAGCATCTCATCGTCTACGACATGTCAGGATATCATTCCGGATGTGGAAGGGGTTGACATTACCGTCATCCTCCATCATCTTACGCAGCTTTGCCGCACGCTCCTCACGGGCCTTGCGAGCTGCCTCGTTCTTCTCCTCGTCTACTTTGACTTCAGGTTCATCATCGTCCCCTTCGTCTTCAGACATGCCTAGCATAGGTTCTGCTGAAATTAGAAATGGACACAAATATGGAATAACAAGAATGCTTACCATCTTCAACAGGCGCAGGCGTTGACTCCTTGGATTTCGCAGCCTCCTTCGGCTTTGCCTTTGCCTTCGCAAAAGACTTAAAGATATCTCCAGCGGCCGTGTCCTTCTTAGCACCTGATTTTGAATCTGATCTCCTGAGGGTACTGGGCCCAGGCGCTGGCTGCGGCGTTGATCGTCCTGAGGTGTTGTCTCCGGAGACACTCCCTTTACTCGCGGGTGCGGAGGGTTCCTTCTTCTTCGTCTGTGCGACGACGATTGATTTTGCGAGGGGCTTGGCAGCAGGTGTTGCTGCAGTTTTCGGAGCGGGAGCAGCGGCTGGAGGAGCATATTTGACAGTCCTTCGCTGTAAACGAATCAGCCTGAATCTCCAAGCAGAGCCATCCATCATACCTTGACGTGAGGATTGTGTATCGTCCCATATGTCTTCCAGCGCGCGAGAGGATCTTCGTCCAAATATTCCGTAGCTATCTCGTGGTTACATGCTGAAAGTACGTTCAAGTTCTGTCATCTTTAGCGCTCGCCCTCGATTGTGTTCTTTTTCGTCTCCTACCTCAATTGGCCCTGGCTCGAGACTGTAAATGTGAATCGACGTCTCATCTTCGAACTCTGCGCGGGTTTCTGTACCACTGCATTAGCCTGTATATCCTGTAATACTCCAAGGTATGCGTACTCTCGAGTTCCTCTTCGCGAACAAGGAGAATTGTGGTCTTCTTGACAGGCACTTCTTCCTCGGCGTCCTCAGTATCTGACATCGTGCTCATAAACGAGGAGCTTGGCATAGCAGTATCCTCTCCATTGACGCCATTGGTGCTTTTGGTGATATGTCTTGTGCCGGTTATGAGGTAGGTTGCGTGAACGGACTTGGATTTTCTCGCGTTTTGTTTCTGATGGAAGTCAAAGAGCATCCTGATCTCGATTAGCCGATGCCACGACGCGTAAGAGGTATACTTACAACTTGGCGACGTTCACATTGACCTGGAGCGCGCGTGACAGCAGCCTGTACGTGACCTGGAATAGTCAGATACTAGCTTCGAGGAGCCGTGTTTCCATCACTCACTGGCTTGCTCTCCGTGAGCACTCTCGCGGCGAGATAATCCTTATATTCCTCCTCCGACATTGTCGATAGTACGGAACAAGTGACGGGTTGCAGTTAGGTAATGTGGGGATTGTCGTCCTGAGTTGTCTGAAGTGTAACAAATTAGTCGCGAAACTCGAGGAACGCGTCTGACGCGGGGTCACGCGTCGAAATGGCCCTGACTGACTCGCGCAACTAGGTCACTTCTACTCACCACCACTTCGTCACCCACAATTGCCGTCTCGCAATGCTGCAGTATGAGCACCCCCGAAGATGATGACCTCAAGCTGCAGCGAGCGTCTGCTTCGCTGCTCTCGGATTTCGAAAAGCTTCTCCCACGACTCCTTCGAAAACGTAGGAATGAATCGAGCTCTGGCCAGGTTCGCCAGCAGGTGCGGGAGGTTGACATGAACAAGGCTTTCGTCTTGGTGGGTTTCTCAGATATTACGAAAGTGTAGGAGCTAAACATCTCAGATTCAACCTTTCCAAGAAGACCCCCAGCTTCTCGACTCTCATCTTAAGTCTTTCATCCCTCCCTTGGTTTCTGCCTACCTGGAGTCACTCTCAGCAACGTCACAAGAGAAACCCAAAAAGGGCTTTTTACCCTTGTCTCATGCCATATGTCAGATATTGAACCTTCTTTGCAAAGTCAGGGGTGAGAAGGTCATTAAAGGTTTTCTAAACAACGAGCCACGCTATCTTGAACCGATCCTGCAGGAATTCGAGACTGGGAAAAACTTCCAAAGCAGGGATGAAGGAGTTCCTTCACAGTCGATTGTGCCCTGGGTCGAGCGTTATATTCTATTGTTGTGGCTTTCTCATCTCATGTTGGCACCGTTCCCTCTCTCGTCAATGTCCAGACCCCAGTCAACTGAGGATATGTCGACTGCTTTCGAGATAGCATTACCATCTGAAGCTCCCGGTATCACGCTTCGAACCCTAAGTATATGTTTTGAATGCCTCCGGTCTGCATCTAAAGAACGAAGCGCTGCAGCAAATCTTCTCGTCACCCTCTGTGTACGCCCCGATATGCAGAAGCTTGGCCTGCTAGACACACTAGTCAAGTGGTCGATGTCGTTCTTCTCGAGAGTCTCAGAAGATCAAGCAGACATACATGAAAGCCTCGGTGTTCTGTCGTTCCTGTCAAGACTTGTAGCGTCCGCCACCAACGAGGAAATTGGTCCCTTCCTGGCTGCGATTTATCGGTCTTGTCGAAGCGTCCTTGATCAAGAAAGTCTTGCATTTGTCAAATCATCGGCAGTTGCGCGGAAGTTGATTGTCAAAATCTTACGCAACATCGTCATTCACTGCCTTCAGGCTACATCTGCTCCTCTGGGACTTGACCCGACATCGATACTCGAAGAGGTCATTGAATTCTTACTCGAAGCATTGGCTGATGGCGATACTCCAGTTCGGTATGGAGCCAGCAAGGCGCTTAGCATCATTACATTGAAACTGGATTCTGAGTTGGCGGAAGAGGTTGTTGACGCGATCCTTGGCTCATTAAATGAGAATGTTTATTGGCAAGGCTCGAAACGTAACCTCAGCGGCGTGAACCCGCTCCGGTGGCACGGATTGACCCTGACTCTTTCTCACTTACTATATCGGAGGGCGATATCTACTGGCCAATTGCCTGACGCTTTGAATGCGCTATTGCTCTCGCTAGGCTTTGAGCAACGATCACCCACAGGCGGATCCGTGGGAACAAACGTTCGCGATGCAGCTTGCTTTGGTATATGGGCACTGTCTCGACGTTATGCGACAAGCGATCTCCTTGCTGTAGAGACATCGTCAATCCGAGCTTCGGAGCATCGGAAGACCCTGTCTGTACCTCAGGTACTTGCAATTGAATTGGTCATCGTTGCTTGTCTTGATCCGGCTGGGAACATCAGAAGAGGTTCTTCTGCTGCCCTTCAGGAGCTAATCGGCCGCAATCCGAACACTGTCGAAGAAGGTATTCCACTTGTTCAGGTTGTTGATTTCCATGCTGTGGGCCTGCGACAGCGAGCCATGTGTGAGGTTGCGATCAAAGCGGGAAAATTGCAGTCGATGTATTGGGAGGCTCTATCTGAGTCTTTACTGGATTGGAGAGGGACTGGATCCTTAGACTCAGACTCACGTCTTGCCGCAGCAGAAGCAGTTGGCCTGTTGTCAAAAGATCAACCTCCAGAAGTAGTCCGACAGATGTCAGATCAAGTTCGTGGTCTGCTCGGGGCTCTACGGCCCCGAGAGGTTGAAGAGCGTCAAGGCCTTGTTTCAGCGCTCTCAGCTCTGGTGAACACATCGAACATATCAACCAGTCTTGAAGGACAGACAACTTCGAAGGAAACGACCGTATCCAAACGAGGGGTATTCATTCATCTTTGGAAACTCTTGGATAATGAGCTTGGCCTTGAGGAAAAGGCATTCACCTCCCCGGCCCTGCGACCCGAGTTGACTGCATCCTCCGTCTGCAATTTTATCGCAGCTATGGCTGCGATGACTAACATGTTGCCAAAGGATTCATGGCCACAGGAGATTCCGACAGTCGAAATCACACGTCTATTGAATTTATGCCTCGTCCGTCACGAAGAATCGGTGTTGGAGGCTATAATTCCTGCCGCTGCAGCCGTATTACCGCTTCTCGCTGGGATTTCTGGAGGTAATAGAGATGGTTTGGTGTCTACATGGCTATCAAAGCTGGAGAACGAAGCCTCTTATAGCGGACTTCGATGTTCTGGTCATGCTGTTGCGCTTGGAGCAGCATATGGGGTACTAACCGATCGACGAGTGGATGGTCTTCTCAACACAAACGGAACTGCAACAGAACCTCAAATGCGCATTGTGAAAGTACTCACCTTCAGGTGCACTCCAGCGGTTGCCATAGAGGCACGAACAGTAGCATTGCGAGCGTTAGGTATTCTGTTGCGAAGCTGCCGCGAAACCATTTTGCCAACAGACATCAAGGACCAAATTGCCAGCGCGCTACACATCGCCCTAAACGATTACACAATCACCGAGCGAGGCGATGTCGGATCTCTTGTACGTCTAGAAGCTCTTAACACGGTTTCATCAGCCTGGACATCCAACATCTTCAAAGACGAGGATGTCCTGTCCGATCAGCAGATTTACACCGATATTCTCAGACTTTCATTGGAAAAACTAGACAAAGTCCGTGCAAGAGCTGCACAGATCATGGAGAAAGGTTTCCCCAAGCGTTTCGCAAAGGCCAGCAGTACAACAACAGACGATGTTTCCTCGCACGCTTACTTTGCGACTGCTCTCGCGATACTGCAGTCGAGCACCACTCCTGCCATCAAGCAAGCCATATGTCTTGGCTTCGTAAGCTCTGCCGGCATGGGCTCTGAATCCGTTGTGCAAAACTCCCGAGCCGCACTACTCGACCTTGTCGACGCGTTGCCAGATTCCAGTACTTCAGACGCTCAACACTTCACACTGACAGATCTAGCAAACTGTCTATCAGATCTCGTCAAAGGCAATCTCGACAACGACAGGACCGTCATCCCACTACTAGAAGTCATAGCTTTCCTCTTCGACATGCAAATCATGCAGCGTCTCACAACAACTTCTTCCTTCAAGTGCGTATCTATTCTCACAGTATAGTCTTCTGTCATGCAAGCGTACACCTACTAACTCACTTTTTCCCTTTAGTTTCCGTACCCTCCTCTCTCTCACGCAAAAAGCACACTTCAAATCATCGCACATGCAAAAACTCCATCTCGCCCTCGACGTCTACCGCGGCTTGGGGACTATCCCAGCGACGCGTGCGGACACGCTGACTAAAGTGGCTAGTATGCTTCTGCATCCTTTTCCCAAGGTACGTTCACCATTTGTCACACAACGAGGAGCAGTGCTGATGCTGATCATCACAGATCCGTATAACAGCTGCGGAGACACTCTGGATTTTGACGCGGGAAGACGGGCTCAAGAGGCAGGACTGGAGTTTGCCGGGTAAGAGTTTGAAGAGCGCTGTTGAGGGGATCAAGACGAATGTAATGGCGACAGCGACGACAACCACAGGGGTATGACGTTTCCTGCCCTGACCTGGGAAGAATGTATGGTAGCCGTGGATGCGGCGTTTGCGCAAATACATCGCGAATGACTCGAATCAGGGGTGAAGGTTTAGTGCGAGGTTTCTGAAACAATGACAAAGGTCCTACAACCACCATGTTTAGGCTATGTATAGATCCCGACGTACCGAGAGGGGAGCCGGAAGGGTAAACAAGTAGGAGGAATGTGTCAAATGCGACCAAGTCGATGAGAAGCCATTCAGTGCATTATTACTATCTCGTCATCGTACTATACAAAATTCCTCCTGAGGAATCAAATCGTGCTATGTAGAAAAGAAATCGCGTCATGGTATTTTGTGCCCCTTCCCATCCTAACCTCCCAAAACGCCGTCGCTACATGTACAACCCAAGAACGTCCATCTACGGCTCACCCTCCTCCTTCAGCGCAGGCGCTCGCTTAACCGACACAGTGCGTTTCATCGAAGCGAAGCGTCTCAGCGACGGAAACCTCGACAGCGAGCTCGGCATGTCCCACGAGAAGCTCGGCGTCCACTCCCCGTCATGAATGACAATGTCCGGGATGCTCGGCGCAGCTGTATGTCTGCTGAACGCGGATCTTGTAGTGCCACTGAACGTAGATTTCGAGGTAGTACTAAAAGTAGATTTCGTAGGACTGTTGAAAGTAGACTTCGCGGGGCTGGGGAGCTGCTCCCACGGGCCGCCGAGACGCTTGATGACGCGTTCTTGCTCGCTGTCGCGCCAGGTGCGTTTTTGTTGCGGGTCTTTGGACGTCAAGCCAAGGAGCTGCGAGAAGCGGGTTGCGCTTTGGGATGCGATGGAGTGCGTGCTTGATCGCGATGTTGGCGCTGGGGTTAGATAGATGGAATCTGCTTTCTCTATGTCGAAAACAGACTCAGCGACGGACTCGACAATCGAAACTCTTTCTGCGTCTTCAGTGGGTTTGGACGCGGAATTGGGCCGTGAGTCCGTTAATTCGACTGTGTCGTCTTGTTTCGGTAGGGAGTAGGAGCCAGGTCCTTTTGCGCCGTTGGGAACGTGGAAGCGTAGATCGACGCGCAAGATGGCGTAGGAGAGTACTGTTTGAATCTCGACGACAAAGTTGAAGATGTAGAAAGGAGCTTTGGCGAGATAGCTTGGTAGTGGTTGACTTCGCGGAACAGGCGTTTGAAAGGAGCTGCCGCAGCGGTACCAGGCGCCGAAAGAAAGGAAGATAGTGCTGAGGAGCAGCACAATGACTTTAGTGCGAAGACGACCTACACCGAACTGGTCGGGAGGTGAGTATGGGATAAGAAGTGAACTGAGGAGTATCGGGAGAGGTAGAATGGCGATTATAGCAAGGAAAGTTGAGCCGTAGAGTTGAAGTGACCTGTCAGTGGCCTTCGTGGCCAGATCGAGTGTGTAGAAGCTCTGTACAGTGGCTGAAATAACTATGATGATGGTGATGCCAATGAGGGCGCATATTATCCTAAAAGCGATAGCGAAGACGGGATGCCAGCCAATCGATGGATGGAGAGACCTGACGAGCCGCGTTGTGAAAATCAGGTTGATTATAAATAGTATCACCACACCCGCTGCGAGGAATATCTGTGCCGCGATGGCAAGTCGAATGTTCCGAGGGTTCGATACTGATGCAAGTCGAAGAATGGACGTCAAGATTCGTGATATGCAGAAAACTAGTACTATTGTCAGCACATCGTTCTTATGTTCCCATGGCGTTAACGTACTAAATATGAACAGACTGGGCAAGAACTTGTGTCCTCTCGCCCGATTCTTCTGGAAGATCTTCATATGAACAGCCGCGCCAATCAGGAAAAAGATCATTAGAACCACCTGGGCTGGAATATCGACCTTCTTAACCGGAGCACCGCCGAGTGCCCATGTTGTAGGCGGGTATGGAGCTTTGAGATTTGCCTGCTTACTATTAGCCATGTCCAACACATCAAAGATCCATCTACCAAGACCACGACCGGCAGAAAAGGAACAAAGCGCACAACTCACCATAGCAGGCATGCCACCCTGAGACGTCATACTACTAACTGTCCAGCAATCAAGAAGAATCTAAAGTCTTTCCTTCGCCCAACACAATCGATCGAAATAAAGAGCACAACGACAAAAAGATTCCCACAGCACCACGCGACGCGTCCAAAGCCAAACCTATATAATAAACCGAGACCAAAACACGGTTCCCCCCCTTCTCCCCCGGACGACATGGATGTGGCCATACCCGCAGAGCGCCATGTCGATGTTTCTAAGTTTGCATGTTTGACGAGTAGTGTTTGACGTTTTAGCGGGTGGAGTTAAACCTCAGACCTGAGACGCCGAGTGCACGTGTCAGGACAGGAAAAGAAACATCAATCTTGTTTACCAACACGGTGGGAATATCCGGCCAGTGAGGGCTTTGGGGGATGTGAAGTGTTGAGTTATGGCGAGATGGGGGGTTGGGTGGGTGGTGGAGAAGAGTGGAGTGGAGTAGAAGTAGATGGGAGGTGAGGAGCGAGGGTACGTCATTGCGACTTGTCGATGTCGACGGTAACGCATGTTTCTTGATATCTGCCTGGGTACCTGGATGTTAATTACAGTTATAAGAGTCATGGCTGCTGTTTCTATAGTCTAGCAACTACGACGTGGATGCGATGCATGTTGAACAAGCCGATAATCACTCAAGACACCCAAGTGTGACGGTATACCTCGACGGATACATAACACCGAGGACTACAGCACATTCACAAAACAACTCGATCAAAAGCTAGTCTATTTCATTGATGCAGTTAAGGCTAATCGTGCTAACAAGTCCGGCTCCACAGCCATGCGCAAGGGGTATACATGAATGGGGTATACAACTCGCCGACGAAGAGATAGAAACCAGTGATTATCTCTGGAGAGTCGATATAAATACAACCAAAACCAAACGCCGTTCGTTGTGCATTCCATGCAGTAAATTATCCCATAACCTCCCAGTCGTTCATCTGTCCATCCCGAAGCTCCTAGTCGTTGAGATTGACCTCATATGCGTGACGCTCAACAGCGTCGTCGCCGTGAAGACGCACGCGATACAAGCACGTGTGATCAGCGCCCCAGTTTGTTGTGACGCGCACCATGGCCTTAGTGACTGAGACGGAACTCTCAGCGTCGAGATCGAATGTCTGTACGTGGTTGGAGGCGTGAATGTTGTACTTGAAAGTCCCGAGACAGGTCCAGCCTGGCGGGCCATTTTGGCAGGTGTCCCTGCGATGATCGTACTGGTATCGAACTGGTTGCTCAGACTGAATCCAGAGCTCGATGTCGCGGGGAGCGTTGGTGATTTTCCATGCAGGTACCATGCTCATGGGCACATGCTCGATGGTGACTTGCTTGGGGAACATGGAGCGACCAAGGGCGACGGTGAGTTGTGCTTGAGATTTCTCCATAGGGTTGGGCGCAGCGCACCAGCAATCGCCAGGCTCTTCCCACTTCATCAACGCAGCTTTCGGTGGATTGCGTGGTGGAGTGGTGGCCAGATTTCGAGTCCATCTGGACATGAAGCTGGGCTTGTCCACAAATGTGGCGGACGAGGATGTCGGCTCGACATGGGCACCGAGACCGGTTGAGAAGTAGTTGGGGCTCTTGAGATGCAGTTCGTAGTTGGCGATGATGTTGGTGAGAGCGAGAGATTCGAGGCGGATCGAGTCCATCTTAGTCTTCTTCACTTCTGACTGAACCATAGCTGTGACCTGACTCTGAACGGTATTTGCGATCTTTGTATCAACGCGAGCGGATATGTCCTTGTACCCCTGTGCCATCGCGACAGCGAACTCGTCACGAGAGATCATCTCAGGTCTGGTCCTCGTGTCGGAGCTGTCGAAGGCAACGCCGTTAATGTCTTTGACCTTCGCCGAATTTTGCTTAACGAAGTCAATCCAGTCGGGGTTGTCGCCCTGAGATTGTGCTTTGCTGAGTAGTGCGTTCCAGAACTCGTCTGAGATTTCGCGTCGACCATCTCCGTGGCGGCGGACGATGATGTATGGAGGCAGCTCGTCCCTAAGGTCTTGAATGGTCTTGTGCATTTCCTCAACCCGGCTGTCGAAGTTGTCGTTCATGGTTCCGAATCGGTCGTCAAACTCGCCGTAGATCTTCCGCATGCGAGACCACAGTAAATTGTCGTCATTGGTGCCATCGCCATGGATGAATTCGCGAAGGTCCCTCTTCTCCGACTGAACGAGTCTGTAGAACTGCTCCAGTAGATCATCTCCTTTGCTTCGTCCAGTAATGCTGTGCCATGCTTGCGAAAATCGGCCACGAACCGCCTTACCCATACCGGCTTCAGGAGTCGACTGAGAATGATCAGACGAAATCGTGCTGGACAGCACCAACCAGAAGAAGAAAAGCCCGGTGATTGCCCAAAATGCCCGTTGGAGCCATCGCATCCAAGGCAACTCCGACATCCAAGACCAGTCCCACTCGTATCGTCGAGCCTGTATGTCGTCTTGAGGGATTTGCACATCCTCGCGAGGGGCCTGCTCATTCCGCTGAATTCCTCCAAGCCAGTCCTTGACAGCTTGCGGACGGTTGACTTGTGGCAGCGACACCGAGGATCGTTGGTGTAGTTGTGAGTGTGCTGGCGGCGCAGGGTTCGAGATCCGCCCGCGCTCTTCTGCACGCGTACGCTCTTCGGCAAGCATATCGTCGACCGACTTGTTGATCACTTCTCTCTCTGATGCGGTAATTCGTGAAGGGTTAGCACGAGCGGGTCCGAGTCGAGAAGACGTGTTACGAATGGCGGATTGCTCCTGAGTTGTCGTCGCTGTGACCGTACGGCGTGCTGTGCTTTGCTGCCATGAAGCCGATCGAAGCTCAGAAGTGAGGTGGGAATTCAGTTGTCGCTCGACGGTGATGTTGCTGAGCATGCCAGCCTCGTGGTTCGGGCCGAAGGACTTGGAAGTGTTGCCGACGGAAGGGGCAAGGTCCTCGTCACTGGAAGGAGCATCATCACTCTCCAGAAAAGACATGCCTGGTGTCGCCCTTAGAGGAACACTTGGAGCAGGCGATGGTGAAGGCGGGGCGCGGTTTCCATTGAGAGTGCCCCTGAAACGAGGCTCGTAAGCAAGCTCATCTCTGTCATCCTCCTCTTCCTCCTCTTCATCTTCTTCCTCCTCATCCTCATCATCATCACGGCGGACAGCGTCACCTCGTTGATTCTGGAAAGCCTGCGCAAAACCGGTTGCAGAGACGGAGAGCTCTTCAGCGACACCGACACGTCCGCTGGCTCCATACGCGTTGGATACGCGGGCCTTGACCTTAGTGAGAGGGCCTGTTTGACGTTGTCGGGTACCTCCAGACGTCATGGTGGTCATGACAGATTGCGATGCGACAGACCCTGCTCTCGAGCCGATACGAGTCGAGCGGCGAGGCGTTGGCGCGCCCGTTCCGCCAATTTGCGACATGGCGAACAGGTGGTGAACAACAGGTACAAATATGTGTGTTGAGATTTGGCGAATTGTAGCGAAATGATACAGTAAAACTTTGTAAAGTGTGAGAATCGTTCAAAAGTCCGGAAGGCGTTCAAAGAATATATAGAGAAAAGAGATGTGATGCGCCAGAGAATTACTACAAGTTGTGCCAACAATAGCAACAAAATAGACTTCAAGGATTCGTTCGGACAACAATAGGGATGGAATAAGAACGAAAAGTGGGTCGCAGCTATACAATAAGAGAAAAAAAGATCTGAAGATGGTGAAGGTGAAGGACAGCAAGGCTGGGAAGGCGGGTGCAGACGCGATGCTTCACCGAAAGAAAAAAGACCGGGATTTATGAATGTTCGCAGACTTACAGTTTTACCTAAATCCAGCCCTCGCACTCCAGACTTCGTTACTGCGGTGTCGCGCTTCAAACTGTGCCTTGTTGCTCTTTAATATTATTGATGTTGTCGAACACGTGGTTGACTGATGACCTTCACGCGTCGGAGATGGCCCAGTGTACTCTGCTACCGAGCGCTTATTGGAATCTTTTGACGCGTGTAGTAGCTGGAGATGCAGGCCGCGATCATCTTCCCGGGATTGGGCGGGTTGATGATGATGATGGTGATGCTGGTCTTTCTGGTTTGTTTACTTTGCCAGATGAAGTTCGCGTGCGCGATCTCTTTGTCCTGTTTTTAGCGCGCTCAGGCCGTAGCGTGGTTGCCCTGACAGGTCAAAGCAGTGCAGTGCTGCAAACGTGGACGACTTGCAGCAGCAGAGGAAATTGTTCGAGTACAAAGGCCGTCTGGCAGTCAAGTGAAGTGAGAATTAGATTGACGTGTCTGAGCTGTCAGAACATGGATCATGCATAAGCTGGCCCATCTTGGGTAAGCTTTGCCGAGCCCTATCTCATCCCGAGACTCTTTTCGCCTGTACCTGCGTCACCGAGAAGTTCATCGCCGCGCAAAGATGCAGTGTTCCGAGTGCACATATGCAAAGGCTCGGGTGTGGTTCGGTGGTACTGCTACATATACAAGCCATACCCATGCATGGCTCCTGGGCGTCCTCGCTTGGACGGGAGGTTGGAGCCATTCCAAGGCGCATCAGATGGGTAGGATACAGCGCATTTTGGCTTCGATTCGAGTCGAGGCTCGAGATTTCTAATGTCTGGGTGGCGACATGTCTTCCAAATGGTGGTCCGACTGTGTCAGGAGTACCAAAATTCGGGTGCATATCCAAACGTGTCTCAAAGTAGTGGGCACTGCGCCAGGTACGAGGTGCCTAAGGATGCATCTAGTGACTAGCCGGAAAGCGTATGCGGTCCGCTACTGTAAGCCGCAGCTGTGGTGCGCCGTCTTCCCAACTTTTTATAGACATCGTTTGCGACAGCTGCAACCTAGTTCCGTGATACATAAAGGCTCCATTCTACCTCTTTCCTGTCCAGCTCCCATACATACCCACCACTCTTCTACAGCTTCAAAATGGTCGTCGGCTCTGTTCTCGTCACTGGGTAAGTCTACCCCTCTACCCCACCATCTCCACCAGTTCCCAAGTAGTGGTGTTGGTAGTGGCAATGGTAGTCTAACTGGTTCACAGTGGCACGGGCTACATTGGCTCCTTTACAGCACTCGCGCTCCTCGAGGCCGACTACAAGGTCGTCATTGTCGACAATCTCTACAACTCCAACCGCGAGGTCCTCAACCGCATCGAGCTCATCTGCGGCAAGCGACCCGACTTTTACGAGGTCGACATCCAAGACGAGGCTGCCCTCGACAAGGTCTTCAAGGAGCACCCAGACATTGACAATGTCATCCACTTCGCCGCCCTCAAGGTACGTCTTCTGTGGATCGCCTCCCACGGGGTAACAGCTAATAGCCTCTCCAGGCCGTCGGCGAGTCTGGCGAGATCCCTCTCACATACTACCGCGTCAACGTCGGGGGCTCCATCTCGCTGCTCTCCGCCATGACCAAGAACTCGGTCACAAACATCGTCTTCTCCTCGTCGGCCACCGTCTACGGCGACGCCACACGCGTGCCCGACATGATCCCCATCCCCGAACACTGCCCCATCGGCCCCACAAACACATACGGTCGCACAAAATCCACCGTCGAGAGCGTCATCACGGACCAGATCGAGGCGCAGCGCAACAAGGCCGCCAAGGAGGGCAAGCCCGAGGAAGGCAAGAAGTGGAACGCCGCGCTGCTGCGCTACTTCAACCCCGCCGGCGCGCACCCCAGCGGCATCATGGGCGAGAACCCGCTCGGCGTGCCCTACAACCTGCTCCCGCTCCTCGCACAAGTCGCCATCGGCAAGCGCGAGAAGCTCCTCGTCTTCGGCGAGGACTACGACTCCAAGGACGGCACCGCTATCCGCGACTACATCCACGTCCTCGACCTCGCCAAGGGCCATCTGCAGGCGCTCAACTACCTGCGCGAGCAGCAGCCTGGTGTCCGCGCGTGGAACCTGGGCACGGGCAAGGGGTCCACGGTGTTTGAAATGATCAAGGCTTTCAGCCACGTCGTTGGGCGCGAGCTACCATACGAGGTCGCGCCTAGGCGACAGGGTGACGTGCTGAACCTCACAGCCCAGGCAAAGCGCGCCGGTGAAGAATTGGGCTTCAAGACTGAGTTTACGCTCGAGGATGCGTGCGCGGATCTGTGGAAGTGGACCGAGAACAACCCAGAGGGGTACGAGCAGCAGCCACCCAAGGCGTTTGTCGAGGCGCTGAAGAAGAAAGCTTGAATGGAGTGACGAAGATGATTAGGTTTACGTATCTCGGGTCAGGCGGTGTATATAACATAAATATCACGAGCATATGTGCGCAAAATGAAAGGTCATGTAAAAGTCATGAAATGTTTGAATATATTTTTTCGCCCTGCTTATGCTGAGGTCTTTGAATTGTCCTTTGAGCACATCATTTTCGAGTGACACTTGCCATACTAGGCATGTGTGTTGCCGATTGCGTAACAAACCTATGTCGCTATGTCTATCGCACAACCGCGTCCTTCAATGTAGTCACACTGCACAACCCCGCCGCTGTCTTGAGCTTCGCAACACCCGTCTTCTTATCCGCACCCTCACCCGCCAGCTGTGGCACAACGCTCACATTGAAGCCAACTTCCAGCGCATCCGTTGTCGTGAACCCCGGCTGGATCATCTCCCAAACTTTCTTCTTGGGGTTCAGCACCGCCTCGGGCTCGCCCTCCCATCCCTCGAAGAACACTCTATCCCCCGCCTTGGAGTCTGCAGGTGGGTTGACCAGCTCGACAGGACCCTTGTGGCTATCCTCGCCCTCAGCGACCTTGGGCGATGCAGCGAGGACCATGGCGCACGACTTGACGCCGCGCATGGTGACGGGCTTGAGATTGCAGACAGCGATGATCTTGCGGTTTTGCATATCTGCCAGCGGGATCAAGCCATTGAGACCCGAGCAGACGGTGCGGACGACCTGGCCTTCGTACTCGGAGGTATTGTCTGTGCCGGGAGCGTCGCCGCAAGCGATTGTGCTGACAAAGAGAGAGTCTGCATTTGGGTGTGTTTCGGCTTTGAGGATGTGGCCGACGCGCAGATCGATGAGGGCGGGGGAGAGGGGCTTCTCGACTGGGGCACTGTGGTTGTGTTAGTAGGTCTTTGTGGTCTGAGGTATGGGAGACGAACGCTTTCTGTGGTTTGGGCTGCTTCTCTTTCTTTTCCTTCTTCTTGGTTGGTGCACCCTCTGGTGGTCCTCCACTTGTGGGCTTTCCAGCCACTGTTGACGCAATTGCATCGCCAGCTGCCTGTGCCTTGTCCTTGACCTTGTCCTTTTTGCTCTTCTTTTCCTCTACGCCCTGGTCTCCGGTCAACGTTGTGGGTGTTGCGCCTGATGTAGCAACAGCATTTGCCGCAGCAGCCTCCTTCTCCTTCTTCTTACGCTCCTTCTCCGCCTTTGCATCTACGGGCTTGATCTTGAAGATGACGTTGTCTAGGTCGATGTTGACCTTGTCGTCCAGTTTCAGGCCGAAGATGGACGAGTTCTGGACGAAGTCGACATGTCGAACAATGTGATGGTGTCCCTGCTCGCCGGTCCTCTCCTCACCACTCCACTTTGAAACTACGGGTGCCAGCTTCTGGTAAATGGCGATGTCGGCGACGGAGGGCTTTGCGCCAAGGATAGTGGTTCGGCTCGAGAGATGTGTGTTCAGCGACGACAGGCGCTCAGCAGACTTGGCAGCATCCTCGGTGGACGAGGCGATGTGGGCAGCAGTGGCGAGCCACTGAGTAAGCTCAGCTTTCTCGGCGTCGGTGTAGGTGATGTCGGGGAAGAGGGACTGCGAGGCTTTGACGCCGTCGGTCTCGGAGGCGGCGTTGTTTGGGGCGTGGGTCTTGAGGTAGGTGACCAGGCTCTCGTCGAGGGGTGAGCTCGCCATGTTGGACAAGAATGTGCGCTGGAAAAAGTTGACGGCGAGAGGTTGTAGCGGGGTAAAGAAGGCGGGCGTCGAGTGGGCTGTTATAGATGCTGTGGTGCGGAATTGGCCTCGAGCTGAGCGTGGAGCTGAGGCGAGCTGAAGAGGACGCAAGCGTGAGGCTGGAGGAAGTTTGGTGCGAAGAGAGGACAGAGCTGAAGGAGCGTGTATATGCATGATAAACACACGTGAGTCAAACCACCAAAATTGAGCGGGCAGTTAGTTCATCGCGGGGCAGAAAGCCACCCCGCACAGGCCATCGCGATTGATCCCCAGACGCGTCAATGCGAGTTGCATCATTCACTTTTGATGTACTGCAAAACTTCCTAACTGTTCGAAGCTCAGTGTTGATACTGACTATGTGAGGGGCTCAAGCTTTAGACAAAATTGCCAGAGGGAATATAGTCCAGTCGTGGATCAAGCCACACGCTTCACACCTTGCACGCGCCAGCCTAGGTAGCATCATGCTGGAGCCTGTGTGGATTGCGGCAAACTCTAGATGACACATCCGTTGTTGTTTGTTGCCTGTCGCATGCCCCGCGTATAAAGCTCCCATGGTCCAATCCTCTTCCCCGCAACGCCACCTACAAACAACATGGCTACTGAACAATCTCCAGATGTCCCGGCTGGGAAGAAGCGGTTCATTCCTCTGGGTATGTCATGCCATTCACGCGTAACCAGACTATCCAAGCTGACATGCGACAGAGAACAACCCAGAGGTCATGTCCACGCTCGTCCACAAGCTTGGTCTCTCTGAGAAGCTCGCATTCCACGATGTCTTCAGCATCGACGAACCAGAGCTGCTTGCCTTTGTCCCCCGCCCTGCACACGCGCTACTCCTTGTCTTTCCCGTAAGCGACACATATGAGAAGTTCCGCGTTCAGGAAGACAAAGACCAGCCAGAATACCAAGGCAACGGCCCGGAGGAAGAGGTAGTCTGGTACAAGCAGACCATTGGCAACGCATGCGGACTGATAGGTCTGCTACACGGTGTCTCGAATGGCGTGGCGCGCGCCAACATCGGTGGGTAGCCAGGTGGACTTGAAAAGACGGCAAGCTAACAAGGCACAGAAACCAACTCGAACCTGGCCAAACTTCTGAACGACGCGATTCCCCTCAAGCCCGTCGACCGCGCCAATCTCCTCTACGAATCTGAAGCGCTCGAGAGCGCTCACCAAGCTGCCGCCAGCGGGGGAGACACTGGTGCTCCTGCTGCCGAAGACAACGTCGACTTGCACTACGTCTGTTTTGTCAAATCGGAGAACAACAACCTCTGGGAACTGGACGGTCGGCGCAAGGGTCCTCTCAACCGCGGGCAGCTGTCTCCAGACGAGGACGTGCTGAGCGACAAGGCCTTGAATCTAGGAGTGCGCAGCTTCCTCAAGCGCGAGACAGAGGCTGGAAAGGGAGACTTGAGGTTCAGCCTGATTGTTCTTGCGGAGTCGCTGGATTAGGCGTCCCAGGTTGAGGAAGTCCATAAAGTCGAGGAAGACGAGGAAGTCGAAACAGATGAGGGAATTGGAATCAACAAACCTACCTTTGAGGGATGGATTGCAGGACTGCTGGCAGCAGTATATGTCGCTCAGATAATGGGAAAGAAGCACGCATGATATCTTCAAGTTTCAGTCTGAGCATTTTATTGCCCACCGGACATCGTGAGTCTTTTAGCGAAAAGGCAAGAGAGGTAAAACTTAAAGAGGAATGATCACCACCATCTCATGTCTTACCTGTATGAAGGGTCATGTTCTCTAGAGAACTCGTTGATGATGAACCCCTCGCCGTCGTTCACATACTTCCCATCATCAACTAGCTTGTTTTCTAGCCCTTTGCGTCTCAGAAGTCATCCACCTTAACGTCTCTTCCTTCTTTCAAAGGCAGATGTATTTTCTCCCAAAGCTCGCTCCTCTCTCCGAGAAAATACGTAAGACTCACGTCCTGCATGCCCGCCTCATCCCCTCCCGCCATAGTCTCGAGCTGCGAGATGATGTTCTCGAGACCGAGGGCTTTTCCGGTTGCTTGTGTGGTGCCAGCCTCCAGCGAGACATGAACGATGTGAATATGGAAGTGGTAGTACGTCGGTTGATCTGTGTTGCAAATCAGCCCACTCCACTCCGCTCCCGACAAGTCATGTCCTGCAAAGACGTACAGTGAACGTAGAGTTTCAGCTGATCCCTCTCAATCTCCGGGTACAACTTGACCGTCGTATCCAGCATTTTCTCTCGCATGTGCTCCACCCAACTCACCATGCCCTTGCGCAAATCCCTCACGCTCCAGATGTCCCTCCGCTCCACAATGCCGAGGAGGTGCAAACTCCCCATCGTCTTACGGTCCCAGTTCAGATCGGGAGCTAGAAGAAACCCCTCGTCGCCCGTCTCTCTATAGATGACGTCTTCTTGCTCCGCCCGCCCCTCGATGATGTTAAACACCCAGTCCAACGCGCCCTTCTCCCGCTGCGCCTTCATATACGGCCGCACATACTTTGCGTAAATCTCCGGCGTCTCCGTGACGATGCGCACGCCCTGGGCTTCGTACTTCTTGATGTGTTTCGGCGTGCAGGGGTAGATGAGGTTGAGTTTGAAGTCTGGCGGTGCATCACCCTCGCGCTCACTGGGGTTCGAGTTTGCGAGAAACCAGGCGTAGATGTCGTTTGCGCCGAGGTTCTTGATGTTGCGGAGCGAGGTGGGGAAGGTGGTCAGGGTGGGTTCGTCGGTTGCGAAGGCGGCGCGTTCGGCGACTAGGAGGGCCGGTTTTGAGTCGATTGTGCCCAGGAGGGATATGCGACGGCCGGCTTGGTCGGTGTTGAGCAGTCGGGTTAGGTGGAATTTGGGGATTAGGGATTCCACGTGAGCGGCTATTTCGGGGGGCGTTGTTGAGGTCATGTTGAAGAGTTGGTGTGGTCTGCACTTTGGATGGTGGTTAGATGATGAGACACTGGGGGAAGAAACTGAGATGACGAAATAGTAGATATGTTCAAAAGAGAAGATTTGAGATATGAAGTAGTGAATTTGTTCTGAAGAGAAAATTTGAGAAGAAAATAAGAATTCTTGCACCACCACGCGACGGGAGAAAGTAGCCAGAGTACCCCACAGTTGGAATTTGGAAAGCATAGAAGCGTAGAGAGGACACGTAAATTCGGGACGACGTGAGAAATAAACTCACCAGGCTAAACCAAAAGACAACTGTGCAGAATACAATCTGATCCTGAGTATAGTGACAATGGAGTTTGTGAATGAGACTCTCACGTGCACAGGTGTCAGCGTGTCACCGCGTATTGCCCAGCCAACCAACCGCAAGCGCCAACCCTGTATTCTGTGAATGAGGTCACACTCTCCAACCTCCAACCACCCCCGTCGCAGCCGCAACAACCTCGAACAATCCAAATTTTATCGCACGCATCGATAGAGCATACATTACAATGCCTCCCAAGCGCCTCGCATCGGGCGCGATCAAGCCGCAGCAGTCCACCCTCGCATTTCACGGGTCGTCGAACAAAGTCACCAAGGCAGGCGCAAAGGCACAGAACGCAAAGAAGAGCCTCCTTTCCGAGCCGGTCATCAAGGATGTCAAGCCCGAAGTCATCGACCTGGACGTTGTCGAAGTGACCAAGCCCACCACCGCTGAGGCAGCCATCATCCAGCAAACAGAAAAGGAAGTCGTAGCGCAACAAGTGGAGAGCACACCGGAGGAAGACCATGCCAGACGCGTATCGGATACAGCGATCAAGAAGTATTGGGCTACCAAGGAGAAGCAGAGGATGGCACCCAGAGTACACCAGCAGGATTTGAGCATACACGGGAAGATATTGCGGGAGTGGGATATGAGTGCACAATTCGGCGTAAGTCTTGTTGTCAATCTTTGAAAGTCCGCGTTGGGCTTCTCTAGAATATACACTAACATGACGCAGCCCTGTACTGGCATCGCTCGTTTGAAGCGCTGGAAACGCGCACAACGACTTGAACTTGATCCGCCGATTGAGGTTCTGGCCGTCTTGCTGAAGGAGCAGGAAGGAAAGGATAAGTTGACGGTCCAAAGATCACATGTGGACGAGCTGCTCAATTCAAAGGCTGAGCTTCTTGATGCCGCTGCCTGAGAAATACAGCGTGCGTTCAACAAGTGATGGGGAATGTTTCACGGTATGGAGTTTATGTATGGGAACTGGCGTACAGGAATGGCATAGTTGTTTTTGCCGATGATGGGATTTTCCTTTTGTCATGGATGATAGGGCAGTAAATGATTGTACGCTACTGGTATTACAAGCACGCGAGCGAGATGCCGACTCGGTTCACTCTTCAAGAGATTCGAATAATGAGTATTCGGTCTTTATTTACTTGATAAACATATAGTAACAAAGGATATAGAGTGTAATCAACAAGAATGCTAATTGGACTGACTATACCAAGTATGTGCATCTAGCTAACCACAAGATCTAGCTCTCATAGCTTCCATCACGTAGGTATTACACAAATTAAGCGAACAATTGCACCCTCGGTTGGTAGAAAATGCGCACAATATCTGCTCAAGAAACTGAACGCAATGTGATATGATGATCGACGCGGCTCCTTCAACGGCCTGAGGCGGGGTTGATCGACAACCTTCCGATGGAGCTCTGGACTCTCGCTTTGAGAATGTGGCAAACACGTCCAGCCAGGTGGAGATGTGGGGTATGGTGTTGAGCATGCAGAAGGCACGCTAGCTACTAGCCTGATTCCACGCTGTCGGCTGCTCGAGTGGACGTGAGCGTTGGTATCTCCGCCGCCAGGATGCTGGGGATGTCTCCCGGACCCACTTTCCATCCTCTTATCGTTGTCGATGACCGCGTACGCTACGCAGCTGCATGAATTGAGTGCTCGTCCTTGCGCGAATATGGCTATTTTTGCAGTCGGTAATTCCGTGTCGTCGGTTTGAGCCAACCGCAAGACTTTGGCTGCGCAAGCGTGCATGAGGCTTGCAGGATTCGAAGCGAGTCGTACTGGGTAGATCGAAAGAGCGCTTTGTCGAAGTGCTGGGGGGGAGAGATACGATAGCGGGGTGATCAACCACTAGAGACGACCATATCATTCCTGCTATATTTTGTGCAACCACCACGCTCGCATCTCGCACCCCCTCCGTCCTCCTTCTTCTCTCCTTCTTCAATCCCGTCAGACACAACTCTTTCTTCACTTCACCTATTTAGTCAAGATGCTTAGCGTGTCAGCCATCACACTTTAAGGCTTGCAGCTTCTGTAAAGGGCTGGGTTCTCGATAGCGCTTTCTTTATCCGATCTTTGTGCTACTGTTCAACACAATAATCGAACCACACTCTCCCATTTCAATCAGGTAGATACGGCCAACACACCATGTCCAGACGTGTATGCTGATCAATTGCTTGTCAGTACCGCAACGTGCGTTGAAACTCCACCTGCCCAGGAACACGCACGCACGCTTCACCCCGCACGTCAACCCCTCCCTCTAATCCTGGATTTGGCCATTGGACCCCGTCTCGACTAGGAAAGGGTGAATTAAACTCATACACCATTTTTCTACTGCTGAGATCCTACCCCTTCCAATTGACGGCTCACCTTCCTCACAAAGCATACCGTCTCACGTTGCGTGCCTTCAACTGCACGTCGACTGTCAATCATCCAACTCGCAAGCATGGCTGCCGCAGTGGCTAGAGCCCCAAATATGCCAAGCCGGTCTTCAACCCCTCCGCCGTACCTGTCGCTAAACATTTCGTCCCGTGGTACTCCTGCTGCCATCCCTAACAAGCACATTCCAATATGTTCGCCAGGTGGTCTCCCCGCAACTCCCCCTGCATCCCCTCCGCGGCACGATAGCCTCATCGAGACGTCGTCTATCACATATCCGCCAGACACGCATTGCACAGAGTACTCAAGCGACCCACCAGTATACACAATCACTGCAGATAAGATGGCCGAAGCTTTGGAGCACATGGCGACTCAGCCCCTCCCGCATCCTGAGCAAGTCTTTCCTTGGCTGCACGGCCTCCATCCAGAGAACCAGATACAACTCGCGTTCTTCACGTCTCGCCGAGCGTCTAGTCGGAAAATACCTAGCTGCCTTCGCAGCATTGCTCTTGTAAAGACAGGTGGGAACCTGTCGTCATCGAAGTTGAAGGCTGCGATCTCGCCAGAGGAATTGCTCAGTCCTTCTTCTGATGACGATTCTCCAGCTTTTATTGAGTGCGATCCCAAGGATGGTTTCTCCGTGCGCAACTTCCAGATACAAACTTGCAAAATGGCCATGGTTTCTGACATCATTATTTATGGTGATCACAAAACCCATCCCAATGATACGATTGCTCTTGCCCAGAAGATCTCGAAGGCTCAGAGGCTACACGAGGCAAAGAACGGGTTTCCTCGTGGTTTGTTCAACACATTCATGCTTTCAGGTGGGTTATAAAAAGAGAGTTACCTCTATCGCTGTGGCATCTTGACTAACAGAAAAACAGATTCTTTCGATTTTGTACAAGAGAAGTTTCCGGATTTGGTTGCCATTGACTCGAGAGGTGGGACGACTGGCAACTCCGTTGACTTCGGTAAGTACTCTGTGCCGCAATCCTATGAGAAGAATCGATTTCTAATCTTATCACAGCCTACTGGGAGCGATATGAGATGTGTGCGATGTCAAAGGCGTCTGAGATTAGCAACAATGTATTCTTAGGACCAACTCCTGATCCAGCTGTTCATCCAGATTCGTTGAATGCGGATGCCTACGACATGCTTATTGAAGCGACAGACCTCGCCCACGTGCCTGAGTCGCGCTCGTTGAGGGCGCTACGCAACGCCTTGGAGAGGACTGGGCGAAAGTCAGCATTACACATGGAGTTCCCCTCCTCAGGAAGCATCTTGCCTCCAACTTGGTCACATGGAGACGTTGATGGCCTGATGGACACTTGCAAGTGGATGTACGAGCTGGCAAACCCGCACGAGGTCAGACGAACCAAGCGAAGGAGGTCAGACGACGATGAAGCGATCGAACTAGATGACGTTCCCGTACCTCGCAAGTTCTTGATTCATTGCACGGACGGTTACACCGAGACGACACTTCTAGCTCTAGCATACTTCATGTACGCCGAGGGGCTTCCTGCGCACGACGCCTGGATACAGATGCATAGGGACAAGGGCCGGAACTTCTTCGCCTATCCCACTGATGTTGCGCTTTTGACAACGATTCAGCCCCGTATCCTCCAAGAATCACCCCGGTTCAAGCAGAGTGTCTACCATCTTTCGGAACCTCGGTGGATGTCCAAGATCGACGGAAGCTTGCCTAGTAGGATCCTTCCATACATGTACCTTGGAAATTTGAACCATGCCAATAACCCTGAGGTTCTTCGTGAGCTCGGAATAACTCGCATCTTAAGCGTCGGGGAAGCGCTCTCTTGGCCCGAAGATGTTAGGAAGAAGCTCAACTGGCCTAGTGAGAACTTCTACATGGTCGATCGGGTCCAGGATAACGGCGTTGATCCTCTCTGGGATGAATTTGAGCGATGCTTGAAGTTTATCGGTACGTTTCCTCTAGCAGTCTGCTGCTTATTCTGGCGCTGACACATGACAGAAGCTGGAAAAGCTGATGGAGGAGCCACTCTTGTCCACTGCCGTGTGGGCGTATCACGCTCTGCCACCATTTGCATCGCGGAAGTGATGAAGGAACTGGGCCTGTCTTTTCATCGCGCCTAGTAAGTTGCAAACCATCTTATTCAATTGTCATATTTGCTAACGTTATACTCAGCTGCTTTGTGCGGGCTCGACGATTGAATGTCATAATACAACCACATCTTCGATTCACATATGAACTACTGAAGTGGGAAGAGTACCAGCGTCAGCGACGCGATGAGCCTCTTCGCCGCGAACTCGAGTGGGCTACTGTAGCGCGTGAGATTGCGCTTATGAATAAGCCCTACTCGAGGTAACCCTTTCACGATTTCCACGACAACCTTTTAATTCTCACGATATGATTAACGACGATACGATTTTTCGGATGTACGACCTTACAAACTGTGACACGACGACTGCTAGTTTATGCGCTACGACATCTGCCACACTACAGGACTATTTCTAGGCGTTGGCGATTTCTTTTTCTGTGATTTAGTTCCACTAGTCTCCTGTTTCCAAATCGTTGGCTCAAATGTCTCCTTCTGTCTTTTCTTTCTACAATTTCGAGTCTTCTTCGTTGCCATCTGTGTTCTTCGTTCTCAAGACGATTCGGCCACACGGCTTGGTTGGCTGGCTGTACTCTGGATGTCCGACGGAACAATGGGATGAATGAAGATCTCCAGGGCCATCTGCTTGGAACGTACATCAATGTCTGTCACGATTGATATGAGCGCAATTGGCGTTGCTGGCCTGCTTCCTCCGGATAGTATGAGGGTTTTGCTTGGGTTGAGTTGTGTACATACTACAGATATTCAAACATACTGTTTTCTTTATCCATTTCTGACGTGCGGACTTCTGATCATGGTTGTCAAACATTCAATCTGTGCTCCTTCCATCCTGCTAGAGCTTAATCTCAGCCTCCCTCCCCGAGAGAACAGGTGCAGCCATCACTTCGTAGCGACTTGTTACTCACCATTTGCAGAAGTACATCATGTTGTTAGACAGACAACCAACCAAGGGAGTTGAGTGACCAGAACGACTTTCCACCGAGCGGGTCATGCGTTACTAAATCTGTACATATTGAGATATACACTTGTCACACGCAATGTAGTGTGACACGTTTTCACGATGTTTACGTGAAGGAGTGATAAAGACCTTCCTATGGTATCTTTGACTCTTTAGTTATGAACTGTGCTATATCTTGGGCTACCAAACATCCACCAACTAAACGCCATACGCCAGGCTCGGGACCTTTAACTCGACCTATTTCTTCTTACCCTGCGCCTCGGTGTCTGTCAGCTCGCGGATGAAGACCTTGATGACGCCGTCGGGCACGTCGTCGACGCCGTCCTCGAACCCTGGGCTGACGCCAATCGCGACGAACTTGCCGTCTGACGAGAAAGCGATCGTCTGCACGCTCGCAGGGAATTTCTGATATTGCCGTATCCTCCTCTTTGCAACTGCGTCCCAGAGTGCTACCACACCGTCGCCGCCTCCGGTTGCGAATGTGCCGTGCACGGGGTGGAAGGCTAGGGCGTTGACGGGGTAGACGACGTCCTGCCCATCGACGTTCTGGCGATGGCATTTGAAGGCGTACTTGCGCGCTTGCGACTCGTCGGAGGGGTCGAACCATTCGACAGCCACGCGTCCCTCGATGCTCGAACTCGAGTATCCTGCGTCGTTGGGCATGCATGCTACTGCGCGTGTCATGTACTTCATGGAGCTTTCTCTTTGTTGCCATGGCTCGACATCTACACTCGCTCCGCCTCCTTGCTTCGCTGCTGCTGCCAGCTTGTCCAGCTCGTAGATGTTGACTACTCGGCTGGCCATTGCGACCACGAGCTTGGTAGGGGATGCGGTGAGCGAGAAGGACTTGGAGGGCAGGCGGACGGAGGTAAAGTCGCCGGGCCGCGAGAGGTCGTGGAGATGTAGTGTCGAGTCCCAGGATGCGGAGATGAGGAGGTTGTGCGGAGCCGAGAAGAGAATGTTGCGGACGCCCTGGGAGTGGGTTGACATGACCGTTTGTTCGCCAGTCTCGAGGTCAATTCTGCATACATTAGCTGCCACTCCTGTGTCTAGTTGTTCATGTTGCGACGCACCTCCGCACTTCCCAGTCCAGGCCACAGCTGAATGCCTCATTGTCGTCGCGTCCAAAACACACGTCCATTACTGGTGCGCGATGCTCAAACTTCTGCAACAGCTTGCCGCCGGGCTCGCCGTGCGTGTCGTACAGGTAAACATGTCGGTCCCAGGATGAGACGAGTAATCGCGTTGGGGTCTTCTCGGCGAACTTGACGGAAGATATGGGCTCTGTAGGGTTTTGCGCAAGCTCGAATTGACCTAGCAATGTCAGTATATTGCCTTAAATTGATCGTGTCGCGCGTTTGAGAAAGCAGCTATTGGGGAAAACGGCAGTTCTTTCTCAGTTTAGGAGCTGCCACATCCAAAGTCTCTGGTCGCGGTCGCGAGAAGAGCAAGAAGAGAACTCACTTGACATTTTGGCGGTAGTCCTGCGAACGATGTCCTGAAAGGTGGAGAGCTCGAGGTGAAGCTCCGCTCGAACTCCGCAACATCCAAACAAATGTATATTGTCTTGGCAGTCCCTCCACAGAAAGCACCCCTCCCTTGCTCATCTCTTCAACACTTACATCACTCGTCACGACGCCAATAATGCCCTTTGCTCAGCTTGTAATCGGGCCGCCGGGCTCGGGAAAGTCGACATACTGCGATGGCATGCAGCAGTTCATGGGCGCAATCGAGCGCAAGTGCTCAGTCGTCAACCTCGACCCTGCCAACGACCACACCTCATATCAACCTGCGGTGGACGTGCGGGATTTGGTGACAATAGACGAGATTATGGAGCAAGAATCTCTGGGTCCAAACGGTGGAGTGCTGTTTGCGCTCGAGGAACTGGAAAACAACTTCGAGTGGTTAGAGGAAGGCTTGAAGGAGCTTGGAGGTCCGCATGCTACTACAGCTACTGAAAGTCTGCGATGCTGATGCGTTTACAGATGACTACGTTCTGTTCGATTGCCCTGGCCAGGTCGAGCTCTTCACGCACCATGGGTCACTGCGAAACATCTTCTTTCGCCTTCAAAAACTTGGGTATCGAGTATTCGCCCTCCATCCATAGCCTGCAACATGAAACTGACTCTCTGAAGCTCGTCGTCGTACACCTGACTGATTCCATCATCGTATCACGACCGTCGTTATACGTTTCCTCCCTCCTACTCGCGCTGCGCAGCATGCTGCAGATGGACCTTCCTCACATCAATGTCCTCACCAAGATCGACAACCTCCGAAACTACCCAAACCTGCCGTTCAACCTCGATTTCTACACAGAAGTACAGGACCTGCAATATCTGCTACCCCACCTGAACCGCGAGCAAACCTCTGGCATTCCAGGCCCAACGCCAACTGGCACAAATGACGATGTGGATATGGACGATGAACCGACGTCGAAATTCTCCGCACTGAATAAAGCGATCGTTGAACTGGTCGAGGACTTCGCGCTAGTGGGCTTCGAAACACTCGCTGTAGAAGATAAAAAGAGCATGATGACATTACTGCGAGCTATAGACCGTGCAGGTGGATATGCCTTCGGTGGATTGGAAGGGGCAAATGAGACTGTGTGGCAGTTGGCAATGCGGCAGGATGCGGTCACTATGGATGCCCGAGATGTGCAGGAGAGGTGGTTGGACAGACGGGATGAGCTTGACGAAGAGGAGGAGAAAGCATGGGAGGAAGAGACCAAGGACATGCGAGATGCGCCGCAAGAACCAGCTCAAGGGCCTCCCAGAGCGAGTGCGTCAAACAATCCAGCAAACGAGGATGAGGATATGAATGAACTGGAGGAGATGAAGCAGTTTATGGAGAAGAAAAAGAAGGAGGAGGATGGGATCAACGTTGTTCGGAAACCAGGAGGTGGCATGTAGTATTCCCCACCAGCCATTTGGATGCTTCGTGAGGTGCATCTCCCAGCTGTTGATCGTCGCAGGCATGGAACAGTTTGGGCGGGCTGATAAGACCAGACAAGGAGCGAGGACATGCAGCAAAACGTGATCGAGCTGCCGGATACAGAGATCATATCCAAGGGAAAGACCAGGCTGGGATTGGAAAGTCAGGAGTCTTCACCCGTTGCATAGAGCCCTTGCGTGTGACCAGAGGCGGGGTATCTCTCTGGAACGCGTCGCGTCTACGCGGTCGGCGCCACATCGCAGGCAGACAACCAACCAACCCTTTTGGATTTATCGTTTTTATTTGCATACCCTTTGTATTCTATAAATTCTGCAAGTGTCACGACCGTTAGATGTTGAAGCGCAAGAATTCCTACAGTGACCTCACCCACACACCTGATTCGTCTGTTTATGGCGATACGCGCATCAAGCGCAACAAGCGTCTCTTCCGTTCCAAAACCCTTAATCGCAAAGAGTCGTGGACTCCCGACACAGAGCGCGCTATGACTGAGTTGTTAGAATTTATCCTGCAGCACGAGGAGGCGTTCAAGAAGTAGGCTAAACCCTTGCACAGGGCGTGAACTGCTGCACGTTGGCAACGTCTCCCTGCACAAGCTAACATGCCTCAGTCAACACCGCCTTTCGTCTCTCTATGCAGACTTCCGCCAACAACATGAGGTGAACCCCGAGGGCTATCAAGCGAATATCGCAGCATGGACGAAGGCCCTCACCGATGCGGCGCGCGCGGGCGTCATACCCACACAGGGCACCACACACGATCTTCTGAACATCCGGACAACAGATGACCTCGCGCGCGCATTACAACATCCTCAATATGGGAAACCAACATGTCTACCTGCAGTGTTCCACGAAGCAACTCAAAAGAAGGAGATGGTACCGTTGAAGGACTTTATGAACTCCAAGGAGAGCATATACAAGACATCGTGGATACCCTCCCCGTGGAAAGCGCTACAATGGGGGCTAAGGCAAGTTGGCGTACTGGGACAGCCCACATCACCAGACAGGCTTGGAGTCGGGAATTTCGTGGTGCTTAAGAATGTCGAGGTCGCTGCGGACGAAACGTTGAAGAAGATGAAGGAGCACACATCGACAGCGGATCGAGTACTCTCAAAAGCGGATTTCCTGAAGCGCTTCGACAAGACTTTGAACCCTGCGGCGCCACTCACGAAAGCCGATATGGAGATTCTTCTCGTCCATCTAGCAAGAGACAAGCAGGCGATCGCATACAACGCGCAGACAATCAAGTTCAAACCTGAGCACGAGGCGGAACCTCTACCCATCACTGAAGAAGACACCGCCATCGCTAACCTGCGCGACACACTGGCGAACATCAACGCGCAAATACCACCGCTGATGGAGAAGGTCGCCGCAGCTGATGCCGCAGCTCGTGAGGCAGTAGCCGCCAAGCAGATGATCCGCGCCAAAGCCGCCCTTCGCTTGAAGAAGCTTGCCGAGACCGCTCTTGCACAACGCTCCGACGTCGCCCTCCAGCTCGAGAGCGTATATGCACAACTCCAGCAAGCAGCTGATCAGGTCGAGATCGTAGAAGCCATGCGCGCCGGCGCTGCAGCACTCAAGGGTCTGAACGAGAAAGTCGGCGGCGCAGAAGGCGTACAAGGTGTTGTTGATGCGGTCAACGAACAGATGGCTACGACAGAGGAGATTTCAAATATCATTAACGAGACTGATCAGTCTCTTGATGAAGGGGAGATTGATGATGAATTCGAGGCCTTGGAGAGGGCGGAGAAGGAGAAGCGCGAAAGGCAAGAGGCGGAGAAGACTGCTGCCCGACTTGCCGAGCTGGAGGAGGCAGAGAAGAAGCGTAGTGAGAAGGAGGCGGAGCGGCAAGCGCAGGAAGAGGAAGACGAGGAGACGGAGAAGGAGATTGAGCAGGCATCTCAGACCCTCAGGCGGATGTCTTTCAGGGAAGAGGATGATGAAGAGTTGGAGGCTGAGGAGGAGAAGCGTGTTCCAATTCCAGCGTGAAGCTGTTTGGGGTCACGGTGTTAATTTCAAGTACATCATTCTAGCATAGCAGCGGCGTTGCGGATTGCTTTTTCTAGAGCCGATATGCAAGCCTTCACCTTCTCATCAAGACATGAAGGACCAAATCACAATTTATTCATTTTCCATTGCCCCACTAGATGCAGAGCAAAGCAGAGCAGAATGACCACTGACGTCTTCCACCCATCCGACGGCGGCGCACACTAGCGCCGCTCTCCGCGCCAAGAACGAACGAACACCTCAACGACGCCCAAACACCACTCCACCATCCCAAACCCGCCCTCACATTCCCTGTCCTCCGCGGACACACACACACACCAAATCACCACCTGCCTGCCTCGCCTCTTACACACATCCCACCCACCTCCCACACTACACCACACAATGCAGTCCCTCCGCGCCGCGACAAGCGCTTCGCGGGCCCTCGCTACCCGCTCCACACCTCTGGGTTTCACCGGCGCCCGCGCCTTTTCACAATCCCGCGCCATGCGCAGCGGCGGCCACGAGTCGCACTACGATCCCCCCAGCGGCTGGCTGTTTGGCGTCAAGCCCGGCGAGAAGTACGAGAAGGAAGGGTGGGAGGGGCTTACGTACTGGGGGCTCTGCGGGACTATGGTTTTGGGGGTTGTGGCGTATGCGTTTAAGCCGGATACTAGGTATGTTTTGTTCTTGGGGGTGGTGTGGTGATGGAGAAGGGGGAGATGGAGGGGGTTAGGGGGAGGAGAGAATGGCGGGAGTTGTGGGACGCGGTTGACCTGCCGATGGAGATTGTTGTGTAGTGTGTACTGTGCATGGACTGACTTCAAGTAGCATTCAGACCTGGGCCCTCGAGGAGGCTCGCCGAAGACTGGAAGCAGAGGGTATCCTGCCCGACCCCGACACGAAGAAGGACTAGACGACAAGTGAGCAGCGCAGCACAGTCAGCTGTAACGGTGGATGGCGCCTGGAGAAGAGAAGCTGGATCGTCGGAACTGTATATATCCCAGCAGCGGCAGGCGGCGAGTTTTCCTATGTGGCAATGGACGAGCTGATAGAGTCATAGAGTTGGCTATATGCGTTTTTGACAACGATTTAGAGATTTTTCCCCATCTTCTCTCGCTTTCAACAGTGGAGTCACTCACTCATATGGTCACCTCTGAGTATTCATCATAATTTGATCTATCAATCTCGTTACGTGGTTACATCGACCTTCCAATTCATTTCTTTCTATCGTTTTGAGTTTAGGCTCAGCTTCTTCTTTTTAACTTTGTTCATGGTGAAACTATGTTCACCTCCCCTTCTCTACTTTGGAAACAATCACCCCCCCTGCTGCAGTCTGTTGAAACATGTATTGCGTTTACCCCTTGGAACTCGCACGCCAAAACTCCGACCATTACCCCTGTAACACAACATGACACAGCACAACATCACATACACATACCCAGCCGGCTGCTCCCTAATAGTACTCTGTATAACGTGGTATGATCAGCATGTAAGATATATTATCTGCGCAAAAATGCTGCTCTTAGCTACGCGGTCGAGCAACTTGGTTAGCACAGTAGGACATGGACAGTAGGACACGGACAGTAGGAGGGAAGGAAAGAGCAACATCAAGCAAGCAAGCAAGTGAAATAACTAGCAATTAGAAAAGAATCATTTGCATTGATCATTTTGGATAAGGGGGTATTCGCTCCCGAAATAACGCCGTACCATACATACCATGCATGCATGTCAATATCTAGAAGAACACCAACCCACACAAACAAAGGGAACCATATACCCCCAAACCCCCAGCCCCCATTACCCATCATAATAGCGCTTCAACTGAACACGCTCAATCAATCAACCAAACAAAAGAGATTTTTTTAAGTTCATAATACTGCTGCCCTCTCATCGCGGAACCATCTTCCCCCTCCTAGGCTCCTCATCCGCGACCCCATTCATGATGGACCCAGAGCTACTCGCCAACATCTTCCGATACGCAGAAGTCTGCGAGAACTGCTCTTCGTAGTGCTCCTTCAGTCTGCGCTGGCGCTTCTCTTTCTTGTGCATCCAGAACATGACGGCGCAGACGGCGAGGAGCGCAGAGCCGAGGATGCCGCCGACGGCGCCGCCGACGATGGCGGTCTGGCGGCGCTCTTTCTTGCACAGGGTTTGGCGGGAGGAGGAGGAGGAGGTTGTTGTGTCGAGGGCGAGCTCGGCGGGGGAGGCGATGGCGAGGGCTGAGGGGGTGGCGGTGGCGGATGGTGATGGTGTGGTGGCTGTTTGTGTGGGCAGCTGGAAGGTGCCGATGTTTTTTGTTGTGATTCGTGGTGCGGTGGCGTTGTTGCAGCAGTTTTTTCGGTCGTTGGAAGCCCGGCAGCAGTAGGTGCCGTAGTCGCACATTTGGACGTTCCATGCTTGGACGGGGGTTAGGCCGTCGAAGGAGGTGGTTGCTGGGGTTGTGTTAGTATGGGTTGTTCTGCTGGTTGTGTTGTGGATGGATGGAGTGAGTGTGGGATATACGTACCATCTGGACACATTTTGGGACATGCTTTGTCGTTCCCCGTGGCGTCTGTACACCCGTTTTGCCATATCGAGCCCATGTATTCGTCTTTTGTCGCCATGCACAATCCAGTATCCAGACATATGTCTGCACCAACTGATCGGTTTGTTGCACAGCAACCACTATGTGTGGTGGAAGATTTACATGGAGCAAATGTGTTGTCGAGTTTCGTACCGTCGAGGCCGTAGCAAGTCTGACTGACTGTCGTCGCAATGAAGGAAGTGAAAAGCGTCAAGAGTGACGCGTGGAGATGCATATTAGAACAAGACAATCGACAATAACTTTCCCAGAAAAAAAAGATAGCAAAAAGGAATGACTTTGAATAAAACACACAGTTGAACTCGACGGACAGATAGTAAGGAAATTGAACTTGTAGACTCTGAAAAGAAACAAAGGGCGATCGAGGCTGGCTATCAAGCTCAGAATGGTCCAAAATTACATTTGCAATGTTATGCGCGGAGAGCCCTTGTGCGACTTGTACTCGGCCGGCGAGCAGCCGCGACAGGGCTCTGCTTGTCGCCAGCTGAAACAATGTCATCAGAGACGGCAGCGTGCAAAGACACATCCCCGTATACACTTCACTGGGGTTACGCAACTAGCATCCATCCAGCACGATGAATCCGTCTCGACTTTGAGCTCTGACACGGCGCGACGCCTTGCTGGCAGAGGACTCTGATGGGGATTGCAGAGTCCGGAGGGGGTTACAGCGCGCTTGTTGGTGCGCTCCGTTGTTTGCGGCGCCGCGCTTACACTGGATGATTCTTTTTGCGGACGCCGATTACACAGGAGAGGTAGGTGGAAACAAAGAGCTGGCAGCAAATGAACATGGTGTACTACGGGGGCCCAGAAGCGTGTTGGTTTGAGGTTTGCGGACGGTAGGGCGTGTAGACGAGATGATTGGCGAGGCCCATGCGAAGATCACTTGTACCTGGATCCGTCTTCGACGACATACCGTCAGTCTCCGATTCGCCGTCTACTTTGGTTTTGTTTCTTGGGAGCAGCTTTGCAGTCCGCATTGGCTCCAACTTCATCGTTGCAACCGACCATGAGGTCCTTGTATTCTCCCAAGGGCCATTGCTCTCTCGCGACCACGTCACGCCTGGAAAAACCTCCGTCTGCCACCAGTCCTGGATGCGTGCCTTTGAGATCTCGAATCTCGGGATGACGCTGAGTACGGGGAGCTTGGTTCCCCCTACGTTCACCCACACTCAGCCTTCTCCCCTTAGCCAAACCTTCACCCTCTCGGCCCGTGTACACATGTCAATCTCCCCGTCGCCCCGTCTCTCCCGCAAGCCTACCTTACTTTGTAGCACTTAGGCTTTCATTGTCTCGCGTACTCGCACCTTCCTATGCAGTTACCCGCCGTGCATGTCTTGTGCAACGCGACACCATCTTACTTTTGCAGCGCTAGGACGGGAGGCCGCTGCAAATGCAAGTAAGTTTCCATATCAAGCTAGAAGCCTCACCTTCTGCAGGCTCGGAGATGAACGACGGCACATCCATCTTCGCCTCGAGCTTAGTTCGCGATCGCGTTCGCCGTTGTCGATTCAACAAACATGTGAGAAGGCGTTAGTTTGCAACTCGCTTCCAACGTCCGCCAGTATGAATGAACAACACCTCGCCAGCAGACCTCCCGCTCCAAAAAGCCAAGAAACTACCTATATTGCTATATTGAACCACACATCGCGTAGGTACTTCCACTCCCCCGGTGCCTGCACGCCATCTACCTCCATGCATCCCAGCGCGTCAAAGCCACCGGCTATATTGCGCGCCCGAAAAAAGCAACCATCACAGCAGCCCAACACAAGACGCCGCATAACCAGGCCCATCCCTCCACCCTGTGCCCCTCACCAACACAACACAACACAACACTCCTCGGTTCACGACCTGGTGTGATGTGCCACCAGCATCCTCTGTGCTCCGTGCCATCTCCCTCCAACCAGAGTTCCCACATATAGATCCGCCCAGATGATCGCCCCCAACACCCTGTCGACAAGGGCAAAAAAACGAATTCTTGACATCCATGACTCCCCGGTCCTCTGCTGATAAATCTTTACTCTACTCTTGACGTCGATGGGTGGACCTGGTAGGGCTTTGAATACTTCTCTGCATCGGGACGACGCCTTGTTATGCACGCCCGACCGCTGTTGGACAAGTGGAGATGACGCGAATCTCGATGCGTGGTACGACGAGACGCTGTGGATGTGGATGTACATGTGGATTTGGGTGGGGGCTGTCGTGACCAAGGCGTGTCGCCGTCGCGTCGCGTCGCGTCGCACGGAGTGGGTAAGGCTAGGGTCGATGGGCTGGGTGCTGCGAGGTCTGGAAGAGGCAGTGACAGGTGTCACACTGGGATCTACGGAGATGTTCGGTAGTTACTAGAAGGGGAAAGTAGGACATGGATGATTCATGATGATGGTATGGTTGTGTTTTGTTGGAGAAACAACACAGATGGTGTTTTGGTGAGTAGTGATCACTTCATAGCAGTAGTAGTAGCTAGTGCAAAATACCCAGAACAACAACAACAACTCATCTATCTACCTACGTTCCAATCTGCCCCATAAGCAGCGCCTCGACACTCTCCCCCTTCTTCAACTGCCCCTGCCCCATCGGCATACACAACAACGCATTTGCCCCCTTGAAACTCCCAATCCGCGAGCTCCTCTGTGCCCCGGTTGAAACAGCATACAACATGCCCTCCCTCGCCACAACAACCGCACGGTGGTACTCCGGCCGCCCCTTATCCATGCCCACATCTGCATCCAAGACGACCTTCACTCTCGGACAGCCCACAGGCGCAACACCAGCCTGTTTGTGCAGCGCAGGTAAGACGAAGAGATGAAAGCACACAACCGCCGACGCAGGATTGCCGGGTAGGGAGAAAATCGCCTTGTCGACGCGGTCTCCCGTGTTAGACTTGAATGGGATCGTGGCAAAGGTCGTGGGCTTGCCGGGCTTCATGTTCACGCGGCCGAAGTGGATTGTGCCGCCGAGGGAGCGCTCGATGGTCGGCTTTAGCAGGTCGAGCTCGCCCATTGATACGCCGCCGGAGGTTATGATCAGGTCGCAGGTGCGGAGGGCGGTGCGGAGAGTTTGTTCGAGGGTACCGGGTCTGGAGCGTGTCAGTGGGGAGATGTCGTGAGGAAGCGGTAGATATACTTGTCTGAAGCGATACCGAGATCGATGACTTCGAAACCGTGGCTTTTGACGGCAGTGATGAGCGTGGGACGGTTGGTGTCTCTGACTTCACCAAGTCGCAAGGAGGCTTCTCTGTCATGGGGGATGATCTCGTCTCCTGTGCTGAGGATGCCGACTACGGGTTTTCTGTAGACGGACACTTCCTTTGATCCTACAGAGGCAAGAAGACCAAACTCCCCGCCTACAACAGAGATGCCTTCGCCTTTCTTCATGATGGTATCGCCTTCTTTGACATCACTGCCTACTTCACGCACATTCTCGCCGGCCTGAACCTCGTCCGTGAGGATCTCCACCTCTTTCTCCTCTTGCCCATCCTCTGTCTGACTCTTTAACGCGGTATCTTCGACCATGACTACAGCGTCGGCGCCAGGAGGAAGCGGTGCACCAGTAGTGATTCTCGCAATCTCTCCCTCCTTTAGCTCCTTTACTTCACCAGGCTGAGCATGCGACACAATCGTAACAGGATATACGCCCTTTTCGAACTTCCCGGATGTTGGAATCTTGACGGCATATCCGTCTACGATGCTCGCTCGGAATGCAGGAACAGATTCAGTGGCTTTGACGTCTTCGGCAAGGACAGATCCTCCAAGCTTCAGATCCACAGGGGCTTTCTCGACGATAGGAGCTGGCGTGTGCTCTGCGATGAGGTTTAGAGCGTCATCGACTGCCAGCATGGGATAGGGCGAGGATCGGTATCTGCGGGTTGGTCCTTCGGATGGGTCGTTTGACTGGGGTCGTTCTTCTGGTTTGGTATGTGCCTTTGGTGCTGCATGGCCGCCATGACCATGAGAATGGCCGTGTCCATGGTGGTGATGTCCACATCCCGAGCCTGCTTTAGTTAGAAATGGTTCGAGAAGAGTTCTTTGCGTTAGTTCATACTAGCTGTAGCGATTCCAGACGAAACACCAGCCTCCTTCTCAAGCTTTTTCACACCTCCCACATGCAATGGTCTTGACTCGGCGCCAGCCGCTTGTTGACATGCATGCGGAAGCAGTTTGAGCACAGCTTCCAAATTCTCTTTTGCGCCCTTTGGAGATCCAGGCAAGGTCAAGATGATGGTCTGTTTGCGAGTACCGGCCACGGGTCTCGCCATCAGAGCAACTGGTAGCTGTTAGTACATGCAATTTCCATCAATGACTATGAAGACCAACATGGCGTAACAGCATATGAAGTCGTGAGCATGCCGTGACTAAACCGAAATCAGCAATTGTTTTTGAAAAGTACACGAGATTATCCTTACACAAGTCCAGGAGCATGTCTGTCGATTAACGGCGTGATTGCCTACCATGCGTTAGTTACAATCCAACCCTCAGGCTGCTTGTGTACGTACTTCTGGGGTAACATCTTTAGTCGCAAAGCCTGTACCTCCACTGGTAACGATCAGATTCACAGGCTCGGCGCCATCTGTCCATCTTCTAATCGTCTTCTGAATTGCAAGAACGCTATCGGGTACAACCTCGGTCTCGCTGACGTCCCATTGGTCATTTCCGAGGGCTTTGAAGGTTTCCTTGAGTATGGGAATGCATTTGTCTGCAGAGGGATCGTTTGAGACTGTCTCGGACACAATCAGAATGACAGCTCTCAGCTTTGGGCTGGCGGTGCTCATCTTGAGTTTCGAGAGTGGAATGACGTTGGGGTGGAGATGTCATCCCGGCATGGTGCTGTTAGAGGCAGAACTCCAGCCCCACCTACGGATTTCGAAGATCTATTTGGACTCTGGACGGAGCAGCATGCAAACGACAAACTTGAATTGTATGCTAGTAAACCAAATCTTTGGTATTTAACGCCAACACCCGCCATGATACATGCATTATACACGCGCCTTCCCTCTGTACATCGTACGGTTTCCACAAAATCCTCAAGACCACCCTACCAAGCTTCATGTGCACATGTCTGATGCGCATCTTCTCTCTTAGGCACCTTTCGAGATTGACCGAGTCTGCTACTATTCTCTAGTACGACCAGATGGACCCAGAACACAGAAGCTGCGTTCATTCAAAATCCTTGGCATTGCTCTGCATGAGCAGTCCAATGATCAAGCCAAAAAGCCCGAGAATGGAGCTAAAGATCTCAATGACGAGGATCTTGACGAACCTGAACGACTGTTAGATAAAGGAGTGGGATGAACTACGCTTTGCGCTTACATCTGCGGGTCTGCAGCATCTGCCAGCGCCGCACTACTTCCGTTGATGCCTACCGAGACACCACAGATCAGGTTGCACATGCCCACGGTCAGACCAGCCCAAAAGAGGGCGTATCCGCTGAAGTAGTTGTTTCCAGAGTACAGTTTCTCCGGGTCAGTCACCTGCGACAGCTTGGAGGAGAAGATGATGGCCATGATGACGCCGTAGATGGCGACGACTTCGCAGAAGATGATGGAGATCAAGTTCTTCGTTCGTATCCGGGGAGCCTTGACACCACCGCCGATAATGGACACGCCCGTTGTGAAGATGCCCCTTTGCGGTTGTCAGATATGTACGAGGTGTTGCTCTGCGATGTGCATACCATGCTGATCCTACAACGGAGAGACCGATGCAGAGCCCGATGCCCAAACTCGCGAATGTGTACGGGGAGACGCTCTCGAGGAATGCGCCGACCTGGAAGATGACTGTTTAGCTTGGCCCGTGTGGGGTGAGAGGGCATCGCGTACGTTGAAGGCTTCACCCTCGTTGTTGAAGAGCATGTCTGGCCGTCGTTAGCTATCGCCTGCGCCTGGTCTGCGCGTCACATACACAAAGCGACCACGCCCAGGGCGGCCGTCGCGCCGCCCGTGCCGTAGGTGAGAGACATGCTGGGGAATGGAGTCGTCGAGGAGAGATGGGCGATGGAGGTGGCGGAATGGAGCTCCTTCGCGATGGTGATCCGGGAAGCTGTGATGATGGAGACTGCCAAGGCCAAGTGCATTGCAGCGTTAGCGGCTTGTTCCGCCGCGCCAGGCACGTCGTCGCCCATCGCATGCGCCCGTTCACGGCCAGACCACCAACACCCACCGCCGCAACTTCAACCCGTCCGCCACCATGTCTGCCGGCGACTCCAAGTACTACGAGCTCTACCGCCGAAGCAGGTACTGCATGCGCCTCTGGGGTGGCGATTGCGAGCGCGCTGGCTGACAGCAGACAGTCTCGGCGGCGCCCTCACGGACACGCTGGACAACCTGATCACCGAGCGCCGAATCGAGCCCCAGCTTGCCATGAAGATCCTCGCGAACTTCGACAAGGCCGTCGCCGACGTGCTGGCGGAGAAGGTCAAGTCGCGGCTGACGTTCAAGGTGGGTTTGGCATGCGCCCCAGGCAGCGAGCGCGACTTACTTACATGCGTCTTTGCAGGGCCACCTTGACACCTACCGCTTCTGCGACGACGTCTGGACGTTCATTATCAAGGACATCAACTTCAAGCTCGACAACACGAACCAGGTCCATGCCGACCGCGTCAAGATTGTCAGCTGTAACACTAAGCGCCCTGGCGAGACCTAGGGCTGAGTCTCTGGACTTGTCTTTCGTCAAGGGTTGCTAAAAAAAGTTTAGGCGAATCAGAAGCCGCTTTCGCCCGTCGCGTGGCTTCCAGGGGACGATATTAGCTTAAGCGGTGTTACAGTTGCTGAGGGATGGATCTTGAGTATTTGGGCTCTCCGACCTTTCTACGGCGTCTAGGGTACTTGGAATTCACGGATATCCTGAGCATGGGCATGGAGTTTTGGGTGGATGATCAAGACGACGCGTTGAGTTCAACGGTCGCGACAGAGCAATCAGAATGACGCAAATCAAGAGCTCAGTAGGACAAATATATCCTAACCTAATGTCCATTGAAGTTCGTGCTCGTGCCGACTTGCTACGTGCAAGATCGCGGACAAGAAATATATTTGCTATCAAATAGAAGACAAAACGCATGAGCAGAATATGAACCCATCTGCCTAAACAATTCTGTCTCCTTGAATCAACACAGGCTCACAAACATGCCTGATAATGCGGTACACCATATATCTTTGTCGGGCACGGAGATATCGGACAATAACCACCTCAGACCTCACGACAAGCCCTCCACAACATCTACACCCCCAGCCCGAGCTCCAGAGATAGACAGCCATGTCTACGCCCAAAACAAAATCTGCATGGCTCATGCTCGCCATCACAAGCGGAGCATGCGCAGCCTTCAATGGCGTCTTCGCGAAACTGTACGTTGTCCACACACGCCCTCCGATCGCATTCTAACCCACGCGCGTAGCACAACAACAGAGCTCACAGCCTCCTGGTCAAGCGCCATAGCCTCTGCATTCGGTCTCTCGCCCTCGAATAAACCGGTCGAGTTTGCTATACGTGGTGTATGTGTCCCTTCCTCACCTCTACCTCAAATATAGACGACTCGTAAACTAATCATGTCCACAGCTCTTCTTCGCCTTAAATCTCGTCTTCAACGCGGTGATGTGGGGTCTCTTCACGCGTGCGCTCACACTCGCTTCCTCCACCGTACGCGTTAGCATTATCAATACCTCCGCAAACTTCATGGTCACAGCTGTTCTCGGTTTCCTTATTTTCAACGAGAAGCTGCCGGGACTGTGGTGGCTGGGCGCAAGTCTATTAGTTGCGGGGAGTGTGATCATCGGGATGAGGGAAGAGGGTGAGAAGAAGCCAAGTGGGGAGGAGTCGTTGCTGGGAGGGGAGAGAGACGGAAATGGGTTTAGGGATAGCGAGGAAGAAGAGAGAGTCGAGTTGGATAGTGTGATGGGAACAGAACAAGAACGGAGATCCGAGAGCGAGGAAGAGAGTAGTGACGAGGATGCAGTGTTGAGATAGTTGGGGATGTATGGTGTGGAGCAAACCGACATTGCAAAGGACACGCGCCTGCAACTTATCAAAGGTATTGTGATCACCAAATTTCATGCCGGTTATCTGTTCTCTCTTCTATACGTCTGTGTTTTTCACTGTCAGTTTTCGTCAATACCGCTCTTTCACTATGTCCCTACCCGCCCAGCAAACAGGTTCCCACAGCCCACCGCTTTTTCACCGCTCATGCTGGTGAGCAGATAAACAACAACAAGTTCTTATACCGGTTTCTTATCTCTCTGCTCTGCCCCTCCATTCCTTTCTTCTTTTATTTTGTCTCGACCACACTCATTTTCCGTCATCGAGCTCAACATCTCAACTACACCTGCGATCACAGATCCGCACATTCTTTTCACATACACACCTCCACCACAAGTCTGCGCAAGTCGTTCCCGCTCTCGAGTCACAACTGCAATCCCGCCAACCCATCTCGAAAAAAACAACAGCTCGCTCACTAATCCACTCACGCACGCAATGTCATCCACACTCAAACCCGACGCCGCGCCTTTCATCCCCAGCCAGTCTCTCCGTGGCGGAGCATCGACCTTCCTGCCACCCACGCCAGGCTCCATGCCCTCGCCACCCATGTACTATGCAGCCCCACTCTTCGAACCCGTGCCCTCCTGCCATTACTGCGCCCGCGCGCCTCTCCAAGTCCCGCCCGAGCCCTACCGCTACGACCACGCCGCCCACGTGAACTACATGAACCACGGCTCCAGCGTGTACCAAGGCCTGATGGACCCGTTGCAAGACGCGTCGCGACACTATCCTAGCACGTCGGAAGGCTACGAGTTCGGGGGCGGGTACTACAAGACGAAGCCGTGGAACCGCAGGAAGTATAATAATCCTGCTGCGTATGCGTCTTCGCCTACTGCGTACCCGTCGACCGCTGATAGTGTCTGGTACGACAACCGCGATGCGGGATATGTGGGGGGTGAGGGCGCGTATGGCGAGCCGAAGCCCCGCAAGGCTAAGAAGGGCTGGAATAAGAACTGGCACAGGAACCGTGGCGGGGTTGGGAAGTCGTCTGTGGATGGGGCGTTTCTGAGTGAGTTTGTGGGTGGGGAGGTGGGCAAGGAGGAGCAGAGGAATGAGAAGGAGAGTGACAAGAAGACGATACACTCCATCGATACTCCCATCACTGCTTCCGATGATAAGGAGAACACCAACGCCGCCCACCACATTAACGTCAACACCAACACGAAGAAGCACAAGACCGCGCACTCCACTCGCAGCCACAACATCCAGCCCGCCCACCAGCCCGCAGACGAAGACCGCCGCACACCCGCACAATGCGAGCCCCGTCACGACCCGGTCAAAGCCCCAGCCCACGCTAAGAAGCGCTCGAAGACGGTGCAGAAGCAGATCTCGGGCGGAGAGAAGGAGAACGCGGGCCACGAGGGTGTGGCGAGGGAGGACGAGTACTTTGAGAAGAAGGTGTGGGGCAGTCAGCGGGAGATGAAGGCCATGAAGGGGAAGAAGGAGGTAGAGAAGCGTGTTGAGGAGTGAAGGTGCTGTGGTGATGGTAGTTGGAATGAAAGGAGGAGTGGGGAGGGGGGAGTCATTGTGTAAGTTTTTTCTTTGAGTCTCGGCGTGTGGTCGAAAGTACTGTGTAGGGGTGTGAGTTCTTTTTGTTTAACGGCGATCGATGCTTTCAGCATGTATACACGTGGTAGGATGAGGGGGCGTGTGTATGGAGCTTGAGAGTACATGTCCTGTCGTTTGTTGCGTTCGGGGCTTCTACCTTCACACTCAATCAGTGGATAAGGAGGAGATCAGCTTAGGGCAAAGGGCCTCTGACACAAGTGTACCATTATGAGTTCCGGCGTGGTAATTTTTGATTTTCATAACTCGGCACCTAACTGCCTCCCAAGGCGTTGTAACATCTAATGAAGAACAAAGAATTATGTTGAAATACCGCTCTCCCACCTCCCTACTTATCAGTCTCTAATGCAGTCTCCTCAGCCCCTCAACCAAACCCTTCACGCTCTCGACATCGACGCCCAAGCCCTCGCAAGCCTTCTTCTGCAGCTCCTCGTCAATGTCCAGGAACCTTTCTATCAGCTCTCCGTCCACAAAGCGCGTCGGTTCGTCTTCTTCTCTGACCTGCGTTTTGTATGCGCGGTACTTTGCGAAATCGACGTCTCCTGGCGCGACGACAAGGGTGCCCAGGTTGGCCTGCAGTGTCATGAGCAGGTTCTGGTAGTCTGGAGAGATGAGACCGAAGAGGTAGATGGAGCCCTCAACCTGTTGATTCTCTGTTAGCATCCCGTCTAGAGCTGGCAGTAGTGGGGGAAGGGTAAAACTCACAGTCCCCATAAACGCCCTCGGGATAACCGCCGCGTCCGCTGCAGTTGCAACGTCAATGCGACGTATCCTGTTCACCATCTCGCCGAGCAGCATCTCAGAACTCATGTGCAATCTTTTCTTATCCTCATCAGTGACGCCGTTGGGATCGCGATACAGCACGATCAGATTCCCCTCAGCGTCGCTTTCCAGATAGGTGTTCTCGTCTACCTCTGCCACAGCTGTCGCCCACGTAACCTGGTAGTGTCGAGCGACCTCGACGAGTTTGTCTAGCTGCTCAGCGTCACCCTTCTGGTACTCGATGATGACGAGCGATTTCATCAGGTCTGCGATTGTGATGCAGGACCCGTTGACTGTGATGTCGATAGGCGCTGTTGAGCAGCGGAAGGTTGCAGTTTTGACGAGGTCGGGTTTACTTTGCGTTTTGAACTCGACGTCGTACACAACGATTGTTTTGATGAGCGCGGCTACGATCTTGCCTTCGCATATGGCGAGACACCTGCAGCCGCCTTTAACGGCGAGTTCGGTGACGAGCTTGAGTTGTCGATCTGGCGTGACTTCGAGGATGAGGATGCGACCTCGTTCTGCGGCTGTGTTCTGGTCGTCGAGATAGGCTGTGCCGACGACGAAGCGCTCGGCAGTAGAGCCAGAGCCATCAGGGAGTTTGCAGCGTATCACGCACTCGATGAGCTCTTCTTCGTTGAGAGGGTAGGTGTCGAGTTCCTTGAATTGTATCTCATCGACGAGCTTGAAGTGGCTCATTAGGATCTCTTCGCCGCCCTTTAGTATCCGCTTGATTGTGCCTAGGCCGAAAGCTTTCAGGCTTGACGAATATGCTATTCGACGGACAGTCTCATCGAACTTGAGGGTCTGTACATGGGTTGTGCGTTCCGTGTCTACCAGTGCGATGCGTAGGTCTCCTGAAGTTGCGATGGCTACGGAGCCAGGGTACGCTTCCGCGTTGAATGGACAGACAGTCGTTGCTTTCTCTGCTGTGACAGCGGAGTACACCAGACGTCCTTCTGAGGCGTAAATGAGCGAAGGATGTTCGCAAGTCGCAAACACATTATAGAGCCCATCGCCACGGGGTAGAGCACGGAATGTAGCTTCGCGTGTTCCAAGAACTATGCTCTTTCTACCCGACAGTTCGATGCCTGATGGGTCAAAAGAATAGGTCACCACGTTTCCATCTGCTAGTGCGACAAAGAGAGTGGGTGGCTGCTCTGGGAATATCTGAGTGAGCAACAGCGATCGTGGAACGGAGTCCTCTGAGACCTGAACGGTTTTGATGGTTTCCAATGTGTCGAGGGAGCAGATGGCAAGCTGCGAGTTTTTCCAAAATCCAACAAAGCATATTGGACTCGAGCCAGGTGGGAGTGCCACGCAAGCCACCTGGCTCTCCACGCCAAAAGTCTTCTCCTTGACCACCCTCAATCCGTCATCCAGGCTTAGCGAAACAACAGCGACACCGCCCAACGAGACCAGTATGTGGCTGTCGTTGGTAGATGCTGCTGTAATTGTCTGTCCACCAGTGGGTACCCACTCGGACACCATGAAGCCATCTTCTAGATCGCAGATTCGAGCCCGTTTGTCTGTGATCTGCAGTATCCGGCCCTGCGATATGTTCGCCGCAGCAAGAGTGGTCTCGTCTACCATTAGTGATGCCCACTGTTCTACCTCTTCTACCTCGCCCTCGGGATCGAAACGGAAGACACGCGTTTCGTCGATGAAGGTAATTAGAAGGGTGTCATCGTTATCAACGGAGGCGTTCGACCTGAGACTAAAAAGCCCAGAAACATGCTCCATCTCCCCCAGCACACCAAGATCTTCAAGACCGACTCCACTACGAACGCTTCGGAGACTTCCATCTTGATAGGCACCGCTTCCCGTAACAATTCTAGCTTGGCCGGATGAGTATTCGTTTGTCTGACCCTCGCCAGATCTGTTTCCCATATCCATGATGGTGAAATCCAGGACCGGAGCGATATTTGAAAATGTTTGCACAACCTCCATTGCCTTTTCCTCGATTCTAATAACCTGAGAATCGCCTTGATGCGATCCGACAAAAACGTATCCTGCGTCTAGATATATGAGAACTGATGCTCGAGATGTCTGTCCGATAACATCCAGCTTCCACGATTGGACTCTGTTATCTCCATCGAGGGTCAGCATGAAGAGATACAAGCGGCCATAGTCATCAGCTAGTACGAATCGTTGTGCGTCAATGCGTTCCCAGGCTACAAAGATGGTCGCCTCGTCGAGTGGTTCGGTCTGCAGATCTCCAGTCTCATGGTCGTAGTATCCAATGGAAGTCTCTCCAATCACTATCAACCCGCTTGAAGGTTCCTCGAGCGGTATGAGATGACTGGAACCCAGCTCGAGATCTGCTCTGCAATTCTCTCCCTCCTCTATCTCTACAGAATCCCCGCCAGCAAAAGACAGCTCGCGAACCTTGAGCTTGACCTGGCTGTGTGTGTCTTCGTATAAAAGTGCGAGCTTTGGTTTGTCGTCGTGTGATTTTGGCCGTAGGAATGCTGATGAGCGTACAAACATCTCTGACAGTCGGACCGGCTGAGGCTCCCCAAGATGAGCAATGTCGGCCTCCTGCTTCCTCTTCTTTCCCCTCTGTACCAGTGGTATAACGGTGATTATGCCCTCGTAGACTTCAACTGTCATGAACCGTCCGGTGGGATCGACGTGACATCTCTCTCCAGTCTGCGATTCCCTTGCTGCATTATCGGCAACGCTGGCAAAAGACTTCTCTGTCTGGAGCTGCTTCTTCTCTGCGTTCCATGAGAGAGTGAAGTACATGAATCGGTCGGTCCCCACGAAGAGATGGTCGGTTGATGACAGAGCTGGACGGAGCTTCTGGAGCATGGTGACTTTGCCATAGATGGCTTTGGAGTGCTGGAGAGCCAATCCATCGGCGTTTTGCGTGTAGAACTCAAGCCTATTAGCTTTGCTGCCAGGGAGTTAGCATCGCCTTGGAGATTGCCTCTCTGCACCTGTTTGCTTACGCGACGACCAGGCAGTCCTCATCTGAAGTCAGAAAGTTCAACTTGAGGGCATGGCGGACGCTGCTTGGGCGGTGGATGGGCGCAATATACGCCATGGCAATTCCCTGGTTAATCTGTAGCTTCGAGAGTCAATCGATGCAAGAGACACAAAGTTAATGGCGAAGGGCTGCACCATCTCGGATGTACTCCGTCATTATCCCCGTTGCTTTGCTGCGGGCTGGCCCATGCACGCGAGTTCGCGTCCGAAACGCGGGGCAAAACTTTTGGCAGCCGCGAGCGACTCACCTCCAGCTGCGACGACACGCGACAGCGCACACCATGGCTCGTAAGAACGGCCTTTGATGAGCACATATTTTGTCACCTCGATTGCTAACTTGCATGACTAATTCAGCAGCAATGGATGTAGAAGATGACGACCCCGTCGTGGCCGAGTACGATGTCTATATTACACCCGAGATGGAGCAGCAACAGCTCTATGTCCTGCAGTACCTGAACCGCCCGCCAGACCATCCGTTCACCAAGGCGACGAACAGTCAGCCCTCTGAATTGCGCGTCAAGAAGGAGTCTGGCTTTATCGAAGTCGATGTGCCGATCAATATTCGCCAGAACTACAACCGACCCGCAGGTGTGAGATGGGGTGAAGCCATGCGCAAGACAAAAGGCTTTGGTCAGAAGGCATTCGGAATTGCGTCTGGTTTCGAGCGGACCATGCCGCGAACAGCCAACAGGCCTGGCGTAGGCGAGGGAGCACCAGCAGCACCAATTGCGACCGAGGACGACGACAACTTCGACGAATATGTCACCCGCTTCGAGGACGCGAACGAGAAGGGCCATGTGCTGAACACGCAAACGTTTGGCGGCCAGATCCAACCTGACGACAGAAAGGGGCCTAGCTATATGCTTGGGACGTTCCGTGAGAGTAGGCTCAGCTTTGGTAGAGAACTATGGTACCCACGCTGACCCATTGTAGACCAGCTTCACCTTACCCGACTCAATGGTCTCGTACAGCTTCGGACCCAGTTCCACCACGTCGATGCCACAGCCCAACTAGACGCTGTAGCCCGCCGCCGCGAGAAGGAGTCGCAAGAGGGCGCGAAGCCCGCAGAGCCCAAGGCCTTTCTTCCAACCGTTAAGAAAACTGGAGGAGACACTGCTGCTGAGATGGTCCAAGCTTTCATGAAGTCTGCGAACCAAGAGACGTGGAACAAACTGCAATACTCCGACGAAGACGTATGAGATTCTCTGGATTGGTACAGAAGGTGCGCTGACGTATAATCGCAGTCAGAAGTAGCATTTGACTCCTATGCTGAACGCCTGTTTCTGCAAGAAATCGCCTCAGCCCCTAAGCTCAAATCTAACCTTAGCAATGATCAATTCCTTGATGCCATTAGTGCCCCATCAAGCAGTAAAGGAGCGAAGAAAAAGGCAAGCACCAAGCAGCGTCAGGACGACACGTTAATCGAGATTTCAGACGAGTCAGACGAAGAGGATGATGGTGAGCCGCACGCGAGTTGAAAGTGTCAGACTTAGGCAAGCATAAGAAAAATGATCACGAAAAGTGGGACCATTTATACCCAAATATACAGCAAGATACCCAGTAATAACATTCCAAGATCCGAGTCAAACCTATGTTTGCAGAAACTAGGGAACATAAAGTTGTACACGGGTGATCAACGACCTGCATGGATGTGTGCAGAATCTCGAGTATTTTTTGAAGCTGTAGTACCACCTTTCCAGCGATTGGCGTATTGTTCCTATCCACCAAAAACGTGGACTGAAGACGCTTGCAGCTGAACATGTTGCTGGCTCTCTGGATTGGTCATCCAAATATCCTACACTAAATGACAGTGATATGGTGTCGAAGCAATGTCATGCTTCTGCTACTCTGACTTATAGCGGTAAAGTAAGGTATCGATGATATGCTGAGAGTAGTCGAGCTGATCAGACGGATAACAGTAGTTTCAAAATAATCTAAACACTCCGTGACTCGATAAATTGATAGCTTCTCCTCCTGGCGTTGTCTCCTTATTCGCCCGTGCGTTCGGCTTCGGAATTACCCACTTCCGGCCCCACGAAAATCTTCTCGCAACCCCATAAACAGTTCCGGACAACCACCTTCCTTCGACATTTAGGTACGACGTCGAGGTTAGTGGTTGCGCACCGACTCTCATCCAGGATGCGTTCGAACACTCGCTTGCTCATTCGCAGCGCGGTCGGTGGTTATGCTTTCAAAGCTGCTCACTCGCCCAGCTCCTCGGATCGTGGTCACCTCGGCTGAGGATGCGGAGACCGCTGCCAGCCGTCTTCAGCAATACTCGCAGCGCAGCTCAATTTTGATCATCGCACTTTGATACGAACTACTCATACCATTAATCATTACAGGATGCGGACCTTCGCGGCAATGAGTTCCCCTTTGGTGAGGGTAGCACCAGCTGCAGTGCGCTGCAGTTCGCGGAGGTGCTTCTCAAGCTCTCAGAACTTGCAAGCCACATGGGGGTTCATAGGTCTCGGACGGATGGGTTAGTCTTTCTCCGTGCTCATATGATGGAGCCTCGTACTAACCTTGTTGCCAGGGTATCCTATGGCGAAGAACCTTCGCGCAAAGATCCCAGTCGAAGACACGCTTTTTGTGCACGATGTCAATACCGCCGCCACAAAGCAGTTCCTCGAGGAAAATCCTCAAGGTGTTCGTGTCGCCGACAATGTACGACAAGTTGCAGAGAAAGCGGTATGTTCACCCACCTTTCTCATTATCCTTTGCATGATGATAGAATATTGTTCTATCCATGATCTAAGTTGGGGGTCACTTGTGACTCTTATTCTGATTACACCAAATTCATAGCCAATCCTCTGATGCATACATACCTTCACAACCCGCTTATCAAGTCTCACAATGAACTATTTGACTGACTTGACACAGGAAGTCGTCATCACCTCTCTGCCAGCACCTCAGCATGTTAAGGACGTGTATGAGGCTATGCTGAAGCCGGCAACTCTGCTGAAAGATGGTGTTAGCAAGGAGCGTCTTTTCATCGATTGCTCGACTATAGATCCCAAGACATCTGGAGCTGTAGCTGAGTCCGCTCGTTCCTCAGGCCAGGGAACGTTCATTGATGCCCCCATGTCTGGCGGTGTCGTTGGCGCTCAGGCTGGTACTTTGACGTTCATGATTGGTGCTGCTCCAGAGGTTGTCGACCAAGTGACTGCAGTACTGTCGCTGATTGGTCGGAAAGTGATTCATCTTGGAGAGCAAGGATCAGGTCTCAAGGGCAAACTTGCAAACAACTACCTTCTAGCACTGAACAATGTCGCTACTGCGGAAGCCATGAATATGGGTGTTCAGTGGGGCCTCGATCCAAAGGCGCTTGCGAACATGATTAACATTAGCACTGGTAAATGCTGGCCAAGCGAAGTCAACAACCCAGTACCTGGTGTGATTGAAGGATCGCCGGCAAGCAGGGGATATGACGGAGGCTTTGGGGTTGCCCTAGCCAACAAGGATCTGAAGCTTGCGCTCAAGGCTGCAGAAGATGCCAACGTAAAGCTTGCGTTGGGAGAGTCAGCGAGGGCGCTCTATGACGCGGTAGAGAAGGCGGAGAACTGCAAGGGCAAGGACTTCTCTGTTGTCTACAGATATCTAGGTGGCAAAGAATAGACAGATGAAAATCAATTCTATGAACCTTACCCAATGTTCTGGTGCTTTCTGTGGTTCCTGCATTTGTGATGCTCGCCTGCGCCTCCCTCGGCTCACGCCACTGCACCGCCACATTGCTAATGCGTCATAGGACATGATCACCAGAGCTCCGCAGCTTAGCCCAGGCGACAAAGCCGCGACACCGCGACACCGCGACACCCCATTTTCTCCACACGGCAACAACTCTCAGTCGTTCATCTTCACCAACTCGCAGCAGCAGGACTATCATCACCATGTGCGGCACCGACTGCTTCTTGATGCTCCTCAGCGTCCTCTTCCCACCTATTGGAGGTAGGTCTCATCGAGCTCCAGGCAGCCAACTTCTCCGCAATGAACCCAGAAGCTAACAAACCACAGTATGGGTCAAGCGCGGCATTTGTGGCGCAGACTCCCTCATCAACATCGCACTTTGCTGTCTAGGTGTGCTGCCCGGCCTGCTCCACGCTTGGTACATCATCCTCAAGCACCCGGAGACGTATGAGCCACAAGCCTACCAGCAAGTGCCTGACGGCGAGCGCGGCGACGGACGAACCACGTATTATGTTGTGACGCACGAGCAGCCTGGGCGACGAGGCCAGCCAATGCACCCCACAAGTTATGGAACTGTCGGTGCGCAGCCGAGCAGTGGACAGTTCCCCGGACAGCAACAAGGCTTTGTGCAGCAGAAGCAGGATAAGGTCAGGGCGAAGCAGGACAAGAAGGGTGCGCAGCTATCGAATCAGGGTCAAGGTGGACAAGGAAGTTCGAGTCAACCTGAAGGTCCGCCGCCATCCTATGCAGCTGCCATCAAGGGAGATCACAAGGTTCAGAACCCATAGGTTGACGTGGATAGACGTATGATATGGGGTTGGATTGGATATGGGTATGGAGTTTAGGATATAGTACTTGTGGGGCTTGGCGCTTAGGTCGATTAAGCTGGTCTATGAAGCCTCTTTGAGAACTGACAAGATGTCAACATTATGTTTTAATTCATTGCATGCTTTTTCAGAGATCCTATCAGTGTGGTCGACGATGCGCAGTGTGGAGAACCGTGTAAGATGTAGACGGCAAGGATTCGAAGGTTACCTGTGGCATGAACCTCCTCGTGCATCAAACATTTGCAACCTGGGTCTTTGGATGCACTCCTGGAAAAACATATGGTCTAGAAATTGCTCTGGCACTCTGCAGACTGGAGAGCTTCTCCGTTACTGTAATCAACCGATGTCCGGCATTAGACAGTCGTATTTTGTTAATCGCTTTGATAGACACGAGAGTCTTCTGGAATACGAAAGTCCGGACCTGGATCATGTTTCCATAGAAACACATGGCAGATTGCGAAAATTCGATGGCAACTCACGTCCAGGGAGATGTTCAGCGATGAAATGTGGCAGTACAACTAGTTAATGTAACTATCCCTGCAAACTCAAAACAAAGCAGGATGGCCAATCAAACCTACTCCAACACCCACCACCCAACAAGAATGGGATGTTCGTTGGTGTGGGTGGCCTGATTTGACGACATATATACATTGTCTATCCGCTCGATTAAATTGTGTCTAAACAACATAGCCACCCTTCTCAACAAAGTGTCTGTCGAAATGTCTCCTATGAGTGCAGGCGGAGGATGCCGCGGTACACGGGAAAAAGAACCAATTAAGCATTTCCCGCCGCGTCATGCAAGCGTTTGCCAACGCTGAACATACGCACAAGACCCAGTTTCAAGCCCGGCCAAGCAAGGTCAAGCCAGTGACGTGTGAACGTCGTATATTTCACCGCCCACAGAGCGAATGCCGCGATGCATCATAGGTAGTTGTATACACCGAATCCCATGAGTTGTGTGTTTTTCGCCCGAGCTATGAAGAGCATAGTGTCAAAATCAGGGTTTAGTTTTTGAGATTAGCTGTGGCTGTGGCAGGACGCGCACTGGCTATTCGTTGGCTGTGTGACGGTAGTGCGTATAGGGATATCCAGGCTTTTGTTTAATTACCCCGTTATCCCTCGCTCCTCCTCTGTTGCCCACATCTCTCTCGTGTCGCGAAACCAACATCCCAAGCATAAATCCTCGGCCGAGGCCACAATTACACTCGCGCCATTCTCCGGCAAAATTGTCCCGATCGAAGCAGCTCCACTCCGAAGATCATAGGTCCTCGCTGTTGCCACACTAATGCGTGAGTGGAGTCCCAAATCAACGCGTCGCTTCCGGCCCTTCGATTCATCACGCCTCCTACACGACACCAACTGACCTTGGATATGAATTTAGACACCGTACGAAGACAGGCGCATCGCGTCGCCTCGCAAGGTGGTGATATCAACCCCAACTACAATCCATTCGCCCGAGTCCGGTCGAATGACCCACAATCAGATGTAGAGAACCAGGTGCATCGATCGCGTTCAACCCGGTCAGAGGCACACGTAACGCCAGCCATGGAAGAGCAGAGACGACTTGGGAGAACAGAAGCAGAGAACGAGTTTGCACCGCACCATCACGATACTGCACCTGTTGAAAGTACAACGGGAGGCTCGGCAGTACTTGGATCTCATCCACATGACCATTCATCAATGTCCCGCCGTGAACAAACAGAGGTCTCCAGTGGTAGTACTGCCGCCGAGTCTACCGTACAAAATGGTACTGGTGTTGCGAAGCGAGGCAAGTTCAAGGGCATGTTCAGAAAAAAGCATGACGGTGAAAAAGATGCAGAGCTCGAACCTGTTGATTCTGAGCAATTGTCCATGGAAGAGAGGAGAAGGAAAGCGCTCAAGGCCAAGATCCCCATCGGCAAACAGATTCGCTATGTCATACTCGGAGCTTGGATCAACGTCCTTCTCATCTTTGTCCCTGTTGGTTTCGCAGTCAACTACGCCCATCTCAACAAACCCGTGGTGGTTTTCATCGTCAACTTCGTTGCCATCATTCCGCTTGCGGCTATGTTGAGTAACGCAACGGAAGAACTGGCCATCCGAGTTGGTGAGACGATGGGTGGACTGCTCAATGCAAGTTTTGGGTAAGCATTGTCTTGGGTGAATGTTTTACGATAATGAAGATGTCTAACAATTCTCAGAAACGCCGTCGAGCTGATCGTGTCCGTCCAAGCTTTGATTAAGAACGAGATCACCATCGTCAAGACTTCGCTTATCGGCAGTATGCTTTCCAATTTACTGCTTGTCTTGGGCATGTCGTTCTTCCTCGGAGGTATGAACCGTCTGGAACAGTTTTTCAACGTGACTGTTGCGCAAACTGCATCCTCCATGCTCGCGCTTGTCATTGCTGCACTCATCATTCCTACTGTGTTTCACAACATGATTGCGGAAGACGACTCAACGGAGGGCGATGCCATGAAGAACCAGGAACTGGTACGTACACACCTCTCATCTTCGCGACGAATCTTGCTGACCATGCCGATAGTCCCGCGGAACTGCCGTCATTCTTCTTTTTGTGTACGCCTGCTACCTAGGATTCCAACTCAAGACTCATGCTACCATGTACAACACACCCAGCCAAAAAGTACCCAAACGCAAATCGACCAAGGTCGAAGAAGGTGCTGCAGCACGTGGCATTGCTACGATCGGTGCTGGTACCGCCGCAGCTTCCGGGGGTGGCGTAAACCTCAAGAGTCTTCTCAAGCACCCTGAGGAGGAAGAGGAGGAGGAGGAAGATGATTTCGAGACACCTCAACTCTCCGTCCTCGGCGCCATCATCACTCTCACTGTCTCGACTACTCTTGTTGCGTTCTGCTCCGAGTTTATGGTTTCCAGCATTGACGGCTTAACTGCGACTGGAGCTGTCTCGACCACCTTTGTCGGCCTGATCCTGCTGCCTATTGTCGGCAACGCCGCTGAGCACGCCACTGCTGTCACTGTCGCGATCAAGGACAAGATGGACTTGGCTATCGGTGTCGCAGTCGGCTCCAGTATGCAGATTGCGCTGCTTGTCTTCCCGCTTATCGTTCTTCTCGGCTGGATCTTGGGCAAAGACTGCATGACCCTTTACTTCGATACCTTCCAGATTGCTACGTTGTTCGTCTCGGTGCTACTTGTCAACTACCTTATTCAGGATGGCAAATCTCGTAAGTTTTGCAACTACTCAGTATCACTATTTGAATGAACGGATTACTGACATGATCGCAGATTGGCTCGAAGGCATTCTTCTCATGGCAAGTTATATCATCATTGCACTTGCAGCCTGGTTCTATCCGGATCAGCAAGAAACTTGCTAGAGCAATGGTTTAGCTGCTTCTTTTCTTGGTGTTTGGTGTGGCACTGCTAAGGCCTGTCGTTTAATTTGCATATCCTAGATACCCCAACTGTACATATGAAGGGCACAATTTTTCAATAACAACCCTTAATGTTTACCGTGCATCTTTCATCTGGCGCTTTCTGTGCAACAGCCTGGTGATGTGTTGTGTTCTTGCGTGTGCACGTGGTAGAGAGTTGTGACGGTCGGGAGGGAAGATGTGACTGTTGTTGTGGACGCGCCTTCCTTGTGGGGAAGTATGATGGAGCTAACACAATGTTTCTCACAAGGATTTCCTTCCCTTCGATACCCTTTTCTCACCTGCGGGCTCCATTGTGCCGACTACGATGGTTTTTCCACGACGATTTCGCGACATCATGAAGGGGCCCGGAGGTTCTCGGTGCATTCTATCACACAGGAGATGCAACATCTTCGGGCTTGTAGTGAGGCCTCCCTCTCTCACCATGGACATCTCCGCTGTAGGGAGGGCAGCACATCAACTCATACGTACGGCCTCACTCTCCTTCCTCGTCGATTATCTTACCTATCATGTCTCTCACTGGTACAGGGACACTCGGTGCCAGCATATAAGCCCGATTCACCCTACACTCCACCTTTCTTACACCATACTTCTCGCACTCATCATCATCACCCCTCGTCCTGTGCGTAGACCAGGCCGACAATCTCTACTACTTCTCGGCCTACTGACGACCGACCGACCAAGTTGCCCCCAAGCCTACAAGCCACCACTCACTTACCACTCGTACGTGCGTCCATTGCAGACATAACAACCACGATCGGAGTGGTCCTTCACCTACGGCTGCGGTAGTTTGGCAGCGTGAGGATATATCGACTGTAACTCACCACATCACTCCGTTTCCAATCCACCATTCTCTCGACGGGTCAGCTCAGCAACCAAGAAAACGCTCACACGAGCCGGAACTTCGTATTGACCTGTCCTATTCTCAGACCGCCGGCACATGGTCATTCAGGTATTCTTATCCCACTCTCACAAAACCTTCTCTAACCTCACTTCCAGTCAACACTGCTTAGCCTTACAAGATGAACGACGACATGACCAATATTGAGCAGCCTCCTCTGGACGTAGAGCCCATCCAGAATGGTACTTTCATTGGCAACGGTGAGGAGGTTCCGAGTTACGAGCGTTCGAGCACCTCCGCAGAGCTCAACGGCGAGATGGCTCAGCCCTATGACAGCCAGCAGGAAGAAGTCCACGAATCAATCGAGAACGACATTGAGCTCTACTCAGATGCCGTCGAGGCCATCATGGCTGATCAGCACGACAATGTTCAAGAGCAGGATGATACTCGCATGGACGACGCGGAAGTTGAACCTCGCATCCAGGATGCTGACGGAGAGGGTGCAATTCATGCTATGTATGCTTCAGAACATGAGCTTGACGAAAACATCGGCCATGCCAATCCACGAGCTGCTGCTGTTGACGTGCCTCGACGCAGTGGCTCCAACTTCCAGCCCGCCTACATCGAAGATGCATCGACGCTGTTCGTCTCCGAGCACGCTACTCCTGTGCCAGATGCAGTGACCCGGGCAGGCAGCTTTATGGACACTCCTCTATCAAACCATCCTACAGCACCTCCTCGGCCATCCGGCCCGCCTAAGTCGACCTTCGATAAGATCCTCAACATGCAGAAGAAATTTCAAGAGAAAAAGGCCGCTGCAAGTAAGCGAGCAGCATCGTATCAACACCGAAATGCGAACCCTGACAGTGAAACCTACCTGGAGGCCATCATCTCTGGACAGCCACGCTCTACGGGAGCAAGAGGTCCAAACGTTGATGAAGACGAGATGGCGAACAGGGAGGCCTCTGCAGAGTTTCAAAAGCAAAAGCGACACTACGACGAGCTGAGACGTAAGAACGGCGGTACGTTATCTTTCAGGCACGATGTGGAGTGGATGAAAATCAAGGGTGCCGAAGATGCGAGACGCAAGAAGCAGAAGCGGGATCTTGCTTATGCTCAGGAGGAAGGCGAGGGCGAGCCGGATCTTTTCCCAGAAGTCAATATCCCCATGATCGACGAGAGGGAGGACGAGTCTGACGATGATCTCAACTTTGATGAATTCGGTTCTGGATCACGCAAGCGTCAACGACGAGAAATGCCGCGTAAAGAGGCAAAACAAGTCTCCATGCAGGACGCAGAGCTTCAGAGTATGCGTGTAGCTCTAGAAGCTGACGATGATATACCCAAGAAGAAAAAGAAAGGACAGTCTGGCAATGACACATCCCAGGAAGCTACCAGTTCTTCCGGGAAGGGCAGAATCGCGAAGGTCAAGTCGACCAGGCCGTCAAAAGCAAAGGCACCCAAAAAGGCAGCTCCGAAGGGTGTTCGAAAATCTGCCAAAGACAAGCGCCAGGTCAATCACGCTATGAAGCAAGCATCGTCTCTGCTTGGTGCGAACGTCTTTGAACAACAGGCAGGACCAGATGCCATGGAGCAGCCGACATTCACGTCTACCAGAAGGAAAGCAGACGCCCTCAAGGAGCTGATCGCTAGTGTACCACTTGGTGATAAGAAAGCTGCCAGAGGCGACATGGTTGGTCTTCTGGCAGCCACGAAAGATTTCAATGGGCGTGGTTCTGTGAAGCCGCACGGAAACAGTGGGTGGATGGTCAAAGGAATGAAGACGTCTTTGAAGCCTTATCAGGTCATGGGCACAGCTTTCATGCGGCGGCGTGAGAATGATGAACAGGAGCCTAGAGGAGGCTTGATGGCTGACCAGATGGGGCTGGGAAAGACTCTCATGATGCTCGGTAAGTGGGATATGGCGTATCCTTATTATCATCGGTTGTAGCTGATGTATGCTAATATGTTCTAGCGAACATCGTCAACGGGCAACCGCCTAAGAGCGAACGAGGGCCAAGGACTACTCTTCTCGTCGCTAGCAACGCTCTTCTCAGCCAGTGGGCCGAGGAAATCATGCGACACACAAACTGCAACTTCAAAATCATGAGATACAATGCTGGCACACGAATCGACTCGTCTGTGGCTAGCAAGGTTTTGGGGGCCCATGATATCGTTCTCACTACCTACGGCGAGGTGATGAAGTCGTACCCCAAGAATACACCACCGATTGAGTGTCAGAGCGCTGAACAGAAGATCGCTTGGTGGAAGCAGGTCTATGAGGAGCAGAGGGGAGTCTTGCATAGTATGATGTTCTATCGCATCGTGCTTGACGAGGCCCAAGCGATCAAGAACCACACAGCACGCACCTCGATTGCATGCCGAGCCTTGATGGCGCAGCATAAATGGGCTCTCAGCGGCACTCCGATCCTCAACAGCCTCACTGAACTCTACCCCTACTTCAAGTTCCTCGGTGTCCCACACACGGGCAGCTTCAAGATCTTCAAGCACAACTACTGCGACACTAAGGATGCAGAGAACGCCGAACGCCTGCTCGTCCGACTCTCGCAGTTCATGATCCGACGTACTCACGCTGATTACATGTTCAACGCTCCGATTTTGAAGCTTCCTCAGGCTACGCAGACCACCTACTGGTGTGAGTTCAATTCGGTTGAGCGATGTATTTACGACATTGTTCGCCAGCGCTTCGCGAAGCGTCTCAACATGTGGGCGAAAAAGGGAGAACTTGAGAGCTCGTATAGTAATGCCCTAGTGTATGTGTCGTCTTTTTGTATTCGTAGAACGAGCTGACCATGTTTAGAATGCTTCTGCGACTTCGACAGCTGACTGCACACGTGCTGATGCTGCAGTTTGTTATGCAGGATCTCCTCGAGCGGGAAGACATTGAGCGAATCCGGGAAGTTGTCAATAATCAAGCGGCTGATAGTAATTCTCGACGTGGCCGTACGATCCTTGCAATCCGCAAGCAACTCGATCAACTTTCAGCATCCGAGAGGAAGAAGGGTGCTAAGTTGGCTGCTGACAAGGCTGCTCAGAAGGCTGCTGAGGCCAAGGGGCGAGCTACGCAGAACAACACCGGCAATGCAGACACCCAGTCGGATGAGGAAGAAATACAGGAAGACCCTGAACCAGAAGGCGAGGCTGAGATTGACGGGCTATCGCAGCAGAAGGGTGGCCGCGGCAAATCTGGCGAGGAGTTTGGCAAAACCTTCAACTTCAAGCCATTCCTGAGCAGCTTGAAGACGGGCGAGAGCTGGGAGAAGGTCAAGAAGAAGGCCAAGTGCTACTACTGCGGCAAACAACCCGAGCTCCCGTTTGTGACGTCCTGTGGCCATCTGATCTGCGGTGGCCTGTGCTTAGAGCAGTCTATGTTAGAGGCAGCCGAAGACGGGAGGGAACACGCTCCTTGCAAAGCTTGTGGTGTGACTCCTCAGTACGTTCATCCGTGCGAGCCCGACGAGGATGACGTCCCGGAGCCTCCCTCGCGTGGAACACGAACTGCGGCAGCGAAGAAGAAGGAACAACAGCGCGTGCGACGCGACCGGGAAGACATTGCAGAGGACTGGCTGGGAAAACTTGGCGAGGATGTCTTGCCGTCCGCGAAGACGATTGCTGTGAAAGCTCAGATCCTGAACTGGATCAAGGAAAATCCCGGCGTCAAGATTATCATTTACACACAATTCCTGGCCATGTAAGTAGTGGCTGTCGTGCATGTGGAATCCACTGACCATGATACAGGATTCGGATCTTGGCCAAGGTCTGCGAGAAAGAGGGCTGGAAGATTGAGCAGGTGAGTCCTCATTGCCCATTATGGCGACGACGTAGCCATTTTTAGTTGCAATCGGCGTTCATATAGTACCGCGAATGCCTCCAGCCCTCACTTTATCAAGAGAGAAGCGACTGACAACGTATGCAGTATCACGGCAAGATGAGCTTCGGCGCACGGGACAAGGCGATCGCTGCCTTCGCTAAGGATGCTGATGTTCGCATCATGCTGGCCTCGCTGCGCTGCGGAGGCTGTAAGTGCACTCATTCTCTGTGATTTATGGCTTCGCCTGCTGATCCGCCACAGTGGGCCTCAACTTGACCATGGCCTCAAAGGTCATCATGATCGATCCGTGGTGGAATTCTGCCTCAGAACAACAGGCTTTCTGTCGAGTCTTCCGCATTGGTCAACAAGACGAGACCTTTATGAGCCGACTGTGCGTCAAGGATACAGTCGATCAGCGCCTTATCGAGATGCAGGAGCGCAAGCAGAAAGAGATTGACAACGTCATGGAGGACGGTGGCAAGCGGACTGACAAGCAAGTGCTTCCCTATGCGCTCCCTTTGCGATGATAGCTAACCCATGTTTCAGGATGGACATTCGCGATCTCATGCGCCTGTTTGGCAACTTGGACAACGATTCGGAAGGAAAGCCTTTTATCATGGTCGACAACCCGGATCCTCGCGGTGGCTTCAGGGCTGACCGTGATGACGAGGGTTATGCCGACGATTTCTAGGATAAGGTCGAGGTTGGGCGGTTGGGCGTCTGGGAGTTGGATTCGTGCTCAGCGATGTTCCTGGAGCAGCGGGCTTGGCGAGGGATGGTTCTTCGACAGGGCTGACTGCTCTGAGTGGTTTTATTGGGCGTTGCTTACTGCTTACTTATTCCTTCGACAGGGTGCTGGTCTATGCTGCGTCCAGACTCTTCTACCTTTGCTTCTAGGCATTGCTGCGACATGTATCGAAAAACTCATGTTCCAAGTGCGAGTAGTCATGGCATGTGTGATGGATGCATGTATCGAAAGCGCATTCTCCAGCGGCATGGCAATCACTGGATTCACATTGTTTACCAACAGAAACTGGGAGGCGGATAGGCGTCGGTGACGTAGGTGGTATGGGGTGCAGGCGTGGGCGTAGATGGGTTGCCAATGTCCAAGTCGAGATAAGGGGTAGCGACGGTCCAATCACGGCGTTGCTGATAGGCATGATACCTACCTCCGCAGTTCAACTCTCACCAGCTCATGCACCCCCAGGCGTGAGGTCGCGATTGTCGCTATTCCCGCTTTGGCCTACCATGTTTGGCAGCCGCCTTGCCCTGGACCACGACCGACGACTCCCTCTGCCCGCTGATTAATGTCGCGCTGTGAGCGGTCGACGTGAGTGAAGTCTGTCAAAGCGCGCCCCGCCAGCCCGCACCCCACACTTTGCGGACAGGCAGGATCGCCAACCCCCAGCTGCCATGGACAGCACCAGCATCACGGGCGCCGACGCGCACTCGCAGCCTCCGCACACGCCGGCCAAGAAGGCGCGGCGGGGGAAGAGGCCTGACACGGCCGACGACAGCAACAAGAAGCGCCGCTGCATCTCCAGCGCCTGCGTGCCCTGCAGGAAGCGCAAGTCCAAGGTACGTACGCCGACGCCGCCGTCCACCTCCAACGCGCTGACACGTGCGACAGTGCGACGGGACCACGCCCGCCTGCTCCGCCTGCGCCGCCGTCTACATCACCGAGTGCATCTACGACCCCAACTCGGACCACCGCCGCAAGGGCGTCTACAAAAAGGACATCGACAGCCTGAAGAGCAACAACTCGACGCTGCAGACGCTGATCCAGGCCATCCTCAACTACCCCGAGGAGGACGTCGCCGACCTCGTGCAGCAGATACGCACGTGCGAGAGCCTGGACACGGTCGCCGACGCCATCGTCGCAAAGGAGAACGGCGACGACGACGACGATGAGCACGTCAGCCCCTTCTCGACGCCCGCCCTGCTGCCCTCGCAGCCGACCTTCGAGAGCCACCTGAGCGGGAAGATGGGCGAGCTGCGGCTCGAGGACGGCTCGACGCGCTACATCGGCGGCACCTCGCATCTCATATACCTGGGCAAGGGCGAGGAGACGGCCGAGTCGCCAGACGCCTACGCAGACGACCAGTACGAGCCCATGGAGGACCCCTTCTGTTCCTGGACGACCGTCACCTCGGACCCGGAGCTCGTGCAGCACCTGATCAGCATGTACTTTTGCTGGCACTACAGCTTCTTCACGACCCTGTCCAAGAACCTGTTCCTCCAGCAGTTCAGAATGGGCAAGCCCCGCCCAGGCTCAGGGCCAAAGACCCCCTACTGCACGCCGCTGCTGGTCAACTCCATGCTGGCTCTGGGCTGCCATTTCACATCATGGCCAGCTGCACGGGCTGTGCGCGACGACTCGGCCACAGCGGGAGACCACTTCTTCAAAGAGGCCAAGCGGCTCATCATGGAAGGCGACTTGCACGAAGTCCCCTCTCTGGCAACAGTGCAGGCTCTCGCGCTGATGTCTGTACGAGAGGCTGGCTGTGGAAGAGAAGCCAAGGGGTGGGTGTACAGCGGCATGTCCTTCCGGATGGCCTGCGATCTGGGCCTCAATCTCGGTATGCATAGCAACGACGCCATCGACGAGAATGAGGAAGATGCGCGAAGCATTACTTTCTGGGGCTGCTTCCTATTCGACAAGTGCTGGAGCAACTACCTCGGGCGTTTACCGCAGCTGCCAAATACCATCATCACGGTACCCAAGTTTGAGGTCTTTCCAGGCGAGGATGCCGAGACGTGGAGTGCAATCACCGACTCTGGAGTCAGCCAGGCACATTCGCAACCAAGCAGGACGCGCGCCGTTGCCCTCCAGATTTCGAAACTGTGCGAGATCTCTAGTGATCTGATGAACTCGTTCTACAATCCCATCGATATGGACAAGGCGAAGGGGAAGCAGGCTGAGCTGAAGAAGCTTAGTGAGATCCACGTGCGATTGGAGACTTGGAGGAGAGAGTTGCCCAAGGAGTTAGAGCCCAAGGAGGGAGGGCTGCCGCACATGCTCGTCATGCAGTAAGTCGCCAGTCTATGTGAACGCTAACACTCCCACTGACCTGTTCACAGCATGTTTTTCCAACTACTCTACATCCATCTCTTCCGGCCATTCCTCAAGTACAACCCGAATAACTCACCGCTCCCTGCAAATGTTTCTCCTCGGAAGCACTGCACACAAGCCGCTGCGATGATCTCAAAGCTACTCCGACTGTACAAGCGATCACACGGGATGCGGCAGATCTGCAATATCTGTGTGTACATCGCCCACTCGGCATGTACCATACATCTTCTCAACCTCCCTGAGAAGAACGCCAAACGAGATATCATTCACGGTGTGAAGCATCTCGAGGAAATCGCTGAAGGCTGGATCTGCGCCCGACGCACTTTAGGTACTATGAGCATTCTTGCCAAGCGCTGGAAAGTCGAACTCCCCGAAGAAGCTGCCGCTGTTCTCGCTCGAACGGAGGTTAAATTTGGACCATGGAACGAAGTCAGCACACCAAGAGCAACTCACCAAGAGCCAGTGCCGATCAAAGAACAGCAACTATCGTCGACTCAAACATCTCCAGCCCTCCAGTCTTACAGCATCGCCATTCCAAATGCAACATCACCACAATACTTCAACATGACGGCGAACATCAACAACACTTCCGTAAGCATAGAACCCTTCGCCCGTTCATCCGGCATACACTCCCGACCACCTTCCGCCGCAAATGCACTCGCTTACCCACGCATCCAGCGCCACCCGCACGATCCTCTTAATCAACAGACGCCGGCACACACACCTCAAGGAACAGGCCACAACCCAGCAACGCCAGCATCCACACAAGCCAGGCATTCCATAGACGGTCAAAGCACTGCTGGTAACTCGCCAAGCCAGTTCTTCGGGGGGGTAGACCAGTTGATACGAGAGGGTCAAGACTGGATATTCAGAGACCAGACTCAGCTTGCCGATGGCTTCGACAACTGGAACACCAATTACGAGGACATTGCGTCCTGGTTCGCCAGCACGGGGTCACCGGTTAATGGGTTTACCGCGGTACCTAATTCGGCGAGAGCTCCGAATATGAACGGTGGGCCTGTAGGTGGACCTCCAGCGCCCAACGGGTATGGGAATGGGAGTGTGAACGGAGCAGGTGCACTGAATGGCATGGGCATGCAGGGTTTCACGTATGATGAACGCAGTTGGTACGATTATCAGTGAGTGACGTCGGTACGAGACGAAGATCGGGGACGCTGAAAGTATTGTAAGTGAAGCGTAGGGGCCTTTTGTAGCCCACATATATGGAAGGTTTTCTTGGTCATGTATTATGTTACGAATGGAATGCACCACTGTTGTACGGGATTTGAACACGGCACGTCGCTATAGCAAGTGGGATCGCAATGGGATTCAGGGGTAATAATTTATCTATTCGTTCAGTTTATCCAATCTACCCAGTCTATCTTAGAGAACCAAACATCCACGCCATACTCATTTACCACACGCATGCGCACACGACACGCATGCGCACACGACACGCTCAGAATTATCAGTATATCAAGCCTCCCCACAACGCCTTCCCTCCCGACAAACACACAAGCCCAGAAAAAACAGAACCCCACCCCACAAAACCCCCCCCCATCTCCATCTACGCCCCCTTAAAACACCCACCCAGCCTCCCAAACACCTTCCCCGACCACCTCCCACGCCTCTGAACCCTCTCCCGATCCCGCTGTGCACGCGTAACCGGCCCCGTAAACAGCCTAACCTCGTCCCAGCTCGTCATGCGGGCCTGCACCGCCTCGCTGACCTCCACATCCCCCTCGCGCTCCTCGCCCAGCGACACCGACTTAAACGACGCGTCGCTCTGCTCCGTAACAGCACTGAGGCGCGACGGCAGCTGTCGAATGTTGCGCTCGTAGCCAGACGCGACAGTTGGGGGCGGGGACGAGGCGGTAGTGGAGAAAGAGGGGATAGGGCGCAGCCGCTGTCTTTGCTGTTGGGGCCAGGAGATATTCGGGGCGTTGATGAGTTTTGGGGATACGCGGGGGCGGGGCGGAGATAGCGGGCGCGAGGGGACGTGGAAAGAGCGCAGGTGCGTGTGTGCGCGGGTCAGGGCTGCGGTGCCGGCGGAACAGGGCGGGGTGAGTGTGTGTTGGGAGGGGGTGGGGGAGGGGGTGCGTGGCGACGACGCGGTGTGGGGTTGGGATAGGAGGCGTGTGAAGTCTAGGGGTGTGGGCGTCCGGGAGGCGACGGAGCGGAGGGGACGGGGGGGTGACGAGGCGCTGTCGTCGTCTTCGCCTTCTTCCGAGTCGTCTTCTACCTCGTTCGCGTCGTCGAAGGGCGACGCTGGTGTCGACCAGCTAGGGTCCTCGCTCTCGCCCTGGAGCCGCATGGCCATGGCGAAGTCTGGGTTCCTGGGGTGTTGGTCTGCGGTGTGGAGGATGCGAGGCTGCATGATGTGATGTGAAGTGAGACGAAAAGGGTATGTAGGCTTCAAAGTACAGTATGTCGAAGCAAAAAAGCGTATAAAAGTACTTGACTACCTTCAGGGTGTGATGAGGATGAGAGTTTAAACTTGAGCAAAACAGAATCATTATATATAAAAGTTCACATCTCAAAATTTGGTTCTGGCTTGAGTTTTTTTGGTCATATCCAGTAAACGACATACTTACTACCTAATCAGAGGAATATTATTGCACCACTGTTGGCTTTTCAATCTCTCTGACTGGCTCTTCGGGCTGGGAGAATATCGGCTTCTTCTTCGTTGGGCTCGTGAGGGCGTGCGTGACCACAGAACTATGGACGGCCCGTTCCTGGTTCCCAGACCTTGGAGCCTCTTGCCCCAAGTGTAACGAATCAAGTGTCATCTGGTTCGTTCGGGGATCTTCTCGTTGCAAATCCCCGAGTGCCGATTCGTCGATCTCGAGCGATTTTTGCGGCGAGTGTGGATCGTGTATCGTGGAGGGTTGAGGCAGCGATCCGGTACCGTGGTCCACGTCCATATCCCCGTTTCGCCGCAACCCCTCTGGTTCTTGCTGTGCAGCACCGTTTTCCTGATGTTCGGTCTCCGCTTTAGGCACCAGCCTCTTCTGCCTTGCCCGCGCAATCAAGTCGTCAAAGTCGCTTTTATTCGCTTTCGCGTAGCCACTCCCGTCAAAATCTTTCCTCATGATCTTGCTCTCTTTACTGTCCGCTCGCCCTCCCTGTGTATGTTCCCACTCTTCTAATTCTTTTAATAGCTGCCGTTTGCCCTTGCGTACGCCCTCGTCGGCGTCGCAGTTCGAGTTGTAAATGTTCAGCCATTCGATATGGCGCCGTTTTAACAGATCTTTACTGCCCCAGTTCGGGATCCCGATCTCCTGTAGTTTCTTGCGCAGCGCGCCTTCCTTTAGCATGGCGTAGTTGAGTTGGGATAGACGGCTTGGCGGAGGGGAGGGTTCTTTCTGTCGTCTTTGGAGGGGGTTCGGAAACGCAGTTTTGGTCCTGCGCATTGTGCTATTAGCATTGCGTTCGACGATAGCCAGGAGCGTGTCTACACATACCTCGACCGCGTACTGCGTCCCTGCGACGCGTTCTGTCCCGGACATACGTCCAGGTGGTTATACACCTGCTCAGGCTTCATAGCCTCACTGCAAATCGGACATTTCGCCATTCCGTCCGGTACAAAATCCTCGTCGCCATCCTCCTCACTATCCGGAACCTCCAAAGACGCATTTCCCCTCCTTGTCCGTCGATTCCTCGTCTGCTTCCCACAGCCTTCCATCTCATCCTCCTCAATGTCTGTATCCTCCAACTTCCTCTTCTTTCCCTTCCGCCCATTTGCTTGGTCTTGCGCCCTCTCTTTATCTCTCCTCGCCAGCTCCAGCGCACTCCCCCTCACATCTTGAAATCTCCCCACCACCTCTCGAACCGCAATATTCGGGCTCAACTTGTCGCTCGAACACGCGCCTTTACAACTCGGGCACTTCCCATCCGTCGCAATGCATCTACGTATGCAAATCGAGCAGAACGTGTGCGAACACGACGTGATAACGGGGTTGGCGTAGAATTCCTTGCACACTTCGCACCGCAGCGCGGCTTCGACAGATTCAAATGCGGGGAGCGAGGTGGAAAGCCAGTCCGTCGAGTCGGGGAGATCAAACGTGGCGTCCATGAGGTTTGGTGAGGGGGAAGATGTATGCGTGCGCCGTGTTGGGAGTGTTTGTGTCGGCGAGATTGCGTGTTTGCCATGCTGAATCGTTGACGACGCGAGGTCACATGTTTTGCGATCGATCGCGCTTGCCGGATTTGCTGTGGCGTTTTTGCCAGCCTCAAACACGCGTTGCGACTGTGGAGACGAAGAGAACGTCAACTTGCATCGTCTTGGCATGGTATTCAAGAGCACAGCGACTGAGTGTTCGAATTGAGACCCGGTTAATCAAAGTTCATGGAGTTTGAAAACAGAATAGGAAAGAACAGTCCACCGCAATTGTTGGTAAAGGTAAAAGTACATCAATTCAACGTTTCATTGTTACAATGGTAACTCAGGTTGCAGGTACTTCTCAGACAATCTGATTCAGTGAGATTTCTATCTGTTCTTTATTTCGAGACAGTGCTTTGTCTATCATTGTTTGTCTTGTGCACTTCATCAGTATCACTGCTCTGAAGTCATCAACGGACCTCTTGCCGCGATTTGAGGTATGTATGTACGCCTCTTTGATCCAATCCCATTCGATTGAGTAATCTGTTCCAATTGGGTATCATCTCTAGACTTTGATGACCATACTCTTGCTCCTGATGCCATCAAATATGCACGTATTATCAACAGGCACGTATTGTTCCGTGATAGCCTTGATGACTTCCTGCGATACGATACCACCCGTCAAGGCACCGATGTTGTGTAGTTCAGCTCCACCTGCTCGGACGCTATCAGATGTCAGCTGGAACTTCGCTTGAAGAGAACGATATTCGTGACTTACAGTTCCTGGGCAAACTCTCCTATTTGCGTCTTCACCGCTGCGTAATCATCCTCATCCAATGGTGAAGCTGCCTCCTTGATCAGGTCATCCGCGATCTTCAAGGCAATACCAGTGAGCTTCTCTGAGTCCGCTGTTTGGTCAGTCTCGCCGGGTACTTTGACTGCACCACCTAATCCGTCCTTGTTCTGTGTCGCAGTGAATTCGTCCCAGGCCAGAAAGGCGATGTATAGTGGTATTAACGAGTCAGGAAATGTGAGCATCTGAGCGATGGACTTCGCCTGATCTCCCCATTTGACCTTCTCGCCCGCCTGCACGACATGGAACGGCCGGCCACGCACCAGCTTGATATGCGCCGCGTTTTTGCAGAATGCTTCGATGTGCTTCTCTTCGATGGGGGTGCTTCGATTCGCATTCCGCTCCAGAAACCGCACGCTATCCACTACTTCTGCTAGGTCTTTTCGTGCTTTCGACTTGTAGACATTCTGCAGCTGAATATAGTCTGCTGAACGCGCCTTCATGTCTGGCACAGATCCGGGCACAGGTAGTACGCCGTACTTTGTGTAAAACAGTCCAATAGCGTTTGCTATGACCCAGAAGGTGGGCGAGTCTTCGCGCACTAGCACACACTCTTTAGCTGTGAAGATCTCTCTGACAGCACTTCCGGGTTCTGGTGGGTTCAACGACTTCAATACTGCTGCTACAGCCTCGTCGAAGTTTTCTTCGCCTCCTTCAGGGTTATTTGTCCGTGTAGCCTGCGACACAGCACTTCTGAACTCGGTCTTCTCCTTGTAGTTCTTCGGCGCCTCGTTGTTGTGCTCTTTTTTCCATTTTGCGAGGAAGTGCAGCAACAATGCAAGGTATGGAACGTGGCCATGGTCTTCAGCGCTCATACTGTCGATATTGGCCGTCTTCTCTTCGGCGAACTGGGCTAGCTCGGGCCATGGCTGTAGCAATCGGAGGTCTGACGTCGTCTCAGGGCTCGGATGTGTGTCTACAATGGGGAACGCAGGAGGCAGATGTACGGAGAAATGTGAGTAGAAGCCGACTGAGTGAACGTAGAAGAGTGGGATCAGCGCGGTGCTTGCATGGTCGGCGAGCTTGGTAAGGAGCTCGGGACGAATGGGTGCGGTCGCGATGATTAGTGTATATGGTTGCAGAGCATCTGGCTGTAACAGCCACGATTCGATGGGCTGCGTGACTGATCAGTACAAGTAAAGGCGAGGGTTGCATCTGAGTCGTACCTCTGTAATGTGATGACCTTCTACATCTGGATTGAGCTCCTTGAGTAGGTTGCACGTATGTTCAGCCCGGTACCCCCCAAGATGCTGCTCTTCCAAGAAGAAGTTGACGCCCAGATCAGCCTCACTGACCACCGCAGAATCCTGTATCGTGAAGTTGCCGACCCCAGGTAGCACCAGGTTCTTAAGTGTTTCGAGGCCCACAACGCCGGGTCCAGAGTTGATGAGGAGTATGTGCGAGTTTTCGAGCGCAATCTGACCATTGGCTCCCCAGAGACGCAGCTGTCGATCGTACCTGTCTTGATTAGTAGCTGTTCAAATGACGACGATAGCTTTCAAAGCTTCAGGCTAGCTCACTTCTTCTCTTTGGCGGTAGGCCCTTGCACGGGAGGGGGAAGGTCCGCCATTTCGTGTGAGTATGTGGAACTGTGATAGAGGTTTAGACGAATGAGAAGAGGTTTGTTTGCGTAGTTGAAGTAGACAACGTCAATCCATCCGGCAGAATCACACCGCCTAGACGCGCGCAATCACGCTGCATTGTCGCGCTAACAAGATGGTGGGGCAAGGGTAGCGCCGCGATCGCTTGTCCAGACGGTTCCGCAAGAACAAACAAGCATCGTCAAACTACAGCTCATTGCCTACGATGAATAGAGAATCTAGTTATTTATCGGCCTTCCTACGACGACCCTGCTCCTGCTACGTATAGCAGAAAGCAGACCTACGACTATATCAAGACCACGAACGGTGACTAGGAATCCAGATGGTGTGAGAGCTTCCATAAACCTCCAATCTATTCGTGATAGTAGAATTACATTTCTCTTTCCTCTGATGTTAATGGTTTTCTTGCAAAAACGGTAGATAACCGCGCAGCTCGTCGTTTCTCCAAGCCTCCAGCTTCCACTGCAGAGTCAAATGCAGTTTTGTTTGTATACCTGTCTTGGAGCGTTCCTTTTCGTCCAGATCGACCAAGACGAAGCTTCCATCCTCATTTAGCTTTACAACTCGGGCCGAACGATTTTACGGATCAAAAGTACTGCTTCCTCTGGATTCGAACTTGCGAAGTTCGGTCGAGTTTGATGCGTGTGTGATTGCTGTGCCCGTTTGCTTGTCCCATCCCTGACTGGAGGTTTCTATTCATCAAGGATGTAGACACTGCTTGCGCGCAACCAAGAGACCGCCTGTTTTCACGGATTCAGCCATGGCGAGTGAGCAGATAAAGCGAGAAACGGTCCGAGAGGAAATATGGATGATAAGAGATGTGCAGGAGACCTGACGAAGAACGTACGAATGGTTCGGGACTCTGAAGTGGCGGACTATTCCAGCGGACGATCTGCTGACTTGGCGTTGATTGAACTCTACCAAAATGTAGTCGATTATGGTTGTTTAACAAGAATCACGATCCACTCGTTGTTGCCGAGGTGCTCTGTCGGTAGTGCAAAGGAATGACATCCTCGCATTACATCAACGGCTTACGCTCCGCCACCAAAACATATCTGCAGGGTTCGCAGGGTTACCCGAGACGCACGAGACAATCTTGAAAGCTCTCCACCGAAGTCTATGTAATGTGTTCCTCCCTCTCAGCATCCTTGTCACAATCAATATCGCGAGCTTTCCACCGCTCGACATGGCCTTCAATGCCGGACACGTCCACGACCCCATGACAAGAGGTTCAGGAAAACTGAACAACATTGGGCAGACTGTCGTAAAATTTCATCAGAGCCCAAAGTGGTTAGAATTCTGGTTCAATAAGGTCCAAAAGGACAATGGTATTATCCCAAAAGTGCCCAAAGTTCGCAAGGGGAATACCCCTTCTACGTTTGACAAAGGTGATATTCCTACGCCAAAGCTGAATATCGCGATCCATATCGTTGGCTCAAGAGGCGATGTACAACCATTCATTCCTATCGCCAAGTTGCTTCAAGCGCCCCCTCATGGGCATCGAGTGAGGATATGTACTCACCCAGCTTTCAAAGATTTTGTTGTGCGTAACTTTTCATTCCATTGGCTTCACACTGCGATCTTCCAAAAGGAGTTGCCCTTTACATCGTGAATTGCTAACGTGTATTGCAGGAAGACAATGGGGTCGAATTCTTTTCCATAGGAGGTGATCCGGAAGCGTTGATGGCCTATATGGTGAAGAACCCGGGCCTTATTCCCAATTTGGAGAGCATCAAAGCCGGAGATATAGGCAAGAGACGACAGGGCATGGCTGAAATTATGGAAGGTACATGGCGAAGTTGTATCGAGGCTGGTGACGGCATGGGAGAAAAGACCACAGCTCTCACCGTGGACGATGTGCAAGAGTTGTTCCTCGCGGATGCAATTATCGCAAACCCCCCATCTATGGGTCACATTCACTGCGCAGAGAAACTCGGTATCCCTCTCCACATTGTCTTTACCATGCCTTGGTCGCCAACCAGAGTCTTCCATCATCCCCTGGCTGCTATGGAGTATGGAGATGTCGAAGTGCCAGTAGCGAACTGGTTCAGTTACACTATGATGGAATTGTTGACGTGGCAAGGGTGAGAGGATCCGTCGAAAATGAGACTTGTTCATCGTAGTCCTGTGCTGATATGTTATAGTCTTGGAGATCTCATCAACAAGTTTCGACAACAGACCTTGAAGCTCGACCCAGTAAGGCTATATTATGACGCGCTTATCTCTCTCTCTCTGCAAGAATCACACTGATATCAGTCACAGGTTAGTCCGCTGTGGGGTCATCAGTTGATCTCGAGGCTTCGTGTACCTCATTCCTACCTTTGGTCGCAAGCTCTCATTCCAAAACCAGCCGATTGGGGACCTCACCTCAGTGTAAAGGGATTCTCGTTCTTAAAGCTCGGCTCGAATTACTCGCCTCCCCAAGACCTGGCCGACTTCCTTAGCGCAGGTCCGCCTCCAATCTACGTTGGCTTTGGATCTATTGTCGTCCAAGACCCACAAAAACTCACGAAGATGATTTTCGAAGCCGTCAAATTGGCCGGAGTACGTGCCATTGTGGCGAAAGGGTGGGGAGGCATTGGGGCTGGTGAAGTTCCCAAAAGCGTCTTTCTCATCGGTAACTGTCCGCATGATTGGCTTTTCCAAAAGGTCTCGTGTGTTGTTCATCACGGTGGCGCCGGCACAACCGCAGCAGGAATTGCACTAGGTGTACCAACAGTTGTTGTCCCGTTCTTTGGAGATCAACCATTCTGGGGGCAAATGGTTGCCAAAGCGGGTGCTGGTCCAAAACCTGTTCCGTTCAAGCAGATGACGGCGGAGACCTTAGCCGCTAGCATAACATTCGCTTTGAAAGAGGAAGTCCGGATAGCTGTTCAGGAGATGGCTTCTCGTATTGGCAAGGAGGATGGCGCGCTAGGTACTGCTCAAGATTTCGAAGAGAGGCTCCGATTGGATGACATGAGGTGTGATATTTGTCCAGAGCGTCTCGCTACGTGGCAAGACATTAAGACTGGAGTACACCTCAGTGGCTTTGCAGCGGTTGCTCTTGTTGAGCAGCGTTTGTTGCTTCCAAACCGTCTTCGTCTGTAAGCCGAACCACCATATCTTATCAGTGTGGATAGTCACTGACATACTGTAACATAGGTTGCGGCACAGAAATTGGTGTGAGTTTTCCACATAGTGACAGATCTCGTTGCTGTCATGACATCTTTCCTGTGCTAGTTTTGCTGACCATACTAGATGTATACGAGGGTGCTGAGGGTCCATCAATTGGAGCTGTGGCTGCCGTTTCTGGTCTGTTTTCCTCGATTGGAACTAACACAACCGACTTCTCACGGCGCCTGCAGAGGCGGCCAGGACCTGGAACTCCACAGAAAATGATCGTCAACAACCACATACGTACCGACGAAACAGATGGACAGTATCACAACGAGGGCCTAAGTACTGAACAGATGGAGAACGTGGCTTGGAGAATGGCCACGAAATCACACGAGAAGGATTTGACCCGTAATCTCGAAAAGCCGGCCAGAAACGAGCGTCTGACACACGTGCGTAATAAGGTATTAGTGAGAAAAGTGAAGGGTGGACGAGCATATCAAGTCACAAGTGCGACAGCGCATTACGCTGGCGATTTGACGAAAACCGGATTGAAAGGTTAGCAGACAAGTTCCAGTGGTGAAACTTGCTAACGCACTTCAATAGCTCCGGTTGCGTTTTTCTACAACGTCGCAACTGGCTTCAGAAACTTGCCGTCATACGCTATACACAACGATTCCACCAGGCGGCGTGACGAGATCACAGGATTTGGCAGTGGGCTCAACGTAGCTGGAAAGGTCGTTCGCTCCATAGTAATTTCCTCGGGACGTTCATGACTGACATATTGTATCAGGAATTTGTACTGAATGTCGCCGAAGCAATTGGTGGCGTAGGCAGACACCCGTATCTCGGTGCACAGGAAGAAGGGGTCACAGGATTTGGCAAAGGTATTGGAAGAGGTGTAGGAGGGTTTGTGTGCCATATTTTTGCCGGTGAGTTTCCGGACTGCTCTCGAAGCAACGACGGTACTAATCTTATCAGCGGTATTTGGTATACCTGGGTACACACTGAAAGGAGTTGAAAAGGGTCTTTCCAAACGACAGCTTACCACCCTCCAAGCAGAGTTCTACTTGATACGGATCCGCCAGGCGAACCACGATTTCCAGAAGTCTACGTCAGAAGAGAGAGCAGAGGTTGCGGCACGATGGAAAGAGATCGTAGTGACATAATGGGATTGTCTGTTAATATCTAATAACGAGGAGCATTTGAGCTAGTAATTGATAATCTGAGCCGTCTTGATTCTGATGTACAGCTGATTTAGTAACACAGGTTGGGGGACGACGTCAGTCTGTGGGGTAACTGACTAAGGCGGGGCAATGCCGCGGAGATTCATCTCATCCTCGAGCTTCGGAAATCCTTGTATCTTAACAGCAGCTTCAACTGTTGTCCATGCGCGTACAGTCGAGATTATTGCGGCCTGTAAACGTCACGCAGCCAATTCGCAGCCTCACCTACCGCAAAACGCGTCTTTCTCCCCTTCAGACTCGATTCGCATTGGAACTTTCCCCCCGCGCCGGTCTTCCGTTCTCCGGTGCTGCCCATATGAACGTCTCCATCACCCAACCGCCTAGCCAAAACACCATGACAGACGTGCACGTCGAGTCCGCCAAGCGCGCCGCTGCGCAACAAGCTGTCGCCGACCACTTCGATCCCACCTCAGGCTATGTCGGTATTGGCTCTGGTACGACCATTGTCTACGTCGTCGAGGCCATCAAACAGCACTCTACAAACCCAAATGTTCGATTCGTCCCTACAGGTTGGCAATCGCGCCAACTTGTCATACAAGCTGGCCTCTCGCCCATCGCCTTCGACAGCCTGCCGGACAATGTGATGCTAGACGTCGCATTCGACGGCGCCGACGAAGTGGATGCGGAACTGAACTGCATCAAGGGAGGAGGTGCCTGCCTCTTTCAGGAAAAGCTGGTTGCTGAAAGAGCAAGGAAGTTTGTCTGTGTTGCGGATTACAGGAAGAGACAGGACCGCCTGCTCACAAATTGGCCAACAATACCCATCGAGGTGGCGCCGCTCTCGCAGAAAAAGGTTATAGCCTCACTCAAAATCCTCGGGTCCACAGACCCCAAGCTGAGAACTACGTTGTTGGAGAAGTCAGGACCCCTCAAGACGGACCAGGACTTCTACATCGTCGACGCTCCATTCCCCATGCTCCTCTCATCTGCAGACGTCACGGCTGGAAAAGGTAAGGGTGATGGAAGTGATGGGACATGGGAAGTCAACAGGATTAGCAAGGCGATTAAGGGCCTCACCGGTGTCCTCGAGGTTGGCATCTTCGCCGGGCTGAATGGTATCGAGGCACAGGAGTTACAAGCCAAGGAGGGTCCAAAGAGCGCAGTGACTGGTGGACAACGACCAGTTGCTGTGTACTTCGGCATGTCAGACGGCAGTGTCAAGGTCCGAACGGTGCATGGCGAGCAATAGGTGGCTTGCAAGTAGAGATCCCTATTCTTCAGTTGTGCACATCTCAATTTCATTGAACACGAAACGATATTTGCTCACAAAATGGATTGAAATGCTGAAAGATACAATGCGATACTCCTATTATCTCACAGCAGTAGCGCCTATGATAAGCTTCTCACCAAGAAAGAGGGAGACAGAGAGGAAGGTGGCACATGACCGTCATAGCATGTAGCATCACCACAACACAAACATGTACTTTGTCTTGAGAAGCTCTTTTCGTTCATCAACCCAGCAAGCATTCTCCAACACCACCGTGGCTTCATCAAGATCCCGACCATGTCACACTTCCTGCAAGGAATCACCACGCTCAACAGTGCACATCAAATAGAAAGTAAACATTTTGCATTTCATTTCATTTCGTTTCCCTCAAAATACCCAAACAGAGCGTTAAAAGCTCGCGACTACCACATCGCAGAAGTAAACCCGTTTTCCTACTCTGGCAAGACTCGCTTCGCTTAAGCGTGACGACCGTGGCGGCGGCCGTGGAAGCTGCTGCGCTTCTTGTAGGAGTACTGTGTAACGTACTCAGTGACAACCTCGACGTTGGTGACAACGACGCAGCGGTGACCCTCAGGGCAGGTGGCGGGAGCCTCAGTTGGTGCGGGAGCGTTGGCGGAAGATGGCGCGACGGTGATGGTGTACTCGGGAAGGTCGGCATCCTCAGCAGTAGCTGCGGGTGTGGCAGCGGCGGAGGTAGCGGTTGTCTTGACGGCCTGGGCCACCTCCTTGACGGCGGCATAGGCGCTGGTCTTGACCACAGCCTTGGTCTTGGTTGCGGCCTTGGAGGAAGTCGCCTTGGAGGAAGAGGCCTTAGCGCTGGTCTTGGGCGAAGAGCTGGAGCCACCGTTGACAGTTGCCAAGAGGGCGCCGACATCGATGCTGACCTTCTTGGGGGTCAGAACCTTGCCCTTGTTGGGTGGGCCGTTGAAGTTGCCGGCATTGCACTGATCCTGGATGCCAGTGCACTTAGTAGACCAGAGATCACAGCCGGACTCGCCAGTGGGAGGAGCAGAAGAGTAGCACGTCTTGGACTGCGTCCAGCAATCCTCGGAAGAAGCCCAGCATCCCTTCTCGTCAGTGTAGTCAGGTGTCTCCACGCCGCACCAGTTGGCGTTCTCGACGAGGCAACCCTTGGTGATCAAACCCTCAGTTTGGGTGGTCTGGCTGGAGACTTGAGCAGCGCTGTTGGCCACGAGCTTGGCGACACTGGGACCAGGCAGCTCGGTGTACAAAGCGTTGTCAGTGTTGTAGATGTCGAACTTGGTGCTGGGCGTGTTGTAGTCGACGTATCCAGGGATCGAGACGGTCGACTCGGGAACAAGGTTACCAGTGCCCTTGAGGAAGATTTGAGCGCAGCCAGTGTAGAACTGCGGGTCACCCTTGTCGGCCTGGTGGAGGGCTAGGATCTCAGGGCGAGCGAGGTAGTAACCGCTCTGGAGGCCTTCGGGAAGGCGCACGTTGAGGAGACCATTGTTGTTGATGATATCGTCTGTGCACCATTGCTTGGTTGAGGCATCATAGCCGTGGTCAAAAACCTTGAACCAGCCGTCACCAGCAGCTAAACACATGTTAGTCATGCATGGTGGTTCCAAGAATGAACACAAACTTACCAGTATCATCGATAGCAGAAGAGACCTTCTTCAAGTAGAAAGCGCAAGGTCCCTTGTGTCCGCTGTCCATACGCTCCTTGGTAGCATCATTGGGCCAAGCGCGGATCTCGAAAGACAGGAGAGCACCATCCTCCACAGTTTGCACGCGAGAGACACCCTTGGTACCGCCAACGTCTGGAGAAAGAAGTCAGCAATGCACAACAGCTACTTGATATTGTGGAACATACTGCAAGCCATGTCGTCACTGTGGAGACCAGCGATGGGGTTGGTGGTGGTCTCCGAGTTCATGCTCATACGCATGGCAACGGCGTCACCCTGGGCAAAGTTAGTTGAAGTTACGATTCATACAAGAGATGAACATACCTGAGGCATTCCATCGACGAAGAAATCGGTGAATGCGGTGTGTGCGAAAACCGCGGGGGCCGAGGCCAGGGTCGCAAAGAGGATAGATTGAGTCTTCATTTTGATGGATTTGTTGATAGTGGTGGTGATGCAAGATGTAGTTGTAGTATCGTTGTTGTAGTACTTGGACAAAGCGAGTCACTAGGACTTCAGCGGCGTTTCAAGCTGTGTAAAAAGAGTGAATGGGTCGACTGGCGACGTGAAAGAATGGCAGGGCAGCAAAGCGCCGGAAAAGAGAGACAAAAGCTAGGAATGAGGTTATAGCAAAGGTAAGGAAAAAAACCAGAGGATGAGGGGAGGCATCCGGTTTTGAAGTCCAACGGGGCGAGAATCCTTCGCGAATCTTTACTCCTGACATCCACCCGCTTTGCCGCCCCGCCGGGAGTCCTGGGAACAGATCCCTTGCAAGTGCCCAGGTCTTTCCATATTCGCCTTAGGGGTGAATGTCATATTCCGAGGGACCGTCAGCCTGGGGACGTCACCAGCCAATCAGTACACATAACAGGATGTTTCCTTGAAACGTGAAACACAAGCGAATACCGTCATTAGCGTCGCCCTAGACGGATATGCGGTATGGTCTACCGTAAGTGGCGCTTCTTCGCACGAGCTAATTCAGGTACCGCGCCTTCATTAAACGTGCTTACTACTTGGCAGTCCTGCTTCGCAAGTTAGTTAGTGTCAAGCAAATGCAGTAAAGCATTAGTATACTGTTCGGAACAACAACCATGATTTGTGACGGGTACGAAGACATTACACATTAACCCTACTCGCAAGCTCCAGATTCTTCAGATGGGGCATCCCCACTCAGGAGGTCATCTTGCCCCTGTACACCGACGAACGCCCGCAGCTTGATCTCATAAAGATCCCGGAGTTCGAATCTCGGCCTTAGTGCCAAGAGTCCCAACCCATTGCATGGATCGAGCTGCGCCATGCACTTGGACCAACAGTGATTCGCTGTGCTCCACAGAAATGGAAGTACGAGAAAGCATATCTTCCACCCCCTCGGAATGTAATATGAATACTTGTCTCGAGTTGTCGCTCAACATATGGCGCAGTCGTGTGTCTCCCATTTAACAAGGATCTGCCGAGCGCCTTCGGTTGCACCAACTATTTCCGTCAAATCCCGCTAGTTATGACATACGAGAAGGTTCCGATGATCGTCAGGATCCCCAGACAGCGCGAAATTCCCACAAGAGATGAGATGGGGATGGATGGGATGTTCTATGATGAGATGATGATGATTTAAGGTATACGGGAAGTCCTGTGTTGTTACGGCTAGTTCGCACAGGGAAATTGAACGCCACATATGTATGACCTACCGACCAGGTCCTCCATGCGAAGTGAGCAAGGCCCCACGTCAGCTGAGTTGTAAAGAACGCATCCGTATGTCGAACGAGATGTGCGTCTTCTAGGAATGACCGAGTTTCGCGGCTGAGGTGTCCAGACGCACGCGTGTGGAGCCCTTGAAAATAAAGTTGTTCATTCCGATCGGGTGTTTGACTAACAAGCGCCGGGTTTGACTCTGACGACAGGTGATCAGGTTAGCACGTAGAGAATGACGTGCAGTTCAAAGCATGTTCGGAATTGAAACTCCGCTATGATTTAAGCATCTTGTCGGTTGTTGGAGGTTGTGTCAATTGAGATGTATCAATCTTAAGCTCCTGATCAAGCACTAAAAGGATTTGGAAGGGATTGCATGAGCTCATACGATCCAGTTGGTCTGACAGAGTCGCTGCTCCTCTTTCGAGGACTGGTATCTCAACGTTTCTCAGCATGGTAAGGCCACTCCAGGTTTAGCAACAAGCATCCTCTGTTCCGTACGCCACCTCGGAATATTGCCTTCGTTGGCGCTGCTTTCAGATCGATAACGATATCGTAGTCTCCAGGCGAATATACGGCTTGAGACCAGCGTCTGGAAATTTACGAAGAAACATAGTTATACTGTAGAGTTAGCCTCTTCTTCTTGCACCGTTCAAGAAGTGCTCTTAATCAACGTGATACGTACTACTATTATGCCTGACAAGTTCAGGACCTCAGTCCACCCACCAATGCTCACGAACTACTGCCCAGCTTCGTATCTGGCCTTTATTGCGGCTAAGCAAAGCATACCCAGGGAAATCGTGGGATTGCGTAATTCGATGACCACAGACTTATGCTGACATGGAGGTTGGTTAGCAGAGTACAAGTGCACACATCTCAAGAGGGATGCACAAACCTGACACCACAGGGGTTGTTACCTTCAGGAATCTGATCGAAATGTGATAAGATGAGACGAAACTCCTTCACAAGATGAGTAGATTGGAAACTAACGACGTAGTTGTGAATTGACGTTGGAAGGTTTGAGGTAGGAGAGGAGAAGTTCTGAAGGCTATCACTGGGAATGAGCGACTGATTCGCTCGTTAAGGGTGCATTTCGAGAGGAAGTTGCATGTTATCAAATTGATGTGGAGATGGATGTGAGGATGCGGTAACGCAAAGTTGGGAAAGAGACTGTATGGTCGCGTTGAAATTTGTATTGTACCGATCAATTGTGAAGCAATCACAAAGGCTGAGTAATTGTTGTTGATTACATCCTTGGCTCATTAGAGACTTGGTGGGAACAGGATATTTGCAACTGTATTCTATTACCAAATTGTACTTCCAGACATGAAGGTGAAAAAGTTTTTTGTATTCCCCTTGTAACTCCAATAAACATACCGTCCCGGTTCTTTGATACCAGTTATCACCAATATTGAAACAGCCCATGAACTTGGAAATCCATTTCCTGATAATCTTCCGCGATATCCACTGCGACAATCAACTCTTATGCTAAGTTTCTTTGCAAACGGCGAGGTTTAAAAGGGCTCGATGCATCAGGTACTGTATTGCATGGGGACCTCACGGGACCTCAGAGGGATGCTGTTGTGCTGGTCACAAGCTTTCCTCCTTGCCACCGTCTTCTGCTCTTCAGTCGGCTGCCAGCAACAATCACCACGCGACCAGCACCTACTCAATTGTCAACCCACTCGTTCATAACACATACACAGGCAACATGAGACTTACTTGCTCCAACTGATCACGATCACTCCCAAAATACCCAACCCAAAAACCGCATACAAAATCCCCAGAGTCTGCCAGACACGGATTTGCTCATTTTGCATTTCCTTTGAGCGCCACGCCTCGGGAATGTCCGAGTCGTCGACCACGGTGCCGACTTGTGGCCACTGCGGGTGTTGATACAACGACGTCGTGGATGCAGTGACGTTGTGGTATGAGCGGACTCCTGTGGAAGAGAGGGTCGCCGAGGTTTGGTTGACGTTGAGGGGTGAAGATGGGGCCAGAACCGGCGAGATGGTGATATACTCAGTTACGAACGTTGTGTAGCGATGTAAGGGGTTATCTGATTCTGCGAGGTATGGCAATTTGACCTCGGAGACTTTTAGCAATTTGAGGCTGTCAATGGAGACAGATGGTTTGGGGAGGAAGGTGTTTCGAGGTTCGACGGGAGAGGCCATGGTGTTGCTCTTGCTTTGAGCGAAGTTTTTGCCTTGATTGAAGCGATTGATTTGATTAGAGGTACAGAACGATCACGGTTGTGAGTTTCAACGTATGGAGATGCAACGACGGAAAGAAGGACATTAGAGAAGAGATAATATAGGCAATACCAGAAACCCTTTGATTGGATATATATTACAATCCAAACTTTTTTTCCATTACCTGCTGCGAACCAGAGAACGCAGGTCAGTCTGTCCAATAGCGACTGCCACCCCGCAACTCTCGTCAACACAAGTTTGATCGGCAACAACAGAAGCGGAAGGGTGGATCGTAATCTTCAATACAACGTAAAGAACGACCCAATGCGTCCAGTTTCTGAGATGCACACGTACATGATCTCTTCGTGGGGTGATTCTATTACTCCAATGAGTACGTGAACAAAACAGTGGACTGGCGAATGTTAGCAGGCTTGGAACCCTTTCAGAGCAAACCAGCGATGTGAACATGTATGTGACTCTGGTCCTCGGTATTGTACGTTTATTCAACAGGGTCTAAGACTAGGTTGTCGATCAACCGGACAGGAATTTGACCCCCACCAACGCCCAGTTCCTCGTCCTCTTGGGGCTCTTCAACAGGCAGCATCTTGACCGCGCCACTAAGAATCGCGCCCTTGGTTGCATCGACCTGATCCACTTCTTCCATGGTGTCCGGGTCCGCGAGACTGAGGTAATCGACTTGAAACCTGACGCGTTCGTTCGGTTCCATTGTCTCCTGCTCGAGTTGGACCTTGTCGCCATGATCAACAGCTGGCCACAGAATATCGCCCCGTAATCTTTTTCCAGCCTTGTACTGGGCCTCGGCCTTTCGCAGTGCCTGGTTGAGCACAATACCCACATTGCGTCGACGGGCGCCAAGATAGACATTACGAGAAGACAACGCCAAACCATCTGACTCTCGTGAGGTCGCGACAATTCGCACGTCCGTGTTTAGATGAAAGTCTTTGACGAGCCTCTTTATAACGACGGTTTGCTGAATGTCTTTTTGACCAAAGTAAACACGGTCGGGTGTGCAAATGTTGAACAATTTCATGCAGATTGTCGCTACACCGCGGAAGAAGACAGGTCTTGAGGCGCCTTCAAGCAGTTGACCCAACGGTCGCATCTCAACAAAGCTTCCTGCACCCGGTATGGCGCTATCAGGAGGCAGTATGGGATACATAACTTTGGTGCTCGGCGCAAACACAGCAGACACGCGTCCCTGGCCTGTGCTTGCCAGTTCTTGGTTCAGCTGGTGCAGCATTTCCAGGTCTGCTTCCCAAGTTTTTGGGTACGATGCCAGGTCCTCGTTCAAGCCGAATTGTGTGGGGTTCACGTAGACGGTAACGAAGACGTCTGTGTTCTCCGCAGCTGCTTGCCGGACAAGAGAAAGATGGCCAGCGTGCAGTGCCCCCATGGTAGGTACGAGGCCGACCGTACGGTTGTTGAAAAGGAGCTCTCGTCGAAATTTTCGCAATGGAGCTACATCATTAAAGATATGCGTTTGAGAGATCGTTGCGCTGCGGAGAGTCGCAGTGCTAGAGAGGTAGCGAATGCCACTGTTTAGAGCATAAGGTTTCAGTGAATGCGCGAAGCTCGAAGACAAACATGGCCGTAAGATTGGAGCTGTATGTTGTCAGTCTCGTGACTCGATGAGCTGTCGTGAGACCATGTACCGGCTGTGCAGCGGAGGTATGCCATAGTGAAGTTGCGGAGAAGCGTGAGACCACAGCTCCTGCCTTTGGTATTAGATTACCGCGATATATCGGCTTTGCTGTTGGGGTCGCCCTTTCCCAACCGGCGAGCGCAAGGATGGTGAGAGCACAGACATTCTCGCATGTGGAGAAGAGAACCAAGTTTCGAGTGCTGTGTTTTGCGCTGAAGATGCAGTCACGTCACGTGTGAAGAGACATGGGCTCCACTGAAAACAGACCCACTAAAATTTCGAAAGTTCGATTTCGAGAGTCGTCGCATCTGCACCCCACCCTCTGGTGAAGCCAACAACACCAACAATCTTGAGCAAAATGGCTGACGATGGCATGCTCCTCAACTTTTCCATACCCGATGGCGGTATACTAACTAAGCCAAGCATGAAGGGCGGTAATTGGCGAGAGCGAGCAACGGCAAAGAAAGCAGCGCAAAACTGGCACACGAAGGCTACAGCACGCCTGAACGGGGAGACGATCGCGAAGAAAGTGGTGGAGGAAAAGGCTACCGATGTGAACCGCACAGAGCTTGGTCCGAGGACGAGGCGCGTCTCCAAGAGTCCTGAACTGCCAGAAAGCAGCGAAAGGCCCGTAAAAAGAGCGCGTGTCAGCGGGGATTTCAGACCAAGGCCTGCCGAACAGGCAGGAGAAAGTGACTTCAGGCCTCAGTCAAATCCAGGTGTGACGAGAAAACCTGAAGAGAGGCAACAAGCGCCAAAAGGTGGAAAGCAGATCATCTCGTCTCTATTCACCTACAACCCCACTTCGACGACCAAGCCCGAAGTGAAAGCGCAAACCGAAGACGATGCGCCAGTCGAGCCCTCGAATGCGCCGCTCACGAGCGAGCTCGACACATTTACCTCACTGGGTATATCTACGACACTTGCGTCGCATCTGCTGAACAAGATGGAGCTGAAGGCGCCAACGGCTATTCAGAAGGCGGCAATAGCACAGCTGGTCAAGGATGACTCTGATGCGTTTATTCAGGCAGAGACAGGCTCTGGAAAGACCCTGGCATATCTGCTACCAATCGTACAGAGACTCATGGAGCTGTCGGCGAACATGAAGAAGCGGAAGGATGACGAGGCTGTACAGAGATCTTCAGGTCTGTTCGCGATCATCATGGCACCGACGCGAGAACTCAGCAAGCAAATCGCGCTCGTGCTGGAGAAGTTATTGGGATGCGCCCATTGGCTGGTAGCTACTACAGTCATTGGTGGAGAGAAGAAAAAGTCCGAGAAGGCACGTTTACGCAAGGGCATCAACATTTTGGTCGCGACTCCTGGTCGATTGGCAGACCATCTTGAACACACAGAAGCTCTGGACGTGAGCAATGTCAGGTGGCTCGTTTTGGATGAAGGAGATCGCCTGATGGAGCTCGGGTTCGAACAGGAGATTCAAAAGATCGTCGGTGCGCTCAACCTACGCATGCGAGCGAAGAAAGAGGGCAAATTCAAGATACCAGGACTGCCAGAGAAGCGTACGACTGTGCTTTGTTCTGCAACAATGAAAATGGATGTTGAGCGATTAGGCCAGATCAGTTTGAAGGATGCTGTACACATCCGAGCTGATCCTACTGAGAAGGAGAAAGATGAAGGCGAATCGCACGACGGTCGCACCTTCTTTGCGCCAGCACAGTTGAAGCAGTCTTATGCTGTGGTGGCGCCAAAACTTCGATTGGTCTCATTGATTGGGTTTTTGAAGCGAGCATTTTCGCGAAAGGGTTCAGTGATGAAAGCTGTTGTGTTCATCTCATGCGCAGATTCAGTCGACTTCCACTTCGACATCCTTACCAGCAAGCTCGAAGAGGACGAGGTCAAAAACGCCGTAGAGGAACCAGAAGAGAAAAACGCGGACGGATCATCAAAGCCCGCGAAGAAACCAAAAGCACCTCCTCAGGCCGATCCCACCAAGCTCACACTAACACATGCCGAATCTCCTATACTTGCTACCAAGACACATGCCGTAACTGCATATCGTCTCCACGGCTCTCTCCAACAATCGCTTCGAACATCGACCCTTGCTCACTTCGCCAAGAACACCGAGCCATCCATTCTCATTGCCACTGATGTCGCCTCGCGTGGTCTCGATGTGCCAAATGTAGATTTGGTAGTAGAGTTCGACCCCGCGTTCGCTCGCGAAGACCATCTACATCGTATCGGTCGTACCGCGCGTGCCGGACGCGACGGACGAGCATGTGTTTTCCTCATGCCCGGCTGCGAAGAGGGCTATGTCGACATCCTCAAGAGCGACCGCAAAGACAGCGAGGCCGGCGTCACCATCACACGCCAGGACGCTGATGAGATTCTGAAGCGAGGGCTCGTCACCTCCGGCATCGTCGAGAAGAACGCCTACATGGACAAAGCAACAGACCTCCAACTCGCCGTGGAACGCTGGGCCCTGGCTTCGCCACAACGTCTCGAAGCCGCACGCAGAGCTTACCAGAGCCATATTCGCGCTTACGCTACGCATGTCGCGCCCGAGCGTCAGTACTTCGACATCAAGTCGCTTCATCTTGGGCACTTGGCCAAGGCTTTCGCGCTCAGAGAACGACCTTCTGGTATGAAGGTTCCCGGCCTGCGTACGGGTGCTGGGCGCAGTGACAGGACGCCAGCCAAGATACGAGGCGCTGGCACGGGCGCGAAGCCAGACGGCGCGAGCAGGAAAACTGCTGCTACGGGTACGAAGAAGGCTGTGGATCTAGATCTTCCTGAGGGTCAGGATACCGAGGAGGCGGCCAAGATGCGAAAGGCGGTTCGTGCGAGGGAGAAGTTTATGCGGCATGCGGGAATGGCGAACGAGTTCAACTTGGGGTGAGAGTGGTGTTGCTACGAGTGCTACATATAATCAATACGAGTTTCGCGTTTACTTGGAGATATCCCTTATCGATGAGTTGCCAGAGCACCACATCTACTTAATCCCATTAGAAGCCCCACAACTCAACATCGCGTCTCCCTCACAGCACAGCCCTCCGCCCTTCCACCCACTCCCTAAACCAGCCCCCTCAGCACCGCCCACACTAAATCCCCCACGTCATACCGCACCAAATCGTACCAAACCACACCACACCCCACCGCACGACCCCCCTCCCGTACCAAACTCCGCCAACCAACCCCACCCCCCTACCAAACTTCAACGACTACGCCAACTCCGCAGCCCAGAGAAAAAATATGGTCATCTGCACTGCGCCGCACTGCACGGCCCCTTCCCCACGTAGGATAGTCAGGTTCCCTTCCCGTCCGCGTGCCTTGCATGAGTATGAGGTAGGGTGTTGCATCATCCCGGAGGGGGTGACGTAGGTAGCTATATGTAGGTATGGGTATGGGTGTAGATGTAGATGTAGATGGAGTGGCGAGTATGTGTGGATGTGTTGGGAGGCGCTGAGGGGGAAGGTCTATGTAGTGGGGTTTGTGCGTGTGTGAGTTCTGGTCTTGATGGGGGAGTTTGGTATATGGTGTGGTGTGCTGTATGTACGTGTTTAGGGTGTGGGTTTTCGTCGCATGCTATCCTTGCGAGGCACTGTTTATCGTTGTATGCCTACCGGATGTGGTTTCTCGCTGTGGGGATTTTTGTACGGGCTGTCCGCTTAGTCTTGTCCACCTCTCACTCACTCTCTTCTAGGAAATGCTGTGCGTGGATACCTACATAAACTGCAAAACCGACTGCCCTGATTCCTGCAAGACTTGCGGATAGATTAGCATCATCGAGATGGGAGTGTGGAACCGACGATCCGGCCTTCAATCAAAGTCAAATCCTTCCAAGAGACACAAAATCGGTGAGAGCAGAGATGAAGTATATTCATAGAAGTTAAAGGATATGATTGATCAACAAACGGGTGGGTGGGGGGAGATACAACAACTAAGCGTGAAAAAAAAGCGAAGAATATAACAAAAAAAGGAAATTGGATATTTTGACATTACCGGCACACACACACACATGCCATGACATGCCCACACACTTTTCCTCATCTTTGCCATGGCATGTATATCTGAAAAGAGATTCCCCACCCCCCGCCCGCCGTTCATAGGAAATACAAGACATGCGTAAAAGAAAACGTAGAAAAATAAGGGAAAGAAAAAGAGACACAGTCTAGATGGAGCGGACGATGCCGCGCGCGCGCGTGTGCGCGTTTGGCAAAGACAAATCGGTTCCAGATCGACCTCTTCCCCCCCCGTGAAAGCGCCAGGCAGTACGACCGTTTGTCAACACCAAGATCCCCCGAATGCGAAGCCCAAAAACAGAAAAGTGTCGAAGAGAAGGGTTGACTGGGGGGTGGGTCTGGGATGGCGACCGAACCCTTGAAGCCAAGAGTTAAACTGACAGTAATGTGCTAATGGTATCGCATCTTTCCCTCTAGCGGCCACATCTTGGCCCTCAGCAGCCAGGGAGGAGGTGGCTAGGTATCCTTCTCTTCGCGACGACATGCGCGACAATCGGCAACAACAACAACATCAATAGGACAACAACAAATAACAGCTCCGCGCTTCCTCTTACATGACTGTGCAACAGCAGCCCTTGTCGCCCGAATCCTCTTCGACGCCCATCTTGGCGACGCCGTTGGTGCCTTGGCCGCCTGCGCCTGGCGCGCCTGTGTAGGAAGACATTTCCTTGTTGTATCTGCGGATTTCTCGTACAATGTCGTAGAAGGCGTTGTCGACGTTGATGCGCGATTTGGCCGATGTCTCGATGAATTTGCAGCCGAATTGCCGTGCAAGGTCTTGGCCCTCTGGTGTGGGTTAGCATGGAGAGCGTGGGTGGGAGACGAGACGGGATAGCACGCACCCTGTGTCGACACCTGCCTCTCGCCCTCAAGATCGCACTTGTTGCCGACGACAATCATGGGGAAGTAGTCCTTGTCCTTGACGCGCAGGATCTGCTGCTGGAACGTCATGATCTCCTCGAAGCTCTGGCGGTCGGTTATCGAGTAGACGAGCAGGAAGCCCTCGCCGGTGCGCATGTACTGCTCGCGCATGGCCGAGTACTCCTCCTGGCCGGCTGTGTCGAGCACGTCGAGCAGGGCGACCTCGTCGTCGATGACACACTGCTTGCGGTACGAGTCTGGACGTGTTAGCTGGCGCGGCCGCGGTTGCACGGGGCGGCGACGACTCACCCTCGATGGTCGGGTCATACTCGTCGACGAAGTGGCTCTGGATCAGCTGGATGGTCAAACACGACTTTCCCACGCCACCACCGCCGACGACGACCAGCTTGTACTCGCGGAGGAACTGGCGCACGTTAGCAGGCGCCGCGGGGGACAGGAGGGCGCGACACGCACCTTTGAAGCCATTGCGGGCGTGTGTGTGTGTGCTGCAGATGAGGAGCGAGACGGCCGCGCTGTGAGGGAGCGTGTAGCTGCGTGGAGCTGGGGGCCGGGATGCGCTGCGACGGGTTCGTGCTGCAATTGGGGAGGCGGGAGGGCTCGGTCAGGGTCTGTCTGGGAGCGGCGGCGGCGATGTCAGGAGGCAGGCGCAGCAGGCAGAGGGCGCGGTGCGTGGAGGGCGATGGGCGAGGGCGCGGGAGGGCAGCGGATTAGTTGAGCACGCAGAGCAGAAGAGCGGTCGACTAGGGTGAGCAGGAAAGACGGACGGGCAGGAGTTCACGGTGCAGCCATGCCTGCGAGGCTAGCATGGGCGCTGATTCGCGGGCAGCCCTGCCCCGTGCATCCAGCGAAAAAGCAGCGCCCACCGCGCTGAGGCGTCTCCACAGCCATGTGGAGACGATACGGTCCGGATGATACAGCACAATAAATACCGCGACCATGCAGCCTGCGCATGCACCGCTGGCCACACCTGCTCCCGCGCGAACAGCGTGCACACTGGCAGCCTCAGTCGCTCCTGGCCGGGGACCCAGTTGCGACCCTCTCGCGCCGCCGCAGTGTGCACCACGCGAGCCAAGCTTTGGCGCAATCCATGCTGCCGATACCGTCAAAGGGGGTCTGCAGCGACGAGTGATTGCAGTCCAGGTCCCAAGCAGACCGCGTTGTGTTCGCGTCAACCCCCAACCAACCCTCGCTCCTGCACATGACGCCGACACTATGCGGGCGCCAATTCCAGCACGGCGGATGCGACACGGATTGGCATGCTTTGGAGCGGTGCAATCAGCCCTAGCACTCGCGCCCACCACACGCACGCGAGCATCGTGGCGCCCGTGGTATCGATACGAACTGGCTCTCGCAATGGGAAAGAAACGCGCGAGACAAAGCCTTTTTTCCACTGTTGAATTGCCTTATCGGGCCTTCACGCTGCCTCGGCACACTTGCTCGGGTGGGACAAGACTGCCTTCTGCAGAGCTTCGAGAAGCTTGCATGCCGGCCCTGCACGCCGACCCATCTTCATGTTGTGTCGCAACGACACGTCGCCGTCGACAATATGCACATTGAAATTCGTCCAAAAACCTACATGCCAACACACCATCCTGCCGACTACGTGTCTTTGTCAGACGTGTTTCCGTCGTCCTCTCCTTCGACCGCTACGCGCCGCCCCTGAACCGCCGCCTCCACTTCAGGCACAAGACTCTCCATGAACTCGCGATCGCGACCAACGAGCGTCACCGTGTTGCGATCTTTGCCCCAGCGCGGGTAGCTGCCCACCTTGACGCCCTTGGGCTCTGCCTTGGCTGCCAGCTCCGTCAGGTACCCCGCAACTGCACTCTCAGCTAGAGGGGTCGAGATAAGGATTCGTAGCACGCCTTTGCCCTCTGGATCCGACAGCCGTGGTAGCACGCGGGGCTTCAGTCCGTCAAGCATGGCCTCGAACAGCCTCGGCACGCCAGGCAGGATGTGGATGTTGCCATTCACACAACTGACTGGCACCCAGAGCGTTTCGTTCACAAAAATGACTTGATCCTCATCAGGTACCGCATCGTCTATGGGCAGCTCGACCATGCGCAACTTCGCCGTGAGCGCTGCAGAGGGTACGTTCCAGTCAAAGTTCTCCTGCGACTTGTGCGGCTTGGAGAGACGCTTCATGCGCTCAAAGGCCGCGTCGTGCAGCTTCAATTGCAAGCCAAAAGCCCTGGCTATGGACTGGTAAGTAATGTCGTCGTGTCTGGAACGCACATGATATCAGCAACTATCGCACAGCGCATGCAGAGGCCAACCCACGTGGGTCCAATTCCTCCTGACGTGACAACCATATCATAGTTCTTGGACATGCGTGTGACCGCCTCGACAATCTCACTCTCATCATCCGCAATGACCTCCACGCGGCGGAGATTGATGCCGAGTGAGAAACAAAATTTGGCAAAATAGGCCTATATTCCTTCGCTGAGCTATTGAATGAGGGCAATCTCAATGTGGAGTAATTTACCGAATTTGTATCAACCGTCTACCAAACAGATCAGCCGTTTAATCCTCCTGACTCGGGAGGAAATTTGAACTCACCTTGCCCCCCAGCACCTCATCTCCAATAATCAAACAGGCGGCCGTGTGGATCAGGCCTTTCTGCTGTGTCGAAGTCATGATTGATGACGTTATCGACGACGCTCGGCTCGCTGCAGCTGCGTGCGCGTAGTTTGGGAGCGGGCGTGAAATATGTCGAGCGACCTGACCGAGTCGTCTGAACATGGAATTGTCAAGAGAAAATACAGATCAAACCACAATACGTCTGAATCAAAGGCGGTGCAAGAAAGAGAAGAAAGAGAAGCAAAGCTGCCCATGAATCTCAAGAAGCTTAGTCCATATCACTAGCGCTACCTCTGACATGACGCGCCCCCACTATGCTCTTCAGCCCTACACCACTGCCCCTCACGAACCACTTTACAACTTTCCCTGAAAAACCACAGCGGAAGTCTTCCCTCTTCAGCATGGTACGTTCCGCCCTGACCGCCGCCAAACACGCACTCCGTCTGCTAACACGGCGCCAGGCCTCCGAATCCCGCCTCTACACCTTCTCCGCCGAGACGCAGACCAAGCTGCGCAAGTTCCGGCTGGGCACCTCGCGCGCCAAAGACCCGCAGGCAGTCATCTGTACGGGTTTGCGCCTGCTCCCCTCCCTCGCACGGGGCTGATTGCGCCACCCCAGACGAAATCGACAAGAAGACGCTGGAAATTCGCCCTGTCGACGATGAAGTTTACACGGATGTGCAGAGCCTCGCCGATGACCTGCCCGAACACGCGCCCAGATATGTGCTGCTGAGCTATCCACTGACACTTGTACGTTTCTTCCTGGGAACACTCTCTGTGAAATTGGGTGGGCTGACTGGAGTGGGATAGGACTCTGGACGGTTGAGCGTCCCGTATGTTATGTTGTATTATCTGCCAGTGACGTGCAACAATGAGGTTAAGATGCTGTATGCCAGCGCGAAGGAGTTGATGAGGAACACGGCCGAGGTCAATCGAATCATTGAGATTGATGCCGCCGAGGACATCGAGGACATCGAGGAGAAATTGAAGGAGACGTGAGAGAAGAGAGTACAAACCAGGAAGACCCTTCTGGGAGTCGAACGTTATCAGGAATGGACGAGAACATGATCGGTGGGCATCTACATACAACATCACAGCAGGGATTCGGACCTGGGTATCAAGTTGCTACGTAAAACGGACGATCATCGACAAGATTGGATAACGCAAGTGAGTCGAGAAGCTGGAGAACGAGCCGCTACACAATGGTGACTGGTGAAGTCTTCTCTGACCGAGCAGTAACATACGTCTAAACCTTCTCAACAGGCTCTTTCGTTGCCGCAGCACGCTCAAAGTCAGACTGGAAGCCTCCCTCAGGCAACTTGTCGAGGCTGTCGTTCTCCTTGTCCAAATCCCTAAACGTCCACCAGAAACCCACCCATCCAATGAAGGTAAGAATGGCAATGGTAACGTAGAGCCAGACCAACAGCGGGTCTGCAGCCAGGGGCACAAACGCTTGCGCGATAGCCGAGGAGAACGCATGTGTGAACCAGAACACGCCCGTAACCAAACTGCGCATATTTTTAGGAGCCTTTGTGTATGCGTATTCCAAGCCTAAAAGATGGCGTCAGTGTGAAAAGGTAGATGAGAAATTGAATTGGAAATCTGGAACTGACCTGTAATGGAGGCGAAGATCTCCGAGAAAGCAATCAGGATGTACGCTGGCGTTTGCACCCACACGTCGAGATTGGGCGTCTCGTCGCAGGAGCTGGCGCCCTTTCCGCACGGCGACTTGGCGTAGATGAAGTGCTGCACTACGGCCGCGACGACCATGCTGAGCATCGCACACGCGAAGCCGGCTTGTATCTTCTTCAGGGGCGTGAAGTTGATCCCGATGCGCGCAAGCCAGGGGTAGAAGAACTTGTCGAATATCGGGATGAAGATGAGAAGTGTAAAGGGGTTGAGGTTCTGGACTACATCGTTTGGAACGCCGTTGAGCTGCATGGTGGCCGCCTGGGATGTCAAGTTTGATGTCATCTGTCCGTATGGCAGCCAGAAGATGGGCAGCCAGAGGAACACGTAGCAGGCTTTGAATCCACGGCGTACTTCGTCCACCCAGGCGTCGTTGAACGTCATCCATTTGGGCTTGTTGGTCATGGTGCTCGGCCGCACTTTCTCCCACTTGTTCGCATCTTCGAGGTTTCTCCACGTCCGCACCGGATTGAGCGACCATCGTCCTTTTAGGACCAGCGCGTAGAGTTTCACTGACTTGACCAGTACGTCTCCTTGCGGTGGTTTCTTGACATAATGCTTGCTGAACAGCACCATCAAGAGCGGGCAGAAGACGAAGAGGATAGTAGGAAGCGTAAACGAAAGCCAAAAGCCCACATACTTCTCCGCATAGACCATAGAGATCTGGCCCACCAAAGCGCCGATGTTGATCAAGAGATAGTAACGCATGTATATGCGGGATATTGTGATTCCGGGATCGACAATGACGCGCTCCCCGCTTGGCTCGACGCGGATCAGGGCCCGGGGGTTCTCGTGCTCGTACTGCTCCGCAATGAGAGGCGAGATGCAGCATTTGAACAGACCGACTCCGCTGCCGAATAAGATGAGGCCGACGATGAACAGCCCCAGAGCGCCTTTGGGCATGGCTATCACCGCGGGGATGGCGGCGATGATCAGGAAAATGTGGCCGCTGGTGGCTAGCACGATGGCAAGGTAGATGGTCTTGAACTTGCCCCAGTACTCGTCTGCCAGCCAGCCACCTTGGATTCAAGTCAGTTATGTCGATGCGGAGAAGCATATTCCCAAACTCACCGACCATAGGCATGATATAAGAGAAAAACGCATTGAACTGAACAAGTCCCGTAGAAGCCCTCTGTCCCATACCCAGCGCCCCCGCCTGTCCATTCGTGCCCGCAGCACCCGCTGCCGGAAATGGTCCCGAAGTAGGCAGATCCTGCTGGATGAAGTTGACAACTAAACCATATCAGCGCCGCGCAGCCAAACACAGCCATATATCAGCGCATACAAACGATAGTCGTCCCATAATACGCGAATCTCTCGCACATCTCGATAATGCCGATGATGTAGATCATCCAGTTTACCCTGCCGTAGACGCGCCGTAGCGTGGCCCAGTCTGCTTCTGATGGGTATTCGTCGCCATTCGGGCCCATGAGGTCGGTGGAGGTGAGGCTGTGTTGCTTTTCTGAGATCGTCTGATCCTGTAAACCTTTCTGAATAGCTGGGTAGTTTGCCGCTGCGGCGTCTGCGACTTCGAGAGCGGCGCCCGAGGACATGGCGAGCTGGGTGGAGGGGGGCGATGCTATATTGTCGGACGGTCGTTGGGGTTAAATATACGTCAAGTGCTTGTTCTTTTCGATTGCGAGCTGCCATATCCAGCAAGCTCGTTGTTCACATCTGGTCAAATGGCTTTCCACGACGTCCTTGGCGCCAACATGCGAATCGGCAGTGCCCAGAGATAAACGTCCTGCGCCCACATAGTCGTTGCAGTGTGAGGTTTGGCGCCGAGGACCGCCAAAACGACACCCCGCACCATCCACCATCCATTCCTCTACGATCATCGCCAAGATCAGCAAGTAGAGATATCGAATAATCCAAAGACAAAGAAAACTCCAGATGATAATCGACATCAAAGCCCATAAACGCACAAACTTCTCATAAGGAAAGACACTGACGTTTCAGATCAGCAAAACCCAAACATTTTATCAACTCGATATGGGGAATGACTGCTAGCCATTGACCAAGACAACACTCCAGTGCCCCCCGCCGTAACGCCCAGATATGCGGATATCTATCTTTCTTGTCATGTGCCTGTTGTGGGTAAGATCGGATGGTCAATATGGTGGCGTGTCGGTGCGTAGTATCGGTTGTTACTTGAGTCTAGCTCGCGCGAGGGGTGATTGTTGGACTGAGGGGGGGATGGGTGGTGTGGTTGTTGTTGGGTTGGCGTAGTCTGACGAGACAAGATAGGTGTACTGCGATGCTCACTCCGTTGTTGTCATGGATCGGATGCTGAACTTCGAGGCTGAGATATGGACGACTCTGCGATGGAGTGCAACCTTTTGAAAACACAACCATCGTTTAATCTTGCCTGTACGCTTGCCTTCATCATGTCGTTATAAACAAAGAACATTCAACCAACATCGTGATTGAGAAGTTGGAGTGAACTTATTGCTTGGTACTTCCCAGCCTAGTTACACTGTCTAAATAGACTCAATTCACCGAGCATGTGAAATTGACCTTGTGAGAATTCACTAAACGTTGTTGTGTGACTTTGATAAGAAACTTCCCACCAGAAGCAGAAACACTACACACATTGTTGAGAACTTGGGAAAGCAACTCTCGGTGGTTGTTTAGTAGGCGATATCAATCACGGTAACGGAATACACCCTTTTGCGTTTCGGAGTTCTACACGCGTTTGAATTTCCAGTCAACCCAAGCTCTGTGATAAGATCTCAAACACTGCTAGGGCGTTCACAAGATCACCCAGTTCGGTATCAACTTTCGAGGTGTAGTTGTTCTTACTTCACTATGGAGTCACGGCCTCTCAGTATGCCCGATGCTAGTAGTTTCATCAAGCCATGTGCTTCTCCAAAAACGCACTCATGCATACCGAATGATAGCAGGCCACCATACCCAACTCAAGGTCCCACTCGATTTGAAGGGCAGTTGCACGGCGAGCAACATGAGAGCGAAAGCCCCTGGGGACCGCATACGCACATCCGCCAGCCTTCAGCAGAAGACTTCATCCACCCTGTTCGATCCCAGCTTCGCACGTCTAGCGACGAGTCTCTCCCTGACAAGACACTCCCGGTACTCGAGCCCGTCCTCCACCACCACAAGAACCCTATACTTGACCCATCCGTGAGCAGCCCAACCAATTCACACAACAGCACACCCTCCCCAACCCCCAAAGCAGCACATCACAGTCATCATAGTTCGTCCGCAAAGCCCTGCCCTCCACTGAACACCGATCAATTTTCCACATCTCCACTCGAAACCTCTCCCCCCGTCCCCCTTACAGCAAATGACTCAGTCCCTAGTCGCGAAACGACAAACCAGCGCGTCCCGTCCATGCGAAGCGATCTGTTCTCTCCCGTGTTAGGTGGTTTTCGCCGCGTTAGCTCCGCGCGGAGGGAAGAGACGAGACGCGAGCGCGTGAAGGAGTTTTGGAGGGAGACGAAAGGGTGCTTGTGGTTTCGACGGCATGGTTAGGGTGGTTGTGTGGGTGTTTGGTTGGAAGGTTGGGGGTGTTGGGTTCGGAGAGATGTGCTGATCATTGTCTTTGGGGCACTTGTGTGTCTGTTGATTATGGGTGGAGTTTGATATGTGAAGTAGGGGGTAGTCATAAGGAATCCATGATTACACCTCGTTCTCTCTCCACATTTTCTGCGCTTCTATCGTTTGACCTACCCATATACTTCTTATCTTGCTCTCTGCACACAACTCAATTATGGCCACACATCGAATCAGCGCCTGCGACAATTAGTTCAGCGGCAAGACGATAACTCTGGCTCATTCACAAGTGTGATATTCGGGTATCCATATCCACAAATCCCCCATCTCACCCCAACACCAACACCCTCACAAGAAATACTCTGCACGACAATCCATCATGAGCGCACTGTCGGGATGAAGACCCAACGGTATTCTAACCTGTCTATTCTTCCCATCCACCTCCATCTCCCCTTCCTATAGGAAATAATCCGCAACCGGTTTCTTCGCGGGCATACCCCGAGAGTCTTGTGGCGCAGCCTCGAAAACCCGGTACCTCCGTCCAGGGCCGTCTCTATTCATCTGCATGCTGTCGCCGAGCACAGAACTCAAGCGCCGCTCGCCATTTGCGCCTGCGTTCGAACCCAAGACCCAGCCTCCTCCTCCACCGCCTCGGTCGCCATTACTCCTGCGTTGGAATCCGGCATTCGATCCGTCTTCGCCGAGCTCGAGGATGGCAGCTACGTTACCACAACGGTAGCAGTAGTTGGGTGCTGACCACACGGTGACAATTGTCGAATCAAACATCTCCTTGAACCCTTCCATGACCAGTTGATGCGCTCTTGCGATGAGACTGAGGTCGTTTTTATGGTTGAACACTTTGACAATATCTGCGCCAAATAGAAAGCCTGCACCGCGTGGTGACAAGCCCCAACCGTCAATTTCATCTGGATCTGACCATAAAAGATCGCACATGGCGCCTTCGTGTGGCACCTCTTGTTTCCGGTCGAGCAGCCTGATTTTATCAATGGTCTCGACGAGGGGCGACAAACCGCCGTGCACACAGAGGATGGCGCCTGTGTCGTTCCTGCTCGACCCGTTTGCGGAAGATGTAGCACCCGTACCAGCAGCACCGACTCGCGATGGTGTAGGAGCAACTGGAGAGGAGGAGCCCATGTTAGCGCTTGCCTGCGAGGTGATGCTTGACTGAGAGTCCGAGTTGCGCGCGTATCGATACATAATCTCGCCGTTGGCGTTGAGTGTCTCAATCTCGATGTCTTGGTCGATGTCAGGCATACTCTCCATGTTGCTGTTCTCAGCGATGGGCCCGTCGGTGGGCTGGAGGGATGTTGCGGCGCCAGATACCAGAGCGCCGAGCGCGAGATAGTCGAAGACCTCACAACAGTATCTGTAGAAATTAGCGATCTAACCTGATGCAGATGGAGCCACGGTTTTGCCTACCTCCACACGTTTGCGCTACCATATTTCCTCAAGCACTCGTCGTAGAAACCATATACAGTCGTTATCTGTCGCGATTCGTGGTTGCCTCGGATGAGTGTTATCCTATCGGGATATCGGACTTTGAGGCAGAGGAGGAGGAGGAAGGACTCGAGAGAATAGAAACCACGGTCAACAAAGTCACCTGCGAAATAGTGAGCGTTTGTCATTTTCCAGTGTGGCGTAGCTTGAGCGCATACCCATGAACAGGTAGTTTGTATCTGGTACGTCTCCGCCTACACGGAAGAGCTCCATAAGGTCGTGAAACTGGCCATGGATATCACCACATATCTATCGTTGCATGCGATTAGCACCGTCAGCGATGCGTGACAAGGTCGTATCCATACCGTCACTGGCGCATCTACTCCAACCACATTCCCTTCCTCGATCAACAGCTCACGCGCCTTGTAGCATAATTCCCGGACTTGGTTTTCCGGGATGGGACGACATGCACGGAGCTGTTGTATGGCTCTGTGACGGCTATTAGTGCCGTACTGGAGGCAGGCTGAGAAATCCTACTTGTCGAGGTCACTCCCACCGCTGCTCATGGTTGCAGCTATGCGCTATCTGCCCTGGGGTCTGTGTAGGGAATTGTGGTGTGTCGGTCAGGTATGCAGCTATCCTAGCTCTTGCGCGCGATGGCCAAATGTCACGGCGGCGTAGTCGTGGATTGTTAGTATCGTTGTGCGTTGCGACGCGTTGAAGGTGTACAAGACAGGGTCGCAAACGTATCTGGAAGGTCGTGCGAGGCGCAATGGCGATCAACAGCGCAGACAGAAGAATAGCGACTCGCGCAGTTTGAGTGGCACTGGTGAAATGATGTCGAGCAGCTGGGAGCGGGCTCCCGAGCTGCAGGGATCGTCGTCTCGGCCTGCCGGAGCTAGTTCAGTGGGTCGCTTCACCACCAGAAGTCCATCACCACCTCCAACCCCGCGCCCCGCGTCCAAGCACCATCCGCACTCGCTCGAGGCATCCCAATTGGCCTGGTACGACACTTCACATCATCTAAACCCCCAGCATCAGCCATTGACGCCCTGCAGGACCCAGCGATGCCTCCTCGATATTCTCAATAGCTCTCCAACTTCACGAATTTACCATGCCTCCGCACCTCCACCCGCGGTCGCGCATGACGACCTCGCTTTTTACCACTACCCTCATGGTCTCCTTCCTCGTTGTCGCTACACCACATCTCCTGCCGTGTCCAGTGGATCCGCGGATGCTCGCCGACTCACCTGATCCAGAGAAAAGACGAAGACGGAGACGGGAAAATCCGCAAGATGAAACCTGCAACGATGTGATGGGCGAGGAGCGGAGGAAGAGAAAATTGCTTGAGGAGAAACTGTCACCAAAGAGGGAGTGTCCCATACCCAAACCAGGTGGACTGGTTGGACAGGTGCTTGGGTTAAAGAGTGAGGAAAGAGACGGGCTTGAGGAGCGTTTGTCTGTTACAGAGCACGTTGAGAAAGCAAGATCCAGGGAGCAGCCAAATGACAACCAATAACACGATACAACGTACAATCGATGAACATGTAACAAGTCGAAGAGGTGGAGTTCTGCACACCAGAAGAGGGCATACCCAAGTTAGGACGCAAGATATCAAGTGTATCATATCTGTAGAGTTCACGAAATAGGATAGAGATACGCATCAACACAAACAACATCTCAAACAAACCTGCCATCTACCCCACATTGTATTCCACAAAGACCTACTCATCAATACCTAGTCAATCTTCTAAGTCCTCCATCCGCACTTTTTCAGATCAAGGCGTCTCTACCGAGATATGCTTCGATCAGAGATTGTGCTGAAAGTCTCGTGAGCACCAGGATTCAGTCACTGTTGAGCATGGAGTGATATTACAAGAAGTTTTGCTTCATCGACTCGAATAGGATGCAAAATGTCGTCCACAGTCTGTACCATCGGTACTTTTCGTTACGGGCCTCCGACCACGCTAAACATGTCAGAGCAGTGGACGAATAACGTGATCGCGTGTCGCGTTGGCGCTCAAATGCACTACGTCATCCCATCACCCTTAAACCACAAACTCCCTAAATATACAATTCTTCCCAGCCCCTATCCAAAACGTGTTTTCGTCCTTCACTCAGACTAACAACCGTACACGCCCCAACCATGCCCGCCCACGCCCTCTCCAAAGCCCACAAAATGAGCTACCGCATTGGCCGCGGCGAAACCCTCGTCCTAACCTTCGAGCCCTATAAATCCGAAATTCTGCCTCTCTGGCGCTTCCGCACCCCAACCATCGCGCGACAATCCTCAGCCGCCATCTACGCGAAGTTCCTCGAGTACAATGACGCAGACGACTTCGTCGGCATGGACATGAGCCGCAAGTTCCTGCAGATGGGCATGACGCGCGCGAAGCGGTATGCTAATCATAAAGGGGGAAGGAAGTACGACAAAGAGACGGGCGAGGAGCTGGAAAAGAGCAAGGGTCATGAGGGCATGGATGAGAAGTTGGAGGCTAGTGAGATCTTCAAGGGGGTGTGGGAGAGGGCCAAGGCGTTTGAGGGGTATGTGGAGAAGAAGGAGAGGTTTCAGAAGGAGCAGAAGGAGTGGGATAAGCAGCAGAAGAAGGAGGAGAAGATGGATGCGCTGGAGGTGAAGCAGGAGGTCAAAGAGGAGGAGATGGAGACAGAAGTCAAAGTGGAGGAGGGGATGGAGAAGGAGAAGAGCAAAAGACAGCAAAAGACAAAGGTGAAAGAGGAGCCAAAGGAATGATGACCGGATAGTGTTCCCACTCACTATGCTGCTGGGCTTCGGTTCCGCATTTACGGTGCACTCGCCGCTCAATGTCATGCTAAGTGACTTTCAACCATGTCCAACCCATCTTAAATGAAGTAAGAGAGGCAGAAAGGAGAGCAAAAACAAGAACCGAGCATTCTGCGACTCGAACGCAGGTCTCTCCCACGGGTGACGCCAGAGTCTCTCTTGTAGATACCACCGCCCTTTGGTCGGGATCCGCAGGTAACCGTTAAGTTCCTGGATCTAGCAAGAAATGTGGTCTCGACAGTTGAGCGGGAGCATCCTACCACTGGACCAAACGCTCTAATATCAATGATGGAAGTAACATCGATTGGTAAACACATGTACAAGAGACCAGATGAAACAAGTTCAGCTGCACTCACTCCAAAAGAGGGGGGAAGGGTAAGAGAGAGTGCCTTACAATGGCCCAGGTGATAGAACGCTACGACGACATCTCCTGGACGTTATACGACACCAAGCAACAGTGATACATCTCCACTCCGCACAAAATAAGCAAAAAAGTATCAAATCGGGCACTCTGCGGTTCGAACGCAGGCTTCTCCCAGAATACACGCAGGCTTGCTTCTCGGTAGAAACCACCGCTGCGGATCCACAGGTAACAATGAAGTTCCTGGATCTACCGAGTTTAGCGGTGCCCGCATTCGTATGGGAGCGTCTTGACCACTGGACCAAATGCTCTTATATTAGATTGATGGAAGCGACGTCAATTGATGGATGGATATAGAGGAAATTGGATAAGACATGTTTGTCGAAGTGGACGCATCAGAGAGGACAGCAGTAAAAAGAGAACACTTGAGCGTATCGTAACCGAGTATGAAAGTACCTAATGATGATACCTCAATGGCTGTTTGAATATCGAACGAGCACCTTGCTATCCTGCAAAAAGGTAGCAAAAAAGAAATTGGGTTGGGCTCTCTGTGATTCGAACACAGGCTTCTCACAGGTCAAGCGGATGCTGCCATCAAGCAAACCCTCCGCGTACAGTGAAGCACGGGGCACAAGCAACGGTTAAGTTACCTGGTAGAGGGCTCACGAGGTTCCGCATTCTACGCCTTTTTGTGAGCGTCCTACCACTAGACTAAGTGCCCGCGATGACTGTTGTTGAAACATATGTCAATTATCAGACATGTATACCGAAGTTGATATACGAAGAGTTGAAACATACGTATGGCCAAAGAAGGAGTCAAGGGTTGATCTGAGCAAGAGCAGTTCAGCGGTGCTTTGCGCCACTTTGACCCTCACGAGGCAACACAGTAATAGAAGCGTGTCTCCAGCAAAGCAGCGGAACTACTGCAATTGGGCACTCAGCAATTCCACCACACGCTTCTCACTCCTTGTAATGTATTTATCAAAGCGGCCAAGTAGGTTATACCCTCTATCGAGACGTGGTATGGAGATATTCAAATCGCAGTTCAGTACTTAGATGTAATGATTTCAGCAGTGTGATCATTAGCCATACGTCTTACCACAAAAGCAAGTGCTCTCCCGCATTTAATGAAATATGAAGCTGTTGTGACGTACAAAGAAGTTCATTGACTATCAAGTGCGCAAAGTGCAAGAAAATATAGGTTACAGTAGATCAAGACTAGGTGGAATTAAAAAGGTGCACGATATCCATCCCAGATTACAGACAGGTAGCAAAAAGATCATATCTTGGGCTCTCTGCGATTCGAACGCAGGATCTCTCGCAAGAACACTACATCTGCTACAGATGGGGTAGAACCTTATAGCCACATAGCACGGTTAAGTGCTACGACAGGTACTGCGACAGGCGCTACGACCAGGCCTAGAACTATTGCGAGCGTCTTGCCACTCGACCAAGAGCCCTATACTTTGATGTAATGGAGAAAATTTACTATGAATATGTAGGGCAAGCTATGCGTAAGACAGGAAACGAAAAGAGGAAGCTGAGCTTCGAGACTTCAAGTAAAAGACCATTTTCATATCACCCTCTAAAATCTTATTGAATGCCTATTGAAAACACCGTTTCCATCACTTGAGTCTGTGCCAAAGGGATGGGAAAACAGATTTACGTTCCGCAACTCACCCACAAATCTTTCATAGGCATAACCACCTCTTACATAGATAGAGTAGGATGTGCAATGCATGCCTTTGCGCGGTCTTGCTTCCAACAGCATGATTTCACACTTCGCAGCCTTAGCACGTTCGCGAATACCTTACTACTGATCTAAACGCCTAGCACATCTTCTTGAGAGGAGGAAAGATGGTATGAGGTTGTGTAACCAACCCATGGTACAAAAAGAGAACATGCTACCGATTCTCGAACCTCACTTCATGACCCTTTTTGCTATCCAGCAAGAACCCCAATATTCGTGACGGGCAAGAGAACGCGTCACAAAAGTGCAGTGCAGTCTACCTAACCCTATGCAAGATACCATCGTCCAATTCTCCCCCGACGAATCACTCTACCCAACACCACCCGCCCCAACACAAACAAACAGAAAAAAACTCCAAAAAAGAAAGGACACTCTGCGATTCGAACGCAGGTTCTCTCGCACGAAAACCCACAGAGGCATAGACGGCAATCCTCAGCCAACTTTCGTCGACTACTGTCTTCCTGACAGATTTTGTGGTTTGATTGTTTCATGCGAGCGTCATACCGCTAGACCAAGTGCCCGATAGAGATGATTGATGGAAGTAATGGCGAGTTGTTGTTGTTTTGTAGGGGAAGGGATATAGTAGAGTGAAAGATGGAGGGTGGGCGGGGGAAGTGGAGATTGTTTTTTTCTTCACATGCGGTGTGTTTACGCGCTGGAGATGCTTTCACTTTCACTTCCAGGCTGCGAGATCGCGGGAATGGGGACGGATGTTTGGAGCGCGCTGGACAGGTAAAAAAGATGTGTATACAGTGTTCGATGTCCTACCGTTTACACATACACATGCTTTTACCTCCAGTCCCTCCCTATTTCCCACACTCTCACCACACTCACCACGGTCCACCACATCCACCCTCCCCCCACACAAAAAAACATTGGACACTCTACGATTCGAACGTAGGTCTCTCGCAAGCGACCTAAACAAGCTTCAACTAGACTGGGCTAGGTTGGATCTGCTGCAGATCTATATCGGTCGAAGACTCGTGTAACAGAGACTTCTTCCTTGCCGACACGGTTAAGTGTCCGAGATCAGGCGCTCTGCTGTGGGTTGCGAGGGTCTTACCACTGGACCAAGTGCCCTTGGTGTTTTGTTGAGGAGATGGTGGGGATGGGGCGTTATGTAGAGGTGGCGGTGCTGGGATTGCATTTGAATGCATAGGTTGGAGGGAAGGGGGAGTTTGCGGTAGCGTTGTGTATGATGGTGATATGCTCGAGACGGAAGAAGTATACCGACATGTCCTGGAGAGATGAGAGATGCCGTTGTATCTTATAGTCCACACTCAATCTACAACCTCAATCTTCTTACCATTTCACCTCAAATCCGCACCGGAGAGACATCTTGCATGTTTCCAGTTAACCACACCGCATCCGTCCAACTCTATCCCAGTCATACAAACCTACATATATCCTCCAACTCACTACCCACTCCTTTCATCGAGACTGCCTCTCAACATGCATATAGTGTCCAGCTTCCCTATCACGCACTCCGTCAGTTCCGCCGCACCTCTCAAATATCCGGCAGTGCAGTGTAGTGCAGCACAGTGTCTCCTCATTTCCCATCCCGTCTTCCATCTCCTAGTGAATCTCGCGGTGGACTACCAACCCCGTTTCTTTCCGCACTAACAGTCTGTTTCCTCAACACCACAGCAAGACCGGGGACTGACGAAAGAAGATCCAACCCCCAAGAAATACACCGTCAACACGAGTCGGCAGGTCAGTGGCATCGCCGTGTATATCTGACTTTCGAATTATGGGTATACAAATGAATAAATACACCACGCTCCCAAAAATTGTAATGAAGAAGATTTACCCCCTTACTCCAACCACCAGCAAAAAAACATAATTATCACCAATTCCACGTCCTCGACGCGGCCGAGAAAACGGGCGGTTTCCAAATCAGCCTCTCGGGATCAATACTCCTCTTCCCCTTAATCTTCTCCTTAGCCTTCTGCCGTTCCCTCTGCGCAATCACCGCATCCGTCAGCACAACCACATGCTGATTCTTGCTATACCTCAGCATGTTAAGATTCTGCAGCGTATGCAGCACATCATTCGTCGTCATTGCCGTCGCCGCGCCCAAGTCCTCGATATTCGCTTCCGTGCGGTCCGTCTCCATGAGCAGATCGACGAGGATTTCCTGCCAGTAGGCGCGGTAGCCCAGCAGCCCGAGGTCGGAGAGGGGTTTCTCAGGCGACCCCAGTTTGGCCTCGCGCTTGGAGAGCAGGTAGGAGAAGTCTATCAGCAGCTTGCCGAAGCCCTTGCGTTGGTATTGCGGGAGCGTCAGGATACAAGCGACGTTGTACCCCTCGGCCGACTCCTTCTCCTTGCTGAAGTAGCCGACGAAGTGGCACCCGTGCTCGTCGCGCGTGCACATGCAGTAGAAGAGGAACGGGTCGACGTCGTAGTACAGCGTCTTGTGGTCCAGGAACAGCTTCGACAGCAGACACAAGTTGCGACACCACGTGCGCTGGCGGCGCCCGTCGATCTCGAAAAACGACACGTAGTCGTCGCGGTAGATTTCGTTCCCGGGCGGGTGTAAGAGCGTGCACTTTGTGCGGTGGCGCTCGAACTGCGTCACCTCGCCGAAGTAGGACAGGCAGAATTCGCAGATGTAGACTACATCTGAGTCTACGAAGTCAACGGGGTAGGGCGAGAAGTACCAGGGCTCGACTTCGAATTTCCCCATCTGAACGGTTTCGAGGTTGCGTACGCGGGAGATTTCTGTTTGGTTTTGTGTCATGGAACCAGATGTGCGCAGCTTTTCTATCTCGTCTTCGCGCGAGTAGTTTTGCTCTGGCATGGCTTTGGCGGCGGCGGCGGCGTCCTGCACGTCCACGAGATCCATCTCCTCATCCTCGGGCTTTGGTGTCGCGCCATCCGCAACCTCACTGGTGATGAGTAAGTCCTGGTTCTCCTTCCCGCTTGCCCTGGAGGAGCGAGAAGCTTTGCCCTGCACCGACGCAGATTCAGGAGTGCCGGAGATTTCTCGATCGAGCTTGCTGCGCGATCGCTTGAGGCTCTTCTGGTCTGACTTGGGGGGTGCTTTGTCTGTCTTGGACGAACTGGCCTTTTTCTTGTCGGACTTGTCTGGCGGGGGCCATTCGACTTCCCGGGATAGGTCTATGCGCTCTGCTTCGATCCATTCGTCGAGACGCTTGTTGAACTCCTCGTAATGCACGTAGAACTTGGGTCTGCCTTGGCGTGTTTGTATGGAAAGGACCTCTGCCTTGCGTCTCTCGCCATCCTTTGGGTTGTTAGTAGAAGGACAAGAATAGGTGTGCTGAGAAACTTGGACAACAAAACAATAATAAGAAAAAGAACAGAATTCAGTGATAGGTGAATCTTCAAGTAGAGAGGTTGAAAGAGAATTAAGGAAATGTTGATTTTGATGTTGATGTTCCTCCCAGTCGCATGCATGCATGCATCGTACATCGCGAACTCACGCGCCGCGTCTCAACGTACCTTCTCAACCCATGCCTTCACACCAACCCTGATCGCAACACATCAGCACACATCTTCCCACCCCGTGCATCACGTCGCACATACCTCAGCTGCGCCAGGGTAGCAAAGCCCATTTCGACCGGAACCGGTGTGCCGGAGGGCTCGTGAGAATTTTCCCGGGGCGCCATAGCTCTTTCCTATACCCTATACAATGCAGACAAATTATGAAGCACGTCGTGGGCGATGCAGTCGTGATGAAGTTGATGGTCGTTGCGAATCCCTTGATCGTCTCCGTTCGCAGCGGCGTGTCGGGCATAGCGGAATGTAAGGGGCCCGAGCGTAACCGTTGGAACAAGACAGTTGGGCAAGGCTTCCACCCACCGCAATGTGACTACTCTCCTATCCGTTCACCGCCCCACCTCAGCTTAACTTGCGATAACCCCACCGCCTGTGTTCTTTGTTCCTTCCCGACTCTCACTTTCTCCCCGTGTACGGCTTGCAGAGACGTTTATACTTCACAATGGCACAATCAGGGTACTCGAATCCGCTGAAGAAGTTCAAGTGAGTGGACATGGCAAGGATGTGGGCGTGTGTGCATGCTGATGCGTGATAGGCTTGTGTTTCTGGGCGAGCAGAGCGGTATGCAACTTTGGCAACTGAGATGGAGCAGAGCGCTGGCTGACTGTTGAATAGTGGGCAAGACGTCTCTAATCACACGGTTCATGTACGACTCCTTCGACAACACATACCAAGCAACCATCGGCATAGACTTTCTTAGCAAGGTGCGCCCGCCCTGCATACACCTTCCACACCTCCCCCGAACAACGGTCCTAACAAGCCCAGACTATGTACCTCGAAGACCGCACCGTACGCCTCCAGCTCTGGGACACGGCGGGCCAGGAGCGTTTCCGGTCGCTGATTCCCTCGTACATCCGCGACTCTAGCGTCGCCGTGGTCGTGTACGACATCACCAACAAGAAGACATTCGAAAACACACGCAAATGGGTCGACGACGTGCGCGGCGAGCGCGGCAACGATGTCATCATCGTGCTGGTGGGCAACAAGACGGATTTGAACGACAAGCGCGAGGTCACGACGGCACAGGGCGAGGAGGAGGCCAAGAAGAATAACCTCATGTTCATTGAGACGAGTGCGAAGGTGGGGCATAATGTCAAGGCGTTGTTCAAGAGGATTGCGCAGGCGCTGCCGGGGATGGAGGGCGAGGGACAGCAGGGGCAGAGTCAGAGTACGTTTGTGTGTGGTGGTGTATTGGCGGGTTGTGCTAACGTGGATGCAGTGATTGACGTGAACATCAACCCGAGCGCGCCACAAGAACAGAGTTCGTGCTCGTGTTAGGGAGGGCGTTGGATTGATTGGGAGTCGGAGTGTGACATGGTCATTGCGAGCACGGCGTTCTGGGCATCAGTGGTTTGGTGCATACAGTCCTTTGGGGGACTTGTAATCTGTAGTATACCAACGCGTTTATGGAGCGATCGCCAGATGACGTCAGATGCCAGTGTGAAAGGATTGCCAGATGCAGGGCAAATGTTTGATTGAGTCACCCGCGCCGCCTCCCGTGCACGCCCTGCAAACCCAGAACGCCGGCTAGTGAATCGAGGGGTGTAGAGGAGGCATGCTCGGTGCTTTTACGTGTACAAGAATGTTACAGTGACTGTAATGGGGTAAAGATGGGGTGGTTGGATGCGGGCTGCCGTGATGCTTCATAAGACATGGGAGACGCTCTACTCGAGGTCGCCTGCTGAGCCGGACTCGGAGGGCGTCTTGCTGCCGCCGACGGGGATGGACGTGTCGACGGCAATCATCTCGGCGAGGATGTCGAGGACAGGCTGTGTGGGGTCAGAGCAGCGCCGGGTGGGATGTAGAGGGACATACCTTGGGGACCGTCTTGTCGTAGATGTTGATCAGTTCCCGCGGGTTGGGGTAGACCTTGAGTGCGCGGTAGAAGCACAGCGCGGCCTCGACGTTGTCTGCGCCTGCTCAAGCGTCAGCAGCCACAGCACACAGCCCTGCCAATGGCAGCGACACGGCCTCGGACTCACCCTTCTGCACCATGCCCTCGCCCTGCGCAACCTCCTGCATGAAGTAGGCCTCGACCTCCTCCGGGTCCTTGGGGAAGCCCTCGTCGTTTGCGCGCGCGACGGCCTCGCGGATGGCCGCCTTCTGCTCCTTGCCGTGGGCCTCGGCCTCCTCCTTGGCCTGTCGCTCTGTCCGCTTGGACTCGCGCTTGAGCTGCTTGCGGAATTCGGGGTCGCTGCGGCGCTTGTGGTCGAAGTACAGGGCGTATGCAAGCAGGCCGGTGACGATGGTGCCGACGCCGATGGCGGCAATGGTGGCGGGTTTCAGAGACGAGGGGGTCGTCATGGTGGGGGTGTGCAGGATGGATGGGGCGCGGGGGAGTGGGCGGGTGCGTGTGCGTGGGCGTGGGCGTGTGAAGGAGCGACGGTGACGGGAGGCGGGCTGTTTTTCGACGTCGCGGATCGGAATTGCGACGGGAGGGCACACGCCGCACGTCCAAGCGTCTGAGACGCGCCCGCCCCGACACTTGACTTCGACACTTGACGCTGTCACTTGACACGCCGTCGCCCACACCACTCACAACCGCCCACCATGTCGTCGGGCATCTCGCTGCGCAAGAAGCGCGGCGACAAGAAGGCCAAGAATGCGCCCACCATCAGCCTCCCGCGCCAGATCAGCGCGCCCATGCTCCAGGGCGCTGCCCTCGCTCCCACCGTGTCCCGTCCCTCCACCGAGTCCAGCCGCTCGCGCACCCGACAGGATGCCCCCCCCGAGAGGCCGCGCATGGGCGACAAGACGGCCGAGGCTGTCAAGCGCCGGTACTCGCAGAAGATCACCCAGCTGCCGCCCGACTTTGCCAATGCGCCGCCCATGCCCGACATGCCCCAGATCCCGGCCCAGTACCGGGAGCGGGACCCGTCGAGGGAGCCACGGCCAGAGGGGGGCGACGCCGCGCGCATGCGCCTGGACGTCAAGGCCCTGAGAGACCCCAATCTGCGGGCAGAGCAGTGTGCGTGCCTTCCCCGCTGACCCGACGAGAGACGACTAACACGCCGCAGACGTCTCCTCGATCCTCGCAGACGCCTCCGACGAAGACATCCGCCGCTACCAGGATGAGCTGCGCAGGGCCAAGCAGCGCACCTCCGTCGACCTCCAGAGCAACGTCTACCAGAACAGGACACAGTTCATCAAGATCAGCAAGGAGGCTGAGAAGCTCAAGGGCGAGATGCGCACCCTGCGCCAGCTGATGTCCGACCTGACCACCACCCTCGAGCAGACTGCCTCAGCCTCGAACGCAAACGGCGATGTCGCGAGCAGTCGGAGAGACAAGAGGAGCTCCATTGGCGACCTGAACCAGATCCGCGCTGGACAACTTCAACAGCTCTACCGCGACGTCGAGGGCTCGCAGAAATATCTGCCCCCCATCCCCGGACGATATATCGTGTGGAGGTCAAGAAGGTGGTTCGAGCTCGACTCTGCGACCCTCAAAGCCAGGCGACGAGTGAGACTGCTGCTGCTGAACGACCACCTGCTTGTGGCTGTGGAGAAGAAGGCGCGCAACGACGTCGCAAGCCAACGCGACAGGAGTCGGGCTGTCGTCGAATACGTCGCCCAACGGTGTTTTCCACTCCAAGACGTTCAAGTCGGAAGAGCCCCCGATAAAAATGCCGAGAGGATCATTGTTCGCGCCGGCGTCGAGTCCTTCACCTACGACACCAAGCTAGAAGATGCCGGTGACAAAAGCACCTTCCTCTCCACGTTCAGGAAGACAAAAGACGATCTGCGAAAAAGCCAGGAGGCCGAGTTTGAGGAAAAAGACAAGGCCATGGACGCGTACAACCACATGCTCTCCCGCGACCCCGCGCTCATGAAAAAGACCGATCTACTGGAAAATCTCTCCGACGTCACGCAAGAGAACAAAGGCCTCAACACGTTCGTCGACGTCGACGGGCAGCAGCGCAACATCCGCTGGGTAGAAGCCCAGCTAGACGAGCTGGACATTGACATAGCCTTACAGCACTTCTCCGACGCCGTCGACAAGGTGGAGCGACTGAAATTCCTCGCCAAAAGTATCAGAGGCAACGAGACGGTCAAAGTCATCGCGACGTTCAAGGTCAACGAGCGTGCTACTAAGCTAGCAAACCTCCTCATCAAGCAGCTCATCGGGCACAACAACTGGATCTCCTCTGTCAGGCAGAACGTGGACTGGATCATCCGCTTGGGATTCGAAGATCGTGCCCGTGAGGCCTATCTGGAAGCTCGCGGCAATCTGATTAAATCTCGCTCACGGTACATTTTGTATGCCCTCCTCATGTCCGACATCTCACTAACGCGAAAAAACAGACAATGCATATTCGAAGGCAACCTCCCAGACTACATCTTCCAAACATCCTACATCTACTTCCTCGTCATCAAAAACACAGTCGACATGTTCCAGAAGTGCTTTCCCCAGCCGCTCATGTCGGCGTGTGTCAAGTGGGCCAAGGAACACATTGATCAGTTCAATATCCTGCTGAAGAGGCAGCTGAGTAGTGTGGATCAGGGGGGGAGAGTGTGGGAAGAATGTCTGGATGTCGTCAGGGAACATGCGGGGATGCTGAGGGACGTGGGGCTGGATTTCTCGGAACTGGTTGGACGTGTTGAGGAGGATGAGGTGGTGGTGGGGGAGAGGGGGGCGCCTGTGGGGTTGGGGGTTACGGCTTGAGGGTTGGGGTGAGATGTGGCGTGGTAGGTATGTTGTTCTCTTTCAGTGGGCTTTGGTTGGGGGTGTCTAGATACACTCATCGACGTGTTTTCTCTCACCTGAATTCTCAATACCCAACTGCCGTCTCTCTGCTTTGTCTGTGCAGCCAAACATCCGTTCATATTCCATTTTTTCTTTCACCCTCTTCCGACAGTCTCACCAGCAGTCATTCGAACACATTCCATTGGACTCTATTATCTCCGCATATCACCCAAGCCCAGATATTCCCAGTACCCTCCACAAACCACTAAACGGGAGCATACAACCCAAGTCCACGTACGCAGCACACATCCCCTGCCTTTCCCTGTCTCTAGCCCACCTATCTCCCGCCTCTCCACCGCCACAACCCACACCTCCCAGACACACCCAGACTTACTCTCACCGTCCACCTCTGTGTCCCCACCCAGAACAGCGCTAGATATGTTAGCCTGTCTGCCCCAGTCACTGCCTTGTAGATTGCCGCCTTCACCTCGCCCTGGGGTGGTATATATACGACCGCCTTGTCTCTTGCGTCTTTTCTGTCTTACACTCCACACACCAGCTAAATCAAGCCCGTACCACACACACCACTCCAGCAAAATCATCCACAGAACAAAACGATCACCATGCCCACAGAAGCAGAAAACATCCAGTACCTCTACCTCGTCCTCACGCAAGGCGGTGCGCCTAACGTAAGTCTCCCCTCCCCCTCGCCCCCCCAACATTTGCACCACCATCCAACACAAAACAGATAAACTGGCCCGCCGTCGCCACCGCCCTATCCCTCAACAAAGGCGCCGCCACAAAACGCTGGTCGCGCCTCAAGAACGCCATGGACAAAGGCGACGCGCCCTCCGCATCGTCATATGCGTTTCTCTGGCTGTGCGTGAAGTATTCTAGTCGGGATAAGGTGCGTACTCGCCGTTGTATGGAAGGAGTGGGATGGGATGTGATGTTAACGCGCATAGCCGCTGAACTGGGTCGATATTGCTGAGGAGTGCAATACCACGCCTGGCGCGGCGAGTAAGCGGTACTCGCGCATGAAGCAGGTGTTTGAGCAGGGGGATGCGGTGCCGGGGTCGCCTGCGTCGAGGGCGGGTACGCCGAGGAAGAGTAGGGCGAAGTCGGGCACTGCTACCGCTGACGATGACGATGCGGATGTATCGACCCCAAAGACGACGCCGAAGCGCAAGCGTGCTCCGGCTAAGAAGAAGCCTGCCGTTGCTGCTGAGGATGATGAGAGTGATGACGCTGCTGAGGTGGAGGTTAAGTCTGATCCTGACGATGGCGACGACTCGGATGGTACGCTCGACGGGGTTACGCCATCGAAGCGCCGCAAGACTGCTATCGTCAAGAACGAGGTCGTGGATGATGATGATGAGGGTCTTGCGTTCGGTGGTGCAGAGGATGAGGCTGTGAACGATGGTAAGTCTTCTTCTACATCCGCTTCTGTCGTTGGGAAGGCACGTCTGATATTTTGATGAATAGATGTGCATGATTGGCTGGCAGGCGGTGTGTAGACATGAGATGGGGCAACGAGGCTGTCTGCGTTTAGCGGGTGGAGAGGGGATGTGAATTCTCGGTCTTTAGTTTGCGAGAGGTGATGGTATCGTGAGCAGTAAGGACATAGGGTAGGAGGTGAAATCATACATGGACATGAACATGCTTATTCGTGGGAGTGGCTCACATGGCCTAGAAGGCTAGATAGCTGAGCTTTCCTTCCCGCGATATTCAAAGGGGAGTATATGGAATGAAACGAAATTGGCAAACTACAAAGCAAACTATAGGACTATGTAATCACACATACATCCGAGTCTTTAATACAAACTTACATACAATCGTACTATTTTGTCTGTTCTTGTCTCATCTTCTCTTTCCCGATAATTTCTCCAGAAAGGTGAAGGGGCAAAGTATAGACTGTACAGATCGACCCGCATTGTAGCGCAAAGTGTCCGCCTGCCCCATCTATCGGCTCGAATTTGGTTGAGTGAAAATGAAACAGAGTGGGAGAAGTCACTCACTGATTCTCACCATATATTTTGCTACGGCTCGAAAGACCAGCAAGAAAGCGAAGCGTCAGAGTTCCGCAGTCCACGCATCCGTATTCCACATCCACCGAAAGACACACAGAAACAGAGGAAGAAGACTTCACATACACCACAACATGCCGAAAAGCAATGCTTTGAACACCCACACCCTCCAAACGAACACTACACAATAACATAATATACCCCTATCTTCATACGAAACTAACAACCTATGGCTTCAACACCAACTTACCAGTCGTCTTCCTACCCTCAATATCCTGCGTCGCCCGCGCAATATCCGCCAAAGGATACACATCGTGGATCCTAACATTCAGACCATCCTTCTCGATAAACTTCCACAGCTCGTCGGCGTACTGTACGAGCTCGTCGCGCGTGGCGATGTAGTTGAACAGCGTGGTGCGGAGGAGCTTGACGTTTTTCGCGGACAGGCGCCTACACAATATCAGCCCTTATTCCCACTCTCAACA